GCAGCGACCGCTTCGCCTTCTCAATGGTGGCCAGGCTCTCCATGTCACTGTCGCCTTTGCCTTTGCCAGCAAGAGACACCAGGTCGGCGCCGGGGTGGCCGTCGGCGCCAAGGCCGCCCGGCCGCTTGTTGTGTGGCGCCTTGCGGTGCCCGCGGGCGCGCTGCACGTGAAGGGCATCCATGACGTTGTGGACGGCATCGTAAATGTCGCTTACGGTAAAGGCCATGATGACGAGCGGGATCGATATGCCGAGGCCGATGCCAAAGAGGTACTTGGACACGTAGCTGAGCGACAGCTCCGTCGACCAGTCGGTAATTTGCATGGAAAAAAAGGACGAAATAAAGGACATGGGCAGGAAAATAATGGTGACAATGGTAAAGGCCATGATGGTCTGGCCCTGGCGTGCGGCGATCACGGCATGGTCGCGTCCAAAGCGGGCCTCGAGGGCGTTGGAGTGCTTTTGCTTGAGGTCCAACAGGTTGGTCAGGCTCAGGTAGATGCTCTCGGCCTGCCGGTCCATGCGATCAATGTCCTTTTGGTGGATCTCGAGCAGGCGGCGCTGGTCGCGCGAGCGCTTGCGGATCTCGTTGACGATGCTATCGACGGTAACGGGCGCAGCGTAACCAGCCGCGGTAGGAACGCCGCCGCTTGTGCCTGTACCTGACGCGTAATTGTTGCTATTGGCACGCCGGCCGGTGGCGGTCCCTTCGGGCCGCAGCTCTTCGGTCAGGTGGTTCTCAAACTCGTCGAGGGTCGCCTTTTGCGAGGCCAGCACGACGGCCAAGATGTTGAGCTCATCGCGGATGTCCTTGATCTCGGCCAGCAGCGACGTCTCGGTGCCAATGTCCAGCAGCGCGTCGGGGAACACGGGCACCGTGGCGTGCAGGCGGCCGTCACCGCTCGCGTCGGTAGGCACAAGCGACGGCTGCGACGGCGAGGACTGCAGGGACGAGGCCAGCCCGCCGACGCGGCGGCGCGAGGGCCGGCGGTGCAGCTCGAGCCACTCGGCCGACAGCTCCGAGGCCTTGTTGAAGCGGCTGAACAGCTCGCTCTCCGTGTTGGTGACCAGCCCGATCGAGCTCTCAAACATGTCCAGAAACTGGTAGTCCTGGTCGGCGAGGCGGTAGCGGTCAAACATGCCGGAGCAGCGGTTGGTGATGAGCATGGCCAGATCGTAGACCGACTGGATGGGTGGGCGCGTCTTGGCGTTGGTCTCCTCGATGATGCCGTCGACCACATTGAGCGGGTCGCGCGCCGGCTGGTCCCAGCGCTGCGGGAAGCACGTAATCACGAGATCCTTGCCCAGCACCCACAGCCACAGCTGGTCGACCATAAACACCTTCTTCTCAATGTTGTGCCGCTTGCAGTAGCGGTAGACGACCTGGTCCGTGTCGCGGATGGATGTGTCGATGCCGTGGTAGAAGAACTGGTCGAGCGTGCGCCGCGGGTGGAGCGGCGGCGTGTTGCAGAGATAGCCCTTGGTCAGCATAATGTCGCGCGGCGAGCCCACGGGCGGGTCCCAGCCGTCGCGCACGAGGTTGATGGCGTGCGTCATGCGCTGCCGCCGCTCGTCCGTCTCGTAGTGCAGGAACGGCATGAACAGCACGACCTTGCCGTTGAGCGCCGGCAGCTTGGAGGCATCCCATGCGGCGGGCGCAAGGCCCGCCGACCGTGCTGCCGCGGCCGCTTTCATGGCCTTCGTGCCGGGAGGATTGCCGGGCGGCCCGCTGGCGCGCTTGGCCCGCCGTGGGTGGCGCTCAGCAATCAGCTCGCCTTTGCTCTTCTTCTTGTCGGACCGCGGCGTCCCGGAACTACCTTCCCCAGCATCGGCCGTGCCGGACTTTTTGGGTGTGGGCGTCGTCGTGCCGTCGGTGCTGGTCATTGTCATTGTCGTCGCCGAGGACACCTTGGAGAGGTTTGTGCTAGCCGACATGTTTGTCGACGCAACGCTCGCATCCGTGGGCTCTTCGGAGAGTGGCGGGAAGGGCTGCTTCGCGTCTTTGTCGTTGGCTGGGGCCGGGCCGTGGCCATGCAGCGAGGGGATGCGGTGGCAGAAGGTGCGCATAAAGTGCGCATGGGCCAGCGGGCCCCGATGCTCCTGGTCAAAGCACTTCTCGAGCGCCTTGAAGGGCTCAATGTCGCGGTGGCCGCCCTCGATGAACCACTTGGACAGCAGCGTCTCGACCCAGGCAATGTTGTTGGCCGGCAGGTGGATCCAGCGGAAGTCGGGCTGGTACTTGACGTTCTTGATTTGCGTGTCGACCTTGGGCTTGCCGTTCTCCTCGTCCCAGCCGTACAGCACGTCGAACACCGACCGCTTGAACACCTGGTGCTGTTTGCCGTCGCGGAAACTACCAAAGTCGACCACCGTGGCCTTGAACTCCTGGCACGCCGCGCGCGCCGTCGGCGACAGACGCTGCGCCGCGTGCACCGGCGACAGCAGCTGTACAATGTCGCGATGGAACCGCTCAGCGGCACACAGCATCGGCGTGCGGTCGAAGCTGTCCTTGACGTCGAGCTTCGTCTCGTCGCGCGCCAGCAGCAGCTTGACGACCGCCTCGAACCCGTTGAAGGCCGCCCAGTGCAGCGGGGTCATGCCGTTGGACAGCTCGGCGTTGACGTTGGCGTCCTCGGCCAGAAGCAGCGCCACGACGCCCGCGTGGCCATTTTGCACCGCGTTGTGCAGCGGCGTCCATCCGCCATCGCTCGAGGCGTTGGGGTCGGCCTTGTGCTTCAGCAGCAGCCGCACCATGGCCTCGTGATTGGCCTCGGCCGCCAGGTGCAGCGCCGATCGTCCGCGGTTGTTGGAAGCCGACACGTCCGCAGCCGCCGCGCCGCCCAGGGATCCGTTCAGCAGCGCCTCGACCAGCTGCAGGTTGCCGTTCGTGGCCGCCCACAGCAGCGGCGTGCGCCCAATGTTGTCGCGCACCTCCACGTTGGCGCCGCCGCGGTCAATGAGCAGCCGCAGCGTGTCCATTGTCCACTTGACTTTTTCTTTTTCGGACGCCAGGTACAGCAGCGGCGTGCGGCCCTCCTTGTCGCGGATGCGCACGTCGGCGCCGTGGTCCAGCAGCAACCCCACGACTTTGTTGTGGCCCCGAAAACACGCCGGAAACAGCGCCGTCTGCCCCAGACGCGACCGCACCACGACATTCGGGTTGGCGCGGTGCTGCAGCAGTTCTAGCACCACGGCAAAGTGGCCTGCTTCTGCTGCTTTGAACAACGCCGGCATCTCGCTCTCGCGCCGCGGCTCGACGTCCGCGCCCTTTTCCAGCAGCAGCCGCGTCACGGTCAGGTTGCCGCGCGCGGCCACTTTTTGTAGCGACTGCCGCAATGCATCTTGGTCGTGACGCGTGCTCCAGACACTCTCTTCGGCCAGAATCTCGCGCACGCGGGTCTCGTTGGCCTGTGCAGACGCCGCGATCAGTTGCAGGTGCCGCGGATCGGGCGTGCTGCTCGCGACGCTGGCCATTGTGTGAGAAGGGAGGAGAGAGGAGGAGGTGTCGTAGAAAGGGGATAGTATCGCATCCAGTCGCAGGGGATTCGAGGAGAGACTTGAAGGCCGCAGCCCGCAGCCACTGAGAAAGTGCGCTTGCCCGCTCGGCTCACGTAGACCGATCCATTCGCGTGGCCGTGGGAGTGCGTGGTCGTGTAATGTAACTATATGGAAGACGATGGAGTTGATGGAGTCGATAGAGTGATGTATTAGAATAGGATCGAGAAAGGGGCGATTCGCTTGTTGGACTCCAAATGTCGTGATAATTAAAAAAGGAAAGAGCCGAACACTCGCACAGAAAACGGCAGGAAGGGCTACAGCATAGACAAGCTTTCTTTTCGCACGGCCGCCAAATCAAGAAGGAGGGAACAGCCGACTGGTGGTGTCTCGGTGGCGCGCAAAGGCAGAATCAACAATCTTACTAAGAATATAAAAAGATGCAAGAGCCCCACAGCTGTGCGCCTGCCATTTTGTCATATCCTCGAGGACCCCATTGCTTGCCCCTGCTGTTCTCTTTTTGGAGTGCCGGATCCCTGTTCAAAGTTTTCCATCTTCCCCTTCATCTGCCCAGTTGTCGATCAACAGGGCCCTGTTTGCTCTTTGTTTTCGTTTCGCCAAAGCACGATGCGCTGAACGATTTGTTGATTAGCGCATCTGGCATGCGGCTTGTGGCAGAAAGTTTAAAAAGGACCATGGCGGAGCCACGGGACAGAACTCGAAAAAAGGTTTAAAACGAGAGTTACGAAGAATCTGTGATGTGACAATGTACGGAGTATTACCACTGACTGGACTAGCCTGATATGGTAATTAAACAAGCTTTGCACTGAAAATGCCGTGCTTTGTTGAACATACTTGACACGCGAACGCAAACAAGAAGAATCAAAGGCCTAGAACGGCCTGTGGCCTGCGTCGCCAGTTCAAGACACCCTCCCGGTCTCTATACCAGACGAAACCACGACGTAAACAACAACCATCAGAACCAGGTTTGCGTTCGAGGGTTGTCTTTGTCCGAGGTAATGCATGTACGACGTGTGAACATTACATGTAGAACTCGGTACAGGTGGACCCGTGCTCAATCGAGTCTGTGCCATGGCAGACCTCAAACAATGTCTTGTAATTTATCATTATTTTGTGTTCTGTCTGGACGGTGCGGAGTACAACGTAATTTCTCCTTTCCTATGTCATGCTCAGTAGAGCCGAGCGATGGCGTGGGCTATTAAAGTAAAAGTAAACGCCTGGACTTTCGTTTAACACTACAACAATTCCCACGTTCTCATATTCATAGCTGATGATGTCCCCATAGACTCGTCTTCCTAACAATGCCTAAAGCGAACTTAGAACAACACCGTGTCTCAGCTACTACCTCGCTCCGTCCCGTCCCGCCGCATTCCATTCTTTGTTCTTTAGCACTGCTTTTTTCCCCTCCATAACGTATGTTGATGCTGTTTCGTACACCGTCCACCAGAGAGTCGAACGGAATGGTCTTGTCGGAAATGGCATCAGTTTAGGCCGTGATCGTCCGCACAACGGACGACTTGGTGAGGAGCGGCTCAGTCTCGGATGCAGAAGAGACAGCAGGCAGTAGCCCAGTAACTGGTTCGACCACCGTCTCGATTACCGGCTCGATCCCTTGCTCAATCACTGGCTCGGTCGCCGGCTCGGTTGCCGGCTCGGCCGTCGCCACGGCCGTCGTCGTTTCGAGAATGGTGGCCTCTTGCACGGTTACCGGATCAAAGCAGCAGCAGCAGCAGCGACAAATGGCTCTGCAGGCCAGGAACGGCAGGCAACAAAGGATGCCCAAGCCACAGTGGTGATTGCAATTGCAGCAACCGCAGCAGCCATCGCTGTCACAGCAATTGTCGCAGCAGCTGCAACACTTGCAGCACTTCGTTAGACAAAGATGATGATGCAAGTGCCAGAAGCGGTGGGCCAGCTCTTGTTCTTCAGGATGCCCTCCGGAGGTGAGGATTGCCTCGTGTGTTTCAACGATTTCCACGGCCTGCTGAGCATCGGCAGGCGGCTCTTGAGCGGACTGACCGGGGGCCAGCGAGTCGGTGAATTGCTCAGCCTCCGAAGAAGCAGTCTTTGCGGCGTCGCCTTTGCCGAACGGGAAGAGGGTTCTGAAGCAGCCCATTGTTGTGGTCGAGAACAGGAAGGATATGTCGCGTATGAGATTGTATCAAGGCAGATGCAAAACTGTATCCTGTTGACAGTTGGACAAATAGACAAGAGTTTGTTTGCGAGAGGAGAGTCCATGTACATATTGCTCGATATTGAGGACGACATGTTGACAGATGAAAAGGAAGTGAAGACCGAGGCAAGTGCAAGTCAAAACAAAGACTGGTGCGGAAGGAGCGTTGTAAACATGGAATACAATATCAAAAAGCAGGCATGAGTGCACCTTCCTTGACCAAACATCACCAACAAGGAAGGCGCGGTGCAGAGGCAAGTGCAGGCGACAACAACAACGAAGAAGGAGCGATGGCGACTGGTCAATGAATCTTTGAGGTTTTGTCGTAGCCGTAGAAATACAAGATTTTTTTGGAAATGTATCTGTAATATTTTTTTTTTTAAAAAAAAACATAACATTTTAAAATTCGTGGAAAATTCATGTTTTTGTCCATAAAATGAGTGAAGCCGTAAACAATTTACATAGGCAATCAACGCCTATACAGTGGGAGTGGATTTCAACGTCAAAAAGAAAAACGAAACTAAATGTGACCTTGGTAATGCAACAGCATATAATGAAAAACAGCACCGTATAAACGCCGCTACAATAGCTGATGCTCCGGCGTCGTTGATTGCGACAGATACATGGAAAGACGGAAACAAGAAAACAAGACAAGAAATAGACAACGGGGAATCACCGCAAAACACACGTCGTAAACCATCATGACAAACTGCAATGAACAAATATCTTCCGTTAGTAAAATCCCACACATTACTTCGTCGTGGTCGGCGCAGCAGCCCCAGTCTCGGTCTCGGCCTCGGCCTCGTCCCCGCCAGCCGCCGGTGTCGACATGAGAGGATGAGATGGGTCGTAGCCCACGGATTTGATGATACCAAGACCCTTTGTGCGGCCCTCGCGGAAGAGCAGGCGGTCGCCCGGAACCAAAAACTCGGGCCGCTGCAGGAAGCGGAACGCAACGAGGGCGCGCTCGCCGGTGCGCAGCAGCGGACGGTCCATGTCGACGATGGCGCAGGTCTGGTGGACGGGGCCGACGTGCACGGTGGCCTGGTACTTGTGCTTGATGGTGGTGGCGTGCGACAGAATCAGCACCTCGGCCACAAACTCGCGGTAGACGCGGGGCGGCGTGCTGTCGTCGGTGCGGTGCAGGACCACCTGGCCCTTGCGGACGTCTTTGCGGCGCATCTTTTTGAGGGAAAAGGACGCGGACTGCCCGGCCGACGCGGCCGGCACGCCGAGACGTTTGCGCTCGATGGAGCGGATGCTGGTGGGGGCAAAGTGGCCGTTGGCATCCGGGCCGATCCAGATGGCGTCGCCGGCGTGGGCGACACCGGACTTGACGATGCCGCTGACGACGGTGCCGACAAAAGGCACGGAGTAGGTGTCGTTGACGTGGAACTCAAAGGCGCCGCCCGCGTCATAGCGGCCGTGGTGCGGCAGGATGTTGAGGAACGTGCGCACGAGGTCCAGGTTCTGGCCGGTCACGTTGGAAATCTGGAACACGGGGCAGATGCGCTGGCTGACAAACTGGGTGGCCGTGTTGACGCAGTCGTCGCGGTTCTTGATAAAGATGGGAATCTTGCGGGCGCCCGGGCTTTTGAGGACACGCGTGATCTGCGTAATGGTCTCGGCCAGAATGTTGGGCGGACAGATGTCGATTTTGGTGATGATGACCATGATGGGCACGTTGAGGGCGAGGGCGATGCCCAGGTGCTCTTTGCTCATGCCGATCAGGCCGTTGTTGGCCGCCACCATAAGCAGACAATAATTGGGCGCCGTCGACATCATGCCGAACATGGTGGTGCGCAGGTACCGCTCGTGGCCTGCGAGATCGGTAAACGTAATGACTTTGGCGCTGCGCTTGCCAATCTCCTCCCACGACAGCTTGCGGCCCGGGGTGTCGGACGCTACGACGCGGCCGCGCGTGTCGAACCCGAGAATCTCCATGCCGACAGAACTCGTGCGGCCCGTCTCGAACTCGTGCTTGTGCCGGAACAGATTGACGCGCGCTCGGCCGCGGCCGTCGTCGAGGTCGCCCTTGACAAGCACGCCCAGCAGGGAACTCTTGCCGGCGTCGACGTTGCCCACGACGGCAATGCGCGTCTCAATGACGTCCTCGACTTTGCGCGGCCGGCGGCGGATCATGAGCTTGCCCGTGCAGTCCGTGGCCGAACCCACGCCCGTCCCTGCGCCTGCGCTTGCGCCTGCACCGTTGCCACCTTCCTGCACGACATCGAGTGGACCGCCCACGTTGCGCGTTAGCAGAAGCTCGCAGTCCGCGCCGGCGCGGTCAGCAGCGCGCTCCACACGTGCGAGCGCCACGGCCCACTGGTCGCGGGTGAGCCCGAGGGTGTCCCCCGTGTGCTCGAACCCGAGGTCCAACACAGCCTCGCCGTTGCCCTCGTCGATGCGCTCGGCGAGGAGGGTGCTGAGGGCCACAAAGTTGGCATCGGCGTCCCCTGCGCTGGTCTCGTCTCCGGGCGCCGTCAGCAACTGCCGCATGGGGATGAGTGGGACGGCATCGTCAAGGTCGAGGGCGTCGAGGATGTCGTCGAGCTCGTCGAGAGTGTCGTCGCGGTTGGCAGCGGAGGTGACCGAGGTCGGTGCAGTCGAAGCTATCGAGGGCGAAGCCGTTGTGGCGGCCAAAGCGCCGGCGGCGCCTGCGTTTAGCGGATAGCGGACGGCTTGCTGCCGTTCAACGTAGTCGGCGAAATCGCTCAAGGCCTGGTAAGGTTAGCAATGCGAGACAACAGCGTCCAGAGCTTCTCCACGTCAGGTAGATGTCGTACAGATTCGCCTTTTCGCCGCTCGTGCGGCAATACTGCTGATCTAGCAGTCATGGCTGTGGCGTGGGTGTGATCTCGGCCAAGGCAATGCGAGATCTGTGATGATGTGGCGTTCGGCGCTATAGAGTGAGCAACATGGGAGACTGCGGTCGGTGCGCAGCAGCAGAGAGAGGTATTGTTTATTGCGGTATTCGAGGAATCATGGATGCTAGATTTGGGGGTGCGGCACGAATATGGAGGTAGTCGAAAGCAAAAAACGGTAGTTGAATGTGCACAAGAGATGACCGGCGACGAAGATCCGTGGTATCCTTTATAAAGCGGTCGAGGGTGGCGGCAGCAAGCCGAATCGTGGAGGAGGGAGACGGATGAGGATCCAAGTATGACTCTTTCGACGTGTCTCAGGAAGGAAGGCCTCGAATGTAAGGGTCACACACACAGACAGCCTTATGGGGCAGGATGGGAAAAACAGTCATTGCTTGTTGCAGGGGAAAGAGCGACCAAGAAGTGCGTAGGACCAGGCTCGACCAAGGCGAGGAGGAGAACAGCCTAGCGAATGAGTAATTCGGCGGGGTTGCTGTTTTGTGAGGCGCGTTAATGGCCAACTTTGCGGGGCCACTTTAGCACCTCGTCCAGCGCGTTCAGCCTCTTTCTAGTCGATAAGAGATATATGGTGGAAGCTCCGTGTAAATATCCAATCTGTACATAGTATAGGTCATGCCATTAGGTCTTTGCAAAGCCATAGTTGACAAGACGCTTCATGTAGTCATTGTTTGTAGGGGTAGACGAACATATGTTTCAAAATGTTTTGTATTTAAATGTTTGATAATTAAAAAGTAGTAAGTTATATCCAGTTCAATTTCCAGGAAAAGCCTCGAAATAGGACATCCAAAAACGCCGACTGTCCATACCCGTTTTGGTGGACCAGTATGCTCTGAGTTTTTCTTTTGTGGGTTTGTCAACAACTCCTGAACGAGGTATATATAAGTAACAGAAAAGCAACTTTTTTCCAATCCAGACGCGCCCAAAATTATAAGCCAAAGACGAAAAGGGAAAAGAAGAAAGAAGAGAAGAAACAACAGGGCAAGTCATGATCAAATAAAAATATTTTAAAAGTTAAAAGTTAAGGATGGGCTGCTGTGCTGTCGCTCGCTTCGTGAGAATGAAAGGGACAATGTAAGAATAAAAAAAAGGGGTATTAAGTAAGGTCGTATGCATGTAGGATTAGGTAGAAGTCCTCGCAGGTCCTCGGCCTCGTGGGCTCAGGTCATGATCGGACAGTGTCGAGCGGCTCGATGTAGTCGGGCAGCGCGGCCTGCCCGCCGCGGATCTCTTCGCTGTAGCAGGGCGGGCTGGGCGGCACGTCCTGGTAGATGGGCGGGGCCTCGTTGTCCCAGGACACGCCGATGCCGCCGCGCTGTGTCAGGATGTCCGTAAAGTGCATGCGCAGGATGCGGCCGACGCCGGTCTGAGTGACCATGGAGGGCTTGTTGGCGGGGGCCCATTCTTGGGAGACGACCATTTCGAGCATGAGCTGGTGCGTGACCTCGGTGCCGTCGCGGGTGTGCGTGTCGCACGAGTACTTGGCGTGCTTGCCGAGCAGGTAGTCGAGCTCGAGCTCGACACTGGCGTCCTCGGCCGCGCTGTAGTTGCTCTTCCAGCCGCTCAGCAGCGTCTTTTCGCCAATGATGCGCGTGTCGGCGCGCTGGACGCCGGTGGGGGGCGCGGCCGACGCAGACTCTGCGTCGTCGGCCGGCCGCGGGGCGTGCTTCTTGCAAGCAGGCGCGATGGTCTTGGCCGTCTCTTCGAGGCGCCAGGTGAGCTTCTTGAGCTTCCAGAACTCGAGCGTCTTGGACCTTTCGTTGAGGCGGGCGACGCCGTCGATGCGCAGCGACAGCGTGTTTTGGCCAATGGGGTAGATGACCTGGGGGAAGTGCACGCTGGCCTTGATGTTGGTGGGCGGAAAGATGCGAACGGAGTGGTGTGGCAGCTCGGGCGCGGGCAGTGAGCGCTTCACGTCAAACAGCTTCTCGAGCTTGACGGGCAGGCCTGAGCCGGCCTTTGGCACGGCCTCGGCGTGGAACTCGTAGGCAATGGACACCAGCTGGCCGTCCATGCTGGCGGGGAGGTGGCCGGCGAGCAGCACCGAGAAGGGGAAGCCGTGCCGGCCCTTTGTGAGGATCAGCGGGCCCTGGACAAACGACCACTTTTGCAGTTCCTGGTATTGGTGGATGCAGTTGTGGCAGTATGCGGTGTAGGGCCGCTTCTGGGTGGTGTGGATGTTGAGGGTGGCGATAAAGGAGTCGAGGTGGACGGGCTCGTCCTTGATGGTCAAGAACAGCAGGCCGGACACGAGCGCACCCGTGCTGTTCTCGGCGTCACCATACAGCACAATGGGCGGCGACTCGACCTTCCAGTCGAGTGTCATGTTGGCGCTGACATGCGAATCGCGGCTGGAGCGGCCAAAGTGCAGCGGACCAAAGGACAGGCGGTGGTGGACGCCGTGCTCGGCAGCTGCCGCGGCTTCGCGCCGCTCGGTAGAGGACGCGCGCTGGACCGACGTCATGGTCTTCATAGTGCCGTGGTGCCCCGGCTGCTGCTGGTCGTGTGCCGTGGATGCGCGTGTGGATGTGGATGCTGGCGGTGTTACCACACCGCTGCTGCTGCTGCTGTGGTGATCGTCGGATGCGTCGTCGTCGCCGAGAGAGGAGGCGTACGAAAAGGTGCGGTGGCCGTGGGCGGCGCGGATGGAGGACGAGGAGGACGCCGAGGAGTGCGGCTTGGGCGAGGGGCGCCGGACGGTGGCTTTCTTGAGGCTGGCGACTTGTGCTTCGAGGGAGGCCGAGGGGTTGCGGAGGAAGTTGCTGACCCGGTGTGGCATTTTTTGGGCGAAAGGGGAAGGGGTGTTTGTTTTCATGAGGTGAATTGGGAGGGTAGGATCGAGAAGGAAGGAGGGGGAAGAAACAAAAAAATAAACGAGGAAGGAGGGGAGTGGTAAATAAAAGGGGACCAGTGGTATGAGTATACGTATGAGTCGCGGTCCAAAGAGGCGATTGGTTCTCCACCACTTTCTTTTTTCTTCTTTTTTTTCTTTTGTTCTTCTTTTTTTTTTACTTGTTTTAGTCGCCCGCTTACACGAAGCCGACCAGGGTGTACCTCCAAAACGGACCGCTCTAAGAGATGGAGGAGGGGCGTGTGCCAATGGCACGGATGACACTGGCGCGGAAGGCCCTTTGCTTTTCCCTGTAAGAGTGGGGCAAATTTTTTTGGACTGTGGCTCTGGCGCAGACTATGACGACAGGGCGCAAGGGAGTAAACGCAGAAAGGGCGACGCAGCGAAGGTGCTAGAGTCTAGACGTTCCAAAACGAGTGTGCGAACTGGCGACTTGCCCAAATTTGGATGGTGCGGGCCAATTACCTTTTGTCCGGTGTGCTCTTTCCCGTGTTGATTCAATTAACGGCCTCTTAAAGTTGCGATTGAGAAGGCGCGGGTTGTGAAGATCTCGTCTGCTCTTTCCTTTTGGAATGTACTGTCGTAGGAAAGTGCTCTTTCCCTGTTGTTGGCGTCTTCAATGACATCGATCCTTAGGAAAGAGAGATGAGCGATGCGCGGAAGGAGCTAAAGCGCGGAGACGAGACGAGGTGATGAGGGGCTGTCCCTGTTATTCTGAGTTCCGGTGCGAATGACCAAGCATATGCAGGTCGAGCCGTCCTGCTGTGCGCGAGCGTGCGGGCTGTGTCTTTGATACTCGCAAAATGCTGGTCGGTTGACCTCGTGGACAACGTTTCCACTTCTTTTTTCTTTTTTTCTTTCTTCTTTTTTTTTGGTTTCTTTTTGTGTATTTTCCGTGCCAAGCGAGCGGTGTGAGTGGCTCGTCTGGGGAAAGGGAGAAAAGGGTAAAGCGGCGTTCGCGGAGGCGTCGTTGTGTCCGGCGGCAGCGACGGGTGAATGATTGGTTTGGCTCGGTGTCTGCTGGTTTGCTGGATCGAGCGCAGCCCCTCTGGTCAGGCGTCGACTTCCCCAGGATATCCAAACGCTTGGGCTGGTTTGGGCTGGCGTTGCAGGAAGAACCGGGATCTGGTTGCGACAGCGGTTGGCAGATTTGCGGATGGTGTGGTAGGGTTTGGCAGGTGGAATGACGTCGAGGAGGGAGAAGATGGCGAACTGGGTCAGGCGGTGGGCAAACGAAGTGTCGAAGAGTTTGCAGTACGACTGCGTCGGAAGACAGCGCAGCGCTAGTTGTGTGTGGAAGCGTGAAGCTGTAGGCAAGAAGATGGTTGATAGATAAGCGTGGTCGCGATAATGCGTGATAGATGCAACGACTGGGGTACGGCGTAACGATGGTATCCGAAGGGGTGTGAAGCTTAATGTAGACCAGAATAGAATACACTGGTCGATTAAGTAAAACGAAAAATAGCCAAATCTCGCGATGTCAACAAAAGAAGATTCAAGAAGAGGTTCGAAAAAAGAAAACAAAACAACGTCTAGAACCTTTCGACCTGGGCCGACCTACGTATTTATTTCACACATTATTTTTATATGTTTTCTTTAACATGTCTGGTATGTGACCATTCATGTGCTGCAAGGCGTGCCTTTGAAAACGTGCCTCCGAATTAGGGTGCAGCCTCGATTTCCATCAAGTAATTATGTGTCATGGTTTGCTCCTTCCCGCCCGTTTTGCAACAAGCGGCCGCTCTCCCTGGGCCCTCGTTCCTGGGAAAGTCCAAAAGACGGTGCGCCGTCAGCCCAAAACAACGTGCGTTTTTGGGATTCGCATCTCAACGACGATGTGCTGTTACGCATCACTCAATCTGCCAGCGCCGATATTCCTCCTCGTTTGTCGGGCTGGGCAAGATGGAAACCGCGTTATGTACGTGCAGCCAGCGTGTGTCACGGTCTGACAGCGTTTCATCTTTGGGACTGGTCGACGACTTACTCTATTGTAAAACTTTTATTTTAAAACCAGAAAACAGAAAGCATACGAATAGAGCAAAAGAACACGGACGTTCACAAACAATGACATCGTCACATATGGATGGACGACTACAGGTACGATGCAGTCCCTCTCTTGGCCCAGCTGACTTTCCACTGCCCATCTCCGCTTTCTAGGCAGATGAGACCAACTGTCAAAAGCAAAACAAAACCGAACGGAAGCGAGACGAACGCAGCCAAGGGGGTATAAACACTGGTTCACAACAGCACCTGTGAGTCAGGACTGCGAACATGGAGGCGAGGGAGGCTCGAAGCACCCGGATAACCCAGGCTTACTCAAAAAGGAGTTTGAATACGGGCGTAATGCTCGCCGTCGGTTACGTGCTTTGGCGGCCACAGAATGGCGCACGAACGGGGAGAACACGCCATGCACGCCATTCAGCCCCTGTAGAGTGATCAAGGCCCGAGATCGCTGCGGCTAGCCTGATTGAAAGTTGGCCTGAGCCTGGCCTCTGGTCTGCCAAAACATTCTGTCTTGCGTCACGAGTGGACAGAAACACTATTCCCATTGGCCAATTTCTGAACAAGGCGGGAGGGGGTGGTGGTCTCCTTTTGCGCCTGGTTCGTTTTAATTTTTTGACAGTCAGCTGGCCAGGCCCAGAAGCGGGCTCGTTTCCTAGGGGGTGTTGGCATGGCGTTTTGGCGTTTTGCACGGCCAAAGGAATGGCATGATGCACCACCAGAAAAATTTTCATGTCCATCGGCGCTTTTGTCCCTTCCTGGCGTTGTTTTGTTAGGAGGATCTAGTGGCCGAGAGAAAATCCACAGGAAGAATACCCACGACTAGCCTTTCCTAACCGTGTTAATGACCGTTTTCCAGTTCAACCCTTGTTTTTGTTGCTTCTGAACTTTGGTAGGCACCGAAGACGGAGGGGCCAGAGAAAAAAAAACGGTAGACGCCATCGAGATCGATCAGAATGGATGGGATGTAGAATTGTGTATTATTTTGTCAATGGACAGCTCATGACAATGTCAGGGCCATGCAACAAGTATATCGATCACGCCGTATGACGTCCTCTGTACGGTTTCTCTGAAAACGACAAACACAAGCATATGAATGTGGAAGATCAGCAGGAAAACCGCACCTATCCCTTCTCCCTTCTTTAAACATCCTTTTTTCACATTGTCTGCTTCTGCCTGGATCGGCACAGATTACGCTAGTCGCGGGAACAGTACACAACCAGGGCTGTAATTGATATATACGAAAGACAGAAAAAAAAAATCGAGGAGCATGACAAGTCCAAGGAAATGCGGTCCATCGGCACGAACCTCCCAATAAATGTGCTACAAGATCAAAAACGGACAACACAAAAACGCACTACCTTAGGAGATGGACTTATTCGCAAGGTCCAGCTGACTTATTTTGTGCCCCTTCTCCTTGTTTCCCCTCATCAACAACTTTTGGGTGATTGGTTGCAAAACGAGGCTAAATCGACGGGACGAGAAGATGCACATGCACTTTGCATCGCATTGTGACGACTGGCGAGGAACACGGCATCGCAATGGAGGCAACAAGCTGCCTCGACGCCGTTGCGTGCCATAAAATGCGTAGCCTCGCGGCTCGACTTGGGCACTGTCCACGATTGGCATGCATTGAAGCAAGGATTGACAGGAAATACGCACCTTCCCATGGTCATGTGTTCTCCGCCAGACCTCCAACACGCAAATTGTACTCACCGTTTTGACCATCTCCGCGGCTGTCGGAGTATTCCCGGGATTGGTAGGACAGTGTTGATGCCGAGACGGCTTAACCCGTCTTTTGTCCGTTTTGTCATAATTCATATGCACAACGTAACTTGTGATCTCATGATGGCGATGACAGAGTATTCAATGTTCGCAGTCTACTGGCAGCAACTTTGACAGCTCTCGGCACATCAGACCGCATGCACGCCGGACAATACGTAATATCTGCGAGAGTTTTCCGGCGTGCTTGGGCCGGCTCGACTGGCACAATTGGCGGAGCTAGTAGAACAGAGAAAACGCAAAGGAACATGTAACATGCCCTTTGCAAAAACTGACATCGTAAGATTCTAGACTGGCGACGTCGTTCCCACAGCGGCCCACCGCTGCGTGTCCCGTTTCGTTCGTTCCGTCGGATCTTTTCGTCGCCAACACTGGCTTCCTCCGCCTCTTTTCTTTCGCGTCTACCCGCTCTTTGGCGCCCGTTGTTCCTTGTCCGTCTTAGCGGAACGGTACGTGAGGGATTCAATTTCAAACTTCAAGTTCGCCGCCTCTCTTGTTGTTGCGCATACGGGGTAGTCATACGCTGTAGCTAGCGAAAGAAGCAATCGCAGAAGCAAAGACGAGGCAACCCATGCAAAAGTGGTCAGATCCTGCACATAGATGGCGCTCAACAGCAAAATGGAACGGCTTTCCGCCTGATACTCCGATCAGGAACCCGAAATGCAGTTTCAAAGTGAAAATTTCACCACACCAGGAACATACTCCGAACAGAGTGGATGCCGGGCCTTGTGGATGTGGCTCACCGTTTCTTCGTGTTAGGCCACCCACTCGTATTGTTGCAAGGGGGAACGTGAATTCAAGATCGTGTAATGTGTTTGAGCGAACGGCGATCCAGGATCAGAAAACCTTGAAAAATGTGGATTTGCACTGTCCTCAAAGAGGAAGAAACGAAACCGTCAGACTGGAGCTGAGAAAGGCAGGCTCCACAGAAACTGGCAAAGATGGAAGCGGCTGGACGCGGTGATGACAGTCGAGGCAATACAGCCTAGACAGGCAGTTGAAAGGCTTTTATGAGAATCACCATATACGGCAATCTTCACCACATAGCTGTCGGACTGGGAATACACCGTATGCTCTTTTTTTCTCGCAGCACGGCACAACCGGACTTCCTTTGCTATTTGTCGTCTCCGTTTTCTTCCTGCAAACGCAACCTCTCGTATTTTGCTCTGTAAAACATCCTCCACATATTGATCAACGGTCCCGCTTCTACGGAGTCCTCATAAAGATACCCCATTATGGACTCCATCTTTTGCCGCTTCTTTCCATTGTTTTGTTTCTTCGGCCTGTCTATGTATCCCACATTGCCCGCCCGTCTCCATATACCAATTTTATTTTTCTTGTCCCGACTTCTAGAACGTCCATGGCAAACTATGGAGGAACGAGTCCATGACAAAAATACGGTGAAATGGCAATTTCTGTAAGCCTCCTTCCCGATACGGTGTGCCTTACCTTCGTGAAATTAACGAGAAAACTTTTTCGGCCTTTTTAACAGCATTTTCTTTACTGAGAACCGGGCAGCAACGGGCCCCAGTGGCGCCTGTGGCCAGAAAGCCCATCGGCGTTAACAAAAGTACCCGTCTCGACTTTCCTGTTTGGGCCAAAAGGCGAGGCAAAACTGTTTTGCCATTGTAGACTATCGGAGGTCTCCGATGCGGGTGACTGACTCAGTCTCACCCGCCGCCTTACACGAGGCTCACCATACAAAAATTCGTCGTACGGAGTACATAAACAAGACAAGGCTGATGGGCGCGGCCGATGATTTGGTAATGACAACTCACGATAATTTTGTGTATCCTCTCTTGCCCCCATTTTGCCTCCTCTTTGGGGTGGACCATTTCACCGCCAATTTCTCCTTTGAATGTGATTTACATAACACAAACGCCTCTCTCACCGTACTTTTCGGTGTTGCAACACCATCATTTCGTTGGCAGCGGATCGCAAACGGCCGAGAGAATTCGTCGTCGCCCGGGTGTAGTATTTGCAACATGCATGTCGAAGGAGCACAGTGTAATACGTTTCTATGTCCCCGCTGCCGCACGTCGCGCTCCTGTACTTGGATTCCAATGGAGATCCGAGCGGCTGTCAGCGGTTAAAACGGCGAGGCCCGTGTGCATATGACTTGAAGCGCCTCGGCCGCTCTTGTCCGCCACGTCCGGCGCCGCTCGTCTAGACTTGTCGTGGCCACCGTTGAGCTCCACCTCTTTCGCCGGCCTTTTTATGTCCCCCCAGCGGCCGGCTCCTAGCCTCCTTCGTATGTTTTGTTGCCTTTGGCATTGTTTCCTTGTCCCGCCCGGAACATTCCTTCTGGAAGCATGTACCCCAGATCATTATGCACGTGGTCTGCATATCGCCCATCTGTAGTGGTGTCACCGGTTGCCATCCGCGGTGTCCAAACTGTCGCATCCGCACACCACCACTCCTCTGGGCATCGTTGGCCGCCGTGGACCGATGCCTCATGGGGTGTACCTATCGTCGGTCCATCGTTGCTGCCATCGACTGGAAGCACGACAACCGTGTCCACGGTTCCGCACCAATGCCATCTTGCAAGGCTGTTGGCGTGATTTGCCATGCGCTTATGCGGCTCTTGTGTAACCATTGCTGATTGGTGGGATATGCTGCACGGTAGAGAAAATGTGGCGTGCCTTTCACACCGTTGACACGCAAGGCAATCGCCGACGAAGAGGATTTGTGCAGAAGGTGTATCAGCTCGTGACAGGCGAGATTGACGACGACAGAGATAGTGTTGATCGAAAGCACGGATGAAGATGCTTTGTGAGCAAGGGCACGTTGGTGGATGTGTCGCTCGCACATCCCGATACCAGACACGGGAGACAGATAATAGGCAGACGAGCTGGCCAAGCGGACGACGATGGCGGAGACTCTGTGACTGTAGCGTACAGCAATAGTCATTGTATGAGTTCAATCGACTCGAGACGTCGCCTCGACACATCTCTGGTGCGACAACGTCGAGGCTCGAGTCAGACAACGGCGTTCCATTCGTTGTGCTACAGCAGAGTTACAGCAGAACGCAAACGGCCTGGTGGGTCCGTGACGTTGCCTGGCGACAGACCGCGTGCGTCTCCACGCAGTCAATCCAAGCCCTATAACGTGTAGCCCATGAGCTTCATGTAGCCGGCGGCAATGGCGAGGCTCGGCACCGCCCATTTGAGATCCAGCTCAATCACGGCCCACACCCACAAGCATCCAATCGGCGGCGCCTGCTTGAGGACGGCAATGTAGCTGTACTCGTTGGTGATGTGGACCAGGTAGCAGCCAGTCACCGAGCTCGTGACGAAGAAGAGCAGCTGGCGCAGCGGGTCCTGGAAGCGGGTGGGCAGGCCCGGCAGCAGGCGCGGATCGGACGGGTGCCGGTGCAGGTTGTAAAAGATGAGGGAAAAGACGCCGAGGGCCTGGAGGGCGCGCGTGATGACGACGTGCCACTCGATCTCGACGGCGTACTGGTTCTGGACGAGCACATCGAGGGTGAAGTGCAGCATAGTGAGGCTGACACACCACAGGATGGTGTCGAGGATACGCTCGGCGCGTGGAGAGACGGTGGCCGCATCGTTGTCGTCCTCGTCATCCTCGTCATCCTCGTCGTCGTCGTCTTCGTCGTTGTCGTTGTCTGCCTCGCCGGCCTTCTTCGGCACGCCCCTCTCCTTGTTGAGCTGCCGCTGGCGGGCATCGGCCTGCTGGAAGAGGTTTTGGTCGCCGGCAAAGTCGAGCAGGGTCTTGCCCTGGGGCGCCGAGCGGTCCGGCTGGACGAGCTTGATGCCGGCGGCGTCAATGTCAGCTATCGAAGAGGCCGCTGCAGCGCCCTTGCGTGTCTTTTTGGCCATTGTCGGGGTTGGATAAGCTTGGAGGACGGATGTAGACGTATCGCATTCGACAGGATGATAAAGCTATCTGTCATCGGGAGCTCGGTCGAAGTGTGGTTGCCAGTCTTGGGGAGCATGGGAGAGCATGAGAGAGTGTACAGACACGTGTAGTCATTTGCTGATCATCTTACGGGTGGATGGGATGACCAGGGAATTGCGGACCGCGTTAATGCACGGCCACGCCAAATAAGAATGCGCGCTTGGTTTAGCACCTCCCCCCTGTTACCATGCCCTTTGGTGCTTAACCGGGAATTTTTGGGCTGTTGGGGGCACCAACCAGGTATGAAATCATGCGGTGCTGCAGTGGTCTTAGCGCGAGATCGCAAGCTGTCAATTGGTGTCTTGTGCCTGCTTGTGCCGGGCGCTGTAATTAAAGCCCCCGCTCCACGCGCCCGCCTCAGAAGCCATAGTATCGCAGCTTGGAGCTTGTGACCTGGAAAAGGGGGGATGCGTGTAATTGGATGCTGCGTGTCATTGAAAACAGAAGGTACGGCCGAGCCGCGGGCCCAACAAAATTAGCTGTGCATGGCAAACTGGGGGCCGTTAATTACAACGTACAGACTGCGCATTTTCGTCTGTCTCTCCTTATTTCTCGCCCGTGTACGACCCGAGCCCGCAGTCCAAGCTGTATTCGAATCGACCAGGGGTGTTGGATCCCGTCGTCGCTCCAGGCCAGGTGGCATTATCGTGTCCTGTCCAGTGTCGTGCGCCCCGATCGCGCCTTCCTTCTCACGAGACCACCTGTCCACGAACGCGCCTGCCCTCTTCGTTTCTCCGACGCAATTCCAATTGCCGCATCTATCGCGGGCACGACGCCTACGGACGACTGTCGACTTCTCACCTCCCTCGTGCTCCCCGACAGCCTCCCACGACACCCCCACCGCCATGAGCCTTCTGTCGCTGCTCGGCGCGCTCGTCGTGCTCGTCCCCGTGCTCTACATGTACACTGTCTCCGTCGTCGGCGGGCGGTTTCCGACCCTGCGCAACAAGCGCATCTGCCTCCTGATTGCCCACCCGGACGACGAGGCTATGTTCTTTGCGCCCTCGGTGCTCGCGCTCACGCGGCCCGAGACCGGCAACCACGTCAAAATCCTGTGCTTGAGCAGCGGCAACGCCGAGGGGCTCGGCGAGACGCGCAAGCGCGAGCTCGTCAAGAGCGCCATGACGCTGGGGCTGCGCCACGAGGACGACGTCTTTGTCGTCGACAGCCCCGATTTCCCCGACAGCATGACCACCGAGTGGGACAGCCAGACGATTGCGACGCTGCTGGCGAGCGCGTTTACGCCGCCGGGCCCGGGGGTGGCGGCCAAAACCGCCAAACCCGCCAAACCCGCCAATGCGCCGGACCAGCCGCCCGCCGCCACCATTGACGTCCTCCTGACATTTGACGACCGCGGCGTCTCGGGCCACCCCAACCACATTTCCTTGTACCGCGGCGCGCGCCGGTTCGTCGCCTCCTTGGTGCAGGGCAAACCCGGCTGGCGCCCGCCCGTCGACCTGTACACCTTGACAACGGTGTCGCTGGTCCGCAAGTACACGTGGGTCTTTGACCTGCTGCCGACAGTCGTGTCGTGGGGGCTGCGGCTGGGGTCCAAGGGCACGAGCGCGGCCAAGGTCAAGGAGCACCCGCCGTCGCTGGTGTACTTGGCGGACCTGAACCCGACGGCGACGGGCGGCGGACTGGGCACGGCGTGGCGGGCCATGACGACGGCGCACCAGAGCCAGATGGTGTGGTTCCGGTATGGATGGATTGCGCTCAGCCGCTACATGGTGATGAACGACCTGCAGCTGCAGCACAGCTTTGGCCCGAACGATATGAAGAAGCCATAGGAGACGCAAATGGGACAGCCTTCCTTCACTTGAAAAAAAAATCAAAAAAGAAAAAATACGACGAGGCTGCCATGGCCAATCGCATCGAGACCGTCACAGACGAAGACCAGCATCAAACAACAAAAACCAAAAAATCAACAAAATGGCCCATAAAAAATAATACGAATTTACGACTTTTTCAAATTATTACAACACCGTTTTCACTAACACATAATTGCATAATGTGGTCATCCTTGCAGATACTGCGAGTTGAGATGGGGGAGGGAAGGGGAAAGAAAGAAGAAACGGGCAGAGAATTTTATATATCTGGACCAAGGATCATTGGCATGATCAGGCTGCCCTGTATAGTATTTCCTTGCGTCATTTTTGTATACCAGACTGTATCAATTGGGAAATCCCAGAGGAGACATGTACATACTGAAAGGGACAGTAAGTAATGTATGGAGACAGATCACTTCATACATTCGTTCATTTCAACAGGAAATAAATGAAACACAAATCCAATGCAAACAAATTGAAACAAATCCAAATATATTCAAAGAAATTGATGTAAATTCATATACAAGATAAACTACAAACACAGCCATGTACAGTTACGAGAACTCCCGCACGAGCGAGTCCCGGTCCCTGCCCAGTGATCCTTGCAGATCCACCAGACTGTTGGGGAAGGCCCGCTGGCGCATAACAACGCGCCGCAGGTCGGCGTCACGGACAAACCGCCGGTCGTACCACCGCAGTTGCTCCGGCGTCAGGGCATTGCCCAACTTGTCCACCACGGAGTCGTGGGCGATGGTGTCCAGGTCGACTCGGACCTTGTACGTCTCCATTTCGTTTCCGGGGGCCCCACTGTACGATTCCTGCAGTGCCGATCCATCGTCCGCGGTGGTGGTGTTGGTGGTGGAGGTGTTAGTGTTGGTTGCTGCGCCGCCTGTGGTGAGGGCGGACCCAGAAAAGAACTCGGTGTCAAAGTGATTCACGGGCGGCGGCCGGCCGGCCGGCTCGTCCTCGTCGAGCTGGCTCACGTCTCTGTACTGGAACCGGGCCGAGGGCCGCGAGGCGGGGATCTTGTACGCAATTTTTTCCGACAGCAGCTTCGAGTGGTTGTGCGGCTCGCGCAGCGTCACGGTGCCCGTCGGCGTCGGGTACCACGTGTACCGATGCACAAACGGCCGGAACTCGTCAATGACCTGGGGGATGAGGCGCGCCAGGAGCTCGTCGCCAGGCTTGGCACGGGCGCCGTTCTTCAGGATGCGCAGGCACCACGAGTGGAAGTAGTACCACATGCGCCACTTGCCGGCAATCACGCGCTGCAGGCGGAAGGCCGCCGCACCTCGATCCCGATGCCCCAGCATGCGCGTCTCGGCCACCACCTGCATCGCCTCTTCCTGCTTGCGCAGCTGGGCCTGGTACACCGGCTTGAGTTGGCGCATGAGCTGCAACGCGGGCAGGATCGACGAGTCGTGGGCGAGCATCGTCTTGATCAGAATGTTGTACTGCTCCAAGCCCGGCTTCACGCTGTACGGCTCCGACGTCATGGTCTTCCAGATCCGCTTGATCGCCGCCGGCGAGTTGCGCTGCGAAATGCCAGCAATGCGCGACTCCTGCGTGACCTGCGGCGACGCCAACGCGTAGGCCCAGTTGAGGAGATCGAACCAGACACGGTCTGGGATCTTGATCTTGTATACGCGCGAGATGTGCATCACCAATTGCATGGCCAAGGCGACTCGGTTGTTGCAGCAATACGCCTGCACAACAGCATCCAACAGAACCTCGGACGGGTACAGGGTCGAGGTCGTCGGGATGTTTGTGCGTCCTCTCACCCTGTATCCATTGGTTCCCCGAATCCGCTTCACGGACACGCCGTACTTGGTGGCGAGGAGGTCTTGGATAATGCGCATCGAGGCGCTCCGTCCAAAGCCCACCATGGCCGCTGCCTGGACGCGTTCGTCGTTTCCATGGTGTCGCAGAATCGCTTTGTAGTACACCTTCGTCAGCGGCTTCCTGCTTCGCAGGATGCGCGTCAGGTGTTCGGCATGGTCGGGGGCGTTGACGTTGTGGCCGAAGCGATGCATCATGCCCCTCTCGGCGCGGATGCGCATGCGCTCGAGGTGGTAGAGCCGAGACGCATGCATCACCTTTTTGTGGCGGTGGCGGTTGACGGCCTGCACCCGCATGCGCATGGGGTCGTGCTGGACGTACAGCCGCTCGGTCAGAAACCGCGCACGCAAGAACTCGGCGTACAGCTGACCATGGCGCATGTCCATGAACCCCGACGGAACCATGGCCTTCCAGACGCTCTTCGCCTGGACCATGTCTGAGGCGGCACCGGCGGCACGCAATAGGACGATGAAGTCGTTGAGGAGGAGGTGTCCCTGATCGCCCAAGAGCTGCACCCGCAGTTCACAGATGGACAGCAGGGTGTCGAGAAGGCGCGTGTACAAAACGCGGATGCCAAACACGCTGACGCCGGCGCCGAGCGGGGTCAGCTGCGCCATGCTCGGCGAGACGGCAATGTCGGCCAGCGCGTCAATGTTCTTCGAGACGACATACGGATCGAGCATCCGCAGGGCTTCGGCGAAGACCACGGGCGGAAGACGGGCAATGGCCGCGGCGCGATTTTGCCTCTCTTCCGAGATCTGTGCTTCGTCCACGTACGTCTGGCGACCTTCGGGCCCCGTGGCAACGACGGGGTTTGTCAGCCAGTGGAACAGGGAGTTTGTATCTTTCGCGCGCAGGGTCTGGAGGACGAAGTCGGCGCGCTGGTCGGACGTCGTCAGGCGCATCGCGTGCTCACGCGACTCCGACATCTCTGTTTCTTCAGTCGCGGAAACCGAGGGATGGCCAGCTTGTGGCTGCGGGGTTTGTGGTTTGCGCAGAGCAAGAAGCATGTTTCGCAGAATCATAATCTCTTCTCCGGTAGATCCTGGCGCGTAGGTGCTCGATGCTGCATGGTCCAGTGCAGGCCACGATGCTTCGTTGTTCGCGCCACGGTCCGCAGACGACCGTCCTCCCTTGACATTCTTGTTTCCATGGCGTTCCTCTGCCTGGATCAATGCCGCCCACGCCGCCTCGCTGTCCGAGACACGGTTTGCAGACGACCGTCGTCCCTTGACAGCCTTGTTTCCATGGCGTTCCCCTGCCTCGACCAATGTTGCCCACGCCGCCTCGCTGTCCGAGACATGGTTTGCAAACGACCGTCGGCTTGTTTTGTCGAGACGATTTTTGAGGATGCGTGATGTCGTGCCTCGAGGAGGGCTCGGTAGAAGGCCAATACGCGACCGTAGGACCAATGGGGCCCAGACGGCAGTGTTCATCGCGAAATACCGTCGCCGTTGTTGTCCTGATGTGTTAGTGTCGAGAGGATGCAACTTCAGCCGTGTCCTGTTGGACGAAATGGCTCACACAATTGTCTACAGCAAAAGTAGACACGGGGTGGTTGTCCCCCAAATACGATGCAGTGGTAATAATCGCGCCCCCGTGGACTGTAATTACAGGGCAAGACATCAGCCTGCCCAGCCATGGAATGTGTGAGGTGCTCACGCCTTGGCCCCCGGAGGAGGGCCTCTACGCTCCTGCTTAAGTCTGGGGAAACGGGGACGCCAATTCCTTAGGCGCCGTTTCCCCCATAAGTGGTGTCTTTGGTGCGGGTTTCCCCCTCTTTTGACTGCAGCAGTGGGTACGATCAGCCCCCTGGGTATTCTGTAAGTCCTTTCCACACCAAACGTGCCCTGTTTTGTCGCTAAACGACATGCGAACAGAGGAGTCGTGGCAAATGGGTCCAGTGGGTACAAATGGAATTTGTGCTAGAGAGGCCCGAGAATCGTTGCAAACAGTGAGAGCAATAGCGCCGGACTTGCTGTAAATACGGAGCATTGGAGAGGATGGTGGAGACATTGTATGTGGGTAAGCTGGTGGTCGACTGCTGAAACGGTCATATATTTCTCCGCCGCCGAGCTTTCCCTGAGAAGCTCCGTGTAATATAGCAGCGCGAGACCCCTTGCTGCAAATGCTAGGGATCCACTAAATTGAGGCGCTGAACGATCGCGAAAACCCAATCGGTCGCAAGCTTCAATTTGCACTGACGTATTGCCTCACAGTCCACCGCCACGAATCCGCGACCGCTAATCCAACCCCCTCAGCGGCACCTCTCGAAACACGCTACCGACTCCTCACCTTGTCACCTATACACACACAGATCATGGCCGACGACGCGTCCGACGCAGGCCCGGTCTCGGAGCCGCTCGACCTGGTGAAGTTGCTGCTCGACGAGCTGGTGTTTGTCAAGCTCCGTGGCGACCGTGAGCTCAAGGGGCGGCTACATGTATGTTGATCGGGTGGCAAGAGACAGGAGACGACGAGCGCCCCCATCTGGAGCTCTGCTAACGAACATCGCAGGCCTACGACAGCCATTGCAACCTCGTGCTTGGCGACGTGGAAGAGACGATTTACGTGACGGAGGACGACGACGATGAGGAGGAAACCCCAGACGTTCGGGTGCGTATATGGATGTGTTGTACGAAGAGACTAGGAGGATGATTATGCTAACGTCGTCCGTGCATGGGAACAGACTGTGAGCCGGAAGTCGGAGATGCTCTTTGTGCGCGGTACGTCCTCGGCTTCCTGATCGAAATCGAAATATGCCCACTGGGTGGCCACGGGGCATTTTTCTAACCAAAACTGTTGCAGGCGACTCGGTTGTTCTTATTTCTCCAGTACCGCAGAGCTGAAGAGGTTGACATAGCGTATGGCACCATCTATCAACGAGACGCCCGGAGAACCCAAAGATTCTTTACGCTCTGTACCGGGCAAAAAGCGTTGCCGAGAGAAAAGCAAACGCCTCGACACCGACAACACGATTCGGCCCCAGGAAACCACCCTGAAAGGACCGCAGGTGTTTTAGCGGCTGGCAGAAGACGATAAGATATCCACACTTCATGCCAACCAACACATTATGATTTTAAGCGACGCGAGGCTCTACCGTAAACGGTGGCAGCTCAATAAAATATATCATTTTGTTTTTGTACTCGGACGATGCAAACAGAGCGGAGCGAATGTAAGGGTAGACAAAGGACAAAAATTCAAGACATAAGACCAGAACATGAAACTACCATTGCTGGCTTTTCCTTTCCAACTTGAACATATCCTTCACAGTGCTGTCTCGGTAACGAGCTCCTAATCCTACTCCATTGCCCAGGAAACAAACGAACGTATTGTAATACAATGACAGTAGTGGCAAGTAGAAACACAAAGTAAAAGAAAGAAAACGGTACGTCATAAGGCGCGAAATCAAAACTTATCAGTGGCAAAGTCATACTATGTAAAAAGCAATTCAAATCCATGTAACATGGCGCGGACAATAAACTGCCAACAGCACACCAGGCGAGACCATCATTCGGAAGGCGGCGGCTGAGATGGCCCCGGTGCTCCGTCGGCCGGTGACGGTGGTGCGCTGTCGGACACCGACTTGGAGGACTTGGATGACTTGGAACCAGCATGGCGACGCCGTCTGTGGCGACGCTTCTTGCGGCTACGAATGCGGATGGTGTAGCGGTATCGATACATAAAAGCCACCACGCAGACAACAAAGAGGGTCAAGAGAACGGCGACAACGACACCGATAGTGACGTTGGTCGTCTGTGCGCTCTGTCGCTTGGATAGCACATTGGACGCTGCATTGATTTTGCTGTTGCCGTCAAAGGAAGGGTGCATCTTTGGTGCTGATTGCCCGCTAAGGATTCGTACAGCTGCCCAACTTTGCTCGGCTGCTGCCTTGGCAAAACCAGCTATCGATCTGTCTGTAGCTACATGGCTGTCGGCGGTAGGTGGCAGCGCCGAGTAGGAAACCGGAAGTGACGCCGAGTGTGGCGGAGAAGAATCGACGGAGCGGTGTTGCGATGGAATGTACATCTAAGCACCCACTGACGGAATCGAATTCGGAGAAGAAGCCAAAGAATATAAGCAGTCGGAACCGACTGAAAAGCCGTACTCTTGTGGATGTGACTGGTCGTATCAGCAGCGAGAATGTACGGCTGGTTCAAACATGGAATATCGGTGGAAGATGCTGGTGCTGGATTGTTGACGTTGTTGATTGGGTTGCTGAGGTAAATATCAGATGAGCCTGTCGGATAGATACGGGCACTCGATGAGGAATCCGATGCGAGCCAAACACGCAACTTGGTTGAATATCATGCAGCATAAGCTATAGCCACGACGCATATGAGACGAAGGCAGGGAGTTGGTTGGTGGTGAATAGCGAGTCTGTCAAGACAAGACACATGAAGTGAAGCCCAAACAGCAATCCGAAAGAGGAAGACTGGAGAAGGGGAAAAAAATAGAAGCAGAGGCAACTGAAGGCAAGCCATATGCAGGGCGGCGGAGACGACGAGGTTATAATGCATGGACAAGACGCAGGTGTTTGTCTACCTCCGAGTGTGGGGGTTGACAACGAAAAGCTCACATATCGAATCACGGTACCACGGCTTCCTGCCGCACCATATCAACGAGACGCAGGAGAAGAGGGGAAGGGACGAGAGGAACAAACAATGCGGCCAGCTTAGTGGAGTAGGGGAGCAAACGAAGACAAACGCCTGGCTGAACGTACAGGCAGAGTTCCACCCACGGGCTGGATGTGCAGTGGGCAGAGAAGGCACGGAATGAAAAGGAAGCATGCAGTGCGACAATTGCTGGCGCTTCATCAATGTCTGCGGATACACCGTGCAAACGCCCATCAATGAATTTTTCGTCACAGCTACCAGACGATAAAATGAAAGGGAAAGGATGGACAGCAGAGCAACCACTCGAGATTGGCCAGAGGGGTGCCATCATCCAGATGCAACGCATGCGGTAGCATCAAAATGTACAACTCAGGCCGCCACAAGATAGATCGACTCTGCCGAGGAGACCGGAAGGTCTCATTTGCGTGCGGAAGCGATATATTGAAGGCCTGCTCGGTCTCACATACTGGGTTCATTTGCCTCGTGTTGGGCCCCATTGACTTGACGGCATCTATGCCGTGTTCTGGGGGGGCAATGGACACGGAGAGGGCCTTCCTGTAATAAAGACACTGTCTGTCGAAAGTTAGACGAAGAAGGGGAAACCGACACCAAGAAAGAAACAACGCAAAAGCATTGGTCGATAAAAGCTTTTGAGGAGCTCAAAACGGTACCATAGAGGTAAGGCGAATTGCCAACTCGGAGTGCGACTGTCGAGGGCATGCCGCATTAGCGTTGGGCAGCTGCAGGCTTTTTGCAAACGCATCGACGGCACACTGCATGCTTGGTAATTTGGAAACCGGACGTGATGAATCCTCTGAAAATAATATGAAGGGATACGGGAAACAGTATTTCCCAGGGAGTACGTCAAGTAAGCCTAGTTGGTGTGAATTTCGGAGGGCAGTCGTGACAAGACTTGACAAAGTTGAAGGAGCGCACATTTATACTGAGGTGTGAAGATGACTGTTGTTGGTGATGAACGAAAAAAACGTAGAAGAGAAGATAAAAGGAGCCAGAAAGATACGACCTGAAGTGGAAATTCGGCATAGATGGGGAACACAACTGGACTTAGGAAAGAGCGAGCAACACAACTGCGGTACGTTTGCAATGTTATTCTGTTCCGTTGTTGGCCTAAACGGGCAGGAACCAGTCAACGTGACGATATTTTTGGCAATAGCGATCCAGCATCACGCAAATGGAAACGGTAAGAGCAACCGACACCAAAAGACTTTCTCCAACAAAAATTGTCGTACTCCGGACATCTTTTGAGGAAAAGCGTGTACGTCCCTTTCTTCTCAAAGAGCAGCACTGCCCCCGATTCCTCGAAGAAGAGCTTGCATTGTGTCCGCCTCATGCAGGGAACTCAAAGAGCCCAGGCTGATCGGGCCCCAACGGCGACAATGCAACCTCACGCTGCACGGCGAGAGCCACTCGACGGGCGCCGCCTCGTTCTGCACAAAGACCACAAAGGGCAGTTCTTCTCTGGTATGGAGTGGGGGCCAGATATCATCCCCAGACTTTTTTTGTCTTGCTTCATTTCCCCACAGCCGGCGAGGACGACATCCATGCGATTTGCGTCGCACGCATTTGCGTCGGATTCCTATCCGAATGTGCCTCGAGTCCTTGTGCAAGTGCGTGCAGGCAGGCCAATGGCTTGCCTGCAATGGACAGATGGTCGCGTTCGGATTTCTGCGCGGCGAGTGTAACCTGTGGGATTCGAAAACGAGGCGCAAGAATCCGCAGTTCTTCAGGAGCCAATGGCAGTGCCAGCGCATGACGACTTGGACTTGATCATTCATCACGTTTATTTCTGTGTAAAGAAGGTATCACGAACAAGGTATCGTATTACATAAAGCAGGATTATATGTACAAAGGAACAAACGAAGGAAAAATGAACGCTCTATGTCCATTTGTTAATGCACTTAGTTGTACACAATGCAGTAGACGACCGCAACGGCGGCCAGAGCCGATTGCAGCTGGGCGGCGCCGGTGGCCAACGCGCCGCTCGTGGAGGTGGACGTCGGCTTGGCCGTCCTGCTGCTTTGGCTGGCTTCGCTGGCTTGCGCTTGGCCCGTCGCCAAGCTCGAGGCCATGCTGCCCAGCGCGGAGCGCGTTGCCGCGTCCACGGTGGCGGCACAGGGTGTGCCGTAGGAGGAGGCGGTTTCGACGTCCAGCAGGGTCGAGCACGTCGTGTATGCGGTGCTGGTCGTGTCGGCTGCGAACAAGATGTGGGTGTAGACGGTGCTACTCGCATAGTCGGAGAGAATGGCGCCGAACACGGGGCAGTCGGGTGCCTGGACCACGTCGGCCGGGATGGATGAGTTGTCGGGTTGGGAGGCACGCTGGATGTCAGACTCAACGCGGAACAAGATGCTTGTCATGGCAGTCCCCCCACGGGCCGGATGGTCGCAGAGATAGGTAAAGTTCCAGAGGGCGTTGACGGTCAGCAGCACATGGCTGGTGTAGTTGAGCTTGCTGATCCAGCTGGTCATGTTGGTGTGGCCGAGCTGAATGGTGCCCTCGGAGGTGTTGGCGGGAACAAACAGTCCGCTGTCGAGGTCATTGTAGACACCGAGCTTGTGGTCGGGGTCGTAGACGTCCAGGTTCCAGATGAAGGAGAGCTCGCCGACATTGCGCACTTCCGGCAGGCGCTGGACATTGATGGCGACGGGGAGAATCTCGGTCTCCTGGTAGGTTTCGTTGAGCGGGAAGATGACGTCCACCTCGAGCACGGGCAGGAACGGGCCCGTCGTGTCGTTGCTGCTGGGCGGCGCAGCGGTCGTAGTCGGAGATGACGCTGACGACTGGGCGAATGCGAAGCCCGAGAACGCGAGACTGGCAAAACCGGCAAGGCGCATGATGGACGCGACGGCGCGCCGCGACGATCGGAACACCATGATCGCGGTGGATTTTGGGCTGTGCTGAGGACGAGTTGGAGAAACAAATGAGCGGAGGTCGTGACGAAAAGAGAAGAAACAAAGAAACAGAAAGGAATAACAATTTGATGGCGACGGGAAGAGAACTAATACTAACTTCAACGGCTGTGCCCCACAAGCCTCTTCGTCACTTCGACTCTGCGGCATGTTTGTGCCGTCTTGCAGGATCGTCGGTCACCGGCTTGGCGTTTGCTGCGCCCAATCCTCATGGAGCCTTGGCCCACGAATACAGCACTGAGCAATGAAACAGGAGGCCAGGGGTTTTTGGGTAATGAAGAACAACGAGATGCTCCTGGCGTTTAGCAGGCTAACGAGATCGCGTTCTACGATTTAAGACAACAGTAATTCTCGTAGAGAAGATTAAATGAACCCCGACAAGCGCATTGGGCCATTGAGGCACTGTCCAACATACTGATCAACTTGCATGTTGCGACGATCGTGTCGAGGAGCTTACTTTTTGGAGCCTTGCATAGGAGTAATTTCCCAGTAGGATTCGCGGATACAGGGCAACGGAACATCGGCCCTCTTGGAGCGACCAGTCAGAGGAGGTTTGGTGTTGTCGAAGCTGTTACCAAGATGCTTTCTGAACGAATGATGCAACTGACGGAGCAAATGCAATTGATTTCTTAGATAAGTTGGATAAAAAAAAAGAAAGTAAACAAATCTCCTTGCCTGCAAACCTCTTTTGTTAGTGTCCTCAAAAACTTTCCAAATAAGGCAAGATTGCGACGACCGTGCTTTTCCCTTTGAGGAAGTAGCGATGCTGCCACTCTTTGCACCAGGAAAGAGCGACCGTTGTCCAACGGAAGTTGCCAATGCTCTTTTGGGTTCATGGGGCCAAAGCAGGACCGTATGCTCTTGTCCCTCTTCAGGGACCTTTTTGTCAACTATCGCCAGTTTGTTTTTGATATGTCTGCCTTCCAGCCAGCACCTCTGGCCAATGCACAATCCCGGGTGGACTGAATGGATTGCTCGCGACCATTTGGGAGGACTCCGACGAGCCCCCGCCGTGAGGCGGAGCCGAATGCAGCCTTGCAGGCATGGCAATCGGTTGAACAGAATAGTCGATTGAAATCTCATTCAGTTCGATTGTGTTTTTTTATGGCTTTCTTTTATTTTGCTTTATCTCCCTGTCTTCCTCAATTTCCACTAACGAAGAACCTGGAGTGTATAGAAACACGAGACACAATAACCACCAGACTTACGACCAACCCTTTCCAGCGATGAAGCTTCTCGATTGCCTCACGAAGCAGGTCGTTGACTTTGTGCAGAATGTACCGCGCTATGCAATCCTCTCCCATACGTGGGAGGCCGGAGAACTGACCTTTGCGGTCGTCAGCCATGCCAAAGAAACGCTGCGCAAGGGCAAGTCCTGTGCCGTAACCAGGCGCCAGGGCTGGCTCAAGGTCAATTGGGCATGCGAGCAGGCCTTGAAGGACAACATCTACTATCTCTGGGTCGACACGGTCTGCATCGACAAAACCTCGTCCGCAGAGCTGTCTGAGGCCATCAATTCCATGTATGCCTACTATCGCAAGGCCGCCGTTTGCTATGTGTACCTCTACGACGTCTGCAGAGGCGTCAGCCTCTTGTCGACGCCGGGGCACGGCGCCTGCAGCTCGGACCGCGTCGTGCCGTTCGACAAGAGCCGCTGGTTTTTGCGCGGCTGGACGCTGCAAGAGCTGATTGCTCCACAAAACATGGTCTTTTTCGATCACCATTGGAACGAGATCACCACCAAGACGAACGCGCTCGCCTTGCTCGCCCACGTCACGGGCATCGACGAGTTTGTGCTCGGCGGCGGCAACCTGCGACTCGTCAGCATTGCCCGCATCATGTCGTGGGCCGCACGGCGCACAACCACCCGACAAGAAGACATGGCTTACTCGCTGTTGGGTCTCTTCGGCATCTCCATGCCGATGCTGTACGGAGAGGGCAGCGAAGCGTTCCTCCGGCTGCAGAAGCTGCTGATCGAGACATACAACGACCAGACGGTGTTTGCCTGGGAGTTCCCACCGGACAACAAACTGGAATGGGACGGCGTGCTGGCACCGTCCCCGCACGTGTTCCTTCACTCAGCAAACATGTCCCCGACGGAGTACCGCTTCGCGTCGGCCAAGATGTCGTGGCACGTCAAGCCCACGGAGGTGACGAGCCGGGGCGTCTTTTTCAACTCCTGTGTCCACTCTACGAAAACAAAGTATGAACTTCCGAGTCTTCAGGCCACCATCATGCTTGGCTGCGTGGATATGGCACTCAAGGGGTCGATGCAGCCGGCGAGCTTAGTCACCATTGACGTCGAGTTTACCGACAACAGCCGCCAGCGTTGCATTCGCAGACGCAACACGCCGCTGCGCATGCGGTGTGGCCGTACTCTGTCCGAAGTGCACGATGTGTACGCCAAAGCATCGGGCTCCTACGCCACGCTGAACCGCACTGCGGACCAGTTCTGCGTGGTGCAAATCTGCACGCTGCCCAAGTGGCCGCCGGGGCATTCGTACACACGTGTCTTTCCGACGACAGCTGCGCACGATGAGCCGCCCGGTCTGCATGTGGTGGTTCCCGACTGTTCATTTATTGTCTACCGAGAAGACTCGCGTCGGCGTGCTGTCAGCGACAACGACATCGAACACAGAACGCACCATATTGTCATCTACCTCGCCCACATATCCCACCTGGGTACCGAGTTCGATGAACTGCTTGCCTCGTCAGGCACAACCCCCAACGGCTTGGTCTTGGCCGTGCGCTCGTATGAAGGATACACAGCTGTCGAAAATAGCATCACGGCGAAGGGAACGGATTTAAAGGTGGAGGAACTGTCGTCTCGAGCGATCGAGTTCCAGCAGTCGGGTGTCCGTCTCAACGCACACCTCAGCGTATCCGACACGGACGGGTCGTACTGCCTCGACCTCTTTGCGAACACCTCGACGGCTGGCGCTAAGGTCACGTACTCACGGCTGGAAGACTGGCGCGGCCTGCCGGAGTCGTGACGCGTCGCGCACAGGAAGGCTCTCCAGTGTGTGCGTGGCGAGGTGGAGGTGATCGCCGAGGCTGGACAGCATGCGCAGCAGCTCACTGCGGGCCTCGTCACGTCCGGCTACGCCCTGCAAGACGCGGCTTGTGGGCACCATTGGCACCGGCGGCAGCGACCGTGGTGCGGCATCGCCACGATCAAAGGTTTTTTCATCCAACGTGCTGAGGGTTGCAGGTGTGTCAAACTCAAACGGTGCCTCATCGTCAACGTACTCGCCGTCTGACCCGTTCCCCGTCGCATCATAGAGGTCGATCAGACTGTCGGTCGATACGCGGTTGATTTGGTTGCCTTCGTTGGTGGTGGTGTGCCTCTCCACCCTGCTTTTCATGCCAGCCATCTGGACCGGGCCCTTGATCGGCGATGTGGACGCCACCGGAAATGTCCAGTCTTGTGTCCGGTGGCGCATCGCATTCAGCGAGGTACGATTGGTGCCGGCTCCTCTACCACTCGGGCGAATCGTGTCTTGGTCAGACATATCCACGGCGGTAGTATCCGTCCTCGATGTGTCTTCTGCCACAATGGAGAGGTCGAGGTCAATCAAGGATTCGCGGTCTGGCTCTCGTCCTGGCTCGTTCGAGTAGCTGCGCAGTGGCAGGTCGGACACGCGGCCCGTCGAAGGCGGCAAACGCTTGGAGTCGAGGACCAGAGCCGGCGGCGGGCGTCGTCCGTAGGTGGCACGGGCTTTGTCGCGGTAGCTCGTGAGCGTGTTTGGGTCAAAGACGCCTTGGAGTGGGACCTGTGGAAGCGCTCGGCCCAGCTGCGGCGGCCATCGACGAAGACGCGACTGTGGCGGAAGCTCTGGCGGTGGCATCTGGGGCAGCGGGGGCAGAGGCTTTGGTGTGGGCGGCAGCGATGGACTCTTGTCGAGAGAGATGCCATAGGCTTCATACACGGCGAGCGTATTGGCTTCATAGTCGAGCGAAAATGCGTCGCCGTCGTCATCGTCGTCGTCATCTTCGTCTTCGTCGTCGCCAAAGTCCCAGGCCGGGAGACTTGAGGTTGGACTGGAGTCAGCCACCCCTTTCGCACCACCCGCTGAGAACAACGACACGCGACCACCACCACGGGCCTGCCAGAGCCGATAGGCTGACAGCAGCGCCGACAGAGACGTCGTTGGATGCGAAACGGCTGTACCTGCAATGTACCGCATTTGCTGCACCTGCCCAATCGGGGGCCGTTGCGTCGGGTCGTGCACCATACAAGCGGCAACAAGCTCCTTGAGGCCGTCCGAGTACTGGTTGCCGACAAGACGCGGACAGTTCTGCTCAAGATACGACCCAAACGTCGAGAGGTCAAAGTTCCCGCCACCGGCGCCGGCGAGAGTCCGCGTGGCATTGGGCGGCAGACCGGTGGCGACCTCGTACGCCATGGAGCCAAACGCCCAGATGTCGACCTCGGTCCCGTACTGGACATCGGCACGGAACAGCTCTGGCGCCATCCAGTGCAGCGTGCCCGTGACGGTGCGCCGCTTGTCGACGGCGGTCTCGACGAACCCGGCCACGCCAAAATCGCACAGCTGGACCCGGGACGGTGTGTCTGCTTCGCCCCGCGTCTCTGATCCCGAAAGGTCGGCCACCAACACGTTGGCGCACTTGATGTCGCGGTGGATAATGCCCTGGCTGTGCACCCAGTACAGCGCCTCGGCGACCTCGCGCAGGATGGGCACAATCCACTTTTCCGGCAAATGGCCCGTCGGCCGCATCAGCGTGGCCACGCTGCCGCCGCCGCAGTACTCGGTGACCATCCACACGGTGGGGCCGACGAGCAGCGAGTCCAGCACGGTGTTGATGTTGCGTGCACCGCTGGTACCCAGCAGCTGCAGCGTGCGGATCTCCTTCAGGACGTCGCCAAAGGTGTCGACCACGGCCGTGGGGGCCGCCCGGAGCGTCTGGGCCGTCTGTCCCGGCGCATTGATGTTGATGTCACTCGCACCGCCCGAGTCGTCGGCCGCCGCAGCGTCGCCCTCTTCGATGCTGATGATCTTGACGGCCACCACGCCGTCGGTCTTGGCGGACGTCGCCTGGAAGACGCGCCCGAACGTGCCCTTGCCGATGAGCTCGGTCAGGACATAGGGAGGCGGGTCCCGGCCGGCAGCCGTGCAGTCGCGCACAACGGCGGCCTGGGTGCGACGGGCCTCGTCGATGGCCTTGTCCCGGGTCTGTGATGGCAGTGCTGGCACGGCCAAGCTGCGTCGGCGGTCCATGGACGCCTTGTGAGCAACGAGAACGTGTAGTAGGCAATGTCTTAGTTGAGAAATGTGTACGGCATTTGCGTGGCACAGTTTGCCACTCGATTCGGCCGTGTCAATTGTCGTGATATTAGCAATTTTAATGGAAATTTTTATATGCTCTCCTTCTCATATGACCTTTTTGTTCATTTCTGCGACTTTTCCTGAGTTGTCACTATGATCAGTATCCCCGTTTTGGCCGATTTTCCCGCGTGTTTTGAATGTCTGTTTCGGGTAGATACATTTCGGGTCTTTATTTTCTGGTAGTTGACGATTGTCTGGGCTGTTTCGTGTCATGCTACAGCCGGGATGCTGGGAGGAGGCGACATTGGTCATGGATAAATGATCGTGCCGGTAGAATTCATCATGTTACTTCAACCAGTAACCGTCACGGTGAATGAATGTTTGTATGGTTTAAAATTACATAGAAAAGAAAAGAAAATAACGTAAAAAATAGAAAAAGAAAAAGAAAAAGGGAAAGGAAAATGAAGATGCAAATCAAATCCAAAACTAACATGGATCCAGGTGAAGCAACATTGTGGAAACCCAACATTGCCTCTCTTGCACTTCTCTTCCTACCCTGGCTACCTGTCACTCCATGCTATGGCCAGGCAGCTCATTGAGCCCTCGGACAAGTTAGTAGCATGGCCTCGTAGACTTGGATCGGCAAACAACCATCGCCGCGTGTTGTCCCAACTGACAGCCGTTGGTGTACTCTGCCGCCGTGTCCTTGATGGCACACGTGTTGGCCTCCGCCGCCGTCTGAGTCGTGACGCCATCCGTGGTAGCTTGCGTACATGAACTGTAAATGAAGGGTTGGAGAGATAAATAAATGGTGCTTGATAGTCGACGGGAGGACAGAAGAAAGAACAAGAAACAACACACAGGCGGAGGAAAAGAGAACAAAGTGATGGAAAAGTGTCCGGAAAGTGTCGTCTCAATTAATGCCAAGTCTTGGCCAACACAGCAGCGGAGGTGTGCATGCTAATATCGTCGTTCGTGGGCATCTCAGTTACCTCTCGGCAAATATGTGACTTTATGCTATCGTTGCAAGTCTGTCTGTCTTTGGATTGTTTTCAGCTTAGCCTTGACTTGTCAGTTATGTTTTGGCGATTTTATCGATTTTATCAATCTGATCTGTTCATTGATCAGTGACACAAAAAAGGAAGGGCAGCTCACTTTGAAGACGTATCGTAGAAACGAAAAGGAGACTGTAATATTCAAGTTCACCGTGGCTCACAATAGAAGGCATCAGGCTCGTTTGTATTCTGTATGAGAGAAATAACAATAATAAATCAAAAAATATGGTTTTAGTTTATGTATTTTGTCTCCAATTTATCAACAACAAAAAAAAAGATCCGCAAAGACTATTTTCCGGAAAAGGAGAGAGTAAGCAAATCATGAGAGCATTGTTGACATAATACCGAGGAGAGAGCAATGACAATATGAATAGAAAAGAAGAGGGAGACTAAAACATGTCGCTCTCGTGATCACAATGGCTTTCGTGCCTGCAAACCACCCATGGGACCCACTTGTAGCTCTCCTACTGTCTGCCCGACTCCTGGAAAAAGTATATAAACGCCCTCGCCCTCCTCTTCCTTCGACCTCTCTCTCCTCTCTTTATTTTCTTTTCCTCTCTGTAGCCATCTACTTCTTATATCTAGGTCCCCTTATCCTACTCCCGCATTTGGCACTTTGTCTTCATCATCATCATGAACTATCGACAACTCTACCTACGCGCAGAAATGCTTGTGGCGTGCAGTCTATCTTTGGGTTGACCAATCCCAGTTGGCTACGGAATGAATACCTCTGCGTCATGAAACAAATGGTGCTCGTACGGCAGACTGCATCTCGACGAGAGAGATGTGTCATGAGACTGGGGACCCATCAGTCCTTGGTATGTTGCAAGACAGATGCCAATGCCGTTGTCTCCTACATAATCTGCAACAATTCACCGCATACTAACGTCGATAGACCAACAAATCTATTGCCACCATCGAGAATGAAAGCTGAGGGTTGCCACGAGATGTCAGCGTTGTGAGAAGAACTACTATTCTTGCGAAAAGACGCCGAGGTTGATGGCAGCAAACGTGCGCGCTGCGCCGCGGCCCAAGTATATCCTCTCATGCCCATTTATACGTGCCTTTTTACGTCTCCTACGTCCTTGCTGACCGTCAGTTGTAGGCACAAAAAGTCATCTTTTTGATCTTGCATCGAAGAAGAAGAAACGCCGTCAAGAGAAAACTTTGGGTTGCATTTGAGCATCTGGACGTTTGCATGAAGAAGAAACGCCGTCAAGAGAAAACTTCGGGTTGCACTTGAGCATCTGAACGGTGGCTTCAATGTCAACATGACGCCACCCCATGTGGCAGTTCAGCTTGATGTCCTTGAAGACTGGCGTGGCTGACGAACAGTACGTATTTCGCTGTATCACGTCGGCAGATCTCCAAGACAGTTTCATCCATCGAAACGCTGCTGACCGAATCCTCCTTCTCACCAAGTCGGGGAAAACAGATATGACCGACAAGGCCACGTCAAGAGAAATGAGGATCTTGACATGGTCGGGAAACAGAAACGTTGTCGAAGTCCACTGCAGCGAACAGAACAGGCCATGGAAAGGACAGCCAACGCAAAATACCACGCCGGCCAATACCAATCCATCGCTCGGGCGGATGACCGTGGATGGTGGAGTCCAGAAATGTCTGGGATGCGATAAAGTGAGAAAAGCCTGATTGCTTATCAAAACGGTCGGGGTCTAATTGAACCCCCCCGGACGACTGAGCTCCGACAGTATTGGCATTTCTGCCGAGCGACAAAACGCCGACGGCGGACGGTAGCTTCATGGAGCTGCTCGAACTCCAATGATGACTACAGAGAGAAACCACCGCGTGAACAAACGCCATGCTGTCATTAAGGAGATCACCACCGATGAAGTGAGTCTTGGCGAGCGTGCGGTAGTATGAGATTCATTGTGCCGTAGGGATTCGTGCAGAATGCCTGGTACAGTGGAAGTCTGGTACCACGTCACCAGAACGTGACAAAAAGGGGAGTGCAGCTTCGGTGGCTTCGCCCAGTAGGGAAGCGACTAGAGTACATGTGCTCGTCAACGACGAAGGGAAGACGCCGTGATCTGGTTAGGGGACGTGCGCCCGAGTACAGTCGAGTTCTGGTGATATCGACGGTGGCAGATTTGCCAAAATGAGAAAACGCTGCCAAGTCTCTGCCAATTTTACCCTGGCAACATCCACAGTCCACTGCATCGACAGCTTGAGCCAAACTCTACACCATTTTATCAACGAGCGGACTTTGGGTGTCACCATGCTGATGTCGTCCGCCGTACACGACGTGGACGGAGGTGGTGGGGACTCTTGTCTATTTGTTTCTTTTTATTGACTGAAATAATGATTTCGCGAATCTTATGACAGGTCACCGTCAACGGGAGGCTGTGATAACCAAGTGTGGCAGGCAGAAAATTTATGCCACAGGACGCGGCGATTTTCAAACTGACAAGAGATGCCCGTTGGTGGGACATGGACTGGAGCGACCACTTTGCGCCACGTCAAAGTGTGTGGGCTGTATAAGCATTTTTTGCAAAATCACCAAACGACAACGCGGGATTCGTCAGTCTGTCGTCATGAGACGTGTTCACGCCAGAGACATGGAGGCCGACTTCCCGAGCGTTATATGTGAAGGAGAAGGACGCTTGTTCACTCCACGAACATTTTGACGTGATGACAGAATCCAGCAAAGTGGCACACATGTGCACATCTTTCCTGGCTTTGTCGACGGAAAGAATGAAGGATGGAATACACTTGTGGTTATGGAATCTCTCGCTGTGCATAGAATCTGGACTCGTCGCCAATCACATACGCTGTTGGCGACTTTGGTTGATGTCTTGGCTCATCTAACCAGAAGAGAATGGCAAAGACAACTGCCCGACACCTGAGTGAGGTCTCACAGACCCGTACAGCCTGATCAGAATCAGCTTGAAGGTGATAAGACGATCCAATTCTGTTGTTGGTCTTTCGACATGGCAGGTCAACCAGTTTGTTGAAGAAAAAGCTTGGAATCGAATGTCACCGAGCGTGAAAATGTCGAGTCCACAGCCGAGCGGATGCCGTGGGTGTCTCGTTGACTCGTGGACGAAGAATGAGACAACGCAAACCCCAGACCTGCAAGGACTGTCCAAGGAACGTCTGTGGTGTTGGCGTCTGAATTGATGTCCTACGTGCAAGAGGAGAAATCTGTTGATGCAGTTGTGACCGATGCCGCCACCCGCTGCGAAGTATGAGCGACATGTTGGAGGCAAACGTTGGCGATGTGACAAGGCCCGCGAGCTGGCGCTACTCTATAGCAAGATCTTGGCTTCATCGGACAGCCTTCGATGGGCGACCGGCGTGTCGTCGGCTGCTGCGCCCAAGCCCAAGGACGGTGGTATCCAAAAGGCCGTGGAGCCCTGCGATCTCAGGCTTCGTGACTAACAATAGACTGATCCGACTCCAGTGCCTCCTGGCCTTGTCGGCGAGCCATTTGCAGTTATTCGCAGACGAACACAATATCAAGGTCCGCTCTCTTTTAAAGCAGACTCGGTTGATTGGCAAGTCTACGCCAAGGCAAGAGTGGACAGATGTTGGCTGCTCGGTTGCGTGCCTGGTACGTTTCGTCGTCTTCCCGTCTCCAATCAGCATCCGGTCAGTTTCTGACGTTTTGTAGTATGATAATGCTGCCAGCTGTGAGAAAACTCTCGCCGCATCGCGAGGGAGTTTGTTGAGGGAACGTCCCGTCAATATCGACAAGCGCACAAGTCAATGCCAGTGCGTTGAACACTGGTCGTCCGGACATGGACTATTTCAAAACCACGTTGGCTTTATTGTGCATGTTTGAAATGGAAGTTACCCTTCTCCTTCATCAAAGTCGGACGACAAAAGAGGGAAATGGGCAGTCATGGTCCTTGTCTTGTCTTTGGTTGGAGAGACTTGATGGTATGTCGACGTTTTCGACAAGCTATGCTTGGGCAGTGTTGATGGTAGCTGGTTGATGTTCCGGTGCTTGAAAGCTTTCACACTTTGTTCCATGTCTGTCACGAGGATGATGATTGCAAGTCGCCCACAAAGGAACCGTTGTTGGCATCCCAAGGTCGGACCCACGGCTGATGGCTGGTGATGTATGGTGTATGTTGGATGGATGACTGTACAGTTCTCGTACGACGTGAGCAACCGCCGTATTACAAGAGACACGGTTAGGACCTTTTCGTGCATCCGTACCACGTACGACGTTTCCTATTTACGTACTGTTTTGCCTGGAATTTTTTCTTATATTCTTTTTCTTCCTCCACGGCTAGATGCTACATTGTATGACGCAGTAAATCGAATAAATCAATATGAATTAAAAATACAGTCTGCTCTACATTCTACTTGTCTATATTTTTCCATAAAAGACTTTGCCTCCTCTACATACCACGAGCGTCTACAGTCTCGCCTTCCCAGCGTGAAGACTCTCCCAGTCGTCTCGTGTAAACGGCACATACGTGGTGCCCTTGCCGTGGCCGTCGATCCACATAATGACATCGCCCGCCGCTACCTTGTCCGGATCCACGCCCTCGTTCTTGAGTGGCATCTTGTTCTGCTTGTTGTTGTGTGTCGTCGAGGCTGCCTGGACGTGCCGCACAAACACGGGCACGGCGTACTTTGGGAGGTGCTTGCGGGCGTGCCTATATCAATGTCAGTGATGCCAACACCCGGCATGGGGGACTGGGGACGGGAGACTTACGCCAAAAACTGCTGATGATTAAAGTCGGCTCGCTTGGCTGAGTCCAGGTGCAGTGCCACAGCACCCGCCTTGCCGTCGTGCCCCGGCAGCCCGATGCCATAGACGTTGGCCTCGAGCACGCCGGGGAACTTGCCGAGCACCTCGCCGACCTCGGTGGTCGACACGTTCTCGCCCTTCCACCGGAAGGTGTCGCCCAGCCGGTCCATGAAGAACCAGCGCCCGTCGTCGTCGCGCCGCAGCGCATCGCCCGTGCGGTAGAAGCAGTCGCCCTTCCGGAACACATTGCGCTCCAGCTTCTTCTCGGTGGCCGCCTCGTTTCCCACGTAGCCGCCAAAGACGCGCTCGCCGGGGATGCGGATGAGCACCTCGCCGCCCTGCGCATAGGGCACCCGGTAGGCAAAGCCCGTGTCCGGATTACGCGCAATGTCGCCCGTCTCCGGATCAATGGCCACGGGAATGTACTCGTCGTTGTACCGCCAGCGCAGCAGCAGGCCGTGGTGGCCGACCGAGTGCTTGTGGAAGTCGCCACGGCAGACGTTGTCGAGCGGGAAGACGCCCTCGGTGCTGTTGAAAAACTCGTGGATGCGCTCGATGCCGAACCGGTCGCGGAACTTATCCCAGACGTCCGGCCGCAGACCGTTGCCAAAGATGGTGTGCACATTGTGGTTCTTGTCGTCGGGCGACGGCGGTGCCGCCAGCAGATAGCGGAGCGTCTCGCCGACGTACACGAACCAGGTGGCCCGCGAGTCGCGAATGTCCCGCCAGAAGCCGGACACGCTGAACTTGGGCGCAATGCACAGCGTCGTGCCGCACAGCACCTGCGCCATGGCATTGATGCCGCCCGTGCCGTGGTAGTAGGGCATGCACACGTAGTAGCGCTCGTTGGGGCGGTCAACCGGGTTGAGTCCTGTCAAGTTGCCAGCGCCGTGGCCAAACATGGGCGCAATCGGGAGGTAGCACGCCTTGGGCAAGCCGGTCGTGCCGCTCGTATAGAACATGGACGACGGCGAGTGGGGCAGCACGCCAGCCCGCAGCTCGTCGCCCGGTCGCCGCGCATCCAAGGCATACACGTCGGGGCGTGCGTCGGCCAAATCCACCACGCGGTATCCCTGTGCGTCCAGGTCGGTCTGGACAGCAGCGATGCGTGCGTGGGCGTCGGGCGGCCCGTCGACAAGAATCAGCTTGGCGGCACTGATGCCCAGGCAGTGCAGCAGCGCCTTGCTCGTCAGGTGGAAGTTGATCATGGCCGGCGCAGCGCCAATGGCCAGCAGACCGAGCCATGCCGTGATAAAGTCGGGCGAGTTGATCATGAAGAAGGCCACGAGGTCGCCGGGCTGCACGCCCTGCTTGAGGAACCACTGGGCGTACTGGTTGGCGCGGTCGTACATCTCCTTGCGCGTGTAGCAGCCGTCGCGCGACCATATGGCCTCATGGTCGGGATTCTGGCGCGTGTTTTCTTCGATAAAGTAGTACGGCGAGAGCCGCTTCTCCTTGATGGCGCGGGCCATCATCTTGCCCAGGATGCGGCGGCCGCGGATGTACTGGATGTCTTTGCGGAGGTGGAAACGGGCCTCGAGGTAGGCTAGGCCGGCGGTGGTGGCCGCAGCTGCAGCCGCCGCCGTCGTTACTGGAAATCAAACAAAGCAAATGTTAGTGAGACAGCCGCGGAGAAGCTTGGTACAAAGTGAAAAGAAGAGTCGTCTTGGCCGGTAAGACGCGAGGAACGTACCGAGTTCCATCTTTGCTGACCCGCGATGACTCCGTATCGGTGAGGTGCCGTTAACAGTTCAACAGTATTAGTCAATCGTTTGCAGGGACGTTGGTGAGGTGAAGCTAGAGCTGTACGTCGAGATCGACGTTGGCGATAAAACAAAAACAAAAGAACAATTAGCAAAACACAAAAACGCAACGTCCAACGGCCAAAGAAGTGATGGAAGCGAATCCTTTTTTGGTCCCTCCCAAACACACAGACGGCAGAGGCTCCTCGGCCGTGTATCGGGGTCCGCGGCTGTATTAAAACCAAAATGGGTGACCCAGTCGCCAGAAGAGATTCCCCTCATTGCAACGGCACCTCTGTCGCTGTGACACGACCAGGGTCCATCATTTTGGAAGCGTTGCTTCTGCTGCCTTGCCCGCTGGCAAATTTGCCGAGAACGACATTGGAGCTATTCTGCGTCCTTCCATGTCACTTTGTCCCTTGCGAGCATTCCCCGAGCATGTTCCCCAATATAGCCTCGTCGTCTGCCTCCTCTTCTGCGTCCTCTTTCTTGTCTATTGTTGGCGGAGACAACTCATTGGCGGCTGCATTCGGCGGGACTCTCCACTTTGCCAACGTTCGACTAACACATTTCCCCAGACACAGTGGCAGGTCTCCTCACCACGTCGGAGACAAGCTCTCTCCGCAAGGGGGGCTGAGCTAGGGAAACAATGACGGGTTCCGTAGGCAGTGGATTGATACAGCTAATGCGGAGTATTGTGACGAGCCCGAAAGGCAAAAAGGGGCGTAGGAACGCGCGGGAAACGGCCATTGTCCACTGCCAGGCCCTTTTTGGCTGGTCGGCAATTGGAACCGCCATTTCGGCAAATGGGAGGCGGCCATATGAGGTTGCAGAATGGTTAAAGCTGGGCCAAAAAAGCTGCTTGAAGAGTGAAAATGGCTGTGTTTCTATCAAAAACACCACCACACTTCGATGGACCGAGGCATCGAGTGTTTACTCCCAAAACAGTGGTTTTGCTGAATCGTACCTTCCCTCGACAGCTGTCAATATGCTGCTGTTGTCAGAACAGTAATTCGTATTAACAGGGGCATTTGTGTATTGTTGAGCACCGGCCAATAAGGGGCGTCGGCTTGTTCTAGCCGATGTCCTATTTTGTGGAGTCCGCTCTAGCCACAGTTGCACGGCCGCATTATGCCTGGATTATGTCATCTGTATGACATAATTTATTAGAGCACATTTAGCGGAAGGGTTGGCGAGCCCTAACTTTTCAAAGTGGGTCCCAACCCTGGCCAATTTTTTCCCAAATTTTCCTGAGCGGGCCCCTCTTCCCATAGGCCCAGTGGACTTTTCAGACTTTGGAACGTCTTCTTCTCACGATCCGGCTTTCTCTTTTTCGACAACCACTTCCCACGCCCAACGATCTCGACGACTCTATACCCCATTCCTCCCCAAAAACCCCAATACAACCTCTATCAAGATGGGTGGTGTTTCTGTTCGGGATGTCGATGTAGGTGTTTTCCCAGGATGAAGCAAGAAATGATGAAGCAGGAAGAATCCCAAAAACGAAGTCTCCTTCACGTCCGCGACCTCGACAATCGCAACCCAAACGCACAAAAATGGATCGACTGTTGTTACGCAACTCCCTGGGCGGATGGCGGGAGGAGCCTCTCTCTTCCTCCCTGAAATACGGGAAGGCGTGAAGCGCCGTCGTCACTTGTCCATGAGACGGAGACATCGGAGCTCCTTTTTCTCTCGTTCGCCTTGTCCTGAAAAGGAAGACGGGAGAGTCGACCAGGGCCTGCGGATCAGCACGACATACAGTTCGATACCATGAAAGAGACGGGCAACATACTCTGCTGGGCGACGTGGCGACCGTGGAAACATGGGACGGCCCTGCGGCAGCAACGGGGCACATTCTGGAAACATTGTTTTGGAGCAGGCGTGAGGGAGTCGAAAGACTTCCTATGACGGAATATTTGCTAATTGGGTTTTCTTTTTTCCCCTGGCTCTAGGCCCAGAAGTTCATCGTCGCCTACGCTGCTTTCCTGAAGCGTCAGGGCAAGCTCCCCATTCCTGGTAAGTGAAGCCGGACCTTGAAATCAACTGCAACGGCCACGGCCACTCGGAAATCCACGTCCACAGGTACTAACGACGACAGGCTGGGTCGACACGGTCAAGACGGGCCACGCCAAGGAGCTGCCTCCCCAGGACATTGACTGGTTCTACGTCCGCGCCGCCTCGGTGGCCCGCCACGTCTACCTCCGCAAGACGGTCGGTGTTGGCCGTCTCCGCAAGGTCCACGGCACCGCCAAGAACCGCGGCACCCGCCCCGGCAAGCACGTCAACGCCTCCGGCTCCGTCGACCGCAAGGTCCTGCAGTCGCTGGCTGCCATTGGCATCGTTGAGGTCGACGAGGAGAAGGGTGGCCGCCGCATCACCCAGGCCGGCCAGCGTGATTTGGACCGTATCGCCCAGACCACCGCCGAGGAGGAGGAGGAGGATGAGGATGAGGACGACGAGTAAACGTGTCGTTTTCTGTCCACAGTCTGAATCATGATAAAGATGAAATTTAAATAAAATAAAACGGGTCTGTTTGGAAGAGCGTTCTTTCGAAATACAGGGGCTTATTTTTTATAAGTCCCTAGTCCACTCTGTCTGAATCGGACAGGGTTTCGGCGCTATTGGGGGGTCTCTTGTTTTGCGTGTTCTCCTATTGTTTCGTTGGCCCAAACATCTTTCTTACCAATAACACATCAAAAAAAGAAAGAAAATTTAAAAAAGACAACAGAACCGTTCCCTTTACTTTCTTGCCATTCACCAGTGCTTGTGCTTGTTCATGTGGTCGTCTTTTGTGTTTGTTCATTCGTTGAGCTGATATGTTATAGTCTTGCTGTTTTGTTGACAACTCACCGCAACAAGCAGCCAAAGCACTGCCTTCACGCAGACATCAGATGAAATTCACTATTCACTCATGCTCCTGCCTCTAACGGCCTATTGCTCGCCGGCTGTCCGTGAAAACGCCGTTTGGGGTGTCCTGGTGACTTCGTCTCGTTACTTTCTTGTCACTTTATGGCGCGCCGTCCTTGTCACCCAAACTCGCACGCCTTTCTCACGACATCGCTAGGCATTGTATCTTTTTGAGCCTGTAGCCCGACGACTATAATTCGACTCTCGACTTTTACCTATCTTTCATATCTTTTCGTCTCCTCCTATACGGCTGTAAAGTATGGCTTATTGTTACTCTCTTCTCTCCAAACAAAGAACCAATCATAGACGACATTTGAGACCCCTTCACTGACGCGTTTCTGTATTTTGACACCTAGGCATGACATGCATCAAGAAGGCCAACAAGGCCAAGACGCGCGGTGTCACGGACATTGCCCGAGACCATCGCATGTCCAGCCGTGACATACCCAAGAAGAAATGCGGCCGCAAGCAGAAAAAGAAGCTGGACATCGCCTTCGCCTGGCGAGATCGAGGCCGAACAATAGTGATTATGAACGAAATCGCCTCAGCTTCCACCGGCCTGCCTGCCGCTGCCAACGTCCAGGCCACCCCGGCCTGCCTTATTCCCACCGGCAGCAACAAACCGCTGAAGTTTTGCACCAGTGGCTGGCGAAAGACTGCCGAGCCCTGCAGCACGAGCCTTGACGGCGCGCGGTGGACGCAGCTGGTCCGTGACTTTGCTCGGGCTGCTGAGTTCCAGCTCACCCTGAGCGTTCGTGACTCGCCCAAGTCGTCCGAACGCATTCCGGAGAACGATGGCCGCTACGATGCATGCCACGCGGAAAAGAAGGTGAGTCTTTGTGTACGTCGCTGGTTTTTCTTCTTCTTCTTATTTTCATGTTTCTTCCTCTTTTCATTAACCGAGTGACTCTAATTATTAGCTCGGCCTATTTTTTCTCGCCCACCAGATGAGGTTTACAATGACCGGGCTCGGTGAGGCTCTCAGCGGCAAGCTTCTAGAAGCAAAGCTGCCTCTTTACCGCCGAAGTGCTCGCATTTACCTCGGGCACAAGCCCTGCAAGAGTTGTTGTATGTCGGACCAAGCAGAGAAAACAATACACCACTTGCCATGTCGATGTTTATTAACATCTCGTTGTAGCTGCCTTTCTGCGCCTCATTAAACGTCGTACCGGAATCGACGTCCGCGCCGTGCCGTGCCCTGTTCTCTCCGAGCACGCCCGCATCCGCACCTTCTTCGACGCTCCTGTGAACAACGCTGGGGCTTTCACATCCGGCCCCAAGAACAGTGACCTGAATGACGGCAAGAGCAGCGAGGGAGACGTCAGCGACAGGGGTAAAACGGAGGGTGTAGAAGGCGGAAAGAGTGGCGATGATGGAGACGATGAGGCAGAGGACGACGACAACGACGATGACGACGCCGACGACGATAACATCGTCATGAGCGATGGGTACGATACCCTCGAAGCCGCCGAGGATGTCCTAGCTGGTTTCCCTCTCGGAAACGTCACTCGACCGCGGTACACCACACCCGTGTCCAAGCTTCACGAGGAAGAGGAGTCGCCCCATTCTGGGCAAGTGGCCGGCCTGGAGGAGGGTGGGCCCGAGGCCGAGGACGACGAGCCCGGCCTGCCTGCCAGACAACCTGTTCCCACCGCGAATCTTTCCGTCCGAAGCTCTCCCTCGCCGTCGGTCAGCCTTGCGTCTGTGCTGGACTCGTCCGTCATTGACCGCCGTGACCGCTTTCCCGTCTACACCTCGCCGTCGCACCGAGGCGGCAGTGCCGCGCCTCCGTCGACCTGGGGGGCCCGTCACAAGCCGCCCATTACGCCATGCCTCGAGGCACCCGATTTTGGCCAGCACACGGGTGACTACAGCAACAACAACGACATCGGGGGAGTGTCGTCTTCATGGGTGGCCGCCAACCAACAGTCGTACTTTTTTGGGACCCCCAGTGCTCCCAGCATCATGAGTGAGAGCGGACCGGCCCAAGCAAGTGCTTTTGCCAATACAAACACAGGCAGACGAGAACATCAGGACCAGCAGCAAGGTCTGCTACCAGAGGCCTCACTGCAGCAACGCGCTCCGCGTTCTCGGTCAAACCTGGACATCCTCAGTGAGGCGGCTCGCCACGTTGAAGCCAACGCTCACCGTGCCGTCCGTGCCGTTGCAGGTACCGAACAAGGCACTGCTACTGCGAGCACTGCTACAGACACTCCCGGGATTGTGCACACTCACATTTGTCAACGCCATCCGGCCATCGCTTCGCTTGACAGCAGCCGCGTGAACTCTATTTCAACCACCCGCCACAGCAACGCCCAGTCAAACCGGATGCCCATGTCTGCCGCAATGCACTCCGCCGCCTCTCGCGTCCCGGTCGTCGACCTGACCGGCGACACCGAGGACTACGCCGCCAGCACACGTCTACCTTTTGTCCGCGGCCTACACAATCCGTGGGTGCCGAGACGTGAGGCCCCACCGCCACCGCACCCTGTCCTGCAGCCGCCCCCTCGTCCTCGACAGCAGGTCCACGCCGAGCAGCAGCAGCGGCAGCAGCAGCAGCAGGAGCCGGACGTCATACTCCTCTCCATCCGCCCCGCCACAACCGGCGGTGGCTGCACGGTGCGTGGTGAGCGGCGGCCTAGCACGCCCCGGCCGCCGATCTTGGCCAATGGTCGCCAGACCATCTTCAATTCCGGCCACGCGCCTGTTCCTGTGCAGGACCAGCGGAGCCGTCGTCGTCGTGGCGTGGCCTTGCCGGTGCAACGGGGTGGCCGTAGAGGTCGTGGCGGTCGTGGCGGGCCGCCGTCGTCGACGGCTCGGCCGTTTCCTGACCTTTCGTCGTTTATGTACGGCGACGGCTCGGGGTGGGTGTGAGGGACAGGCGTGAGAGAACTGTCACGACCGACAAGACCGACAAGACCGACAAGAGGGAGATCAGAGAAGAGCGTGAATGGCAAGGCGGTCCATTCTCGCTGAGGAGTGAGTGACTGAGGAGGAGTGACGTGCTCGACGGAGAGAGTTTGTTTTCTGAAACGATTTACGAGCCATGATGTGTCATACTTATGTTTCTCCGTGTTTTTGTATCTGCCTCTCATGGTTTGCTTTCGTTTCCTTTTCTACGTCTTCTCATGTGCTGAATGAAACGACGCATTACGGACATGGACAAGGATTTGTTTGCTTTTCAGGGAGTTGACATGGCGTTTTTCAATGGCAAACGAAATATGAAAGGAAAGGGAGGGCATGATATGGAGTACAACGACGAACGTATATGGACAATTTTCACGGGATATGAAATGTCTCCTTCATGTAAAATCACAAATTTGTTTCATGAACCGATTCAAGGCCACGTCACAGTATGCACGGAACTGGGAACAGGCTGAGCCAGTAATCCAATGGGTTTGCTGTTTATCCTTCTATGAGAAATATCGTGACAAAATCCAACATAAATGCCTAGACGCCGGAATCAAACCATGGAAATGATGCGTTAGAAATAAAACACAAACGAATTACATGAGACAAAATGCCCTTGATAACACCGTCCTGTCGACCCAGAGAGGTTTTTCAAAAAGGAGAAGATCTTGCAAGAAGTGGCATATCCATGCCCCCAAGTCGCACGCTATGATTAGGAAAAAGAATAAGGAAAAGCAATAGTACGCAGAGGGCCTACGCCCACTTGGCCAGCAGGGCCATGAGACCGACGCCGACCGAGACGCACAAAAACGCCAGCATTTGCACGCTGAGCTTGGCGTCGCGCATCTCCGGATTGAACATGAACTCGTGGGCGAGCAGCTCGACGAGCGCCGTGTAGACGAGAATGCCCGCGCTGACCGCGTCAAAGATGCCGTTGATGAGCTGCGCCAGGTCGGGCCGGGAGTTGAGACCGGCGTTGACGCCCAGGCCAATGGCGATGCCAATGGGGGTGGTGACGCCGTACCCCAACGCCATGAGGTATCCCGTCCACGCCTTCCAGTTGGACGGCCAGGAGGCGACGGCGAGCCGCGAGCCCAAACCCAGGCCCTCGAAGAACTGGTGGAAGGCGATGACGATCAACAAAACTCGAAGATTGTCGGACCCGGCCAGACTCAGACCAATGAACAACGAGTGGAAGATGACGCCAAACTCGAGGATAAGCAGCGAGACAATCTGGCTGCCATAGTTGGCGTGGGAGTCGCCATTGACATGTTCGTGGTCGTGGGCGAGGTGGTCTTCGTTGCCCGGTGGATAGTTGAGCTGTTTGGGGAGGCCGCCGTTGCGACTTTGCGTGCGGGTCGTCGCAGCGGCCAGGACGACACCGTCGAGTGCGGTGCTGCCAGTGGCCGCGGTGTTGACCTCCTTCTTGTTTTGCGAGGAGGCTGAATCGACCGATAAGCTGGTCGTGCCGGTCTCGAGGTCGGGTTCGTGGTTGGGGTCGCGGTCGCGCTCCAGGTTGGCTGTGGCATAGGCCGCGAGGCCGCTGAGCGCGCTGTTATTGACGCTTTGCCGCCACTCGGTCATACCTGGCGCGTTGTTGTTGTTATTGGTGTTGTTGCCGTTGGTGTTGGCGTTGTAGTTTACGCTACGGACGCTATGCAGACTCGCGGCGCGACCAGAGGCAAGTTTTGCTTGGCCGTTGCTGTGGCCGTGGCCGTGGCCGTGGCCGTTGGTCTTTTTCGAAATGTCGCTGGACGCCGGAGCCGGGCTGCCGTGTGAGTGGGCTCCGCTCTCCGAGTGGCCAAAGCTAAAGTTGAAGCGCATTGCCATCAACTCAATATAGAACATGACCATGATGGCAATCAGGCAAATGACATGGCCCCAGTCGTACTTGGGCAGAATGTTGGAGAGGCAGTCGTCCGACAGAGCCTCGACGGCGGGCGACAGCAGGTGCATAAACGCTGTGGCCAGGATGACGCCGCTGCCAAAGTACTTGCAAACAAAAAAGGCCATCTGGGACGACCTGGAGTTGGCTGATGTGCGGGCGAGGACGATGGGCAGGAAGACGCCGAGCATGGAGCCGGCAAGGATGATAAAAACGGAGGCGATGCGGAGCCCCTTGTCCGAGAGGTCGGTGCCCCAGCCGGAGCACTGCGGGACAACATCGGCGGCGGCGGTTTCCCGCTCGAGGACGTAGTGCCGCATGATGGGCAGGTAGGAATACTCACGAACGACGTGGCAGTCCTGGTTGGCGAGGGAGTGGTGGTATCTCTTCATGGTGTTAGTACTCTCCTTCCTACAATATAGATTAAAACAAGTGCATCGGCAACGCAATAAAACGTCATGATCGATAATAAACAACAATGATAAGGAACTCGGTTAAGATAAAGGAATATGTGTGTGACGCAAAGTTGGTGGGCAAGGCTGAGAACTCTAGATGGCCTTGCTTTGCCTGGTAAGGTAGCTGAGAACCCGGACGGTCACTCATGGGAGACTTGGACAACTCGGGCAAGACGGGGGCATGGCCGTTCGTGTCGAGCGAGTCAGTCGGTCAAACAGACCACAGAGCCAGACACACCAAACACAGGGCCACATGTTCAGCCTTGTCGACCCGACACGTCACCCTGGCCATCTAGGCTGTCCACGCACGCGCACAAACACAGAAACAGACAACACAAACACGAGTCCATGTACGTCATTTACACAAGGGTCGATGTGCCCGCGGAAGCCGAGGAAAACAAGGCTGAAGGCAAGGAAACCATGCCAGAGCCAGGCTGGGGCATGCAGTAGCTGACTCACCTATCGGAAAGAGGGATGAGTGGACGACGGGGTTCTCAGCGTCGATGGTCGTCGATGCTGTCGTCGACAGGCTCAATAGAGCCAAGGATGACGGGACGTGTCGACTCGTTAAAGACGTCGTTATGGCTCTTTAAGAACGGTAGATAGGGTAGGAAAGGAGGAATGGTGCTATGAAAAGCCAAACATATCGAGAGAAGAGAAAGACGGCGTCAGGTGAGCGAGAGAATAGTGAATCGCCGCTGGAAAGTGGCCACAGGCGACAATGCAATGCTGGGAAACAGCAGATGTCGACGTCAAAGGCTTGGCGGAAACGAGAGAGGGGACACGGGCCAGAGAAGGTGCTCCGTATGTTGTGCTGCGCAGGTCGTCGAGAAAGGATTCCGTGTTTCCAAATCGTTTGTAACGGTTAATTCTCTTCTGCGGCTCTTGTGCAATAATTAATGATCCGTTGTCGTCGCCTTTCGCCCATTTTGTGCCTTTGTGTGGTGGCTGTTAATAATACGGAGCCTTGGACAAGGGCGTGGGCGGCTGGCGCAGAGACTGCTCTTTCCCGCTTTTCTTTTTTGGCGAGAACCCGGATGGCCAGTTTGGCTGGCAAAGAAATTCTGCGACATTGCGGGTAAGAGCGCAAGAGCCACAACCTGCGCAAGCTCCTTTGAGCTATTACGACCACCAGCGACGCCATGTTGCCTACACCGTATCCAATTCGTTCGCATTCCACTTCTGCGACATTTTTTTGGGTTCTTCTACTGCAAAAAGTGTTGACCCTCACTTTGGACCAGTCAAAGTCACAGCCTCTCAAATATGTCGTCTTTCAGGGCGTAAAACGACGTACAGGGCAAATGCCTCCTTGGGCAACGAAATGCCCACCGCTCCTTCTTCGTCTCGCATCTATTCTAATACTTCCTGCCTCCCTTCCTGCTTATCTGTTTCGTCATCACTGCATGTTCAATCTCCTACAACTCAATATGAGCGAGCATGCCGTATTACTCCATCCTACACTAATCTATGTGTTCTGATTGGCTGTCGGTGCAAGTCATGTCCCAATTCGGAAGGACAAGGCCAGCATTTGCACGGACCAAGAGGCAAGAGCAGTACGAGGCGAGGGGGCTGGCGCAGGCTACTCTGTTGGGCTGGCCATCCGGGTTCTCACGTCACAAATGGCGGCCCGCAAATACAGCAAAATATGGAAAAGAGTCGCCCACTTTCTGAGACAACAGCACAAAAATGCGCAACAAAGAGGGCCAAAGGTGAGAAAGAGGAGTCAAAGAGGGTCTCGACGAAAGGGCAGGAAATCCCATTGAGCGAGATACGGAGCCGCGACCCCCACTGCGAAACAGAATTCCAATTAAAGAGCAATGAGCAGTAGCTGACAACTCACGGTACTGGTCCTTTCTTGTTTGAATGCTTTTGCTTTAGATCTATTCTTTGTTTATCATAGAGTTTAGTTGCAAGAGATGGGAATATGGTCCATGGATTTTGCGTGTGAGGCTCTTGTGAGGGCCGCATCGGACAACGCTCTGGATCGGCGCAAATGCCCATTTCCCGCGGGAATGGATGTGCACCAAAGCGATGCCATTTGGCAATAACAACGGCGGACCCAATCACGACGAAAACTGAATCTCGAGACCCAGTGTGCGGAACGGCTGGTCCAGGCGGTGCAGGTCGATGGCCGACCCGAGACTGAACAGCAGCGATTGGATGCGGCCCTCCCACAGCAGGCCGATCTGGAGGTTCTGGTTGAGGCGCGCCTTGAGCACGCCCTGGTATTTTTCTTCGGAGGACCGTGGTAGTGGCAGTGGTGGTGGTGGCGGTGGCGGTGATCCTTCTGGTGATGTTTCTGGAGAGGGTAGTGATGCTGCCGGTGTCGACAAGACCGTGTCATCCAACCGCCACTCCATCTTGGCCTGGAAGCTCCGCTCCGGGATGCCAAACGTGGACGTCCTCGGTGCGGTGAGAGACGATGGCGATGTCGCCGCCGCGTCATCGACAGCCACCAGCCCGGCCAGCCGCCGCGTGCTCCAGAGCTCCATGCCCACCGACCACTCGCTCTCGTAGCTGTAGACGTTGAAGTCGAAGCGCGTCGCCAGCGAGCAGTCCTCGCGCGCCACGACGGCGTACGCGGCCGATAGGTTGCCCATGAGGGGGTTGATGGTGAGGGTCGCCGTCAGGGGGGTGCCGGCCACCCCGGTCACTCCGTTTTTTTCGTTCTTTTCGGGGACCCCTGCCATCGCCGCCGTCTCAAACCGGGCCCCCAACGACACGCCGCCCGACTTGTTCAGCGTGCCGTAGTAAATCTCGCCGCCGGCGCTGAACCGGCCGTTCAGCCGGTCGTCGACGTCGCCACCGCCGCCGCCGCCGCCACCGCCGGCAAGAGACATGGCCGTCTCCTGCTGCTGCTTGCCGCCGTGACCGAAATTGTAAAGCCCGCGTACGCCCAGCAGTCCGCCATCCGAAGACACCAGTCCTTCCAGACCGTACCGCCCGCGGTCGAGCTGCATGACGCCCAGCACGGTGCCGCCGTTGGGCAGCTTGGCGTCGCTGACGGCGCGCAGCTGGAGCTGCACGGACGGCGCGAGGCGCTTGACCATGTAGGCCTCGAGCATGGAGCGGGGGAGGTAGAGGCGGCCGTAGAGGAGGGCGGGCTTGTCGACGAGGGCGCGAGCTTCGTGGACGGCTGCGGCGAACTGGTCGGCGACGGGGACGACGAGGGTGGAGGCGAGGACTGTCGCGGCGGGCGGGGACGCCGGCAACGGTGTCGCTGTTGTTGCTGTCGTGCTCGTAGAATCTGTCGTGGCTGTGATTGTCGTTGTCGGTGTCGATGCGGTCGTCGTCGCCAGAACGTGTGTATGGACGGGCATCACCAAAAAGGGAAAAAGACCCTCCAAGGTCACCCGCTCCCGGGGCGGCGTGACAAACGCGGGATCCAGAACGGGCGGCAGTCCGCTGGGCCGCGGCCGCTGGCGGTACGACCGAAGTAGTGTGGGCAGAGGCACCCGGCTGGACTGGGCGACGACGTTCCCCAGAGGCACAGACGAGTACAGGTAGGAAATGGCACCGTCGACGACGCCGACGGACCCCAGTGTGTAGCCCGTGGCAAAGTGTGGCGTGGCCAGCGACGACAGACTCAGGCGCAGGCCGCGCGGTGTGGGGAAGTTGAGCAGCTCGTTGGCGGCGATGTTGAGGTCCGAGTAGCCATTGTCGCGGCTCCAGCCGGTGGCGTCCCGGAACGACTCGAGGACGTAGCTAAGGAACTCGCGCATCCTCTGGCACGTCCTCGCGTCCTCGCGTCCTCGCTTTGTCGAGTCCAGCACCCTGGCTGGCAGTTTGGGGCTACCGGGCGGCGCAGCTGTGGCGGCTATAGCACATTGGATCGTATAGTTCCTCCCAGTTCGCGTGCAGTGTGGTCGAGGTTGTGCGTGTGGTCAATGCGTGTCGATGCGTGTCGATGCGTTCGTGTCCTCGGCCAGTCCAGGTCGTTTCGTTGTGATCCGCAATCGATAATCGGGATAATCGATTGGACTGGCAATTGGTGGCGAGCCTCGGTTGCAACGCATATCGTCATTGCTGGGGAAGCTGGCCAGTTTCGCGTTTGGCGGATAAAATACCGGCCCGCCCTACGGAATATTGCCTGATTACAACGGAATTCCCCCGTAGAGCCTCGAGAAAACCCCTGTCTTACTTTGTTGTGGGGCTTCTGTCAGGAACTGAAGGCGCTGTCGAGGCCTTGCGCAACGCTAAAATGCCCCACGGCTGTTGCCGATTCAGTGGCCCTCGTTGGCCTCATTGTCACACAAACAGGGATGCGTCCTGACCATTTGGCATTATCAATGATGACTGGCTTACCTTTTGACGATCCGTCTTTCAGACATGTTGAGGTGTTTGCATATCCTGACGGAGCGGATGCTGCCATTGCTGGCCGTTCTCTGTTCCCTCATCTGTGCTTTTCCCACGCCTCTCCGTCTTCTCTACCCCGTCTTTGCCCTCTCTGTCTGGCGCATGATCGTCCGTGTTCCATGTCCATCGTCCCGGCGGATGTGAATGCGAACTGGGCGATCAGAGTCTTTGTGATGTGAATGCAGTGACGAAGAGAAAGTTGCAGCCCGCACTAACACCTCACGAGGGCTTGCTGTCGTGATTTTAAGGTTTCCTCTCGGAGCCACAATTTTGCGCACAGAGCGCCCTAAGCCCCAGACGACACACATGGTATACTTTGGTCATCTGTGCATTTACCAAGATAGTACGAAATCCGTCGCGAAGGATGCCAAAAGCCCTTCAAGGATTTACAAAACTAAGCGACGCGGGACGGGAAAACTGGCTCGGGGTGATTCATATTGAACAAGGAGGATTGCGGTCCTCCGGCGTTTGTTGGAGCGGTATTCGTTGTATGTCGTAGCTGTGGAGGAGTCGCGAAGCACGAAGGATGCCGCCAAAGAAAGGCAGGTCCTAGACCTCGCAGAGCTGGCTAAATCGGGCGAGCAAGATGTGCAATGTACCGATGTAACAGGATTGCGCCAGGTAGACGAGGAAGATACATTCGTCTGTTTGAGAAAAGTGGTACTGCTCGGCCGACCTCCTCCATTCGTCTCGACGTTGTATTCAATATGTCGTTCTTGAATGCGCCTGCTCTGGTTTTGAAAACGACATGTGCTAAATCATTCCATTTTAAATACCAAGATGTCATCAGACAATTTTGGATTTGCCCTTTGCTGTGCCACGCAATAAATTAAAAAGGAGCGACCAAACTGAAGCCTGTTGGAAGCGAATATGCCTTTATTTCTCTCTGGCTTCGTGCAATTACGGCAAAACGTAAAAGAACAAAAAGCAAAGCCACAGACGACGTGGTCCAGTGACAGATTCGGCGGAAAACACGACGAAAGAGGAAAGTCGGGGGCTGGACCGGGTGTGGTAACATGGTGACAAGCGCCAAGGCGTAGCGATGCCAGTCTACCTGCCTGTCTGTCATTTGTTGGCGACCATTGGCTGTCCACGGAGTCGTGGTTGTCCTTGCGGTAGGGCCGAGATGAATTCTCTGCTTTGGCAAGGAGACGCTACGACGTTCAGTTCTGTGGCGTTCAACGAAGCGAATAACAATGCTGTGGTGACATGGCAGACGGTGAGAAAGGCGCAAAGACGGCTGAGCATCTGAGCAACTGACAATTTTTCTACGCAGGAAAGCAATAAAACCAAAAAGCATGAACCTTGTGGCGATGCTCTTGTTGCCTATTGCGGATACAGAAAAAAACATTTCCGGTGAGGCCTGCAATGCGTCGGATATTGATAGCGTATGACTGACTGACTGTATGACAGTACGACTGCAAAGCGGCTGGGCGTCGACAAATCGAAAGACGGGAGAATGAGTGAACGGAGATGAGCAGAGGCAGGGTGTGCATGTTGGACGAGAGAGTTAGGTGTTGGAAGAAGACGGCGTTGCAAAGGGCTATAAGAAAACGGGTATGCCCACGATCGTCCTGTCCATCACCGCCTTTCTCCCGTTATTTTTCCTTTTTTTTTCTCCTTCTTCTTTACGTCTTTCTCTACCCCTGATTTTATTATCCGGTTGAGGAGTACTCGTTTGTTTTCATACTAATACTCTCGTTACCTACCCCTACGTCCCGACTCACTCGCTATTCATTTACATTCTTCACTCGTTCATAGCCTTCACCACATCCATTGTTCATACATATTAATTCTGTACATATTTTTGCCTGTTCATCACCGTCTCCAAAATGCCCTCCTTTGCTTCGTTTGCGGCCGCTCTGGCCTTGGGTGCCGCTGTCGTCCGCGCTCAGGACGCCAACTTTGACTCTGTCACCACTCCCTTGCGCGGCGCTCAAGTCCCTGCCGGCCAGCCCTTCACAGTGACTTGGACGCTGATCTCGGCCACGACGCCCACGGGCCCGACCACGATCACGCTGGTAGGCGGCGAAGACGCCGGCGATTTGAAGCCGATTGCCGCCATTGGCCACGTTCAGAACCAGGACTTGAAGTTTGTGTGGAACGTGGACGCCGGCCTGGGCGCCGCCAAGGTGTATGGTCTCAACTTTACGCTGGACGCGGACAACAGCCACTTTCAGTACTCGAACCCGTTTACGATTGTGGGCGGTGCGGCCAGTGGCGGTGGCGGTGGCGGTACCACCGGGACGGCGACCGGCACCGCCACGGGCACGGGCACGGGCACGGGCACGGGGACCGCAACGGAGACGGCCCCGACCACGGGCACCGGCGCCGCCACGGACACGACGGGGACAACGTCGACGGCCTCGGCCACCACCTCGCCGACCGGTGCGGGCACGACCACCACCGTCCCGACGACCACCGCGGCGCCCACCCACGCCTCCAACTCGACACGCAACAGCACGACCGCAACGGCATCGGCCTCCAAGACGAGCGCGAAGCCGCCGACAGAGACGAGCGGCGCTACCGGATTGAGCGGACTGTCGGCGGTGGGTGTGCTGGCCATGGCACTGGTGGCGAGTGCAGCGATGCACTGGGGGCTGTAGACTGGTTGCGCTGTGTTGTTTGCTGTTGCTTGGTTTTCTTGTTGATTTTGTACTGTTTTTGAACGTCGATGAATTTGTTGTACGACGTTGGCTCATCACCCTAGATACTCTTTGTTGTCCAAATAGACTGAGTAATTGTTAATTGCCGTTTTATTTTACTACTTTCTTTACTATGGTCTCAATTTCTTCTGCCAACGTCGTCAAATACACATCCACTTCCTTGACGTACTCGGCGGTTGTCACCCACGACGTCCTTTCCGTCTGCCCTCACGCTATGCCAGGTCTTTGGTCATCACCCGATCCGGGTCAGTGTCGACCGTTTCGATGCACGCCGGTTCGGCAGCTTGTATAAAAGGTACAACACACGGTGTACCGTCGAGCTCGCCCTCTTGATGAGGACGCCGAAAGAGAAACAGTGCTCCTGGCTATATTAGAGGATGCGTACTTTCGTTCCTAGCTCCGTCTCGATGTCCTTGAGAACATGCTCCATCGGCGTGGCGTATGTGATATCATAGCCTTGCAAATGCCGCATGGCATGGTTCGTGCCCCTAACCACGAGACCGCCAATGCGACCGGTGATGTCGAACACCACCGAACCAGAATCGCCCGCTTCCGTAAATGATTGTATCTTCTTGGCAGGCTCCCGATTTTTATCGATGCCGCTCGCGTGGATTATCGCCCACTCGTAGCTCTCCTGTTCCATAATGCCCTCCCGCAAGTAGGTCCGTGTGGTGGACTGTATATCGAGCGCGAGGCCAACGGTGATGCCAGTGCTGCGGCCTCTTTTGAAGACAATTGGGCGACTGTCATCTTGGTACATAGTTGTCCACGGGTGCGGGATGTGGGCGCCGCGTTGTTCTCGAAGCGGTATGATACCTCTGAGCCGCATCATGCCATCGGCAGGGAGGGCATCAGGAACACAGCCCAGGACCTTTTCGACTGCCGTTTTGACTGGGGCCCCGGGAAGATCTGTCTCCAAATCAACCACGCTAGGAAACGTGAACTGTGCCGGGAACCTGTTGCGGTCCAGGGCAATCAGTGCCCAATCACGAGTATAGCTTGGGTCCGTCGTGATACGAATCGGTGGAGCATGCTCAACAAAGCCAATTACGCAGTTATCATTAGACTGTGCAAATGCTTCGACAAGTTCCACCAACTCTTTTTGTCTAAGCAATGTTTTGTGTGTTGGCATTTGCAACGCAGCCTGGAGACCTTGCTGAGCAGTCGCGTTCTTGAATTCGTTTTCGGTGGCTGCAACGACGTCTCTCATCGGCCTCAAACAACTCTCGATCACACTGGGCACAGGAAGGAGAACCTTCGCCCTGGGGGTGTTTGTCGATGTCTGCTTGCCCAACTGTAACCCGCCAGCCTCTGTCTCTCGATTATGGCGATTTGCGGGGGACTTCGAAAGATCAGGAAACACGACGTGGTGACACGTCAATGCCCATATAGCGTCGTCATTCATAGAGGTGTCAGGGGCCAGATATAGACCTAACGTTCCTTCGAAATCAGGGTTATTCGCTGGCGAAACGGCCTGGCCAAGGCTCGTCGACATCGCATGGGCCGCTGTAAGTTCCCACGTCGAGTGATTTCTCCTATCGATGTCATGTTGACGCTGGCGTAATCGAGGGCCTGTGGCATGTGACACGTCCGAAATGCGCAGCTCGCATTCAACGTCCTGCAGCCCGTCGCTGTCAAGAACGTTACGAACGCGTTCTAAGACTGCGCTGACGAGAGACCAGGGAACATGTCCGGCCTCTGCTGCCTGGGATGCAACACCCACCCAGACAATAACAGGCCTTTTGTTTTCTTCGAGGATCGTGCGGCCAATTCGTAATACATCAATCGATGTCCACTGAATGGGTGAGAGCGCATTGATGATCTTGCCCCTTGTGCCTGTCTCCCACGAGGCGTGGATCTGATGGGGCCCAACAGGCCCCGCCGCCGTCGCGGAATTGAGAGCGTCCTCCGGACCACTGTAGTAGTAGCGATATTTGGGAGGCCAGTCCTCGTTATAAAACCAAGGCGTAGTGGCACTGGACGTGCGGCCCAGTAGACGGGGCTGGCTTGGGAACGCGGCATAATAGTACGTGGCTTCATGGTCGGACGGCTCTTTGAATGCGACTCTATTGGCCTCGCGACGGCGAGTGGGAGACTCCGGGACAGTGATAATCGTCTCATGAGAAGCCTTTGTCTTGTCGGACTCGTCGGAGCTGTGGTCCTTTCGACGGCGGTCGGGCGTCTCAGCAGGGTTGGACGCCATGATTGGGGACTCACTGTTCAAATGGTGTTTTGTAGCAAGTGTTTTGGCTGGTGGAGATAGGTCAAATGTGGAAGCTGGCGCGGAGCAGTCGAAAAGGAAGTTATGATAGATAGGTTGGAAGAAGACGAGAAGATGATAATAGGTTTGGAAGAAGACTAGAAGCTGATAAGAGGTTGGAAGAAGACGAGAGAAATACAGCAGACCAGACGCGAGATATGTAGCATATTAAGCAAAAGAATTTTTGGGAACTTTATTTTTGTCATGCCAACAGACAGGATCAATCAGCAGCAATTAGTATGTGTAGGGCAAGTGTAGGGTCTGTGTAACCACATGGCCTTTAGTTCCATTTTGGGAAAGACTGAAGGTGGGTGCTCTTTCCGCGAGAGCTTGAATAAAGCAAACAGAATCTACCGCAGGGAACTCTAAAAAAATGCAGTAAAAAGTAGTACTGTACAAACCCACAAAATTCTGAATGTTAAGTAATTCACGGGTTATTCGAAGAAGACGTAAAGCGGACGGAGTCACGTCGAGGCGGCAGCAGATTATTGTTAAAATGACGCTGTGTTAGCTGTGCTTTCAATGAATAGTGTGTTTAGTTGAGATGTGCAGAACTCGTGCTATATGCACTGTAGTGATTAATTAGACAATGACAATGACAATGACAATGACAATGACAATGACAACATAATAACGCCGAACAATGAGGCCTCGTGAACAATGCAGTACACAAAGGTAAAGAACGTATTGATGCATTGTGAGAGCACAATGGCAAATAAAGAACTGAGGGATGGAGGCTTTGTTCTTCTTCTTGTGAAGTACGGACCGTTGAGAACAACACAATCCAAAATTTTATGAACAAAACAAGCTGCGCAAAATGTGCAAATGTGCAGATGTTCAACATGTTCAAATGTTCAAGGAACAGCACCACACTCGCGGTCATCGGAACTATCACGACAGTCGTGAACAAAAGTAAAGAAATCAAGTCGGTCGATCATGTATATAAGAAGGCCTTCGCCTCGCCTCGAGAACTGAGTTTTGTTTTCGTTTCCTCCTCATCACCACCTACCTCTTCAACAAACCAACCAGATCTCGATAACAACCAATCTCGTGCTACTTTGGACTCTAGTGTCTCTAACGGTCGTCTTTTCAGTGTTGTAGACCTTGTTTTCTGCTTAGTCCTCTTCCCACTTTCGAGGAAGAAAACGGCAGGTCTCTCTAGGATCATCTTCAACCCTCTACCCAATAACAAACACTGAAAAGACGTCTCGCAGAGACAGGTCCAACATGGCCGATCCGATGGCATGTGACGGAGACCACAAGTGTAGTCTCGACTTCAACGAGGAGCTGGACCGCTTTGTCTGTCGGGATCAAGACTTTGGCCACACGATGCTCGAGCACCTCGAGGACAATGCGTTGGCCGATGAGCGTCTCCCTGTGAACAAGTCCGTGTGGGTTGAGTTCCGCGACACCAAGTCGCTGGGCACCACGAACATGGGCCGCGACCTGCTGGTGGTCATTGCCTGCCCGACGGCCTGCATCGTCGCCCGGTTCGGCCTGCCTCACGGCCGCGTCGACGCCGGTGCCAGCCACCTCGACATGCTCGAGGAAAAGGAGAGCGCCTTCAACTTCATCGCGTTGCTGAAGGAGATGATTCAAGAAGTCGTCGCCGGTAGTCACTTTGAGTGCCCCTCCTCCGACATCGTCTGCGTCGTGCTGGGCCCGGTCGACGAGCTTGACCAGGGCTGCATCGAGCACCATGTGCTCCGCATCATCAAGTCCGGCCTCGAGTGCTTGCAACTGCAGCCCGTGTTTCGCCAGCTCGATGAGCCGACCGGCGACGTCCGCTGCAACAAGGCCCTGGGCAGCGTAGTCGTCCTGGCGCCGGAGATTACGCACACAGCCCTGCCCACTCTCCTCGTCGATGACGAGGAGTTGCTCAGTCTGCCCCCTCCGCCGGAGTCGGATGTCCTGTGGCTCGGCGATTAAGAGACAAAACGGTACGTTGAAGAAAGAGGTAAGTCATTGCAAGTCGTAACAGCCGCTGGTCGGTCGTAGACGTAGCATTGCAAGTACTTCTGTCGTAGTTGTATAACTCGGTTGATCTGGTGATCACTACATATATATTCAAACAATACAAGTAAGTCTTTTCTTTTCCAAATGAAACTCATAATGCAACTAAAGTAACAAATGCATGTGTCCGAATCTTTTATTCACTTATTTGCAAATCAGTACTGGAACATACGTAAATGTAATATAAATATTGGAAAGCAAAATACGAATAAAAATAAACCAAAGAAAAAAGCCAACAAAGACACTGTGTAGTATCCATGAACAACTTGTTATTACCGACAAAAACATACAACAATACATAACGGAGAGGATAAGCGTGATTTTCCGTATTGTTCAGGTGCAGCACTGTTTGTAATTTTATGAGCAAGAGAATGACAGTATTGAACAAACTTAGGATATTCGTACATATGCACAGTCTGTCACATAAATCTGAACAAATGGGCTGTTGAATTGAACATCATTTCACGAAGCACTTTCAAATTGTATATATATGTCTCCTGCTTCTGTCCTTGGACACTATGTTTTCATTTGTCCATTCCAAAATCACAACCACACATTCATACAGTCTTACTATCGCCTTCCTTCTCATCATCTACACAATGTCTGCTCCTACGCCTCTCATGGAAGTCTACAAGGACGTAATGGTGGTCGTTCCCGTTGGTGACGTCGACGCCGTGGACTTCACAAAGATGCCGGCCATTGGCACAGACTGCCTCAACGGCGGCACCGTCATCGTCCTGGCCTGTCCGCTGGAAGCCATTCTGGCGCACATGCCCCGCCTGCCGCCGTCGCCGTCCGACCATGCCCTGACGGTCTCCATGGACGAGCTACAGCGGATCCTGAGCGAGGTGGGTGCGCGGTATGCGAACATGCAGGCGGACGGCCAAGGCCATCATTTACGGGCGCAGGACACGGTGAGCATGGTGGTCGCCGCCCAGGACGGCAACGGCGAGCTGCAGGCGCCGCACCATGTGGTGGCGATTGTGTCGGAGCTGCGGGCGCTGGGACTGGCGCCGACGATCCACCCATACGAGACAGAGGCTCTGCCCGAGGACAACAGCTCGCTGATGGTGGTCTCGCTGGACTTTGGCGACGGCCAGGAGCTGCCCAGGCTCTACGTAGCGGACGAGCTCGTCCACTGGGAGTACTAGACACTGGGCGTACTAGATTGAAAGGTGAGTCGTATTCGGCCACGCGGTGGTGGGATGCAAGGTACGTACAATACATTTTCTTTCTCGTCGAATAAATGATTTCTGAATCGATTGCAACGTGAACACATAAATGTGACATTATGCACCTAGGTGTGTCAGTGCAGGAATTACCATAATAGGAAAGAAAGGCTGGGCACCACGACAGTACAATGTAGTAGCTCACCGCCTTATTCTGCCGGATTCTTTATCTCAGATCTTAACTGTTATCGGTCTAAAATTGGTGGAAACTAAATCCCAAAACCGCACCAGAAATGCAGGGCCTCAATAACAAGCTCCAAAACAAAGACTCTGCAACAAAGAGTGTTTACCCTCGAAACAGAGCCATCGACGACCACTCTGCAAGCTGACTCCTTTCATCATACGTTGCTATACGACGCATTACCACACGACGCAATACCACACAATATAACGATAAGCCAATGACCGATCAGGCTCCGGGCAGAAAGCCCAACCGGCGGCCGAGACACCGTGGCCGCGGCGGCGGCGGTGGAGCAGGAGAAAACGGTGGAGGTGGTGGCCGGGGCGGTGGCCGTGGCGGTGGCCGTGGTGGGCGCAACGGCGGGCCGCGTACGCAGGGCGACGACGGCGATGTCGCTATGACCGACGCCGTCGACACGCTGCGTCCCTTCCCGCCGCCTGTGGCCTCGGGCGTTTCGTCCAACAACATGTCTGGTGTGGCCACGCCGATGCTGAGCGAGGCGGTGCCGTCGGACACGCCGCGGTTCAGCGACATCAACGCCAACGGCGTGGTGGTGGACCCGGTGCTGATCGACACGATCACGCACGACCTCCAGTTTGCGCACATGATGCCCGTGCAGGCGGCCACGATCCACGAGCTGCTGCCGCCCAAGCGGCTGGACGCGCTCGTGCAGGCCAAGACGGGCACGGGCAAGACGATTGCCTTTTTGCTGCCGGCGATCCAGACGATGCTCAACAAGCGGCGGGGGCCGTCGACGCGCCAGGATAACCACATCTCGCTGCTGGTGATGGCGCCGACGCGCGAGCTGGCGATGCAGATTGCCAAGGAGGCCAAGAACCTGCTGCAGCGCCTGCCCGACTACCACGTGTGCATTGCCGTGGGCGGCACGAACAAGGACCGCGAGGAAAAGCAGATTCTAGCCGGCTGCGACATTTTGGTGTCGACGCCGGGCCGCCTGCTGGACCACGTGTCGGGCACGCCCGCCATCCGGGACGCGCTGGCCCGGCTCGACACGCTGGTGCTCGACGAGGCCGACCGCCTGCTGGACATGGGCTTCCTGCCGGCCCTCAAGAGCATCGTGGCTTGCCTGCCCGACAAGGTGTCAACGCGCCGGCAGGGCATGCTGTTTTCGGCGACCGTGCCGTCGCACGTCGCGCAGGTCGCCAGCCTCGTGCTGTCGCCGGGCTACCGCTCCATTTCCACCATTCCCAAGGGCGAGGCGTCGACGCACGCGCGCGTCACGCAGCTGCTCGTCGAGGTGCCTACGTTTGCCGACCTGGCGCCGGCCCTCGTGGGCGCCCTCCGCCGGGAGCAGCAGCAGCTGCTGGGCGCGCAGGGCGCGCAGGGCGCCGGCGGCACGTTCAAGGCCATTGTGTTTGCGCAGACGGCGGCGCTCGCCGACTTTTACGGCTACCTGCTGGCGAACCTGCCGGACATGCCGCCCTCCTGGACGCTGCACGCGCGCCACGCGCAGTCCAAGCGCACAAACGTGACCAGCGCCTTCCGCGGCGCCGCCACGGGCATTTTGGTGGCCACGGACGTCGTAGCGCGCGGCATGGACTTCCCGGCCGTGACCACCGTGTTTCAGGTCGGCCTGCCCATGGACAAGGAGTCGTACATCCACCGGTTGGGCCGCACGGCGCGTGGCGCCGCGGGCACGGACCCGTCCAACGGCGCCGGCCCCGATGCCGGGTCGTCGGGCGCCGAGGTGGGGCGCGGCGTGTTTCTGGTGGCCTCAATCGAGTCCTACTTCCCGACACGCGTGCTGCGCGAAATCAACTTTGTGCGCACGGAGCCCGACTTGTCGAGCACCGCGCAGCTGGGCCCCATCATCGACCGCATGGAGGAGTCGATGGTGGGCAAGACGTACCAGGCGTGGCTCGGCTACTACAACGGGCACATGAAGGGCCTGCACTGGGACAAGGCGCTGCTGGTGGCGGCGGCCAACGAATTCGCGCGCGATGGGCTGCACGCGGTGAGTACGCCGGCCATCCAAAAGTCGACGGTGGGCAAGATGGGCCTCCGGGGCACGCCAGGGCTGGTGGTCGTGGCGGATGCGCCGCGGACGCACCGTGGCGGAGGCGGAGGTGGACGCGGTGGAGGTAGTGGCGGCGGCGGCGGCGGCGGCAGACGCGGTGGTCGGAACTGAGAACCGCGAGTGAGGACGCACAAGCTACGACTGCATGACTGTTTGATTCTTTACAGGGTCCCATGGGACAATGCCACGGTTTGTTTTTCATATAGAGCAGGTGGACACAAAAGGCACGGACGGGCGATGGCGACGGAGAACTGGTTTACAAAAAGGAAAGGGATAGATGGGCGGCTATCATGCATCGGCAGAATGCGTTTTCATGTCGTTCTCTGTTATGGTGTTTTTACACGTAATGTACAGTCATTCATCGTATCAATTCATGACAACGTCAAACGTGGCCATGTCTTTGACGGCGCGGATAAAGTAGGAGCTGAACATACAACGTTGTCACAGCGGTTGTTGACATACCACGTCGATCGGATTGGATCTTGTATGCAAAAGCAAGGTACAGAAAAGAAAACATCCATGGTTGAAAGACAACGCTTTAAAACAAGTTTTTTTTAAAAAAAAAAAAAAAAAAAAAACTATGGAACATGTCGTCCATTACATGAATATAAAAATTGATCAATGCCTTCAGGTGCTTAAATCAACAAATCATTGGCTTTGTATTTAATAAAACTATGTGTAAAATCCTCCAATCCAACACGGAAGACATCCTCTGGGGCATTTCCACAATCCTAAAAGGGCAGGGATAAAGTTGCTGCAATGGTGAACCAGAGCTGAGGTGATGTGGAAACAAATACCCTACACTTTGTCCCCGGATTATCCTAGGCCAAGAGATACTGGGGCGCTGTTTGGGTGGGAAGGCTAGACGAGCTACAAGACGCGACTGATGAACAAAAAATGTCAAAGAAAGTAAATAGCTACGAGGAGGTAATATGAGCTGACAGGTGAAGACAGACATAGAGGTCCCAGAACAGCAATGTGGGCTATGTGGACAGATGATGTAAGGCAGAGTCTTGTAAAGAAACACGACTGGCAGATGACTGGAGCTACAGATAATAGAAAAGCGAGCCAGATGACAAAAAACAAAACAAAGGACCGTGTATAGCGGAGGTAACATGGAGAGCTGATGAGAGTCTGACACCAAAGACTACAGGACGGCAATGCTTATATACATTTGGCTAAGAGATTTGACACTGAGAAACAACCCACCAGCTATCGTAAAAGGCTGAAAGAAAACTAAATAAAATAAAATCAGATTTCGAACCTGGAACTACTACAAAAGACAGAGAGGCCTGACGATGGGGACAACGCTTGAGTGCATAACATTGGGAAACGGAGGAACGGAGGAGACATGGATGGTCAATACTGTCTAAGAAAGGACTGACATGATGAATAAATGACAGGAAAATTAGCACCGAAAGGGGGAGGGGGAGTTAGAGAGAACCAAGACAAGGCATAGACTAAGCTACGGAAAGTAGATTGGAGATTGATGAAATGTACCTGAGTAGTCTGATGGCAAGAAGAGGAAAAGAGGACCTGAAGAATGTACGCCAACGGCCTGGCTGCTCTGTAACGAAAAAAGAAATAAACTGCCCTCCCTTTCCCCTCCAAAACGAAGAAGTGAAAGGTGGGTGAAGTGCAGCTTTAGAGACGTTGGTGAGAGGCTGAAAGAAGTTGGACAAGAGTAAAGTAATGGACGCTGAGAGTGACTTGACTGTTGTATGCCGGGTCGAATGAAAAGAAAAAGAAAAAGAAAACCGACAGAATGAAAGAAATAGAGAATAAAATGTAGAGAGGCAGGACGACAGGTGAGTCAAGATATACTGATGGCAAAGACAAACAAAAAGTGATCACGATCAGGGAGGAGCAGTCAATAGAGCCCGAGAAAAACATGGCCGTGGTTGAAGACTGGGCTGAAAAGAAGACAACAAAAACGCGAAGAAAATGAAAGAAAGAAAAAGAAAACAAAAGAAACCAGCGAAAACCAGCGAAAACAGCACTTCAACTCAATGCGATGGGCGTGTGAACAGACACTGACGGAAAAGAGGAACCGTCACAGCTCCTAGGCTGAGTTTTGTCCCAAATGTAGCAAAAAGTAATCTTCCGAGAAAAGGAAAGAGCAAATTCAGTACCAAAGTGACGGATTGTGAGGTTTTGTAGGGCGCTTTGCATGTGAATCTCTCGCCGCACCTTTGCGTCGTGACGTCCGGTGTTTGTCCTGCCGATCTGTTGACCAGTCTCAGCTCACATGCCCGCCGTTTCTCGGCTTTGCCCGCAGCTGTCTGCAGTTGTCTGCAGTTGTCTGCCCAGAAAAGTACATAAACCCCCTCTCCCCTCCTTCTCCCCCTCCCTCTCTCCTTCTTTCCTTTCTCTCTCTTCTTCGACCATCACCAAATGTGGTGTTCAGTCTCTGACTATCTGCGTCTTCTACCGGGTCTTGTTATGGCCTACGACTACATTTTCGGTCCTATGCAGACGCAGGTCAACCTTGGGTCCGAGAGGCCCATCGAAAATGGCGACGCCAGAAAAGCATAGCATACCAACCCAACTTATGGTGGCAGCGCACAGTCCGGCACAGCCGGCGATGATGTTTCACCAGCAGACGTACAGATGCTTTACGGAACCATCAAGAGGTCAGTCACTGCACCGACCTTCCTTTGCCCTTCAGTTTCTTCCATTTTATTAACAAAGTACAGACGACACTGTGGATGACCGGTAGCATCGCGAGACAGCCTGCCACATATGTTCGATGAGCAACATTGAGACCGGGTCGGATCGAGATTCTTCCTTCACTCATCTGACATCCCTGGGAGGACAGGGAAATGAACGAGACGTACTCGAAGCCGTTCATTGGGTTAAGAGACGTGTTTGCAAGATCACACGACGCGCCTCTCGACAGTAGTCGAACAATTGTGATGTGTCCGGCGCTTGAATCTGAATCCCAAGGACTACTTCTCCGTGTCCTTGGCGCACCCATTTTCTGGAAAGCAAACAAACAGGCCACTGTAACGACATCAACGACTAAAGCCGAACTTCTCGCCTTATCAAATGCTGTCAAGGAAGGTATTTATCATCTCCGACTCGTACGCGAACTTAACCTACCAATTCGATTACCAATTTGTCTGTTACTGCGACAATGCGCAGACACTTCGACAGATCACATCAAAAAGTATTTCACCTTTGTCTACTCGCCAACCCAAGAACAACAGGCAGATGGCTATACCAAGATACTACCATATCAACTTCACAAGAAATGCATCACCTCTATACCGATTGTCGAATACATGGATTGACAGTTCCTTTGAACTGGGGGGACTGACGAGTATGGTGGACCCACTTTTCCTGGGTTCATCCCGTAGGTCAGAGCGACTTGAGTGCGAGGTGGGCTCATCAGTCGGCCCGTCAAAGATGGAATACTTGTGCCTGCGCGGGAAGAGGTGGCGCCACAAGACGTGCCATTATCAACAGGTTGAAAATGTTACTCAATCCTCAATTTATGAGGAAACAAAGTGAGATGCAACGGGACATGTAAGCCTCTCCCCAAACTCTCTTTTCTTTCACTTTCGCTGTTGTTTGTTGAAACCGACATGCTGACCACCGTCTCTCTAGAGTTCTAGCTACCGTTCATGTCAATGATGGACCTGTTATGAAGGGACCAGCTTGCTTTTCACTCCGGCATTTGATGGTCGAGGCCGTCCCGACACCACAGCTACTCCGACATTGGCCTCAGGCCACACGCCCGCCAATGAAATTCAGGAGAGCGAGCCACGCGTCTCGAGTATCGTGTCGCGGTCACGAAATGGACATGCGCGAATGGTGACGACCAGCCGTCTTGAATCTGCCTACGGAGGCAAGTATGGCCACCGAATGTTGACTGTGTTTCGTGATGTCTTGTTTTATGAACCGGTCTGAGGACGACAGTATGCTCGAAGACGAGTGAATGGAAATTTGCAAAGTCTCTGCCATGAGTCTACCTTTTGCCTCACAGGTATACTTATCGGCACATTTGACAAAGCTTGGAATCTCGCTTGATGTCTGATGTGTCTCCTAGAGACTTGCGGGTAGAAACATTGCTCGCATGTCTGAAGAGCCTCCTCGCGACCTGCTAGCATCTGATTCAGATCCTGATTCGTGTGTCCCGTGGACAGTACGGTCAATGGCACGTCGTCCCTACAAAGGCTTCATCCTGGACGTGCCGAGAAGTGAACATCCGCAGTGGTTCCAGGCACTTCTCTTAGGGCTTTGGTTCAACTGTGTACAACAACGTGAACTTTGTATCTCAGCTGCCAAACCCAACAACACAAAGCATGAACGTTCTTTGCGCTGGTGGTTTTATGGATATCGACATGTACTTCTGACTGGTTTAGCCGATGAGGCTGCCAAGCGGAAGAATACTATTCTCATCGGGCGTTCATCGGAAGCTCTTTCTCTGAACTGGGATATCGTCAAGAAATTCAACCCCTTGTCATCCACGACACACTGTCGCAGAAGACAGTCGGATTATGGGACACGAAATGATCAAAAGCTTCACAGGATATGCACCAGATTCAGATCATCTCTGATCCGATCACCAGCCGATTCCTACCAAGTCCATGGCGTCTGCGGCCCAACGCAGTAACGATTTACTCCAGAACCAACTCGCTAATTTTAGAGATGATGTGAAAGAGGTGACGTCGCAAGAAGATGTGATATCTGCAAAGTCCCATGGTCGACATGCACGATTTATTTTTGGGTAGACTTGACATATTGGGACTCATCAAGCTCGACGACGAATGTGTCCTTGTAACATGTCCTACGCACCTTTTCTTTGGCTGAGATGAGTGACGAAGTCGCCCTCAACGACAGGGAGCCAGAACGTGCCATCGGAGAACTCGAGCTCGAGTTCGACGGAGCAGAGAAGAAGGTCCCACGGGACCTTGAGGCCATCGAAACGTTCAAGTGTGATATGGGTGACGCACGTGTTAAGTTTATTGAAGCTGTTACCTTGTCACCAAAACTGAACGCCACGAGGTACTCATGCGCCGTCGGGTGATGGGCTACAAATAAAAGGCAGTCTTAATGAAGGAGGCCACAACCATGCGGGCGAAACATCTGGTAGGGGAGCTTACACGTGTTGAGTCTAAGCAGCCTACCGATCGTGGCTAGTGTTGTCAGCAAGAATAGACGCAACCTCTCGAGGGCCGCACAACGTTTTATGTCAAAGTTGTCACGTTACAGTTAAAAGAAAATACACATTTACTTCGATTTAGGTCCGAGGCATAGACCTGGCCTATTCTACAATACTTGTGACGGATCATCCAGTCACTGTCGTTACAAGGCCAGAATGAACCGACAAGACGGGGATGGGGATGTGCCTGGAACAACTGCGGGCGACCAAAACCCATCAACCGTTGTTTGTGTACCGTGTTGCAAGAAACCTACGTTTGAAAGATCGTGTGTTGCGTTATTGCTTACGGAGTGCGGCGCTTTACGCGGCGGTACGTCGGTGTGCCTTCTGTTTATTTCATCTACGAAGTTTTATACGATCAATACGACTGCATATTATTGGTTATGTGGGAGATGGAACTATTTCAGTGAATGTTGTGTTTACAGCAGCTGTGTATACATGATGAAGCAGACAAGTGGCAGTAAGAGAGGCCAAAAACGAGACCAGACAGAAACCCCCGCAACCCTCCCGCCGCGAATCAACGCACGACCAGCACAACAACTGCGATAAGCATGCCCTGTCCCAGTCCTGACCAAAGGCGGCCTCTCTGCCTGCTGCCCCCGCTTGCCACCGGCTGGATCTTAATGTGCCACGCGCACCCCCGTCCCTGGCACATGTAGTACGTCGTCGCGTACCACCCAGGCGGCACGCTCATCCAGGCCGCCGCGGCATCGGGCGGTGGGCCGCCGGCACCGTAGGGTGGCAGCGTCACGGCCGGGTTCTCGACAATGACTGTCTTGTCGGGGCTGAGGACGACAGTGGCCGAGCCGCCGACGACGACGGGGGGCGGGCCGCCATGGGGAGGTGGTGGCTGTGGCTGAGGCTGTGGCTGCGGGGCCAGACTGGGCGCGGACGGCACACCCGGCGTCCAGGTCGGCGTCTGCGAGAACGGGACGGGCACGGGCTCCGGCGTCGGACTCGGCAGGACCCAGGCCGTCGTTGGCGGCGCGGCGGGGGGTGCGGCGGGCGGAGGTGCTGGCACGAGCGTTGGGACACTGCCGACGACGCTGGGCTGTCCGTTGGGTTCCCAGGTGGTGTAGGGTGCGGGCATGGGGTTGGGTGCCGCATTTGGGTCGGGCAGCCGTGGGACGATACTGATTGTCTGTGCGTTCTGGGAGACGGCCGGGCTGAGAATGGCGGTGGACACTTGCAGCCACGTCGGGATCAACATGTTGTTTTTTGTTTGCTTTTCGTAGATGTGTATCGGTCGTGCTGTTGACTGGTTTTCGAGGCTGCGTTGCTGGTTGTCGAGAGCTGATCACCAAAATACACAAGAAAGCATCGAGAAGTCAGATGGGAATACACTGTTTTGATGCGCATCGTCATGTATATGTATTGTATGGACTTTGAATATCTGTTCAGCCACCGTTTTCTTTGCCGAGACTATGTAACCAATTTATTTGTAGGAAAACAACAACATCATGACTATGGACATAATTTACCCATCCTAGCTCTATGCTGTTCACCGCGCCGAAAGTGATTGGTTTGAAAGCAAAGATGGTCATGTTTACTTGACCGGTTGCGATGGTGATGTTTTTGTATTGTTTCCGTGTTATTCGACAAGGCGGAAAATTGCCCTGGATAAATGCAAATGTAAACAGGCCAGGAAACCAAGATATTCGATCCCACCAGTGGCTGGCAACTGCCGCCCGAGCCGCTTTTTGTACTTTTTAAGGGAATCTGGAGAGAAGGGAAATAAGTGAATAGATAATCAGAAAGAGGAAAGGACGTATTTTGTGTTTTAGGTTTTAAAAGACCGAAAAAAAAAGACACACAGAAAATCTACATCGCACGATGACAACACAACGTCAACTTTAATTGTCACATCCTCGGCTCGTCAAAACACGGCGTGCACGGGCATTGCAGCCCTACGGAGGATTAATACGTCAATACGCGTACAAAAAGATTATGTGCACAGACGTTCCAGGCCAGCACTCCGTGTTCGACCGCCTCAGCATATGAGACATGGTCAAGACGCCACACGCCTCTTAAACTCTTCAGCAGATAAATGGTCGACGCTTACTCTTTTTCGGACAGAAACAGAACCTTGTGAAGCGCCACAAATATATTGATGACAGCTGGCAGCAAACGCCACTTTGTCGACGATGTGGTGGTGGCTGCATTCAGCTTCATGTAAGCCCTCCAACTCTACATCCTGCAGAGAAGGTTGTATCCCGTCGGACAGACGTACAGATGACGAAAAGATCCTTCACAATCCAGCCCGCACGTCGCAGTCGCCGAAGAGAAAATGGCCGAGGCGAGAACTTGGAGTGACAAGTAACCTCGTCACGTGAATGGCCGGCGACTACTCCCTCTGACTCGGCCGCCCAAAATAGGGTCGCCGATGCTGCTGCAGAATCGTTGGGCTGAGCCGCGTTAGGCCCCGTCGTCCCCACTGGAGCACCCACTGGAACACCACTACCAGTCCGCCCAGATCCCCGGCGACCACATTATCTTCGCCGTAACTGGTTTTCTCGTTTCCGCCACCCACACACCCAGTAATACCCACTTTTCCGGGCACTAATAACTAACACGCGCAAAGGGGTGTATTGGAAATGCCGTTTCGAGTCATGCAGCCCAGAGGGGAGTACGACAGCACAACGTCGGCGATTATGGGGCATTAAGAATGGAATCGACGATGGAAACTGGAGACTGAAAACTGGAGACTGGATATCGAAACGGCAGCGGCCATCTGCCGGCAAAGATCGGTCTCTTGTAGACGGCACGCGGTTTTTGTGAGTTTGCGGGTTTGCAGGCTCGCTTTGGCTCTCTTGCCGTTCCAAGACGGCTGTCGGCGGCCAGTCCGAGGAAGAGGCGGCCATTCAGACGGCATCTGGGCGCCCTGGACACTTGGGCCGTTGCCCATGCACGTCTCGGACGAGGGACGAGGGGCGTGGGACGGCCTCGGATAGGAGGACAGCCTGGCGGCGCACTGCAGCGTGTCCCACCGAGCCGCAGGTTGTCGGGATAAGGGGCGGCTGACACAGAATATTTGAATAATTTCCCTATCTGGACGTCGGCGAGGATGCAAGATAAGCTGAACGAGCAGAGACGCGCGAGGAGCGAGTGGCCCGAGGAAACTGGGACGGGGACGGAGCAAAGGGAATCAAGACCCAAGCTTCGCACCCGGAGGACATCGAAATAGTGGCCACCTGTTATAGGACGAGATTGTCGCCGAGCTGTCTCCTGTCTTTTCATTTAAAAGAGCCGTCTGTCCTCCTTCGTTGACTCGTGATCCAGCACCATCCAAAGATGTCATCGCAAACGCGTTCATTGTGTTCCCCCTGAAACCACCCTCAGCATTGACCCCGTCCACTCCATTCCCACAATGTCGACGGCGACCACCGACGACATCGAACTCAACGCGGTGCCCTCGGCCCACCTCGTCAACGACGTCGTCGACCACTTCGCCTGGCGCGATGTCCGCGTCGTCGTCAAGGACCGCCAGACCCACGCGCCGCTCTCCATCCTCCAAGACGCCACCGGCATCGTCCACGCCGGCGAGATGCTCGCCCTCATGGGCCCCAGCGGCTCCGGCAAGACCACCCTGCTCAACGCCCTCGCCCACCGCCCGGCCGCCGCCGGCGCCACCACGACGGGCCTTGTGCTGGCCAACGGCGAGCAGGCCACCGCCTCGGTGCTGCGCGACGTGTCCGCCTACGTCGAGCAGGAAGACGCTCTGATTGGCAGCATCACCGTGCGCGAGACGATGCTCTTTGCCGCCCGCCTCGCCCTGCCCAGCACCGTGTCCCGCGCCGAGGCCCGCCGCCGCGTCGACGACTTGATTGCCAGCTTTGGCCTGCAGGCCCAGGCGCACACCATTGTCGGCACGCCCATCAAGAAGGGGCTCAGCGGCGGCCAGAAGAAGCGCCTCGGCGTCGCCAGCCGCCTCGTCACCAGCCCGCACATTCTCTTCCTCGACGAGCCCACGAGCGGCCTCGACTCGGCGCTGAGCGTCGAGGTCATCCGCTACATCAAGGAGATTGCCCGCCGCAACCATCTCGTCGTCGTCGCCTCCATCCACCAGCCGTCCACCACCACCTTCCGCCTGTTTGACAAGCTGGCCCTGCTGTCCGGCGGCCGCATGTGCTACTTTGGCGCCGTCGACGCCGCCCCGGCCTACTTTAACCGCATCGGCTACCCCGTGGCCCCCGCCACCAACCCGGCCGAGCACCTGCTGGACCTCGTCAACGTCGACCTCGACCGCGACGGCGAGGTGCGCGCGCGCACCCAGGCGGTCGTCGCCGCCTGGGCCGCCTCGCCCGAGCGCACCGCCCTCGACGCGGCCATCGACGCCGCCGCCCACGCGCCCGCGAGCCGCCCCAGCCTCGCCAAGCTCAAGACGCCGCGCCTGCCCCTCTGGCGCGGGCCCCTGACCCTGCTGCACCGCGCCTGGATCAAGTCGCACCGCGACATTGTCGTCTACACCATCCGCGTCGTCATGTACCTGGGCCTCGGCGTCCTCATGGGCACCGTCTTTCTGCGCCTCTCCACGCACCAGGACGCCATCCAGCCGCGCATCAACTCCATCTTTTTTGGCGGCGCTTTTATGAGCTTCATGGCCGTCGCCTACGTCCCCGCCTTCTTGGAGGACCTGCACACCTTCCGCAGCGAGCGCGCCAACGGCCTCGTCGGCCCCCTCGCGTTCCTGGCCGCCAACTTTGTCATCGGCCTGCCCTTCTTGTTCCTCATTTCCCTCGTCTTCTCCGTCGTCGCCTACTGGCTGTCCAACTTCCGCCCCGACGGCGCCGCCTTTCTGCGCTGGGTCCTCTGGCTGTTCCTCGACCTGCTGGCCGCCGAGTCCCTCGTCGTCCTCGTCGCCAGCATCTTCCCCGTCTTCGTCGTCGCCCTCGCCGTAACCGCCTTCTCCAACGGCCTCTGGATGGCCGTCGGCGGCTTCCTCGTCCCCATGCCCCTCCTGAACGTCTTTTGGAAGTACGCCTTCCACTACATCGACTACCAGGCCTATGTCTTCCAGGGCATGATGGTCAACGAGTTTGGCGCCCGCGACTTCCTGTGCGACGCCGCCGCCCCCGTCGGCGCCAATGGCACCGCCGCGTCGTACCAGTGTATGTACGCCGGCGCCCGCAACGCCGAGGGCATCATCGAGGGCACCGACGTCCTCCGCGCGTTCAACATTGGGACCAACCACGTCGGCGAGTGGATCGGCATTTCCATCGCCATCACGGTCGGCTACCGTCTGTTGGCGTACCTGGTCCTGCGTTTCCTGCGAAAATGAGTAGCGGAGGGGCATCGGTGCGGTGAGAGTTGAAAGACGGCATTTGATTCCAGTTATCACATAGAAATACGTACCCAGACAGTATCGAATCGAGACAATCCCATCTTAACAGAACGCAGACACCGTATGTGAGAGGAACAAGTAAGACAAAGAGAACATCCGTAAATAGTACGAAACAACACAAAACATACATCCAAACAAACTGTATACAGAACCCAACGCTATCCGTTATCCAAGAAACACCAAAAAAAGAAATATCCAAAAAAAGAAATATCCAAAAAATGTCGTGTCGTTCGTTGGCCGTTCTCGACGGCATGCTGTTGTACGCCTACTCGTCCTCGAGCAGCTCGTACCACTCGGGCGTCTCCTTGATCAGGCTCCACATGTACTTTTCCAGCCGCACGGCGCACTTGTTGTACACCGTCGTCGAGTCGTTGTACTGCCGGCAGTTGTTGATGACCAGCTTCAGGTCCTCCACCAGGTCCTTGGGCGTCGCGTACGCGTCGCGCTCCAGCTTCTCCTCCATCGTCGACAGGTCCATGGGCGACTTGATGACGTTGTAGTAGTCGGGCACCTCGTCGCGGTTCACCGGCGTCAAAAACGGCCAGGCCTGCTTGTGGTTCTGGATCTGGTACAGGAACCGCCGCAGCTCGTTGAAGTGCGGGCCGTGCCGCGGCACCCGACCCAGCGCGTCCATGTCGGGCGACCACCCCGTGGCCTGGATCGCCGGGATCGCGAGCGGGTCAATCGCCGGCAGGGCCTCGCCCGCCGCCGCCGCCGCCGCCCACTGCGCCGGCGGTGCATGCACCACGTGGCTCTTGCTGAGCGGCCGGATCTTGGCGCGGATCGTCTCCTTTTGTTTGAGGAGCAAACGGCCCACCTCCAGGTACCGCACCCGCGGCACCATGCTGCACTGCATCAGCGTGCCGCCCTCGTAGTCCTTGATGTACCCCATCCACAGCGGCTTGTCGAGCGTGATTTCCTTGGTGAACCCTTGCTTCTGGAAGTAGCCCGTCGCGTAGTTGTCCGCGTACGTCAGGAAATGCATCACCGGCGACGTCGCCTTGACGTAGTCCTTGAGGTGCGCCATCATGTGCGCGCCGTAGCCCTTGACCTGCTGGTCCGACGACACCGCGCAAAACACAATCTCGGCAAACTTGCGCTCGTTGAAGGGCCGGATCGCAATGCCGCCAATCACCTCCAGCGGGTGCCGCACAATCGCCAGCGACACGTGCGTCCGGTCGTACACGAGCCGTGCAATGTAGTCCTTGGGCATCTTGGGCAGCTGCTTCTGGAACAGGTTTTTGAGGCCCGTCAGGATGATCATGCTCTCGCGCGCATTGTCGTTGTTGACCACCTTGAACTGGATTTCGCCATTGCGTTCCTCGACGACGGCGGGCTGCAAGGGTTAGTGGTGCTGTGGCTTTCGAGAGAGAGAAAAAAAAAAAGGCAAACAACGCATGCCCACACTGCGTACCTTTTCTGGAAACGGAATCCGCGCCGGCATCGCCGGCTTGCCCGCCGCCGGCGGTGTCGACTCGGCTTTCGCGGCCGGCCCCTCCGCGGTCGTGGCCGCCGTCGCACCGGCTTTCGCGTCCTCGCCCCCAGCCGCATCCGCGTCCACCTCCACCTCCTCCGTCTTCACCACGGGCGCCGCAGCGGCAGCATCGTCGACTGGCGAGTGCGAGCTCTTGAGCCGCTTCGTGTCCGACGCCATTTCTGGTTCGTCGGACGCCGCCCGCTTGGCCACGCGCACCGCCGTCGCCTCGGTCTCAATCACTTGTGTTTCCGTGCTCGCCATCTTGGTCTGGTGCGTGCGCGCGTGTGTGGTCGCTGTGTGGTCCTGTGTGGTCCTGTCGTGGGCATGGGTCCGACGACGACGGACGTTGTTGCGCAACTTGGGGAAAGGAGTCGAGGCTCCCCCGTATTTCGGTGGATGCCAAGCCCAGGTCCGAGGCCTAGCGTGATGCAGTGGAGTCGAGATCCAGATGAATGATGTTCGGAGTGCGGCTCTTCGATTGCTCACGCGTCGGGATTTCCTCGGGTCCAACGGTTGCGTCGCAGCGCATCGAAAGAAAAGAAAGTAACGATCGAAGGGGGCCGTCTGCCAGACAACGACTCGCGGTGTGGGTGTGCAGAGCAGTCGTGCGCGAGGTGGATGTCGGCATTGGCGAATGCGCATCAGATTTTGTGGACCGGAGTCACAACGAGATGCCAGGGGCCGATCGCGTCAAATTTAGTGGAGCCCCGTATACCTGCATTTCAGCTCCTTTAATCGCAATTGGATCACATGCTGTTAAACAGCTACGCTAAGGCTGCCTTACACCACCCACAGCTTGTCACTCTCCTCGCTCGTATGGCCGTCCCTCATCCCGTGTTCCGTTTTGTTTATTCGGTGATGCTTTCGGCTTGTTTATTGACTTTTTCCTCTTCCCCCACGTACATCCCTCGTTTCCTTCTCGCTTAGCCCTGTTTGTTTTCCGTACGGAGTATTTCGTACTATTTCGTACTTTCCAAAGCGTTTTCCGCTAGCGTTGACCGAAGTTCATTCTGCAGGTCATGGCGATCGGCGGAGCAAAGAGCTGTCGACTCGTTTCTCTTCCCTGCATCATCGCAAGCACGTGGGCCAAGCCACTCGCTGACTTGGACTGCGCGTTGCCTTGATGGCTTGATGCTGCCCGTCTCTGACCGTTTCTAGCGACCGACGGCACGAAAAGCTTAACTGATAGACGCGTGCCAAGGCTCTGCATCGTGCATCGTGCATCTTTCGCCTCTGTCTAGATTGCTGGCGGCCCAATAGACCGGCCGCTTCACGATCTGGGATATTCAGCCGGCTCCGAAAGATATAAAAGCCCGCCTCCTCCTTGCGATGTGAGACCATCAATTTGCCAGTCACCCCTCCATCTTCATCTGCATCTCCCCCTCTCCCTCCACCTCCCATCAATCATCCTCTTGCCCGCCATGAAGACTGCTGTCCTCGTCTCTGCCCTTGGCCTGGCCGCCTCGGCTGCTGCGTCCGGCCCCACGGTCTACCTCATCCGCCACGGCGAGAAGCCCTCCTCGGGCAACGGCCTCAGCGCCCAGGGTCTGGAGCGCGCCCAGTGCCTGCGCACTGTGTTTGGCGCCTCGAGCAGCTACAACATTGGCCACATCATGGCCCAGCAGCCCTTGTCGAGTGGGTCCCCTGCCTCTTGTCCCTTTTCTCCCTTTCAGATGCTGCGGCGTTGCTAACAAGACACAACAGCCGGCAAGCGCCAGCGCCCCCTGGACACGGTGCAGCCGCTGGCCACCGACCTCGGCCTGACGGTCGACACCTCGTGTGACCGCGACGACGAGAGCTGTGTCAAGAATGTCATTGACAACTACTCGGGCAGCGGCAACATCCTGCTCTGCTGGGAGCACGATGAGCTGACGAACATTGCCCAGGCGCTGGGCGCGAACAACGCCCCGACGTACCCGGACGACAGCTTCGACCTGATCTGGACGGACCCGTACGACTACTCGTCCATCACCAGCATCACGTCGGAGAACTGCCCCGGCCTCGACAACTAGACGAGGAACGTACACCTGCCAGAAACGTGCACGCTGCATTCCCGAAAGGGATGTGCGCGATGCAATCATGCACGGGGAGAGCGGACGGCTGCACGGTTTCCGTGAAAAGGAAATTAAGTAACCTGCCGCTCTACATTCGTCTCATATTTCTTCTCTCATGTACATATGCTACAAAACTTTTAGTAAAAAAGAATGACATATTCCGTGGAACCATTCGCTCCCAACACCTTCGTGGCCCCTGAATCGCTGTTATTCCTGTGTTGCATAATAAGTGTGTGCCGTGTGGATGCGAGCATCCGCCTTTGTTCCCGTAATATTGCACTCCTCTCCGTATCCGTCCCGTCCTTTTTCGCCATTTCACACCTTCGGGTTCTCTTCCCATTGTCCGCGGCCGTCGGCCTACATTTCCTCATACAGAATGCCTTGGCTTATTTGCCTTGTAAATCCACAACACTTGCACGAATTCCCACTCCTAGCGCCATACATTCTAATTTCATCTTGTTTGCAGGCTCCACGACGGACAGCTGCAGCGTGTAAATTGCACGTGTGACAGACATGGCTACGGAGACGGAAGTCGACATTGACTCCTCATTCGTGGTCGGGGCCGACGCCTTCAAATTTTACGTTTTGTTGTCTCCAGCAATCATGATTTCCGCCTCTCTCCATAATACGACGCGAACGGTGAGGATGCCTTCCTGTTGGGGAATGGACGGTGACACAAGAATATGGTGTATGTTCCCGTGATGTTATGTCTTTGGCGGCCAGAAGAGGAAAGAGTGATGGAATCAAGGCAGGAACGAAGGTCCGCTCTTGCCATATATTTTGTCGACCGTGCCGTTTCTTTCCCCCTTTACAGCCCCTTTTATGTTTCTCTTTCTTCACGTCTTTCTCTCACCTCTTTCCTCTTCTCACCAAACATCCCAACATTAGCCGGCTCGATACCAAGACAGCCACGGACACATACGCGACACCGACGCCATGACCTCCCCCACTGAGCCCCATACGGGCGTGTTTTCGCACATCAACGGTCCTCGAGATGACCTTCTCGACCGCCTCGCCGTCGCCGAGATCTGCAAAGGCTGGCCGGTGTACCGTGACGCGTCGGAGTGGCAAAACTTTCGCTCCCTCTTTGCCCCGAAAGCGACGGTGTGGACCAGTATGTTGTTCCCCTCTGTGCTCTCATCACATTTGCATTGTTCGCCGCTCACCGTATTTAAAGCCTGGTCCGGTCCGTGCGACATTGACGCGTTCATCAACGTGTCCAAAGAAGGCAAGGCCCGTGGCGTGTTTATCCAGCACCGCGAGTGCGGCACGCTGGTCGAGCTGGGCCCGGACGCGCCCGGCGAAGGATACGACGTCGAAGGCGACACGGCCGTCGCCAGCCAGCGCAGCGGCAATGACACGGTCACTGGCACGGGCACGGACACTGCTGGTGGCAACGCCACCGTCCCCTCCTCTGCTCCGTCCCGCAGCGTCCGCCGCGCCGTCGGCAAGATGAAGGCCACCATCACGCAGCGGTTCGTCAACCCGGGGGACGGCATCGAATTTGATGTCGACTGCGACTGCCGCTTCCTCTTCTTTTTGGAGAAGATAAAGGGCCCTGCCGGCGACGCCGCCTGGCGCACCGTGTATGTCAAGCTGTTTTACGAAAAGGACAAGATCGTGCCGGCCGACGGCCACTCGACGCCCGCGCTCACGGCCGAGGAGCGGGCGTATATGCAGGACGAACTGCCCGAAGGATACCGGTACCTGGGCGTGATGCAGCGTCGGCTGGGATACGCGGTGGACGCGAAGCTGCCGACGCCGCGGAACGCCGGATGGGAGGCAATGTACAAGGCGATGGAGGCGTGGCTGGTGGGCGACAAGGTAGAGCTCTAGGTGTGAGATGGGGTTCGCAGGGCTGCAAGCCAGAGGTCGCACGATGAGACGGCGAGGCAACAAGTGATGTTTTGGACGCGGATCGAAAAGATGTCCTCGTAGGTGGCAAAGTTAGGTAGCAAGGCGCAGACAAGCATGCTTTGCGATGGAAACCAAGAAATGAGAAGGAGAAAAGGAAGTTGCATTTAGCAATAGTCTAAAAATACCAGTCGCTTAAACAAAGTGAAGAAAATAAAATATGGTTTGCCTGGCGGAGTTTGCTCGACGGCCGAGGCGTATGTATCTTGAAGAAAAAAGTATGTACAGCAAACGCTACCGACCAGTCGGGTGTAGAAGAAGGAAAATAAAAATGAAGTTGAGGAAAAAGCAAAGGTGCGTCTACTTCTTCCGTCCTGCACAGTCGCAAGAGCCCCCTTTTTTGATGCCCCAGTACAGCAACAAACTCATACTGACAAAGATGGCGGCGACTGTACGGTTAGTGACGCCCATCAGTCACATAAGTCAGCAGACTGGCTTGCCAAGGCAGAGTGGACTCACCAACAGCGACCACTTCGCCGACGTGGTTGTTTGTGTCTCGTCGGAGCAGGACGTGGCCGACACTGTGCAGGCGGCGGGCGGCGAGGGTCAGGTCGTCGTCGAGGCCCTGCCGGATCGCGTCCAAGTCGATGACCAGCGGGAGGGCGGGCATGATGATGCAGGTGGTGTGTGAGAGCGGAGAAAGAGGTGAGTATCGTTGAATGATGGTCGTGCTGGTCAAATGCAAAGGTGCCCGTTGGGTATCGTTGTCGAAAAGGAGCAATAATCAAATGAATGGAAGTCGAGGCCGGCTGCGAGGAGATGAGACGAGATGTAGATGGAACTGAACGAGGACGCAGAAGAGAAGGGAACAAAATGAACGACAAAAAAATGAATGAATGAATACGTGAACTAGCTAGAATAGACGCAGAGGCAGGATAAACAAGAACGAACAAAGGAAAGAAACAAAAACGTGGCGGGCTGCACATTTCATATGCAGCAAAGGAGACCAACCCCTTGTCGTCACAGAAGGCATTCGTCACGCCTCACGATAATGCAATCTCATCACATATCGTACTCCGTACTGGATATCCCTTTCTTTTTTTGTCCTCGCTTCGTCTCTCACTGCCACAGGAATCGACCAGGGTCTAGCCTGCTGTGGGCTTGCTGGACAAGGTTGACAAGGCGGACGTGACAGTCGCAGCCATGGGAAGTCCACTGCCCTTGGCCAGTTTCAAAGACGAGAGTCTAGTCCCAGCAGAAGACGCTGGATGCGTCGTGCTGTTCCGTTCTGGACATCCTCCAAGTCCAGAAACCAGAAAACCAGAGACCAAAACAACAAGAGCCCTGGTCAGCGATCCCCGGCAGACGAGACGACCAAGACGTCCAAGACGTCCTTTCTGAGCGCTTTCATTGGCACAGCCCGTCGAGTGGTTCGATGATGTGTGTCCGGGGGTTGTCGTTTGGTGGCATTGTGTTGCATTTGGTGGCATTTTACAGGCAATCGGAGACATTTTGGGGCTCCTTGAGGTGGGTGGGTCCGGCGCCTGCCGTCGCGGGTGTTTCGATGTGGGTCACTGCTCGTTGTTTTGTAACAGTTTGGGGGGGGGGGGGGACTTTAGGGGTCGATTTCAGGTCATTCAGGCCATTTTGGGCATTGTCACCTCATTTTGCGCTGTGGTCGCCGGGTCTTGTCAGAAATCTACAGGGATTCTTGATGGTAAGATACTCTTTCGTACAGCGCTCTCTCCGCGTCATTGCAACGGCCAATGGAGTCCCAAAATAAATCCAACGTGCATAACAATACCGAGAAAAAGGAGCCGCAAAGGAAAGCGACGAAACAAACAAGACTTTGACTCGGCATCTGGGCAGACTCGGCAGGCTGGGCAGGGCATTGTTACTTGACAGTTCTGTCGCACATACGAATTACGAAATAAATAGTGCCGCGTCGGCATCCACCCCTTTCTATACAAAGAATACCATAGTGAAACGGTGTGGAAACAGAGTATCTCTCCTATTCCTCTCCTTTTTTAATGTGAAGGTGCTTCAAATTTTCTCCGTTCCATGGCTGTCCCCTTTTCCAAGTCATCTCCTTTCACGTGCGGGCTTGTGGCGAGCAAATTCTCTTTGTTCTTTCTCCTTCAACGAAGGGGTTTATTTTGAAGTCAAGTTGCATTGTCACGCGCTCCGCTCGTGTTGCCTCACTCCGTTCGTGTTGCCTCGTTCGCTTCGCTCACTCGTCACTCGTCACGTCACGCATACACCTCCAGCTCGGCCAGCTGCATGCGATAGCCAGTCTCGCCGCCGACGCCGCTCAGCTCGGTGGCCGTGACGCGCACGTAGCGGACCGTCGCGCTCGGAAAGGTAATGACCTCGGCGCGCCCGGCCTTGATGCTCGCGCCGTAGCTGGGCTGCGACGAGAGCGTGGTCCAAGCGTTGCCGCTGCCGGTTGAGCCCTCAATGACAAACGCGACGGGGAAGCCGGTGCCGGCGGCCGTCGAGACGTCGCTGCGGGGGTGCAGGACGACCTTGCCGACGGACTGCTGGCGGCCGAGGTCGACCGCGACCCATTCAGTGGCCTGCGACGACGCGTGCGCGGCGGACGACCAGCCGTTGCTCGTGGCCGCGTCGCCGCGGACGTTGCCGTCGGTCAGGTAGGCGACGGCCCAGCCGCCACCGGGGGCGCTGCGGTCGTCGGAGGAGGCGGTGACCGGGCTGTGGAGGGCGAGGTTGCTGGCGCGCGTGTCGCCGCCGGACGCGCCGGCGGGCGTCTGGTAAAGGGCCGGGGAGCCCCACTGGGTCCAGCCGTAGACGTCGTTGCCGGTGGTGCTGAGGGTGAAGGAGACGGTCTGGCCGGCCCAGGCAGTGACGTCGGCCAGGACGGGCAGCCAGTGCTTCCAGGTCCAGTAGGTGGGCGGGAGGATGATGCCGTTGCCGAGCAAGAGGCTGTCCCCGTTGATGGCGGCCTGGAAGGTGGCGGTGCCGCCGTTGGGCCCGGCGCCGTCCTTGATGCCGAGGGCGGCGTAAAAGTTGAGGCGCTGGCCATCGCGCACGGCCGGCAGCGGGACGGTGTAGGTGATGACGCCGCCGACGGCTTCGTAGACCGTCTTGAGGGCCACGCCGCCCGACGAGCCATTGGCCGCGAGGTGGTTGTCCGGGCCGGACGCCGTGGCGGTTGCAAAGGCGTCGTACAAGTCAAAGACCTTGCGGCCCGGGTTCCAACCCGGCGGTTGCTGCGGCCGGGCCGTGTCGGCGTACGTGGCGAGGAACTTGTTGATGTTGTTGCCCCAGGTGTCGCCCGTGGTCGGCGAGCCGAAGAGCGCGTACTGGTCCTTGGCCGTGACGTTCTCAAAGGCGTTGGGGCACAGGATCTTGGCGCCGTCGCGCCAGAGCGTCGTCAGCGTGTCGTACGCGAAGGCGTCGTCAGTGCTCAGCGGGTTGAGCTCAAACAGGCCGAAATTGTTGCCGCCGTCGGCGCGCAGCGGCGTGTCGATGCTCTGAAAGTCCAGCGGCGCGCGGCCGTACGCCGTGTAGCCGCCGGCGCCCAGCGCGGCCGTGGCGGTGGTGAGATCGTCGGCAAAGGCGTAGAACTCGAGCTCGGGCGTCTGGTGGCCGTAGACCAGGTCGCGCGGGATGCCGGCCTCGACGATCCACGCCGTCTCGTCGGACGTCGTGTGCACAATCGCCTGGATGCGCCACCGCTGCCACTCCTCCGTGAACGGGTCGCCCGTGCGCAGGGGCGCCGGCGGCGCGACGTCGTCCCACGACGCAAACGACTGGCCCGTGGCGGCGTTGAAGTCGGCGACGGACGCAAAGGCGGGCACACGGCCCTGGCCAAAGTAGGCGCCGCCGGCGCCGTAGAGGCCCGTGTGCTGCATCCACTCCTTCCACTCGCGCACAAAGAGCGGGTTGTAGTCGGCGGCGTCGTTGGCGTACAGCGTCTCCGAGTCCAGGCTGATGCCGGCAAACAGAGCCGGGTGGTCGGCCGCCCACGCGGCAATCGTGCGCATGGACGCCTGCAGGTTGCGCCGCTTGTACGACCGGTAGTAGTCGTTGTACCGCGAAAACGAAAAGTAGTTGGACCCGTAGTCGTGCCCGTAGAGCGAGTCGCCCGCGCTGTTTTGCATCGTCGTGTCCGGCTGCGCCGCAATCGCGTCCAGCAGCGCGTCGTTCCACCCGCCGTCCGAGTTGCTCGTGCAGCAGTCGGCCCAGCGGCCGTTGTTGGCGTGCACCAGGATGGGCAGCGCAAGCTCGGCGGCCAGCCCCAGGACGTAGTCCAGGTTCGTCGGGTCAAACGTGTAGTTGGCGGCCGCCGACGACACGTCGCGGCTCAGGCACCACGACGAAAAGGAAAAGCCCAGCTTCGTGTTGCGGCCGCCGGTGCCGAGCATCGACTTCATGCCGCTCAGGATGGCCAGGTCGTTGGTCCGGCTGTCGTTGGCCAGGGCGCCCTCGTAGATGGGCAGGACGTAGGTAATGTCTTCCGAGGCCGTGCCCCAGGCTGCGGCAAGCCGGCCGGCGACCACGAGGGCCAGCCACTTGTACGCGACCATGCTGGGGGTGGGATGAAGAGAAAATAAACGAATTTAAACGAACGGTGACAATGACGTGACCATGTCGCAGAGGACTGGTGAGGATGAAGATATCTAAATAAGTGCCCCGGAGTCGAGTACGTACCTCCGTTATATACAGCGCAGAGTTGTCATTGCGAACAACGCCGAAAAAGAGGAGGCGCCAGCCGGTGAGCTTGACACTGAAATCCCGGTATACTCTGTCGACTCTGTTGTAGACTCGAAAGACGCACATGACGTAAACAAACTACCCCGACTTCCCCATGTTTGCGAGGAGTGGTCCGAGACGATCCGTTGTGGAAAAAGAGAAAGGACAGTGCATGTCGGCCGAGTACGTCGTGCCTCTCGCTGTGTATTCGTGCGAGGTCTGCCAAAGAATGAGAAAAGACCAGTCAGTGAAGGGAATGCGACAGAATCGGTGCAACTGGACCCGAGTGAGCGGACATGCAGCTCTGCTCTTATCCTTCTGATCCCTGCGTCATCCGCCTTCTGTGCAAAGGCTTCTGTTGGCGCCAACAAACTAGCACGAACTGCTGTCGATCATTTCCCAAATCACATTGAATTGCAGCAATGCCTACCAGGCGCATTCGCTGCCAGTTGGGACGAGGCGAGGACGAATGAGTCGGGACAAATGCAAGAACAGGTTCGAGGACTGCAAAACAAAAGGATGGGTACTGTGGCGGTGATGTTGGGGGACCAGAGGCGAGTCGACCGGGAAGAAGAGAGAGAAAATTAGGAACGAAAACAAAAACAAGAAGAGAGTCAAACTGAAAATAAGCATTCGACCGAACCGCCACACGCACCACCAATGCTAGAGAACTCCACTACCCGTCTTCCCCATACTCTCGTCCACTCCACTGTATCGTGTGTCGGGGTTCCGTCCCGCCGTTGCATGCCGGGCGGTTGTCGTCTGGACGTAGACTCCAAAATGGCCGCACTCCCTCGCGTCTCCCCAGATTTCCAGGCATGTATTCCCACTAATAGTTTGCGGTAGTCTCCGTACAGCAGCCCATAGCCCGTGCTTTCAAATAAACGCCAACCTTGCCACTTTTTTTTACAATCGTCGGCGCCGTGATGCAGACGGCCCCCAACGGCGTGGCCCTCATGATTGTCTCATGGCTGCGCTCGGGTTCTGCCACGCCTGTTTGTACGCGACGGGGGAAGAGAGAGTGGGGTGGGGGGGGGGGGGGAGGGGGCGCGGTGAAGAAAGGAATACCTCTTTTCTTTAGCTCGCAGTCGGCGATACTTCTAACGCCCTTTGGGGTATCTGTACGGTGGTTTTCGAGATTTTGTAGCGCGATTACACGTGGTGAAGAGCGTGTTGTTCCGCAAAATTTGGTGGGAAAAACTCCATTGCGCCTCAACTCGTTTTAAGAGCGGCCGGGCACCACGACACCGCTTTTGCCTTCCTGTTGTCGCCTTACCAAGAGAGGCACTCTCGATTGGCATGGGCGAGCGTCGTAAGTGAATCAGGAATCGGTCAAAATGGACCTGTTCCCCCAATGAGAACTTACTTTGCACTTTCATCAACGCCAGTTGCTTTACATGCCGTGTTGATGCCTTGTTCTACTGCTTTGGTCGTAGCCGGGCTGTGCTACATAGATTCCAACCAATGTGCGTTGTGACCAGCATTGATTTTGTGCGGCGCACGAGAAAGGGTGGTGGCTGTGCTAGATAGGTCACCAACGGTGTGAGTGCTTTTGGCTTCTGTCAAGAGGCTCGTCGAATGTTGCCCGTCTGTGCCACCGGTACCCGACCGTGCCACGGCTTCCCGACTGGACTTGGCGATGCTCGACGTACCTCCGGTGCCCGAATGTGCCTTCCACGCCCGACAAGCAAGATAGCTTTCAGCAAGCTGTACGACTGTGGAAGTAATAAATTCGCTTCTTCTATGAGATTCAATATGATAAAGTGTCACCCCTGCTCTTGAACCAAGTACTTCTTCAAGTCAGCACCGTTCTCTTTTCTTTTCAAATTTTTTGGTGATGTTTCCGTCCAAGCCTACTTCACACCCTCGCAGTGCACCAATACCCCTTTTCACGATGAGCACATTTCGGTACTCGCCGCTTCAAGCCGGCACAGATTCGATCAGACTGTTAATGTTAAACGGAGGAGCGTTTTTTAGCGATATTTCTTGCCAGCTATTCGAAACGTCCCTAGCAGAAGCACCCGGGTACTCGGCTTTATCATACACCTGGGAAAACGATGAGCCTACTCGAGGTTCCGAATCTCCGCACGACATTTCCATTGACGGCCATGCGGTCCCGGTAACGAGCAATTTATATGCAGCCCTACAGCAAATACGACCGGAAACGGGACATATTATTCTATGGATCGATGCTCTTTGCATTGATCAAAGCAACGAACTGGAGCGAGGCGATCAGGTCAGGCAGATGGGACAAATCTTCAGCACCGCGGAAGAAGTACTCATCTGGCTAGGCCCGAGTCTGAGTGACAACGACGAAAATGGCATCCAAATTCTTTTCGAGTCGATTAATTGGATCGACGGACATGCCACGCATGCCCAAACGGTCGGCTACACAACGAGCTGGGCGACACTTTGCTCTGACTGGATGCGCCAGCGGCCGTTGGATATGCTGGACACCGAGCGAATACAACGCCAAGCCCAGAAGGAGCTTTTAACAAGACGATGGTTTACGCGGGTTTGGATTCTGCAGGAAGTCGCCGTAGCAAAAACGGCGAGGGTTCTATGCGGGTCATATGCTTGCCCGGCAAGATCGTTCGCGCTCATGCCCTCACTCATAGGGCTTGACGTCGACGAACGCACCCAAGCCATCCTGGACATCATGCCGCGATTCCGCCAAAACACTTGGTGGTCATCACAGCGACAATTGCACGTTCTTCTCAACAAGTTCGCCAACAGCGCGGCAAAACGGCCAAAAGACAAAATCTACGCGTTGCTTGGCATGTCCGAAGATGCGTGCGACCCCGAGCGGTTCTATCCGCACTACACCATACCCGGCAGCGAAGCCTTTCGCAATACCGCTTGCTTTCTGTTGTTTGGAGACGTTCTGGATGCCAGACATGCTTTTCCGGATTTTACCCTGGAGGAGCTGCGCCTTCCAATCTTTCAACTCGCCCAAAAAACACTTGAGTGGGCGCTTTGCCAGACGGAGGGATGGCACGAGGCGTCACACAAGACAGCAGCACGTCTCGTTGACCGTATCAACGAGGGCCAGTTGGAGAGAGACGATCTGTTGTTGTCTCTTGCTCGGTCGCATGGACAGGAGTCTGACATGGATGGCGTGTTGTCCCAAGGAGACATTCATGTTGGCGTCATTTTCGGCTATGCCACTAATACGTTAAGAGTGACTTCGCAAGCGGGGCCTACTTTCCAAGCAAATCTTGTTTATGGACAGTCTCCTAAGAAAAGGGTATCGCATCTAAAATTCGGAATGAACTTGATCTTGTTCCTCGTGAGAATTGTAACTGTGGTCAGAGGGATTTCACGTGATTGACGATGGCCTTAGCTTTTATTTTTTTTCTGTGTTTTTTTTTTCTGGTGCGTATCTGTGTGTTGTGTGACAATGACCAAAAAGAGAAAAGTACTGTTAAAGGAAGTAGGTAGAGAACAGGCAGGACTTTCACAACGAGAAACAAGGGGCGGCCGGTTGATGTGACTTCTGATCAGACTCCAACTATGAGGCCATGCCGCAAAAAGACCTTCTTTCTCGACGTCTCTCTCTAGGAGAGTCTAAAAACAACTAAAATATTCTTGTCTAAAACAAGAGATAGTCTAGGTACCCATCTTGAAAAGTATGTGCGTTGGAAGCAGGCGACGCGCTACCACCGCGGGCTCGGCCATGCCGCGCTGGAGCTCTTTGCCCGCAAGAACACCGCATTGATATTGCGGACCATGCCCACTTTCCAGGGACTTTTGTTGAAAGCGAGACTGTTGATCTTGCCCCTATTAGTCGGTTGTTAGCGTGTGGGGTAGAGGACGACCGCTGCAACCGTGTGGGGAAGCAGCCGCTGTCGTTTCTCTCGTTCTCTCGTTCTCTCGTTTCTTCTTTTCCATTTCCTGCACGTCCTCACCTCGCGTTCCCTCGTCAGTGGATAATGCCGGCCACATCGCAACGGCCGCGCCACAGATGCCTGTGTCGGACGTCTCCGCACTGGCTGACGCCTATCTCGCTTCCAAAACGTAGTCTAAGCTGGTCATGTGTGGTGCAAAGCCTACGAGAAGAATTTGTCGTCCTACGAAGTGAATGTACCGCTTCACCTTCAAGTTCCTCTCCTTGGTGCTCGTCCCTTGCTGTTTCCTATGACAGAATGGCCTCCCGGGTCTCACTCATCCTGACTACCGAGAACATCCTCGTCGATGTCGGTGCTCGCGATAGTCTTGTACGAGAGACGATCTACTGCACTAGACCACTCGTCGCTGTGCTTATTTTTTGCCAATTTGCGGGGAAGACCTCGCTGGATTGTATGCCGAGTGAAGGTGGTGTGGTTACTTCGTCGTAGTGTCACCGTTTACTCTTGCATGCTATCCTTGTCATCTCTTCTGGCATCTCCTTGCCGCGGTCTCTGCAGCATTGTCGGCCGAGGTCGCGTTAGCCAAGAACTGTTGTATTCGTCGCCTTATATCACAGATCTCCGGAGACGGATCCCAGCCATTGTCTGCACAGTACACTGGAACGTACACGTCTGTCCCTGTCTACGTCAACCGACATCACCACCATCGAATCTCCAAGAACAAGACGCAGCCACAGTCACAGTCACGTCACACAATGACCCCATCGTGGGACCTCTTCCCCGCGTCGCGGGTGCCCTTCTCGGCGGCCATGTTCCAGGCGCCCGGAAAAGAATACCGCGCGACGCCCCTCTGGTCGTGGAACAACAAGCTCACCGAGCCGGAGCTGCTGCGGCAGATTGACGAGCTCAAGGCCATGGGGTTCGGCGGCTTCCACATGCACACGCGCGTAGGCCTCGACGTGGAGTACCTGGGCCCCGAGTTTATGCGGCTCGTGCGGGCGTGCGTGGACTACGCCAAGGAGCACGACATGTACGCGTGGCTGTACGACGAGGACCGGTGGCCGTCGGGCTTTGCGGGCGGCAAGATCACCGAGGACGAGGCGAACGCGTCGTTCCGGTGCCGCCACCTGCTGGTGACGCCGTGGGCGTACGGCGACGCGTCGCATCCGGGGCGCGAGGGCCAGCCCATGTCCAACTCGGGAGAGGCGCGGCGCTCGGAGCTGGGCCGGCTGCTGGCACGGTACGCCATCCGGCTGGACGAGGACGGCTACCTGGCGGGCCACCGTCATCTCGCAGAGGGCGACGAGGACGGGGTCACGGACGGCGAGCAGCTCTGGTACGTCTACGACGAGACCAACGCGCCGTCCGAGTGGTTCAACGGCAGCTACTACGTGGACACGCTCAACCCGGAGGCGATGCGGGCGTTTGTGGCGGCGACGCACGAGACCTACAAGCGGGCCGTGGGCGACGAGTTTGGCCGGGCGGTGCCGGCCATCTTCACGGACGAGCCGCAGTTTGCGATGAAGAAGCGGCTGGCGCACGCGCGCGGCCAGGCCGACGTCTTTCTGCCGTGGACGCACGACCTCGCGGCGACCTACCAGGCGCGCTACGGCGCCGACCTGCTCGCGGGCCTGCCGGAGATTGTCTGGGACACGCGCGGCGCGGCGTCGGCCACGCGCTACAACTTCCACGACCACGTCTGCGAGCGGTTTACGAGCGCCTTCACGGACCAGATTGCCGGCTGGTGCGCCGACAACGGCCTCGGGCTGACGGGCCACATGATGTTCGAGCCGGAGCTGGCGACGCAGACGGGGTCCGTCGGCGAGGCCATGCGCTGCTACCGCGGCATGCACCTGCCGGGCATCGACATGCTGTGCGACTGGCGCGAGTACACGACGGCCAAGCAGGCGCAGTCGGTCGCGCGCCAGTACGGCCGCTGCGGCGTGCTGTCGGAGATCTACGGCGTGACCAACTGGACGTTTGACTTTGTGGGCCACAAGGGGTCGGGCGACTGGCAGGCCGCGCTGGGCGTCAACGTGCGCTGCCCGCACCTGGCGTGGTACAGCATGGCCGGCGAGGCCAAGCGCGACTATCCGGCGGCCATTGGCTACCAGAGCCCGTGGTGGCGCGACTACAAGGCCGCCGTCGAGGATCACTTTGCGCGCGTGCACTACGCGCTGACGCGCGGCGTGCCGGCCGTCCGCGTCGCCGTCGTGCACCCCATCGAGAGCTTCTGGCTGGCCTACGGGCCGCACGACACGTCGGCGGCCGCCGTCGAGATGGAGAAGCGCTTCCAGGACGTCACGGACTGGCTGTGCCACGGCCTCGTCGACTTTGACTTTCTGGCCGAGTCGCTGCTCCTCGAACAGAACGTGGCCGCGCGCGGCGGCCAGCTGCACGTGGGCCACGGCCACTACGACGTCGTCGTCGCGCCGGCGCTGCACACGATCCGCTCGACCACGCTGGCCGCCCTCGCGGCCCTGCTGGCGGACGGCGGCACGGTCGTCGTGGCCGGGCCGCCGCCGGCGCTCGTGGACTGCGTGCCGACGACCAAGGCGGCCGACGCCCTGGCCGCTGCGGTGCACGTCCCCTTCAGCAAGACGGACATTCTGCACGCGCTCGAGGACGTGCGCGACGTGCGGGCGACGCTGACGCGCAGCGGCCTAGCCGCCGACGCGCTCCTCTATCAGATGCGCGCGGACGGCGACGATCGCTACGTGTTTCTGTGCAACACCGACCGCCAGCACGCGCGGGACACGCAGCTCGACCTGCGCGGCGACTGGGATGTGCGTGTCCTCGACACCATGACGGGCGATGTCCGCGCCCTCGCAAACACGACGGCCGTCCACCGACAGGGCGTGCCGTGGACGTCTTTCCCGTTTACGTTTGACGGCTGCGGGAGCGTCCTGCTGCGCCTGCAGCCCAAGACGTCAGCGTCCATTCCGCCCTCGCTCACGTTTTCGCGCCCCGAGTGGCACGTCGCCGGCGAGCTCGCCCTCCGCAAGGTCTCCCTCAGCGAGCCCAACGTCTTGCTGCTCGACATGGCGCGCTACCGCCTGGACGACGAGCCCGCCTGGTCGGACCACGCCGAGGAGATTTTGCGGACGGACAACATCGCCCGCCGGCGCGTCGGCCTGCCGCTGCGCCAGGACAATCTGGCGCAGCCGTACCGCGTGCCGCCGCGCACGCTGCCCGCGGCGCACACGATCCATCTGCGCTTCGTGTTTGAGGCCCTTCTGTCGCAGCCCGTCACGGACGCCCAGATCGCCCTGGAGGGGCTGGACACGGCCACCATCGTGCTCGACGGCCAGCCGGTCCCCAGCACCAAGACGGGCTGGTGGGTCGACCGCCTCATCGAGACGGCCGCTCTGCCGCCGCTGGTCGCGGGGCCGCACGTCCTCGACATCAGCCTGCCCCTGGACGTCCGCACCAACGTCGAGCGCGTCTACGTGCTGGGCACCTTTGGCGTCGACCTGCGCGGCCGCGACGCCACCGTCGTCGACCTCGCGCTCGACCGCGTCCGCATCGGCGACTGGACCCGCCAGCGGCTGCCCTTTTACGCCGGCGACGTCACCTACGAGTTTGCCGCCGTGGCCGGCCGGCGCCGCACCGCCGTCCAGGTGCCGCGGTTTGCCGCGCCCGTCTTGCGCGTTGATGTGCGCACGGACGGCGACGGCGACAACAACGCCACCCACTCCGACGCCCACATCGCCTTCCCCCCGTACCGGGTCGACCTCGGCGACGTCCCGCCCGGCCGCACCGTCACCGTGGCCATCACCGCCGTCGGCAACCGCAACAACGCCTTTGGCGCGCTCCACCTGCCCGACGGCCTCACCAAATGGTACGGCCCCGACAGCTTCCGGACCAACGGCGACAAGTGGACGTACGAGTACGTGTTGCAGGACATGGGCCTGCTGGCGGCGCCGCGCCTGCTGACCGCCGACAAGCAGCTGGCGTCGCCGACGTGGGACGCCGGTAGTGTAGACCAAGACTTGTGGTTTCATTAGGAGGGTGGGGTGTGTTGTATTTTGGTTGTTGGTTTTGAGTTTGATTGAGTTTGAATATAACATTGAAATTGAATTTCTGCCATTTCCTGCTTCATCTACCAAGTATAATGTAACCAAACTGGCCCCCTACCACGGCTCATACACAAAGCACAGCGGTGTCCCGCCCACCGTGTCCATGGCCGCCTGGATGGTAATGTTCCGGTGCAGCGGCTCAAAGCCCATGTTGTCCGTCAGCACGGCGTTGGGCGTCGGCGGCAGGTTGAACATGGTGTTGGTCCCCGCAATCGTCTGCCGCGCGGCCCAGTCGAGGTTCTGCCAGATAAAGTGCAGCCGGTCGAGGTTGGCGTGGTGCGGGTAGAAGCCCGGCTCGAGCGCCGAGAAGTGGAAGTCGCTGCCCGGGTCGCCGCTGATGGAAAAGTGCCCGCCGCTGTGCACGCCCGTCCCAAACGTGTGCCCGCCGTCGCCGCGCACGCCCTCGCCCTGCGCCGCGCTCTGGAACACGCCCACCGTGCTCGTGTACAGCACAAGCTCCGTCGCGTTACGCAGCGACGCCCACTTGCGGCACACGTCGTCGTTGAGGTCGCGCTTGAGGCAGCGCGGGTTGTACGCCAGCGGGTTGCGCGCCTCCGTCGGCCCAATGTTGACCGTCAGGTTCGCAAACGGGCCTTTCGTCACGCACCCGCCGCCCGTCCCCGGCTTCGCGCCGCCAATCGCCGCTCGGTGGTTCTTGACAAACGCGCCGTTGCTGCCCAGCGACGTCTCGCTGCCGTCAAACAGCGGCGACGCGTCAAGGTGCCCGCAGTCCAGCCCCCACTCCCAATACGGAAACGTGCCGTGGTAGCCGCAGTGCTCGGCCAGGTCCTGCTCCAGCACCCAGTTGAAGTGCCGGTGCCACAGCAAGAACGTCGCGTCGTCGTGCACGTACGGTGTCTGGTAGTAGTGCAGCACGCCGTAGTCGTCCCACAGCGTCTTGGGGCCCGGCAGCCCGTACCGCGACGGCTTTTGCATCAGGCACTGCACGGCCTCTTGGTACCCGCGGCGGTCCTCCATTGTCATGTTGCGCCTATACGTGGGGAAAGGTGATTGTCAGTTTGAGTGTGCTCTGAGTGCTGCTTTCATACACAATACGTGCACGGACACCTACCACTCCTTTCGGATCTTGACTTTGTCCGCGGTGCAGCCCGTCGTCGCCTTGGCCGCGCGCGCCATGGCCGTGTCGTAGGCGATCTTGCCGAGCTGGCGCATGGCCTCGCCGGAGTCGATCTGCGCCTGTGTAAACGTGGGGATCGTGGCGCCGAGGGCCGTGCTGGCCACCACGGCCACCACGGCGGCAGTTTTGACGAGGGACAACATGGTGCCCGTTGTTGGTTGTTGGCTTGCGAGACGAAAGGATCGCAGACTCTCGGAAACGTTCAAAGAAACGGGACATCAACGTCTTTGTATGTTTTTGGGCGCCGCCCGCAACGGGACACGCCAGTATTGATTATTAGGACCGTCCATACTGGGAACACGGATATTGAGTCGGTCTTGTGGTAGAGCACGAGTAGGACGAAAGGGGCGAAACAGGACCACAAATCGACAAATCTCGAAAATATAGATGAACTCGACACTTCTCGGGTAATGTACCCCGGACTCGCCAATATAAACGAGCGCGGCACACCCAACGCCATTCCGTGTCGCCAACGTGGTAACGTTCAGTCGATACAGTCGATACTATATATAAAGTGTCGTCTATAGTAGGTTGGCAGCCAATGGTTTTTTTCCTGTGCTGCTTGCACCCCTTCTATGCTTAAAAGGTGTAAAGAAGGGAACAAACAGAAACGACTGCCAACCTTAACGTAGGCTTCTCCCGTCCCGTCATCGTTCCTGTGTGTTTCGCGTATTCTATCTACATTTACGGAATACAGCGAATTGAGGCAACTCGTGTCGGCAGTTGGGGCATTGGGACGTCTTTATCCTTCCGAATACTCCATGTTACCGAACAAAAAGCCGTTGTGTGGTCCGAGATCAACGCTGGAAGAGTTACTTTTACCTAACACATTGGCGAGATGTCACGTTCGCGATCAAAATATGTGCATTGCGGGGCGGGTCACGCCCAACACCCTTCTCGCCATGTTCCCTACAATGTGTGGACGGAAAATCTGAATCCGCATCTTGATGAACATTTTGATGAGCTTCTGATGGTCGTGATTGCTCGGCTGGGATTATGGATGGCTAAACTGTGCGCCGCGATGGACAGCATCCGCAATGGATGAGGCAAAAGGAAGACTGTAGACACAACTTTGAAAGGTAAACATGGTTGGGATTGGTACATGGCTGTTCCTGAACGCAAATCAACATCACCGGCTAATAGCCGTGATCTATTTACAGAAGCAAGTGGTCAACGTACCGGTTGGGAATATACTCCGCGGAGCTTGCCAAGGAAGAGTTATAACCTTTCTTGATTATGTGATTTTCTCACCGTTGACGAGCATGACAAGCCACACGGGGCGTCCACCGAAACCCAGCCACAATTGTTTGCTTTTACATTGACTCCATCGAATTGCATGACAACCGCCCCCGGAGCAACAAGTCGTCTCCATGCCCTCCTTCGCTCATTCGCTCTTTGGTGTCGTGCGAGAACACATTACACCATACGCGTCGTCAATGTCAAGAGACGGCTCAGAGTCCCCCATCGTCGGACCAGACAATGAAATGACTCCTCTCCTTGATCGTCTCGTCGACCTATCCGAGCATCCGACCTTCTCTTCTTGGATAGTTGCGGGGTTGGTGCCCGCCTCCACTGTCTGTCGGTTTTCGTCTGTACGTCTCGTCGTTTTTCAATGTCGGAAGGTTCCGTGCAGTAGCGTACGCCTTGTTTTACGCCTTGTTTTACGCCTTGCTTTATGCCGTGCTTTGCGCCGTTTTCACGCCGTCGTTAAGCCTCCTACTTTTTACACTCCGTCTCGTCCCGCGAAGCTTAAAAGAGAAGCTCGTTTTGTCCGTGCATAGGCGATTACTCCGTACAAGGAAGCAACGTCCGACATGTTATCACGAGCGGAGCAAAGTGTCCTGTCGAGGTCGGCATCGCATCATGAAGCTCGTTTGGGCATTTCGGGCATCCGTGCTTCTAGGATGTAGGCACGTCCTCGGAAGTCGGCAAGCTACGTACACAGCTAGCACCAGCTAGACAATAGGGCGAGGCGATACGAGTTCAAGATCGGCCAGCTGTTGGAGCACGACGACTGTACCGCCGATCACTTGTGGTTTTCGGCATTCCTTGTCTTTGTCTCGGTTATTTCACACGGAGAGCACATGGAGCCCACGAGCAAGCTGAGACCAACGCGAGCCCAGAAGAAGTAGTGAAAAGAAACAGACGGAAACAAACGGTGTGGCAAACAACCCCTTCAGAGCTGGCCCGATTGCGTGAAACAGAATCTCGCCGGCATTGATCACGTTCATCGCGGAAGGGCAGCATGCCCCAGTGTCGATTGGTCCGATTCGTCGGAGGGGCGCAAGGCAAACTGGCTCAATGACCAAACAATCTCACCACTATTAAGTCGCGCGTCTCCCTTGTTTCGCTATTTTTCTGCGTCGTCGCTACGGTGTTCGTTGTTTCGTTTGTTGATTTCGGCCTTGCATAAAGAGCGCATTGCACCGCCATTCGCTGCATGTAGAATTACTCGACGGTCCTGCTCGTCTCGGCGGACGCCCGGATCGGGCAAGTCTTTACACGGAGAGACGAGGTGGCCGGCGTGCCTGACCGTCCTTGCGTCGTATCGCATCTGCACATCGCCCAGCATCGTCTGTCCTCTTGTCCAACGGCGTTGCAGTGTTTCACGAATGGTCGTCACAAGGCAACACGCCCAACCAACCAGCCAGGACGATCGCGGGAGGACAAAGAAGCTTATCCAAGGCAGGGGCAGTCGGAGGCTGTAAGACCAGGCATGCCAAGAAGGCAGTGGGGACGACCGGGGTTGTTGTCCGTCAAGGGGACGTGGGTACCAGACAAAAAGGACGACCGACGAAAAGAAAAGACAATGCAAAGATAAAATGACAAACAGTACGATAAAAATAAAAAGATAAAATGACAGAAACCGGTTTACGTCAGGAGGGGATCTGTTGTCGTCATCGGCAGCAGTCATCGCCATGCAGCTGATTTCAGTCGATACGAATTGCATACGATATGCGATGCACAAGAACCACAGGGATACACTAGAAGAAAAATGGAAGGCCAGCACGAGGTTGCGCTGCAGAGATACGTCCCGATGCAATACTACGCGGCAGTATCAAAGCGGATCTCCCCTCCTTACAAAGTACGTCGAAGTGCGCTGTGAAACATCTCCAGATGAGGAAGTCGAGCTCCGGACCGAGGCAGATGTAGAAATACACCCACTGCACACAGTCGTTGCTGCCTCGCCCGTTCCTGGACTGTCGGTCTTTCCGTTATCAGCGGATCTTGCATTCCAACAAGGCAGGTACGGAACTGTTGCTCTTTCTTCATTCGTGCATGGGCGACCCATTGAATATGCGTCGAACTGAGGGTTTCTAAGGGGCCCTTCAAGGCTCTGAGGGCTCTGAGGGCTCTGCAGCTGCCAATTCGTCCATTTGCTGTCACTTGCAAACCCTCTGGGCGCGCAAGTTTGCTATTAACACTCTCTTGGCCGGCCAGCGTTGACGGCCGTTCTTTGATGTGCCTCTATTGCCGAATGCCACTCCTCCACAGGCAGTTGCAGTGTTTTTGGGTACTGCAGCCACAGCTGTGGTCTCCCTGCCGCTAACACCGATTCGGCAGGTCCTTGGCCACCACTGCCGCCCGCTACCCTACGACGAGCCGGGAGGGAAGGTGTGACGGACAGCCAGCCTTCGTTCCTGCTGTTCTCGTGCCGTTGTTGGTCAGCCGGCGTCGTTGTTCTGTGTATGGCAAACACAGTCACGGACGCGCTGTCTTGCCTGGTTGCCTCTTGCGCCTTCCTTGCCTTTCATTGCACCTCCGTTTCCAGGTACCAGGCACGCCAAGGACCGGCACATGCTTTTTTGGTCTTACTTCTTGCAGAAGTCTACTTAGCGTGAGCTCTGCAAACAAGCACAAGACTAATCTCTGAGGGGGAAGGGGCGATCGTGCTGATCGCTATGTGTCCAGGGGGAAGGTAGTATCGGCCCATCGCCCAATGCGACAACAATCGTTGGCGATGCGCGTGGACGACCCTCTTTCTCGCCGTCTCCACCAAGGATCGTCTGCCGCACATCACTGTCGTCTTTGTCCCTATGCGCCTGTGTCGTCCTCGACCCCCATGCAGCCTGGTCATGACCCGCCTTGCCCGCGCCCTATCGTTATTATCACTGGTCCGCTGGGGAGATGAGAGGGGACTGCAGCAAGGCAACCAAGTCGGACCAGTCCTGCACATCACTTGTTTTTTGCCCTATTTTCCTTCTTTTTCTTCTTTTCCCTCATGCCCCCTGTCTCTCTCTTTTGGTCTTCTGTTGAATCCCCTTTCACCATCCGTGGCCATCTTGACGAACCTGCCTATCTCGTCGCCAATCCGCGCCCGTCCTGCTGGCCTCGCCTGGTTCGTTCTGCCCTACCGTCGTAGTATCGAACCGACCGTCGCGATGATCAGGGCCAAAAGGTCGAACAACACACCACGGCCGCACAATGGCCCAATGGCTTCTCCAAGCTTCCTTTTTCGACCGATTTCGTGCTGGGGATCGCCATGTTGCGATAGCTAATGAGCCCCGAAGGCGACCAGGGTGGAGAGGGCAGGGCCAGCGGCAACAGGACAAACAATACAAACAATGGCGATGCCTTGTAACTTCGACAGGGCCAGGCAGGGAGCATGACTACATGTAACATGTACACCTGCATCGACTGTGGCCGTGTTGATCCTGGCCCCGACCTTGACCGAACCAAACCTTCCTTTCTTGGCAAAGCCTCGACTACCGCCGCCGCCTTGCTGTGTCTCTGCGGCTTGCGTCCTGTTCTGTCGACATTCATCTTTGTTGCTCATATCGATGATCCGCATCCCCAGGTCGACATCGACCATCAATCTTCGCCCATCGACTTCGACCATCGACTTCGTCCATCGATCGTCGACGCCCATCTCTCGACAAACATAAAAGACGGCGTCCTGCTCTTCCTTTTCCAGCAACGTCGTGTTTAAGATACAGATCGCCAGCTCTCCCGCCCTCCTCCACTCATCCTTCTCATCCTCTCGTGTCTCGGACTCTCCCTTGATCGTCCAGCAACCTTATTTTCTAGGACGTGCCTTTCGTTCCTAACTTGCTCTCATCCCATCACTTTTCACGTTGCCCAGCTCGCCATCGTCCTCGACCTCGTCCTCGTCATCGCCATGGCTCCCCTCACGCACCTGCTTACCGCCGCCGGCTTGGCTGGTCTGGCCGCTGCCGTTCCGGCCAAGCTCGGCGCTGGTTCGTCCACGCTGCACCAGGTCCGCAACCCCAACTACGTCTTCAACGGCGCTGTGTCGGTCTACAAGACCTACCTCAAGTTCGGCGTCCCCATCCCGGCCACCCTGCAGGCCGCCGTCGACCGCACCGGTCTGCTGTCCAAGCGCAGCGAGGGCGTCGCTGTCGCGTCGCCCATTGACTCGCTGGACGACGCCTACACCATCCCCGTGAGCATTGGCACGCCGGCGCAGGTCCTGAACCTCGACCTGGACACGGGCTCGTCCGACCTCTGGGTCTTCAGCAGCGAGACGCCCTCGAGCGAGGTCAACGGCCAGCACCAGTACGACCCGAGCAAGAGCAGCACCTCCAAGCTCAAGTCGGGCTACACCTGGTCCATCTCGTACGGCGACGGCAGCTCGTCGAGCGGCAACATTTACACCGACGCCGTCAACATTGGCGGCGTGACCGTTCCCAACCAGGCCGTCGAGCTCGCCGAGCAGGTGTCGTCGACCTTTTCGTCCGACAGCGCCGTCGACGGCCTGGTCGGTCTGGGCTTTGACAGCCTCAACACGGCCTCGCCCAGCGCCGTCAACACCTTCTTTGACAACGCCGCCAGCCAGCTGGACGCGCCCCTCTTCACGGCCGACCTGAAGCACAACGAGCCCGGCTCGTACGACTTTGGCTTCATCGACTCGTCGCTCTACACGGGCGACATCACCTACGTGCCCGTCAACACCAACCCGGGCTACTGGACCTTTACGTCGTCGGGCTACTCCGTCGGCTCGGGCTCGTTCTCGTCGAGCTCCATCACCGGCATTGCCGACACCGGCACCACCCTGCTGTACCTGGACCTGGCCATCGTCAAGGCCTACTACGCCAAGGTCAGCGGCGCCTCCAACAGCAACACCTACGGCGGCTACGTCTTCCCCTGCAGCGCGACCCTGCCCTCGTTCACGTTTGGCGTTGACTCGGCCCGCATCACCATCCCCGGCGACTACATCAACTACGGCCCCGTGTCGTCCGGCTCCAACACGTGCTTCGGCGGTCTGCAGGACAGCTCCAGCATTGGCATCAACATCTTTGGCGACGTCGCCCTGAAGGCTGCTTTTGTCGTCTTCAACGGCGGCAGCTCCCCGACTCTGGGCTGGGCCTCCAAGAACCTGTAAGCGGCCAACGTGTCGACTGCAGTTCGGCACACGCTGTCAAGTTGTCCGGTTTGTGCTAGTCACGATGGCGGCCGATGACAGCAGATGACGACAAGAAGGATGGCTTGAGACAACGATGGTGGAGGACAAGAATAACATTACAACGATACGAAAAAGACCACTGGCTGCAATGCATTTGACACCGCACTTTCTGTACATAGTTTTCGCCTTTGGCTCTTGGTAAATACTATTGGGGGGGACGTGAGAGGATTTGGTGTGGACACAAGGATTTGGTGTGGACACAAGGGAGGTTCGATTCGTATTCAAATTTACTTTTGAATTTACATTATCTCAACGGGTTTCACTGTTTGTGCCCGGCTCCTCGTCAATTGTTTTCAAACGGCGGTGAGTCTAGACGTGTATTGTTAGTCACTGTGGGCAGTGACAAAAGGATGGGCATCGTTCACGTATCTCCTCGGACCCTCTTCCAGAGTCTTTCTTGGCTGGCTAAAGGAATTAGTCTCTCAATACACACCTACCTTCGCTCTCGATTCTGTTACTATTCTTCAACCAGTACTATTGTGAAGATCTGTCCAACCAACAATGACAACATTAAAGGTGAGACTACGGTTGTAATCTAACTTTAAATCTTTTTTAAGGAATTCGTATTTATTTATTTCGTAAATTCGTGAAATTATATTGAACGTTAAGACAAGGTCACTCTTGAAAGGTCTCGACAGACGGGAAAAAACGCAATTAAAGGAGATTTGTACCAACAAAATACACAGACACGCACATGATCTAACGTAGCATTACGACATCTCGGCTCCGTGAAAGACGCAGCCCTATATGGATCCCTTCAGCTTGCTCCATAGCCCACTCGATCTCTTCTCCTGTGCAAGTGGCACCGGTGCCGGCATCCTCTGCACCGCGCGCGACGGCCGTGTCGCCAGCAAGGCCCACTGCCGCAGGCACCACAGCGCCACGAGGGCGTCGCGCTGCTGCCGCGGCAGCGCCGTCGTGATCACCAGCCGCGGCAGCGCACCGTCGCCGTCGCCGTACTCGAGCGCCACGCTCGCGGGGTCGTTGGGGTCGGTGGCCGCATACTTGGCGTCGTGGCCCTTGTAGTACTTGTTGTCCTTGTCGTAGCGGAACCGCCCGTCGCGGGCGTCTTGCGCGACGTAGGCCTCAACCCATTTGGCGTGGCACGCCGCCGCGCCCTGTCCCTTGGTCCGCCGCGCCTCCCACAAGGCCACGCCGCCGGGTGTCGTGAACGGCGACGGCGGCCGGATGGCTGCCGACGTCGCGCCGTCGTTGTCGATGTCGTAGTCGATGTCGTCGTAGCGGAACGGTAGGGCCGTCCAGGTGTCGGCGGCAGCCAGCGCCGCGAGCGAGGGCGCCGACCACGACGGCATCACGGCCGACGCCGACGGCGCCGCGCCGGCGACGAAGCCCAGGAGGCCCAGCCGGCGCGTGGGGCCGGCCATCGGCTGCAGACAGCAGTAGTCGGCGGCGGCGCCAAACACGTCGAGCGGCGGGCCGCCAAGCTGCGCGCCGTGGCGCAGATTGTAAATGTGGCGCGGCTTGCGCTGCGCCGGGTCGGACGCCTTGGGCTCCATGCGGGAAAACGCATTGTGCGTGGGCGGCGGCAGGGCCAGCGAGAACGACGGGCCGGGACGCTGCGGCACGGCGGCCGTGAGCGGCGCCCCGAGCGTGTAGACGGGCGTGCGCTGTGGGTCGGTAGCACTGTAAATGACGGCGCCGTCCAGCACAAAAACAGCGGGCGGCAAGACGTCGTCGGGAGCAAAGCGGTGGCTGGTCCCGTCGCCGACGTCGAGCATAGAGGGAAGAGATGCCGGGGGTGCTGTCTTCCCCGTGGCCGTCCTTGGTGGACTGCTGGCCGGCTCGTAGGCTGGCAGGCGTGATGGTCCTGCTACGCCGTCTGGTTCTGAACGTGGCTCTGGCCGCTCCGAGTACTCTGGCAGAATCTCCTCCTCCTCAGGCGGGCGTGCATATGCGCTTTCCGCCGGAGGAGCGCCCATGGCTGCTGACAGTGGTCGTGCGTAGGTGTTAGTCGCCAATGTGAGGAGAGAAAAGGCAAAGATCGTCGCAATGTCGGGGGACGAAAACTTTGTGTCGATCGATCGTATGCTCTCGATCTAGCTATTTGCGCGCTCTGTGTGGGCGGGTTCCGTAAACGCAGTGGGAGACATAGGGCAAAGTCGCAATTGTAATTGAAAATGCGACACTTGAATGGCTCGTGTGATTCTGTCCATGGGCGATGGAGGTGCCTAACTGACTGGTCGGCTAAGGCGAACATCGCGACGTCACATTTCAATTTCACGCTTTTCTACAAAAGACACTCGGCCGCGCCAAGCGAAAGTTGGTGTGGCTTGATCCATTGTGGCATTGTCCCGCTCCAACCATTCAGTTAGAATACATTCTGCGTAAGTTTGCCCATAAATTGTAAAGACGTTGACAAGATGTGACAAAATATGATATATTTCTGTACGTTGAAGTGGATAAAAATGTCACAAACAAATTTCTCAAAGTGGAAAAGACCATGGATGCAAGAACGCCAACGTCGATGGCGATCTCCCGAGTTCTGAGGTATCTTCCTAATAAGTGATCCTCAAAGGAAGGGACAAGAAGGTCTGAGATTGTGACCGAGACGCTCCGTATCGACCTTCCCATAATGCGATCATTTGAGACGTACATTGGCCTAGACTTTGTATTGTCTTCTGTTGTCCTGGCCCTCCCACTCTTATTTGGACGCCCTTGCTGGCGAGAGTCGATGACACGACCAATGCACATCGACTCAATTGAGTTGGCGTGAGAGGAGACAGTTTATGAGTTGCACACGAATTGTGATAAAATCGTAAATCGTAAATATTAATGAAATGCATTTTCCAAAACTATAAACAAGATGCTACTGTAACACCGTAAGATGAATTGCGTATGCAAGGTATTATGTAAATGATAAAATGACCACTGAACCATTTTGTCACGTAGTTTCGTTTTTTTTTTTTTGTTCTTTTCTTTTTTTTCCCTTTATAACTCATTGAGAACGGAGAGCATCCGAGAATGCTTGCTCGCCGCGCTCGCAATGACAGCGCGCGCTTCGGTCTACTCAATGGGTGGTTCCCAGGACGCCCTCGTTCGGGTTGCCTCTGGCGCTGTTGACGTGCTCGGCCTCGGCCTCCAGGTCGGTACCGGCGGCCTTGCGGATCTTGGCAATCTCCTTGGCCGGTGGCGCCACCCACTTGGCGCTCTTGCGGGGGTTGACGCGCTCCAGGTACATGGTGTCAATCTCCTCGAGGGTGCGGCCCTGGGACTCCATGACGAAAAAGTAGACGATGAGGCCGCCGATGATGTTGGTGCCGGCAAAGACGTAGCCGTAGCGGAAGTCGATGGCGCCGGTGATGAAGGGCGTGAAGAAGGCGAGCAAGAAGTTCCAGAGCCAGTTGGAGGCGGTCGACATGGCCATGCCCTGGGCGCGATAGCGCGAGGGGAAGAGCTCGGCCATGAGGGTCCAGATCATGGGGCCCCAGGTGGTGGCGAAGCCCAGGATGAAGAAGCAGGCAAAGACGATGAGGGCGACGCCGGCCGGGCGCGTCTGCTGGGGCGCGTCGCGGTTGAGCGCAAAGTGGCCGACGGACGCAAAGATGAGGAAGCAGATGAACATCCAGATGCTGCCGCTAATGAGCGAGCGACGACGGCCAAAGTGCTCGACGAGGTACAGACCGATAAAGGTGACGAGGAAGTTGATGGTGTTGAGGATGATCTGCGTAATGTAGGAGTCGATGTTGACGGACTGGAAAATGGTCGTGCCATAGTAAAAGAAGTAGTTGGCGCCCGTCAGCTGCTGGAACATTTGCAGGCTGACGCCCAGCAGGATGCGGTAGGCCATGCGGGGGGCGCGCCACATCTTGACAAACTCCTGGACGGGGCTGCCGTTCTTGATGGCCTCCTCGGCGCGTAGCTTGGTCTCAATCTCCTCAATCTGCGTCACGATGGACCAGTGGTTGGGCGGGGCACCGTAGACGTTGCACAGGGTGTCGCGGGCGCGGTCGTAGTGGCCGCGGGAGTAGTCGTACCGGGGGGTCTCGGGGAAGAGCAGGATGCCGAGGCCGAGGACCAGGGCGAAGAGGAAGCCGATGCCGATGACGACGCGCCACGAGGCGGTGCTGTTGGCCAGGTGGGAGACGGTGCCGTAGTTGAAGGTGGCGGCCAAAAAGATGCCAAAGGTGATGAACAGCTGGTAGGTGCAGACCATGGCGCCGCGAATCCATGGCGGCGCCGTCTCGGCCTGGTACATGGGCACGAGCAGCGACAGGGCGCCGACGCCCAGGCCCGTGACCCAGCGGCCCATCATGACCTGGATCCACGAGTGGCTGGCGGAGATCTGGATGACGAAGCCCACGCTGATGATGAGGCTCCAGAAGGAGATGCTGTACTTGCGGCCGGCGCGGTCGGCAATGGGGGCGGCCAGCAGGGCGCCGATGAGGGTGCCGATGGACAGCATGCCGACAATCAGGCCGGAGCGCACGTTGCTAAAGTAGGGCTTGCCCGTGGCGTCGACCTGGCCGAAGCGCTGCAGGTAGTCGGGCATCTCGAGGAAGCCAGAGATCTGGCCGGTGTCGTAGCCAAAGAGCAGACCGCCCATGGACACGAAGAGGGCCAGCAGGAGAGAGCGGCCGGTGATGCGCCGGAGGGGCGAGTAGTCGAGGGCGTCAGAGGGCGGCTGGTTGCGGTCCCATTTTTCCGAGTTGGGGTTGTGGTTGTCAAACGGGACGGTCAAGGAGACCCAATTGGACAACATGATGGCGGTACTGCGGTTCTGCGCAGTCGGTGTCAAAGCAGAGTTGGTGGTTAGAGTTGGTGGTTAGAGTTGGTGGTTAGAGTTGGTGATAGATGTTGAAAAGGGGGGGAAAGTAAATAAAAGAAATAGAAGCTGGATGGGAAGGTGCGATGGCAAAGCCAAAAATTGCTCCGTGCTAATCCAGGAAAGAGCTATTCGAAAACGCAGAAAAAAGAAAAAAAGGAAAGACCGACGAGGACCGGCGCTGAGTCTATATATGTGAAGTGAATGGGAAAGAGGTGAACGGAAACGAGCGACTGCCGAAAAAGGAAACGACGAGCAGGAATCAAGAAAACGGGCAACTTCACGACTAGTGTAAGTCTCCACCTACGTCAGAATGCGTTTTGCGTAGAGTCGCGCTGCCGGCGCCGTCGACGGCAGTCCGGCTTTTGGGACTTAGTCAGGGTGTTTTGTGGGGAACGCTTGCTGTCGTCCACGCCGGGCCTTCTGTAATACAGCGCAAACGGCTTCCTCGGCCTCGCGTAGGGGCGTGACCAGCGCTTTGGTGCATTTTGGTGTGTTTTGGTGTGTTTTAGGCCTGCTTTCGTCGCCTCAGGGAAGGTGCTGGCAGTGTGAATCGGGCCGCCTATGGGTCAGGTGCCGGGTCTAACTTCTCAGGTTTCTTTCAGGGCTTCGGGGTGTCCTTGACCTGGAGGCGTCCTACAGACTTTGCTCTGACGGTGACCTGCTCGAGCTGCTCCCTATTTTTCCTTTCTTTTCTTTTTTCTGTCTGATTTTCCTGTTTTTGAAGGCGGTGCAGTTGACGTAATTGGTCCATTTCGCCGAGTTCATTTCGTTCATCCAGTACATCTGTTCATCCAATTGACAATTACAAAGTACTGCTTTGCCTCCTTGACCACCTTGCCTCTGCGTGTTGGGCCCCGCGTCTGGGGCGGCGACCGACAGCAGGAGTACTCCGTAACACAGCACATAGGAGATGTCAGGGCGGAGGGTGGAGGGTGACGGGCAGATGGCGGAGGTACTTGGAGAAAGAACCACGGCTAGGATACGGGACGACAGAGCAAGATACGAATGCGTGGAGAACCAAGCAGGCTCGGAGGCAAATGGAGAAGATGGAGGCCCGTGGATGGCGGCGATTGGAGACGATTGGAGATAAATTGGGGACAATTGGAGATGGACGGAGATGGATGGACAGAGTGGGAGAGTGGGCACGAAAGATGGGCAAAAAAGATGGACCAAAATGGACCAAAATGGGACCAAACGACGCGAGACGCTCCGCAGCAGAAGCAGAAACGGACCGAATCTGGAGATGCTGCAGGTGATGGAAAGGAGAGATGGTGAGATGAACAAGGCCCGCGACATCAAGACGAGACGAGAGAAGGAGAAAAAGAAAACGGGCACGGAATGGAAAACGTACGATGCACGTCGGGCGGCGGGCATGGCCGAGGCGAACGGGAAAGGAAGCAGTCGACTAAACAAACTCGCCAGATTCCAAATGAATCAGGGCAAAGGAGAAGACAAAAGGCGAAGGACGGTACTACAGTTGTGGCTGTGTTTTGCAAGTCACAGTTCGAGGAGCATTCATCTCATGATTTTCTATTTTGCTGGTTTTACGCCCCTGGCGCCTCCTGTCCATCGTCGACGTCGTCGACGTGTGGTCTCCAGAGTCGTATGTCGTCAACATTCTTGATGGCAACGCCGGTGTGCCTTCTTTGGCCTTTTTGCCCCTGCGCCCACGACAGGACTTGCGTCGGGAATTAAACGAAACTAGCCAATGGCGGCTTTTGTTGAGATCCACTCCCGTGCAAAACCAACAACACGAACAAAACCAACGACGTCAATCTGACCAAGCATCCACTTGGTGTGGGTAAAAACGAAGAAAACACCAAAAAAAAAAAAAAATAGGATGGACACCAGACACCGTAAAACAGCACAAGCCAAGAGAACAGGGCAACCACACCATCACTTTCACGAGTGGATGGTAACCTCACGTGTATCCTGTCTTTTTTCCTGTATCCTTCCACCTTTCGTGTTCCTCACCAACTGTTGTAATCTGGGGTCATCTGGGGCATCAGTCGTTGAACACTTCACTTGCCTTCAGAGATGTATCCGTCAAAATTGAGTACGGGTGTGTATGTCTCTCGTTAACCCATTTTTCGTTTAATAAATTAACGGTTTGCGTATATACTGGCTCGTATGAGCCGCTTTTTTGTCTTTTCATCTGATTTCAATGATTAATAGCGCCTTTTTGGCTGGCATTTCTCGTTGGTACCGTTCAAAGCCCTCCTCTTGCGTCCAGTTCGCCCTTGACTTGGTCAATGGCTGAAGAAGTGAGCTGCTAGACCGCCCATCATGCACCGTTTCCGGCCGAGCCGGAATACCGCAAAATCGGAGCAGTGTGCGTCAAGTGATACAGGGTTGTTCAGAGCGAAGACCGAACAGCGACGCGCGAGCATCTCCAGGCCTGGCCTCGGGGCGGCAAATGCACGAGTCCAGTGGGTTTCTTTGTTATGGCTCCCCCGAAATAGTCATCACAGCCCGCCGCTGCGACCCAATGCCGCTGTTCCTTTCCGGGACAGCAGGTATACGGGTCCAGGGCACGGGATGAGCAGAGACTGCACGACATACAAACAACTTAATATTCTGTATTCTAGGGTTTGTTGTCGTTCGCTGTAACACTCTACTACGCACCAGCACGACCCAGCACGACCCAGCTTTTCAGTGCCGAAAGCGTATGAACAAGCCGTGGAATGAGTTTTGTCTTGGGTTTGATAGTTTGCAAATCCCACCACAAATCTCTGCGACCGCAATCATCGACTGAGACAGTCTGAATTTCTTTTCGGTGGCTCCCGAGGCGGAAGTAGAGATTGTGCTCCCAAAGTACAAAACCCCAAAAATCCCAAAATGGCCCGATCGCCACCATCATACTGCGATCGGCACACTGCGAGGTCCACCGTTGCGCGAGTGGGTCTAGCCGGATTCGGTGAAAAACTTGTAAGTGCGGCGCTGACGCCTGAGGGCCACTGGCAGAAGCAGAGAGCAGCACAGATGCGTCGACTTGAGAAACACAGTAAAATTACGCAAAAACAAATGAGAAGCCACAATCACGACGCAATATACAGAGTACGACAAACATACAGAACAATAGTATTGTTTTGATCGTGTAGATTTTCATTAACATCGGCTTCTATCCTATTTTCCTTTTTCTTCTTCTCGGTTACAAAATAAACTCATGCTTCTTTTAGTGAGTCTGACCTTCAAGAACAGCATTCGGGCCGTATGTGTATCCTGTTTATCCTTCCCCTTTACTCCCTGTTACCATCTCGTTGTCGTCTGGGTCGTCTGGGGTATTTTGAGAATGGTATGAACCGCTCCCCTTATTATGCCGACTGACTCCAAGGTCTACGATGTACGCACATGTCACATCCCCTCGCAGGATGCACCTCGGACCAATTGATACTTGTGCTCGTATCCCAACAGGGGCGTCCTCCGTCCTCTCCTTCCGGTTTGGAACAATACGGACGACTCGGCGCGTATGTACTAGTACAGAGCCAGTGTCTGGAATGACGATGTGCGGACGGGTCGCATGAAAATGGCGATTAAGACATTTCATGGTCAAAGGTTATGAAGATTTCTGAATTCTTGGACTTGCTTCAAGAGTTGTCCTTCCTTCCTCAGTTGTGATGTCCTTGCTTGGTTCGTGTGACCCCCAGGTTTGCTCCGTCGTTTCTCGCGCCATCGCTTTACGTCTCAACATCCTCCTTCCGCTTCGTTCGTGCCTCGCCCCGTCGCTGCCTGTCCGGCCCCGTGCCGCGCCGTCTCCAGCACGAGAGAGTTCGAGGGCGAGTAGTCGAGTCGGCGGCGGCGGCACAGCGACGGCGTCGACCAGATGGACCAGATCGATCAGATGGACCGACTCCAGCGTTTTCAGCGGCACGGCTTCCACTTCAGTTGTCCCCATGATAGCGGTGGAGGTTGGAGTACAGTGATTGTGATTGTAATGATGTGACGGTTCATACTGTGGCGTGGCAAAGAAACCTCTCCTGGGGAGCAATTGGGGTCGAATATACCGCCAAAGCCAACCATGTTAACGACTGCCATTAACTCCTCAGACCCTACCGGCTCCAACATCTGATGCAAGAGCCACAGCAGCCATTGTGAGGCACCCAAGATCCCAAGTTGGTCCAGCCCAGCTGCTGCGTTCGGGACAATTCGTCGGAAGATGTTAGTGGAAACGGGCAGCTTCGTTAGCGTCTTTTAGGTCTGGGGATCCCCTAAACAGCGGCCGCGAGACTTTATCGAGATCAGGCCCATCTTCAGCCATTGCATCGCTGCCCTTCTCTGCAAGTACCTGCCAACGGCTCACCAAAAAGGGAACCTGTCGACATGTTGGCCCTCGTCAGGGACAGCCAAACGTGCGCCAACCAGAGCCGCAGTGACCGTGTGCCAGTCCGTCTTGTTGTCCGGTATCCCGCCGCGAGTGCCCACTGTATTTTCAGGTCCCTTCCGGTCACTAACGCACTGTAATGCCGCCACGGTGCTAAGCCAGAAATGGTCACTAACACGGCCAGCGCGAGGGAAGATGACGATGATAAATGAAATACATCATTTGTTTACAACGCTCTCGCAACTCCTCCATGCAGCGTAGTTGTGTTCAATGGTCTGTGATTACATGTATGCAGAGCAGGGCTTAGCAGGTTGGGGGCCGTGGCCTGGAAAGTTGGGCGGCAACGGGAACCAATCCGAAGGACAGAAAAGCGACGAGAGAACAACATCACCCTGAGACGTTGTGTGAATACCGTCTCTATTCGCAAGGCATTGTCTCTGTGAATTTATACCTGGACTGCCGCCAACACGTGCACCCTCTTTCGCCGTTTCCTTCAGACAATGTGGAGGAGCCGGCTGCTCAGTCGGCCCTTGCGCCTGTCTCTGTCTCTGTCCTGCCGCGCAATGTCGTCGTCCTCCTCACCGCCGCGGCCACCGGCCACCACCCCGGCGGCCAAAGGGTGCCGGCCGCGCGTGTTTCCCACCAACGGCTTCGAGCTCATTGATCCTGGCCAGCTGGTGGAAGAGGAGAGGCTGCCGACGTACGACCGCGCCGCGTACTACCCGATGCACCTGGGCGACATTGTCGGCGGCCACTTCCAGGTCGTCGCCAAGCTCGGCTACGGCACGACGTCGACCGTCTGGCTGGCCCGCGATCTCAAGTAGGTTGTCCACGATGCGTTGCGGCTGCACAGTTGCACAGTTGCACGGCCGTGTACGAACGACCGTAGCAAAGAACGGGTGTTCAAAGCACTCAAGGTCCACACCCACACGGCGCCCTTCCACCACGAACACTCCATCTACGAACATCTCCAGAAACCCATCGAGCAGGAGATGGAGGAAAACCACCCACACCCCGGGCGAGACCATGTCCGCCAGCTGGATACAATGTTCTTCATCGACGGCCCGCACGGCCGACACGCCGTGTTTGTCATGGCGCCGTTGGGCATGAGTCTGGCGACCATGCAGGCGATGCACCGAACGCACGTGTTCCCGCCGGCCATGGTCGCCAAGGCCGTCAGCCAGACGCTGCTTGGCCTGGCGCTGCTGCACGGCGGCGGCATTGTCCACACGGATCTCCACGCCGACAACCTCCTGGTCGCCATGACGGACGACGCGATCCTGTCGACGATGGAAGACAGCGAGGCCGCCAACAAGCCGTCGGCGCGGAAAGTCGTCGACCGCGACACGACCATCTACACCTCACGCTACGTCCTGGGCGGCGCCGGGCCGCTCACCATCAGCGACCTCGGCCAGGCCAGCATCGGCCGCGAGCTCGCCGGGCACGCCATGCCGACACAGTACCGCGCGCCCGAGGTCATTCTCGGCATGATATGGGGCATGTCCGTCGACATTTGGAGCACGGTGTTGCTGGTGCGTCGATGTACCTGAAGAACATGGATATCATAATATACACAGATACTGACAACCCTATGCCTGGGCTCTGCTCGAGCCAGACAATCTTTTTGACGTCTACGACAAGGAATCGCCGGAGCTCAACAACGCACACCACCTGGCCGCCCTGACGGCCCTGCTGGGCCCGCCGCCCAAAGCGTTCGTGGAGCGCAGCAGCGCGTGCGCCCAATACTGGGACGCAGACGGCCACTGGCACGGCCCTGTGCCGCTTCCGCCCGCCAAGCCGCTGGCCGACCGCGTGACGGCCGATGTGGGCGATGCCAAGCAAAAAGCACTGTTTGTCGACTGTCTCGAGTGTTTTCTGCAGTGGCTGCCAGACGAGCGGCTCAAGGCGGCGCAAATCTACTTTCATCCATGGTTGCGGGGCTTTGATGAGGTATAAGGTAGGATACCGCTTAAGTTGCCGTGTACCACGCTAGACATACTCCACTTCAACGCACATCTTGTACGTACGGCCATAGATAAAGGACAATACGGGATCCCGTCCGCTCTCCCCTAGTCAAACCTTTAATCGGCGGATTAGTAGTTGGGTCGGTGACGACCAGCGAATACCCGCTGCTGTACGTTTTTTTTTATGATACATAACGTTTACGTGTTGATGCGTACATGTCTTGCTGTCGTGTATCCTTCTTCGGCGGGCTTACAAGTCCTTGCTCTCGACAATCGTGGTCAAGGAGGCGCCCAGATCGGCAAACCCCTGCATCGTGCCGAGTTGGGCGATGAGGTACGCCACGTCACGAGACATGCTACATACAACGCGTTAGCAGAGCTGCCATATGCACAACATCAGGTGTTATGCAAGATGTAAGAAAAGGCATGCATCCGTTCTTACCTTGCTTTGCCGGCGTCCGTCTTGGGGTCCGCCGCCCGGAACGCCTCACTCAGCTGCTCCTCGTAGCTGGCAAAGACCGGCACCATGACCAGCTCGACCTCGCGTGCCGGCCAGTACTTGTCCAGAACCTTGCACAGTTTGTTCGTGTCCCGGACCAGGTCGACCATGTACGCCCGCACGTCCTGGGCGCCGCTCGCCCCCGCATCCCAGTCGGTCTCGCGCGCGTTGGTCGACAGCACCTGCGCACGGGATGCCATGATGTCGACCAGTTTTAGGCGGATGGCGTCCTGGTGCTCCGCAAAGGCCCGCTGCACCTTGTCGAACTCGCCCGCCGTGCCACCGTCGGTCGGGGCGGGGAGATGGCGCCGGACACATGCACGCAGACAAGGAAGCAACGCAGCAACAAAGGCCACGGCGCGCGACACAAGGGCCAGGTGGGACGTCTTGATGTTGCGGAGACCCACCGTACGCAATGTGCCGGCGCCCAGGACCAGCTGACGACCCCGGGCGTCAGACATCCGGAGGTACCCGGCGAGCGACAGACAAACATCTGGCCCCATTGTCGATGGAAGGCCACACAGGAGGCGAAGATAGCGCGACACGCCTGCGAGGCAGACGAGGGCCGCACGCGGTACGAAGAACGTGTCGTCGTCCACCACCAAAGGTCCTCGGGCCGCCGCATCTCCCGCGTCGCCAGCAGCATCCGCTGTACTTCCGTCGGGCGTCCCGTTCCGGATCGGCGGCACAGCCCATGGAGCCGGGTCGGACGTGCTGGAGGCGAGGATCTGCTGGAGCATCGCCCGGTCCTGGGCCGTGCCGTCCTGGACTTGCCAACGGTCAGCGTCCATGGCCTGGGTGAGGGCCTGTATTTCTCGGTCGTGGTGGGCAGCGACAAAGTCGTGGATGTGGCTGTCGAGACTGGCCTGGAGGGATGCTCCGGCCCGGCCCGTGATGGCCTCGCATTCGTCGGCAAAGAGCTGCGTGAGCGCAACGTAGCGGAGGAAGTCGTCCAGCGGCAAGCGCGTGGACTGCTCCGACCGGACGCGGAGGATCTTGCTGATGCTCTCGTGGCTGGCGTCCACCGCGTCTCCCATGAGGCCAGGGAGGTCCAACGCCATGTGCATCTCCTGTTGCCTCGCGGATCGCATGTTATTTACTTCTCGAGCATCGGCGGCCTCCTGGGCCTCCTGCATCGCGTAGGCGACATCGAGAAGGATACCGGCTTGCGTTTGGAGCCGCCGGAGCGTCTCTGTGACGCCGGTGAAGATAGACGCCAAGAGCCTCTCGGCATCGGCAGCGTCCAGAGCGCGGATGCTTCGCGCAAGCATCGCCGACTTCTCCTCGTTTGTGCGTGACCGGGCTGTGCCGGCCGTTGACGTGGGAGCAGCGGAGTCGGCATCGTCGGACGGGCGCGGAAGTGGTCTGCGTAGCACGTCTCGAATCTCTCGAAGCGCCTGCTCACGATACGACCGAAGGGCCGACGGCAAGGCTTTTGAGTGATACAGGCCTCGAATAGCAGGGGACAGTGCCTCCCGCAGCTCGTTGGTCATGTGCGTGGAAGCAGTTGCGTCCGCAAGCGCCTGTGAATGGTGTCCTCCGGCTCTTTCACGCTGCCATGCCGCTCCCCACCGCACGAGGACGCTGTCAGTCGATACAGATTGGAGGTACTGCCGGAGGTCGCCAACAAGAGCCTCCACGACCCGTTTCTCAAACACAGTGCCGATGCGAGACCGGAGGACAGACAGGTCACGCAGTGGCCCTTGCAAGGCATCGATCCCGCTCAGGTCGCGGCGCGGTACGGAGTCTAGTGCATCTCTGCACTCGTCGCCGCCACCACCAATCAGTCGCTCAGTGGCATCGATGGCGTCTAGGGCTGCTTCCACATTCCCCTGCTCGACCAAGGTCTCAATGTGGCCGACGCCGTCCACAATGTGCTGCAGCTGCCGGACTGCGTCGCTCATCACGCGCAGGTTGCAGAGCATGCGCCGTCGCCGGATGAGGTCCAGATACGCGGCGACCGTATCCGTCTCGAGCGCGGCGACGCTCTCGCGCAGCAGTTTGAGTCTCTGGAGCGAGTCGTCGACGTCCGTGCAGAGATGACGCAGCGACACGAGCGCCGCGAAAAAGGCAACCGCGGACTGGGCGATGGCGTCCACCAGATACACCTCCACCGTGTCGAGATACCAGGACAGCTTTTCCTGGAGAATGGCGTTCGTCGCGAGTGACTTGAGCGCCGTAGTGGTGGGCGCTGTTCGCGTTCCTGTTCGCGTTCCTGGTTGCGATCTTGTTCGCGGTCGCATTGTGGGGTCGAAGTCCGGCACGGAGCACCGGCGGCTGCAAGAGTGTGAAGATGGCTGTAGCGGGAGATCGACGTTAGCAAAGAGCAGTATGGAGCAATACGACGCACGCTAGTCGGGACAAGAAGGCGGAGCTAAGACCCTGTTTGCTAGTTACCATTTTGGCTCTGTTCGAATACGACACCCGTGGCCGGCATCGTGGCGATCATCGTGTCAGGTGTCGGAACATGCTGTGGATGGAAGCGATGTGCTGGAATGAAGGTCTGTTTCGACGAGCTTTGGTGAATTGATCACGTCTAGAGAGGAGAATGGGAAGGACAAAAATGGATGCCTAGGTCACGTGGTGCGAGCTGTTGGAACAACAAACGAGTGGAAATGGACTGACAAACAAAAGTATCAAAGTGTCATTGTGCGTCAATCACAGTGGCATATAAAATACAGGACAAACCAGTCCTAATAGCCATAATATGGTATAACGGAGTACTCAATACATCAAGTACAGGGGGTATAAAACTGAAGAAACAATAAAAGAACAACAGGTCAGGGAAGATCAATAAAAGTAAAAGCAAACGCAAGAGAAACAAGCAGGACAAAGTAAAACGTAAAAGCAATCTCTGCCTCGCTGCCCAGATGGCAGTGCTGTTTATTCTTCCAGCGGCGCATTTTCTTTCGCCCCGATAGTGCTGCTCTTTACCCGTTTGGCCGGCGGGGACCTGGCCAGGTCTGTCGATGTCCAGAAGGGGGCTGCTCCCAGGCGCAGCCGTCTGCTTCCGCTCCGGCGTTTGTGTTTCGCCAGGCCTCCGCACAGGCTCGACGTAGGCGTAGTCCAGGTCAAAGGCCATGACCCGCTGCAGCTCCTCGTTCCACGCCATGTTGGTGTAGTTGACGTCGTCGTGCACGACATCGTACAGCTCCAGGTCCTCCAGCGTGCGCATCTTCTAGTACAGGTTATATACTCACTATGCTGGCCATGTATTTGCATCACAACATTAATTTTCCTACAATTTGTGCACAATATGCAACGAGAGTAGAATTGGTCAGCTGCTAATTGGACAGTGGAAACTAGCCCCTCCCTCACTTTGGCCCTGTCGGATGCACCTTGATGGTCCGTCTCCAGGAACAACCAACACACGATTCGTCCGCTTCGACCCAGTCAACACGCTAAACTCTACCCTACAAGACTTACATGGACCTGGATGAGAGAAACTATCATGCAAAAGTGGTGGACGATGCATATGGGTGCAAATTCTTATTCACTCTCAACGAAGGGACGTCGTACTACAGACAGCATCGAGCAACCCTGATGGCCAGACGTGAATTTTGCCATCGATGGCACAACATTGGTGCGCACCAATGGAACGATGCAGTTCAGTATACATGGAGGAGAGAAAGACGAAAAAAGTGCGAGAACGGGAAGGCCTATTTATAAAAAGGGGAGGGCAAAGAAAATCATGAACGGACATCCTCCTTCTTTTGATTTTCCCGTGTGAATGTGACTGAACAGCTTGTGCTCCTTCTGTCGTTTGATTTTCCCACGTTACTCTTGGTGGACAGTTTCCTTTTCATCCATATTTTTATTCACACACAGCAAGCCATCACACCATTATACCACTCAAAATGGTCAGAACATCCAGCAAGAGGCTCGGGTCGGCCTCCAAAAACAAGAAGAAGGGAAAGGCTGCGGCCACCTTCCAGCCCAAGGCCCCCCTGCCCGTCACGCTGTTGTCTGGCTTCCTCGGCAGCGGCAAGACGACGTTGCTGCAGCACGTCCTCAAGACCAACCACGGCCTCAAGATCGCCGTCATTGTCAACGACATTGGTGCCGTCAATGTCGACGCGTCCCTGATCAAGAGCAGCACCATCACGCAGTCCAAAGAGAAGGTCATTGCCCTGCAGAACGGTTGCATTTGCTGTACGCTGCGCGGCGACCTGCTCGAAGAGCTCGTGCGCCTGTCGGCCCTGCAGCAGTTTGACTATGTCCTGGTGGAGAGCAGCGGCATCAGCGAGCCCGAGCAGGTGGCCGAGACGTTTGACACGCGGCTGGCCGACGCGATGGACCTGGCGGCCACCGACGGGCCGGACGCGCTGGACGCGGGCGTGCGCAAGGCGCTCCGCGCCATCCGGCGGGCGGGCGGCCTCGACAAGTTTGCCAAGCTCGACACGACCGTCACCGTCATCGACGCGTTTACGCTCTTCCACGACTTTGACACGGACGACATGCTGTCGAGCCGCCGCGGCGACGTCGAGGCCGCGGACGAGCGCACCGTCTCGGACCTGATGGTGGACCAGATCGAGTTTGCCGACGTCATCGTCCTCAACAAGGTCGGCCTGGTCGACGCGCCGACCCTGGCACGCATCCGGGCGCTCCTGCAGCGCCTCAACCACCGGGCCCGGATCCTCGAGACCAACTACGGCCGCATCGACGACCTGACGTCGATCCTGAACACGGGCCTCTTCAGCCTCGAGCAGGCCCAGACCGGCTACGGCTGGCTGCAGGACCTGCACGCCATGACGGTGCGCCAGGTCAACGGCAAGAACGTCGTGACGCCCAAGCCCGAGACGGAGGAGTACGGCGTGCAAAACTTTGTCTACACGCGCCGGCGGCCGTTCCATCCGCGCCGGCTGTACACGCTGCTCTACGACAAGTTTATCTTGCAGATGGAGCACCCGGACGACGAAGACGAGGACGATGACGACGACGAGGGCGGCGCGGCGGGCGACGCCTGCGAGATGGACCTGGATGGCCTGGGCAGCGAGGGCGACAGCGAAGATAGCATGCTCCAGGATGCTCCAGACAAGGAGGGCGACAACAACGGCGGCGACGACGACGACGACGACGAATGGGGCGGCATCGACGACGCGCCTCCGGAAAACAGCGTCATCCTCGCCAACAAGCGCGCCTCGCCGCTCTTCCACCGCCTCTTCCGCTCCAAGGGCGAGTTCTTCCTGGCCACCCGGCCCCAGCAGGCCGGCGAGTGGTCCCAGGCCGGCGCCATGCTGACGCTGCGCGGCGGCCGGCCCTGGTTCGTGACGCTCCCGCCGGAGGACTACATGACCGGCGATGCCGACGTCGACCGCCTCGTGCAGTTTGACCTCCAGTCCGGCGGCGAGTGGGGCGACCGCCGGCAGGAGCTGGTCTTCATTGGCGAGTCTCTGGACGTGGCCGGCCTCGAGGCGGCGCTGGATGCGTGCCTGCTGGACGACGCGGAGTTTGCCCAGTGGGACGCGCTGATGCGCAAGGCCGCCTTGGACGAGGATACGGACAGCAATGACGGCAGCAATGCCGCCGGGGCGGACGGCGAGGACGCCAAGGACAACGGCAAGCGGACCAGCAGAGAGAAGCTGGAAGCAGCCCTCCAGGACCTGTTTGAGGACGGCTTCCCAGACTGGCCATCGCCGGATGAGGTTCTTACGATGGACCACGAGGGCCACAACCACAAATAAGGTGGACCACGAGGGCACAAAACATAACAGGGAAATATGACGAGGAGTTCGTTTTAAAAGTATCACGTCACTTAGCATCAAAACTAAACTTGCATATTCGATTCAATGAATAAGACATAATATGATGTTATTTTCCGTGTGCCGCTTTACGACATACTTCTTCATTTTATATAAAAATCATTTATCGTTTCTGTGCTTTATTTTTGTTGTTTTGTTTTTATTTCTAGTTTCACTGTTACATGTGGAAAAGAATATCATACACGACAAATGTGTTGATTTTTTTTTTTTTTTTTTTTTTTCTTTTCAGAAATTTGTTTACTGCGGGACTAAACTTCCAGGAATAATTTCAAAATAAACACAATATTAGATACGCCCAGTATATTATTTTACTCGACACCGATTATGTCTTTGATCGAGTTCTATCGGCCTTGTACTTACCTACCCACAAATACACGTCACCCCAGTCCTGGGCACAAGTTGTACATGAGTTTTGGTGATGCAATATTGTTCCAGTTGCATTACACAGGAAAACTTTTGACTTCGTTCCGCCCCTCCCGCAAAAACTTGCGTTTCTATTGCCAAGCTTGCATCTGGTCGCGTGGCATTCCGTATTTTCCCCGTGTACGAAGCCAAGGAGGAAAGTCATGTGCCACGCCCCCAAAGTGGCATGATGGTCGCAGAAAGATGCCAAGAACCATAGCCTCGTCGTGGCGGATCGTCCAAAGGTCTCCGAGAGGCTGTCTGGAGTGTCGGCCGGGCATGGCGAATTCTCGGCATCTTGGCTTCACGTGAACAAAACGACGAGTTGCAGCATCAACATCCAAAGGCCATTCAGTCGTCCAGCGCCACCAGTCGTTTCAGCGTCGTGGCTGTCAAGCCAAGCCTTTGCGTCGACTCGTTGTGGAGTTGTGTATCCGTCAGATTGGGCCGAGATTGGCGGCACGCTCAACATGCATCCGTAAATAGAAAAAAAAAAAAAAAAAAAAAGACCATGCAATATGCAGGACATTTCCTGATTTCGTGATCTCCAGACTTTGGCGGCTGTTTCTCGTAGCCTCGACGCATCTCACTCGCATTGACTTGCCGTTTTGTTCCCTTTCAAGCGGCACGCGGCAACGTTTCGAGGTTTCTTAGGAAAGTCTCCTTCGTACAGAAAATCAACAAGCGTCACACATCGCCTCGAATGGCACCCAAGACGTCGCCCAGCAGCCGCCAGCATGCTGCCAAGCCCATTATGGCGCTAGTTCCTGGGGAAACCCTCGTTGGATGCTGCACAGTTGCATCATTGATTTTGGGATGAGCTTTGCAGTGTTTGGCATGCGGTGGTTTCCACCAACACAGAGAGATGTAAGGACCCTTGTTGGTGCTCAGACGCCGTTCTTTAGTGGCGCCTCTGTCACCAACAGAACAAAGGTTGGGCCGCTGTCATTCCACTATTGTGGCGTCCAATCGTTGGCCAACTTAACGTTGTAGGTCCTCCTCGTTCCCTGTGGGGTGTGTTTGACAGCTGAAGCGAGAAACGAACATTACCGGCAGAGGAGAGCAAGTCCACTGCAGTCGCCCAATAGAGTATCGTTTCAGGGCCTGAACAGGAATCGCTTCAGCGAACCAGAGGTCAGGTGGGCGAGCTGTCAAAATCTAGGCCCTGGGCAGGGTCGACAGCGAAGGCCCTAAAGAGACCCCCCAAACCTCCAGAAAGTATCGCCAGGCGTGTCATAGGCCTACAAATACATGTGCAGATGGAACAAGGGCCATTATCTTTAACATAGTTATGCAACAGAGAAAGAAAGCTCCAATGCCCATTATCAACGACAAAGACGGAGAATGTCCCATACCGACATGTCAAGCCACATTCATGTGATGAGAAAGACAAAAAATCCCCCAAAAAAGGCATGTATGCGTCATACCATTCTTCCAGCCAACCATTTTGCTCGTTTTTAGTGGACACCTGCAATCTTACTTTTTTCATCTACTGTGTATGACCTCCTGCCCGGCTCACGGCATGAGCCTGCCGCGCAAAAATTCCACCCCTCCTTCCTCGCAGTGACGAAACTTGGTGACGTAAATGGGTCCCGCTCCATACGACGTTAACTGTTGCAGGGGAGGTACATCGTCGAAAGGAGAGTGTTGCAACCTATCCAACAAAGATGACAGGATGAAAATTCTTACTGTCACGACGATTGGGAGGATAGACTGAGCTCTCGAAGCGAAAAAGTAAGACTGCACGAAAAATTCGCCGAACAGCAAGCGCACGCGCCACAGTGCAGGAGGAGAGTGCGCAAAAAAAAGAAAAGAAGAAAAAAGAAAGAAATAAGAAAAGATAGTTGACATACTTTGTAAGCAGCTACGACATCGTACGGCGCAAGGTGCAACTAGGCAGGCGTTCCTGCCACTGAGTTGTTTGTATTTTCCATTTCATGCCGTTGCAGAGGCACTGATGCAGAGAGGCACGCATCTACTGTTTACAAATCTGGCCGACTTTGTTTCATGCACCAGTCGACTACCGGTCAATATGAAGGTGCGTTGTATTGGTGCGGCCGTCTGACTCTCCCGGCCGTCTTTATGCGCTTGCCGTCTCGCCGTCTCGCCCAATTCGTCCAATTCGTCGGGGTCCCACCCACCAATGCAAAAACGGCAGAGTAAATGTCCCGGCCGACACCGCGCAGCCATTTTTGGCGACGGACAGCGCACGCCAGGCAACCACGGCTCCCCCGCTCGTGTGTTTGGTTTTGCATCTAACAATCTCGAATCTCGAGCTGGGTCTAGACTCCGCACTGAGACATGCCCTTGACATTCGTGACTCTTGACACATGGCCATCACAGACGCATGCAGATGCGAGCACCATCCTTCCCAATACTGTATCTCAAAGGGGAAAACACTCTCTCGATGTTTTGCCATGTCATGCCCATTGCGCCTTCCTTTGCCGTCACAGATATGCGGTGCTTTTGTCAAATTGCACAGTCATGGAAGGGCGTAAACCCGGCTGTCGGGCACCTCATGGAACTGCTGCGCCCCAGCAGTGTTAAGGTTTTGGTGATTTTACAATCTGTAGTCTCTAGACCACCTATAGCAATCTATCAAACTTACGGAGCGTCTTTGGAATCTTACGGTTTGGTAGCTGGGGCTTGGCCCGTGATGGTCTATTGGAACCAACGCATACGGTTTGTGCCTGTCGTTTCAGAAGTACATTTTCACAGAATGCACTAAATTTCGCCTGTCTCCCTGTGACTGACTCCCGGTACCACAGCTGGGGCCCACGCTTTCCCCTTTTGGGAATCTCAGATCAGTCATCGCCCCTCGAACAGTCAACAACGATTCCAATGGCGTCCCTCCCTGGCTCCTTCCACATCCATTGAACGGTAGTCCGTACACCCCTGTGCCTTCCAGTCAAAGCCCGTCCGCTTTCGCTTCGCTCGCGGATCTTCGTCGTGCGTTTTTTCTGCAGGAAAGTGGTGCCTGAAGGACAAAGTATTACTTTTCGCTGATTTTCTTACATTGGCTGCCTGGCTGCAACACGACGCTGGTTGTTTGTTGATCGTCGCTTCTATTTTTTTTTCACTGCGCTCAGTCACTACGGGTCCAATATCTTTGACTCTTCCTTTATTGCTCGATTGATCGGCCATTCTGCTCTTTCTTTGATTGTAATCTGACCCGGTCGTCTCCTTCCCTGGGAAGCAAACAAAATTAAAGAAGAACCCTTCCGCTCTTTCCCTTTGACGCCGGGGTGCCATTGACTTCGTCAACACTGCCACTTGCGCCTTCCCGTCACACATACGTTCTTTTCTCACTGCACTCTACACACTGCGCCTGCTCACTTTACTTTAGCTTCACGGTCGCACTTTCCATTTCTATAAAGAAACCCCTCTCTTTCGTTCCTCGCCCCTTGGAGAATACAGCATACAGTCTTTTTTGTTCTCGAGCTTCCTCTTCTCAAACGTCTCATCCCATCAACCTAGGTCACTCTATCTCGAAATCCTCGTCATTAACTCAACAGAATTGGTGTTAGATCAATTTCTGCTCAGACTGCGCTTGCATGCTTTCCCTTTCACAATTCACAGCCCATTTCACAGTCTCCAACCGACCGCCTTGTTTCGACCACCCTCGACGTCCGTTACGTATTGTCTTGCGAGGCACAAGCCACAGCCACACCAACGACGGCACTCGACACGCCGCGCGGACGTTAACGCCCGACAATCCTTGGTGCCCCTTGGTATCCCTTTGTTGCCCGTCATCTGACATCAGCGCCCTGGTACCGCATAGGGCGTCGCCACACCCACAGACGCTGTTAGCTATTATTGCTCTGATGCTCTCCTGATCTCCACCTGACGGACCCCATCTCCGCATACTGCATACGCCGACCTTTACCTCCGCCTTTTTGTCTCGGCGTGCAGCATCGTACATATACCTGTCGACGTCCAGTTTGCAAACCTTGACACAATTCACACGATTTGCCATTGTTGCCGCTCCTTGCGCGTCGATTGCCTGAGCCTCTTTCTGGCCTTGTCCTCCATTTGTCGATACTTGCTGAATCCGGATCGTCGCAACCGCAACTGCATTGCAGACCCAATAGCGACCCCTGTTATGATTCAGATTGATACACTTGTACTTCCGTAAGTGGTTATTTTCTTCTCAGTTCTCTGCATTGTTTGATTGTGTCCCCATCTGCGGCATCGGGCATCTGGGGCATCATCCTTATCCTTTCCCCTCCCTACCTCTGGGTTTATCATGGATCATCCTTCAGTTGCGGTCACTCGTCGTCTCTGGCTGGCACCCACGTGTCCCCTTGCCTTCCTTCGTTTTAAGTGATCGACCCAAGAAAATACAACGACTATCAAAGACCACGGGTTGCTGCGGTGCCCACAGAGTACGAGAGTACCCGCATCGATATCTGGCTACCTCACTTCCACTCTTTACCCTGTTTTCCTGTGATTTTTGATCCTTTCTTATTTTTGGAGTTCTTCACAACTCTTCATCAGCCTTTTCGCATTTGTCCTTTTAACCTTCCTTCCTCCACTTTACCCCCTGAGCCTTTGTCGACGTGCTTCACCAGTTTCGGCCATTCGACGTCTTTTACATTCCACTGTTTGCAACGTCACCAATCTACCCGGGGCAGCAGCGCACATTCCAGCCGACTCCTGATTATTTCCCCCTTCACCGTCTTTGTCTTCTTTTTTTTTTTTTTGTTGTTGCCGCATGCAGACTGCAGATACATTTCCCCCCTCTTTGACCGTGCCTTTGAGCGTTGGGCGTCATCAAGAACCCCTGTCATTTGGCCCAGCCAAGTGGTGTTGCCGAGCGGAACCCGATCGCTGCATTCAATTGCCCCTCTTAGTTTGGAGCGATGTCATCGACCACAAGACGTGCTGAAGAGGGCCCGGGCGTGACCGCCACAGGCCCACAAGACAATTGTTTGTTTTCCCTGTTTCCCTGCCCTGTTTCTGCGCTGGGAGCTGCAAACCACAGGATCCATTGTAGTCAATACATGACGACATAAATCCAATTGCATTGCGCTTCCTATTTTTATTTCAGCCACGTTTTTCCAATTCCTATTTTATTTACCCATTTCTTTCCCGATTTTGGTCCTTTGGTCTTTTTAGCTTTTATTTTGTGTTATGATTCATTATCATAGTGCTTCTCGTTCTTTCGCGCCTGCTCGCGTTGTTTGTTCCGCACATAACATAAATACACCCGGCTTAGAGCGGCCCGTTACTGACCCAAAATGCCGCCACCTACAGCAGATTTCCGACATAATCCCGCCAGTGCGAGCACTGCAGCCACTGCCAATCCCGTCCGCACAACCAGCAATTTAAGGCGTGTGCAATCCAGGGCTGTCCATGGTACGGTCCTTTACACACCGAGAAGTGGCATAGAACGCCGACCACGTCCACCAGGCCCGACCTTTCCGACGCCTCTCATCCGGGCTCGGCCGCGCCGTCCTCACACAATCCACATTGTCTCGTATCCTGCCGGCTACATCCCGTCTGAATTGCGAGGTGTTTTGGACCCCGACCACGTTAAGAAGGGCAACACCTCCCGTCCGTCACGTGGCCGCACCAAGACGCTGCAACGCAGAGCTTCTGGCCAAGGTAATTCAGCCAAACGACAATTTGACAAAATCATTGCCGCGTTTTCTGCACTGCCAGCACCGGCAGCTGCCCTGGCAAATCCTTTGCCTTTGGGACAAATCCAGTCCACCTCGGAGCAAAGTCAAATTCCACCGCCGACCGAGGTATCAATCGCGCTGGCCCGGACCAACTCCAGCTCTGGATCGTCCCGGCCCAATAGTTTTCTGAACCTCAGCGGACGCTTGTCGTTGACGCAAACACGCTCTGTCGACAGCACCCGGCCGCCGCTTACCGCACCAATTCCTGCTATCGAACTTCGCTCACCGGCGAACAGCGCCTCGGCGATTCCGCAATCGTTACACCAGGGCGAAAACACTAATCTCAACATGTTATCCACACAATCCAATAGCAACCGCAACAGCTTAATATCTGTTCGGTCGGTCAAAAACATCATATCGTCGTCCGTCGCCGAGGTCAATGAAAAGCCCATTGCTTCAGCCGGCGGCATGTCCTTTGACATTGCCCTGACCGAGCCACATCTGTTCCTCTACGGCTTCGACCACGACACCCGCACGGAGCGCCGCCCAGTTCAGAACACCCCCGCCATCCTGCGCGGTACGTTGCGGCTCAAAGTCACAAAAAATGTCAAAATACGAGCCATCACCATCAAGCTGCAGGCCCGGGGCCGTACGAAGTGGCCCGAGGGCCTACCGTTTGACAGAGAGGTGCGACATGAGGACATCTCGCTGCGCAACAGCAACCAGACTTTCTTTAACGCTATGCACGGCTCGTGGTCCACCCCGTACGGCAACAACTGCAACATCATCAAGACGCAGAAAGAGTTGCCGTCGGACAACTCGCTCGCGGTCACGTTCGACAAGTTTGGCTCCAGCGGCAACGAGTCTCAATTGGCGCTCCCGGGCATGTCATCCCGCGACATCAAGCGGCTGTCGCTGCAGCAAGTGCAAGCGCGCAGCTTCGGCAAGGAGGACTCGCCGATTGTCCAAGCCACTCAGGCCAAAGGCTACAAAGTCTTCGAGCCGGGATGCTATGAGTACACCTTCGACTTCCCCATCGACCACCACCAGCTCGAGTCCATCAACCTCCCCTTTGCCAGCGTGAATTGGTGGCTCGAGGGCTCCATCGAGCGCGCCGGTGCGTTCAAGCCCAACCTGCACGGCGTCAAGGACGTCAGCATCATTCGTGTGCCCGACCAGCTGTCACTCGAGACCGTCGAGCCCATCTCCATCTCGCGCAGCTGGGAGGACCAGCTGTTCTACGACATTGTCATCTCGGGCAAATCGTTCCCCATTGGCAGCAAGATCCCCATCGCCTTCAAGCTGACGCCACTGGCCAAGGTGCAGCTGCACAAGATCAAGGTGTTCATCACCGAAAGTGCAGAGTACTGGAGTAGCAACCGCCGCGTCACTCGGAAAGATCCCGGCCGCAAGATCCTCCTGTTCGAGAAGGTGGCCGGCAAGCCCCTCGACGAACAGTACGCGTCAAGCGACATCAACTTCACTGCGGGCGGCGAGCTGACGCCCGAAGAGCGTGCCGACGCCCGCAACTCTGCCATCCGCCGCCGCGAGCTAGAGGCCCGCCGCCTCCAGCAGCCCGCCGAGCCTGTCCCGGAAACGGGCGAGAACCTGCTGGGCGATTTGGATCTGGGCCTCGAAGCCTACTGGGGCTCGACGGAGCTCGAGATGAACGTGCAGGTCCCGACCTGCGAGCAAATGGCCCGCGATCCCGCTCTCCGCCTGCACCCTGACGTAAGCTGGCGCAACGCCCACGTCTACCACTGGATCAAGATAGTCCTGCGCATCTCCAAGCTCGACCCAGAGGACCCGGCCGGCGTCCGCCGCCGCCACTTTGAGATCAGCATCGATTCGCCATTCAGCATCCTCAACTGCCGCGCCACGCAGACCAACACGTCTCTGCCCCGCTACACGGGCATGGATATGAGCCTAGCCGATTCCTGCGTCGAGTCGGCATGCGGTTGCAGCGACGCCATGGACAAGTGCCGCCCATCGGCACCGAGTCCGAGCGCATCGAGCCGCACCGGTTCGTTTCCTTTCGGCTCGGAGCTGAACGTGGGGATGATGCCCGCACCCCCCCAGGCAGCACACCTGCATTCTGGCACGCACCAACCAGGATCGTCGGGTGACAGCATGTCGGTGTACACGCCGCCGACGAGCAACCGAGGCAGCCAGATGTCGTTGGCCTCGGCAACGCGGGATTCCATGATGGCGCATGCGGCGGAGATTGGCGCTGCATCCCGTGCCTCCCAAGCGCACACTGCGCAGACGGAGCAGGAGGCGTTCGAGAACCCCCGTCCCATCCACCTGTTGCGGGTGCCCTCGTACGCACCACCTGCCTTTGACGCCGACTCCTCGCCACCGCTGGCGGCTGACATCATGACGCCACCGCCCAACTACGACTTGATTGTGGGCACGCCCAGCGTCGATGGGCTGGCGGACTACTTTTCGCGCCTGGCCAACTACGACGACGACCACCAGGGCTCGGGATCGGACGGTACCGTGACGGACACGGACACGATCAACATTGGGCTGGACGACGACGACTCGGACAGCAGCGAGGGTGACAACGTGCCGGCGCGCATCAGCTCGCGGGGCGGCCGCGTGAACGTACCACACCCCAACACGCCGGGCGGCCTGCAGCGCGCTCCGAGCCGCAGCATGGACATCCAGCGGCCGATGGTGCCGTTCAACTTGCACATGGCGAACCACGCCGTCCGACACGCCGCCCAGTAGAGCTCGGGCAGCGGCGAAAAGGGCAGGCGCCAGGGGACGGCCACGGGAGAGATGGACGAAAAGCACCTGAGTAATCGAGTGCGGCGTTCTACATGGCATACGTTGTGTGCGGCCTTTTGCGTTTTGCGTTGCCTATGATGAGCGTTTGGACAGAGCAGCCCATATGGGATTGGCTAAATCAGTACGCGTCCTTTCGTTTCATGACTTGTTGGGTCATGGCGTTTTTCTTCTTTATCTTTTACTTGTTTTCTTATTACGGCGCATTATGGAAGGAAATATTTTGGGAAAATCAGGACATTTGCACCAGGGCAGCTTGGTACTGAGATTGCTACATCATACCACATACTAGCGAGGAGTTATGATGGGGAGTTTTATGGGAATAAAAGGAAATTTATCTAAACAGTTTACTTGCATTTTGTTTTTACTGCAACTTGCTTGGTCACTAAGTAGTTATACGTGTCGTGTACCGCAGCTACAGATCCGCCCGGGCCGGCTCGCCTGCCCAGATGCGGCGAATGACCTCCCGGATGGCCTCCCGCTCCAGCGGCCGTGGGCTCCAGTACGGCTGGGCCAGGGCAATGTCGGCGGCCTTGTCAATGTCCTCCTCGCGGAAGCCGTAGTCGCGCAGGGCCAGCTGGACGGGCAGCTTGGCAAGCAGCGCGTTGAGGCCGGCCACGGCGTCGCCGTGGCTCTCGGGCAGCAGGCCGGCCAGCGTGGCCATGACGCCGCCGATGCGGGGCGCCACATACGACAGGCTGTGCGGCAGCACGGCGGTGTGGGTCTCGCCGTGGGGCAGGTTGAAGGAGCCGCCGAGGACGTGGCACAGCTTGTGGTGGATGGACATGCTGACGTTGCCGAGGCACATGCCGCACAGCCAGGCGCCGTAGAGCGCGTCCTCTTCGGCCTTTTGGCGGGCGGCTGTCTTGTCTCCGGGGGTGGCATCGTCGTCCTCGGCACCGTCCTCGGCCAGCTGCGGGAGCGCGACGGCCAGCGAGCGGATCGCCTCGGCGGCCAGGGCCGCGACGACGGGGCTCGCGTTCTGCGTGTACAGGGCCTCGACGGCGTGCGCCAGCGCGTTGATGCCGCTGGTGGCGCGCATGGTGCGGGGCAGCGTGCCGGTGAGGTCGACGTCGTAGAGGACGGTGCGGGGCAGGATGCGGGGGTCGCTGCGGGTGGTCTTGCGGCCGTCGGCGGTCTCGCCGAGGATGGGGGTCATTTCGCTGCCGGCGTAGGAGGTGGGGATGCAGAGGTGGGCGCGGCCGGTGCGGATGGCCATGGCCTTGCCGAGGCCAATGGTGCTGCCGCCGCCCATGGAGACGAGGACGACGTTGTTGTTGTTGTCGTTTGGGCTGGCGCCGGCCGTCGCGGGGGACGCGGCCGCCAGCGCCGCCAGCGCTTTCTCGGTGATGCCCGCCGGCGTGTGCATGGCCGCCTCCGTAAACACACCGGCCACGCCCACGTCGCTCCCCGCCAGCAGCGCCTTGATTCGGTCGAGCTGGTCGGCCTGCTGGGGCGTCGACAGCAAAAAGGCCTTGGCCCCCTTGCCGCCGAGCAGGGCGGCCTCTTCGGGCAGCTTGGCGAGAGTGCCGCGGCCAAAGACGACACGCGGGACGTTGAAGTGTTGGAAGGACATGGTCGGCGGAGGTTGCTGTGGGAGGTTGGAATGTATGATGCAGGCGAGAAATAGAAGGGCAAAAGGACAACGACAGGACAAAAAGACATACGAAACAAAAAGACACCGTCCGGCGGGATATTCCCCACGTTTCGGTTCGGCAGCACGACCTACATCCGGAGACGGGTGACAAAGCGCTGACAGCTACGTCCAAGCACTATGGGAGTAGTTGGTGCGCTAGGTTTAGTGACTGTAGTGGCAGAGTGGGTGTGATTCTTCGGGTAAGAGAGTCTCCACTTTTCTTTTCGGTTCCCGGGACGGGCACGGAGAGAATACGGGCGACGACAAGACCAGGGCATCGTCGTCGTGCTTGCAAAGGAACGAGAATGCCCTATTTTCCCTCTCAATTTAGTCAATGGTTCAATTATAATACCGTGTTGTTCTACAGATGTTGTGGCTGGTATTCAGATATCGTCTTGATCGGGCCGGTCCTTCCGAAAGAGGAAATTCGTCAACACACATTAATTCCAAGAAAGCGTGAAAGTCAGAGCCACCAAAAGAATTGATACAGACAGCGCCTTGATAGGAAAGTAAAGTAAAACAAGTTGTGGTTTTTATTCATTAATTTGAGCGAACAAAATGGAAAGCCGCGTGGCCTTGGATGAAACAGTTGGCGACGCCGAGTTTCGTAATCGTGACAGAACGTTGGACTGGGAGGGCTTCCTTGCTTTCATGATGTCTTTCTCACGACATAATCAAACAATCCGGTCGATTGTGTCGATGTTTTTTTCAATTAGGGAAGACCAAGCCGACGTCTTTTAGTTTGATATCCGGCTTCCTCAAATCACAAAATGGAGGTATATTTTAATGAAAGATTTTTGCAAGAATTGCTCAAGACTATGGAAAGAGGTTGCTATGCATCGTCCAGACAAGGTACGGGGATATCCAGCTATTTGATGCATCGGCGAGTTATCAACTCTCTCCTGTGGCTTTGAATCAAACGAAGAATCACAGGTAAAGGAACTATTAAATTCTCGTGTAAGTGAGCTTGACCCACCTGGTTATGAAGCCCGGTTAATGGAATAAAAGACAAGATTCGTTAAATGCAACAAAATGCACTAAAAGGATGTTACTTTTGAGGCGTGGGATCGACGATGAAGAAGAAGAGAACGATGGGGAACGAAAGCAAAAGGGACGCTGGAACACGGAAAAGCGGCTGTCAGCAATGCTGCACGTCCCAGTGGCTGCCCTCCTCCCACAGCCTAACCCAACACAGCACCGACCGACTGGAGACGACGTCGCAGTATGGTCTTGGCAGCGAAACGAGTCTTGAGCATTTGGGCGCGAAGGCGCTCACTTGAAATGAGAGAGCTGCGCGGCCGTCATTTGCCAAGCCCGTTCATGGCCCACGTTCTTGGACAACAGTTCGAGCGACAGCCAAGACGGCACACCAAGGCCGACAGACAGCCACGAACGCCTTGTACGCCACTGCACGACGCTGCACGCGTACGCGCGCACAGCCGTTGTGCCGCTCAGAAAAGCTTGTGGACGCCTCCCGCAACGATGGCGTTTTTGGATCTTGGTTTGTGGGCGCTGAGGATGAAGGGGGAAAGGAGACGAAGCAAGTACATAAAGAATCAAGCCAAACAAACCATGAAACAATACCATCGCCAACTCAGCCTTATTTCCTTTATTTTCTAGAAACAATACGGTGCGATGTTTGTGTCGATCTTGTCCTTTTGTCATTTGCCTTGTCATTCGTAGAGGACGGGCTAAATTACGCGCTCAGAGTGGAGGGTTGACTAGGGCAAGAAGGCGGACGGGACGAAAACGTGGTCTTGCATTCTTGCCTGTCGGGTAGTCTCATCCTTATTTACGTTTGCTCGTCGTTGTACGAAATACTGTTTACGCAATCTAATTTCCTTTACCTGGAAATACTTTGCATACAGGTGTATGGTGTCCTTCGTTTCTAGTACAGGACCTTTCCACAATGCCGTTAGTCTATCGTGCGGAAAACTGACAGTTTTGTTCTCAAGGCACGTCTGTTCCACAGTCAGTATGAAGTGTCGCCAGAACAGAGCTATTTCCGCGCAACAACGCAACAATCGACCAACCATAGTTCTGCCATCCTTCGATTAAGCTTATTCCCCATTTTCTACTTTGTGTCTCCCCTGTCTCCATGTACACTTCTCATGTTACTTCGACTCTATCTTGCCCAATGGGGCATCTGGGAAAGGGTTATCCCTGTCGATGTCTAGCCAGGGCACCCCACGTGTGCCACCAACAGGTATTGGGCTGCTGCAATTGGTCAACAGTAGGCCAACAGTGTCGACATCGCGAATTGGGGCCCCACTCCACGTGTAAGTGATCGTCCGTGTTGATTGGGCATTGGTGGCTTGTATGGGGCACTTTGCAGGCAGACGACGCTTCCTTCGCTGTCGCTTCTCGCATTTTGCAGTTGGGTCCTCCAGTCCCAGCTTCGTACGGCTGAGGTCAGGCACACTGCCATTGATGACCGACTTGACCGACGACCACAAACGGGCAGGTGCAAAGTGGAGTTGGAAGGAAAGAGCAGACGGAAAGAACAGACGGAAAGAACGATGGAGGAAGGACAACGACCCGCCAATCATACGACGGCAAAACAAACGACAATCGAAAACCAACAATCGACAAACGGCAAACGGCAAACGACATACAACAATACGGCGTACGACACCATGTACGGCCCACCCCAGAGAACCAGGAACCGGGGTGCTTCATTTCTGGGACTGGGTATAGGTTGTCCGACGGCTGCTCGATGCAGCTGTCGATGGCGACGGTTTCCCTCCATCCACTCTACTTCGACCCACCAAATGACAACGCTGCCCACGTTTTTTGCGTCTGTTCGATGCAGTCGACTTTCCCAGCGACCAGGGTCGATGGTGCCCTCGGTGTTGTAAACGTGGATGTCTTGACGATTGCGGGCGGGGCCCCTGTCACTGCATGGCCGTGCATTCATAAACTGGTGATCGCCAGTTGATTGTCGCTCTGTCCCTGGGTCTCTTTCCCTTTTTCCCTCTGCCCCTTTTTTCTTCCCGTTTTTCAACCTCGCCGATCACAGGGCTCCAGCACTCGTCCTGCGTGTGTGTTGTGCTTCATTCCTGTTCGTCACTCGTTTGCCCAGCATGAAGTCCTCTGCGCAGTTCTCCGCTCTGGCCGGCGCCGTTCTCCTGGCCGCCACCGGCAGCCATGCCGCCCCCACGGTCGACACCACCTACCCCTACACGGGCCCCGACGTGCCCGTCGGCGACTGGGTCGACAACACGCCCAGCGGCAACGGCCGCGGCTTCCCGCGCCTGGTGGAGCCGCCCGCTGTGACGCCCGCTTCCAAGAACCCGACCAACAACGTCAACGTCATCTCGCTGGCGTACGTCCCCGGCGGCATCAACATCCACTACCAGACGCCCTTTGGCCTGGGCGAGGCGCCGTCGGTCGCCTGGGGCACGAGCGCGGCCGCGCTGACCAACACGGCCACGGGCGCCTCGCACAGCTACGAGCGCACGCCGCCGTGCTCGCTGGTGGCCGCCGTGACGCAGTGCTCGCAGTTCTTCCACGAGGTGCAGCTGACGGGCCTCAAGCCGGACACGACGTACTACTACCAGATCCCCGCGGCCAACGGCACGACCGCGTCCGAGGTGCTGCACTTCACGACGGCCCGCGCCGCCGGCGACGCCAAGCCCTTTACCGTGGCCGTGCTCAACGACATGGGCTACACCAACGCCCAGGGCACCTTCTCGCAGCTGCGCGCCCTGACTGACGACGGCACGCTGGCCTTTGCCTGGCACGGCGGCGACATCAGCTACGCCGACGACTGGTACTCGGGCATCCTGCCGTGCGAGGACTCGTGGCCCGTCTGCTACAACGGCTCCGACACGCGCCTCCCCCCCGGCGAGATCCCCGGCGACGCCTACGCCAAGGCGCCCCTCCCAGACGGCGAGATCGCCAACCAGGGCGGCCCCCAGGGCGGCGACATGAGCGTGCTCTACGAGAGCAACTGGGATCTGTGGCAGCAGTGGCTGCAGGGCGTGGCCGGCAAGGTGCCCTACATGGTGATGCCAGGCAACCACGAGGCCGCCTGCGCCGAGTTCGACGGCCCCAACAACGAGCTGACGGCCTATCTCGTCAACGACAAGGCCAACTCGACCGCCGCCAAGTCGGGGCTCAACTACTTCTCCTGCCCGCCGACGCAGCGCAACTTCACTGCCTACCAGCACCGCTTCCGCATGCCCGGCGCCGAGTCCGGCGGCGTCGGCAACATGTGGTACTCGTTCGACTACGGCCTGGCGCACTTTGTGTCGCTCAACGGCGAGACCGACTACGCCAACAGCCCCGAGTGGCCCTTTATCCGCGACACCAAGGGCGCCGCCGGCGAGCCCGCCGAGAGCGTGACCTTCATCACGGACTCGGGCCCCTTTGGCTTCATCGAGAACAACGCCTACCAGACCACCTCGGCCTACGAGCAGTACCAGTGGCTCGTCAACGACCTCAAGAGCGTCGACCGCACCAAGACGCCCTGGGTCTTTGTCATGTCCCACCGCCCCATGTACTCGAGCGGCTCCGCGGCCTACCAGAAGAACATCCGTGCCGCCTTTGAGGCCGTGCTGCTCCAGTACGGCGTCGACGCCTACTTTGCCGGCCACATCCACTGGTACGAGCGTCTCGTCCCGCTCGCCGCCAACGGCGTCATCGACACCGACTCCATCATCGACAAGAACACCTACTACGCCAACAACGGCAAGTCCATCACCCACATCACCAACGGCATGGCCGGCAACATCGAGTCCCACTCCACCCTCACGTCCTCCGAGACCGTCGAGAACATCACCGCCGTCCTCGACACCACCCACTACGGCTTCAGCCGCCTCGACATCCACAACGCCTCCGTCGTCACCCTCAACTTTGTGCTCGGCAACGGCAACGGCTTCGGCGACTCCCTGACGCTCATCAAGAAGGAGGCGACGCCGCCGCCGACTTCGTCGTCTGCGTCGTCCTCGGCCCCTGCGTCGTCTGCGTCGTCCGTGTCGTCTGCTTCTTCTGCCTCTGCATCTGCGTCGACCTCTGTCTCCTCGGCCTCTGCCTCCTCCTCCGAGGACTGCAGCGCATCGTCCGAGGCGGGCGCCTCGTCGTCGCAGTCGTCGTCGGCTGGCCAGAGTGCGTCGGCCTCGGCCTCGTCCTCTGCGCCTGCGTCTGTGTCGGCCTCGCCCAGCGGCTCTGCATCGTCTTCTGCCTCCCAGAGCGCGTCTGCCTCCTCGTCCGCCTCGGTCGTCGTGCCCCCCGTCTCGGTCTCGTCCGCGTCGTCTGCCTCCGAGTCTGCTGCGTCCTCGTCGATTGCCGACTGTGAATCGTCGTCGATCTCCGCCTCGGCGTCGGCGTCTGCGTCTGCGTCTGCTGCGTCTTCCTCTGCCTCGGAGTCTGCATCCTCGTCGATTGCCGACTGTGAATCCTCGTCGATTTCCGCCTCGGCCTCCGCCTCTGGCTCTGCTTCGGCGTCTGCTTCTGCTTCTGCGTCTGCGTCTGCCTCTGAGTCTGGGTCCTCGTCGATTGCCGACTGTGAATCCTCGTCCGAGTCCGCCTCGGCCTCTGCGTCTGCTTCCGCCTCCGCCTCCGCCTCTGTCCCTGCGTCGGTCTCGGCGTCTTCGTCCGAGTCCATCGTCCCCTCTTCCATTGCCGACTGTGAGTCGACTTCGGTGAGTGGCTCCGCTTCTGCGTCGGCTTCGGTTTCGGCCTCGGCTTCTGCTTCTGCCTCCGCCTCGGCTTCCGTCTCGGCTTCCGCTTCGGCCTCGGAGTCGGGTGTCTCGTCCTCGATTGCAGACTGTGAGACTTCGAGCGGATCTGCCTCTACTTCCGCTTCGGCCTCTGCCTCTGCGTCCGTTTCGGCCTCTGCCTCTGCTTCCGCTTCCGCTTCCGCTTCCGCTTCCGCTTCCGCTTCGGCCTCTGTCTCCTCGGAGCCGATTGTTCCGTCGTCCATTGCCGACTGTGAAACGTCATCCACGTCTGGCAGTGTCTCTGCTTCGGCCAGCGGCTCGGTCTCTGCCAGCGGCTCGGCTATTGCCACTGGCTCGGCTTCAGCCTCAAACTCCGCGTCAGGCTCTGCCTCGCCCTCTGGCTCTGCTTCCGCCTCTACGTCTGGCGGCGCCTCTGCTTCGGCGTCCAAGTCCGCCGCCTCGTCCAACCCGGCTTCCGCCTCTGCTTCGGCGTCCAAGTCCGCCGCTTCGTCCAACCCGGCTTCCGCCTCTGCCTCCGCCTCCAAGTCTGGCGGCGCTGGTGGCGTCGGTGGTGTCACCACCACCACCGAGGTCGTTACCGCCTACACCACCTACTGCCCCGGCGCCACTACCTTCACCCAGGGCTCGCACACCTACACCGTCTCCAGCGCCACCACCCTCACCATCACTGACTGCCCCTGCACCCTGACCCACACCATCTCCTCGGCCACGCCCTCCGCTAGCTCTACGGTTGTTGGCGGCGGCTCGGGTGGCAGCGGCAGTGGCTCGGGCAATGGCAATGGCAATGGCAACGGTAACGGTAATGGTAACGGCAACGGCAACGGCAACGGCAATGGCAATGGCAATGGCAATGGCAATGGCAATGGCAACGGCAACGGCAACGGCAATGGCAACAGCAACGGCAACGGCAACGGCAACGGCAACGGCTCGGGCTCTGTCGCTGCCGCCGGTACTACCCCCGCCAGCACTACTCCTGCTGGCACTGCCCCTGCCGGCACTACTCCTGCCGGCACTACTCCTGCCGCCGGTAGCCCCACCGGGTCTGCCGCCGCCTCGGCGTCGTCGCCCTCGAGTGTTGTCACGGCCGGCGCTTTCCAGACCCAGGCTTCGACTCTGCTCGCCTCCGTCAGCGCCCTTCTTGTCGCTGTCCGCCTGCTGCTGTAAATGGTAGTTGACGTCGACGAGCGTGTCTGTGCTCAGTGACTGTACTACAATATATTTCTGTCCATGGTTCTTTTTGTCATGCATTAATTTACTCTGTCTTGTGTCATTCATTTTCCATCTTTATACATTTTCTTTTCGTTGCCGTGGGCCCCTCTTTTCCATCTATTTTACCTCTTAATTCAAGACAGTCATTCTACAACAGGCTGCCAGAGGTCCTTCTGAACTGCATAATTTCTTAATTAATACAAAAATCATAAAATATAAAAATATAAAAAGCGAAAATACACGGCAATGCAAGACAAAAAATTAAATTCAAATAAATTCACGAGCAACGAGAGCGACAACGTATCATTCAAAAAATGGCAAAGAAAAACTATTTAGAGATCCAATTTGGGTTCAATCTATACTTTCTCTACAGAATAACAACAGATATCAGCATCAATATTGAAACTGCACCACCAGCGGTCATTTTATTGCAGTTTTGAATTCACATTCTATCGGTGAACAACAAAAAGCCCCGGTCAGGGGTTTTACTGGCACGTGACGTCCTCTGATGGTAGCATCTAGAATCGCAAACACCATCATCGCCAGCAGCCCGCTAACTGCTAGGCGACAGTAGGCGGCGCGGCACGCGTAGTGACAGTGCCGCCTAAAACGTGCCACCTGAAGGCTGACTAATTTCGGCGCCGCGAACAACGTCAATCGCTCCTGCCTCAAGACACTGCTCAATGTCCTTTGTCATGTCCGTCTTCCTTTCTTTTGTACTTCCATCTTCAGTTCCTCACTTTCTCACGACATTTCCCCTTTCCTCTCCTTTTCATTTCTCGCTTTCCTCTACCGCCAACGCACAATGGACGTCCAACTTTTGGTCTACGACCTGTCCCAGGGCCTCGCGCGCCAGATGTCCATGAGCTTCTTGGGCTTCCAGCTCGACGCCATCTACCACACGTCCATCGAGCTCAACGGCCGCGAATACGTCTACGACGGCGGCATCCTCGCCATTCAGCCCTACTCATCGCATCTCGGCCACCCGTTTGAAAAGGTGCCACTCGGCACCACGACACGCACCGTGGCCGCCATCGAGGCACACCTTGACACGCTGCGGCCGCGCTTCACAGCCGCTGCCTATGACCTGTTCCGGCACAACTGCAACACGTTCACCGACGAGTTTGCGCATTTTCTTGTCGGCCACGGCATCCCGGCGCACATTACAGGGATGCCGGACGCCGTACTGGCGACGCCCATGGGCCGGATGCTGCTGCCGCAGCTGATGCAGAGCGGCGTGACAAGGGGACGTGGGAACGGTGGTGGCGGCGGCGGCGGATCGCTTCTCGGCCTCCAAGAGACAGCACAACCGGCGGCACCGGTACCAGCATCAGCAGCTCCACGTTCCACGGCTCCAACACACCGACACCACCGCTTGACGCTGCCCTCGTTTGCCAATGTCGATGCCGCACGGCCTGTCCTCTTCTCCAAAGTGCCGCCGCTCGACAAGCTGCTCAGTAAGCTCGGCGATGAGGTGGCACAGCAGCCCGCCGTGCGCGATCTACGCATCTTTCTCGAGGGCAAGGCGGCGGCCAACACCAAGTCGGTGAGCACGCCGGACCTGGCAGCGCTCGGCCGCTTTGTGCGTGAGTCCGTCCCGGCCCTGCCGCGGACCACCCTCTTTGCCGCTGTCGATCTTTTCCGATGCAGCCTCGCCGACCCGCGAGTGAGCGCCTTTTTCGGCGACGACGAGGCCGACCACGGCACGGTGAAGAGCGTTGTGAGCGTTGTCAACAGCGAGGATGCTCCCTATGCTCTGCGTCTAGTAACATTGCAAATGGTCTGCAACCTGTTCGGCGCACCTCCCGCGGCGGCCAACTCGCTGCTGGCCGACGCTGCCTTGCGTGCCGCCCTCGTCCAGCTCGTCGCTGCCAGCTTCTTGGATGACGCGCACGCCAGCGCCCGGTCCGCGGCGTCGTCCCTTCTATTCAACATGGCCATCACGTCGAGGCGGTCGCAGTCACAGTCACAATCAAAGTCGCCAGGCCTGGCTGTCGACGACCAAGTCGAACTCGCCGCGTCCGTTGTCGAGGCCATCGGCCAGGAAGAGGCGTCTGCCGGCGCCCTGCAAGGCATGCTGGCCGCGCTGGGCCACCTGGTCTACGGTGCGCCGCTGGACGGCGAGCTTGCGGACCTGCTGCGGGTGCTGGACGCGGCAGGTGTCGTGGCCGCCAAGGCCAAGGCGTTTCCAGACGAGCCGCTGGTGGCCGAAGTTGGCACAGAACTGCTCGGCAAGGGTTTTGTGATGGCATGACGCCGACAAAGGGCACAGGATGGACAAGTCGAGTTAAGATAGACGGATAGACCTGCAATGCGTTTACAAGACAGGATACTCTAGACTACGAATGTTACGAATGATGACTTTGAACGGAAGCACAATACGAAACGCCCAGATTTGAAGTAAGTTAAATATTCTTGCTGAATGTACAGTCTCGCATGGTATCAAAATCAGAAAACTACCCCTGCTCATTTCCCGTCGTCCGCTGTTGCGACTTTCTTGTAGGCCACTCTCCGCCGGACACAATAACTATTACTTTGGTTAGCACGAGGACGATGCGAGATAAAATGAGGGACGAGACGAGGGACAAAACTTACACAATCAATGCAATGCCGCCAATAAGCAACGGTACACCGGCGCCGACTGCGGCACCAATGATAATATGCTCCGTTTTTGATGACACGTGCACGCCGGCAATGGTGACGCCGGTCGACGTCGGGTCCGAGGCCGACGTCGAAGAAGACGAGGGCGCCAAAGAGGAAGTCGTGGGCGGCGGCGGCACAAACGACACCGGCGTGCCCGACACCGTCAGCGCCAAGGGCTGTGCGTTGTTGCCGAATGCGGCCACCCGGGTGATGGGCGCAGTGTTTGTCGGCTCCGGGAACGTGACGTCTGCTGCAGAGGCGGCGTCCACAGTGAGCGTGGTCGTGCTGGTGGCTGTCGTGACGGCGGTGGTCTGCAGCGAGTTGGGACAGCTCACCAGCCCCGGGGACATGCAGGCGACGGCCGTCTGGACAAAGGTGGTGCTGATCACAGTCGTCACGCTGGTGGCCGTGTTGACGGCCGCCGTCGGCGTGACCTGCCGTGCTGCCACCTTGGACGTCGTTGCCGCCCCCACGGCCGCCGGCGTGGCGGTCGCCGTCGACGTCGCCGGAGCCGCATGACTGCTGAACGCCACGCATTGCGTCACGGTGGTAAAGAACACCGGCAGCATCGTGGCCGGATTGACGCCCCACGACAGGAAATCGCCAATCACGAGCGACGCGCCGGCCTTGGCACCAATGTCAAAGTTGAAGATGCCCTCGATAATCACGTCGCTGTTGGCACAGGCGGCCTTGTCGCTTGACGCCTTGGCCACCTCCGCAAGTGCGCCCGCTTCCGCAACCGCAACCGCACCCGCCTCCAGAGCCGCAAGCGCCTTGGTCGGCGGCGTCGTGTCATGGCCCTTGGCGCTGCCCCCATCGGTGATGCCCGGGCCGGCCGCCACGATCAGCGTCAGGTTGGCGACGTCCGCATAGACAATCGTCTCGATGCCGGCACTGTAACTTGCGTCGTCAAAGCCGGGCACTTTCAACGCGTCCGACGACACGATAACGCCGGCGTGCACGCCGACGCGCAGGATCGCATTGAGCGTGACGCCGGCGGCGCGCAACGTCACGGGCAAAAACTCAAACTTGCCGCCGTGGCACACAATCTCGGACACGTTGTGGCCAAACAGGTCCACCTGGAGGCTCAGGCCCTCGTCCATGCGCAGGTGGAACCCGCCCTCCAAGTCGACGACGCCCGAGGCGCTCAGTATCAGGTCCACCGTCAGGACGACGCCCAGCTCCAAGTCGTCGCCCTTGCGGATGCCAAAGTCCGTCTCGGACGTAAACAGGTTGACCGTGTAGCTGGTGGCGGCCGTGACGACCAGGTCCAGCTGCACAAACAGGTCAATCTTGTCGAGCGTCAAGAGGAACTGGTACTCAGGCAGCGGCGTAAGATCCTTGAGGTCGAAATCGATGTCGGGCCGGGTGAAGTTGTGGAAAATGTCTTCGATCGGCTCGTGGTGCACAATCTCGTGCACGACGGTCTTGGTCTCGTTCTTCACATACTGAAAGATGTCGTCAAAGAACGTCTCCGTAATGTTGACGATGTCGTGGACAAACTCGTGGGCAATCGACGACAGATTTTGCGGCGCCGCCGAGTGATTGGCCTGTATGACGATGAGCTCCGTGTGGAGCTGCGCCGTCAAGTAGCAGTCCACGCATGTCGCGGCGACGCCGATGACCACGCCGCTGACTGGGTATTGGCTGCAGGTGTTAGTGACCACACGAAAATACATAAAGAGAAAACAGGAACGGAGACGAGGCACGCTCGAACTCAGCGCACATACCCAGCAAACAGTGTAGCTCCCTTGAAACTCTTGTGGATGGCAGTGCTGTTCTTTGTCGAACTACGCGTCACCAACGCGTTCGAGTCCGCGGCCTGGAGAGCGACGCCGGCCGAGACGACGGGGGCGAGCCAACCGGCCAAGAGAAGTGCTTGTGTTAAGAGGCGCATCGTGGCTTTTGTCGACAAGTCAAACTGGAGAATGAGAAACGAGGAGAACAGGTACGCCAGCCAACACGACATCTGGTATGGCTTCCTCTTATCATAAAAAAAATCTAGGAAACCATTGCCATATTTATGAAGGGCCACGCACAACTGCAATCGCATCCCCCAACCAGTCCCAGCAGCCTCAAGAACCTCAAGAACCGCATCCTGTCACGCGTCTGAAAAGGGAAAGTCGGCAGCAAGCTGCATAATCCCGGGCTCGGACCCGGCCTCAACTGTGGCTGGGGGACGAGAAGAGGATGCAGAAGCTGGTCCATGTGTGTTGGCCGTCTCTCAGATTTTGGCTTGTTGTTGTCTTGGCTTTCTCTCTCGTATCTTCGCATTCGACGTCGACGTCGCAGCAAAACCGAAATCAACAACGGAAAGCGGAAGGAGACCCGCCTGGCACCCTTGCAGGACAGCTCCACATGCGCCACGCGAAGGAGCAAGAGCTGTGAAGAAAACGACAAGGCGGTCTCCTTCAGGATTCAGGATCGCCATCGCTGTCGATCCTGGGTGGCCAGCGAACCCTGAAAACCCCAGGCTGGCCAGACGCGACCGTGAGCATTCCGTTCCTCTTGGTTCCTTTGCCTGGTTATCGTCATCTTATTTCTTTTTTTTTCTTCCACGTTTTTTATTCTTCTCCGCTTCACTTACTTGCATTCCTTCGCTTTCGTTGTGTGCCGTGTGTTCGTTGCCTTGTTTCTCGCTTGCCCCTTTTCTTTTGTCAGCGACGATCTGTCAAAGGATTGCGATAACTGCTAATTGCAACATCGATTCAGGAGTGCTCACCACCAACCGCTCCGTTTCAGCCACAGCCCCCAATGCTGCAGTCGACATGGGACGCCAGGCCCAATTCACACAAATAAATATCTGCAGTAGTCAAAGTGGGGGCATTCTTGGCTTGGTCCTGTGTGATAAAAATAATGTGATAATGTGGAGAGGTGTGCACGAAGCGATGAGACAAAAAAAAAAAGACGGGGAGGTGAAGACAAGAAAAGTAAGAGAAACAACAGAGCGATGCTTTGCGTGCGTAGAAAAGTATCCAATGTGCAAATTGAAACTAAACCGTGAAAAAGACTTGAAAAAAAACGAGCAAATTACCACGTAGAATGCGGGAGAATGACACAAAATGACACAAATGTACCGTGGTTTGCAAAATAAGCATAAGCTTAAGCCAAGACCGATCCTTTGGGCTTTGGGATTGCAAGCTCAATCCCACTCTCACAGCCTCACACTCGCAGGCATGCACCCTGCCCCACACCAAAATAGCAGCACCTATTCCATCCAAACAGTCCCCACAAAAGGAGCGACACCTCATGTCCTCCCATCTTACGCCGTCCCTCGCATTTCTTGACTCGTTCGAAGCCCATGCGATTTAGGCCCCAACAGAGATGCCCCGTTGTGCAGCCAGCGGTGTCTTGGGCACGGAATTTGCCGACTTGCTGGCAGAGGCTGTTGCTGCCACCGCCGGCTTCTCGTCAGCGGCCGTCGCCTCGTCCGCACCAAACTGGTCGCGGCCGGTGGCAAAGACCTTGTCAAAGTCGTACTCGAACCAGCGAATCTGCGGGTCGAGGCCGGCAAACTTCCAGACGCCGTCGACCTTGCGGTACCAGTGGGTGTTGGCCGAGTGGGCGTGGCCCTTGACGGCGACGGTGGCGAGGGAGGCGTCGGTGTACACTTGGTGGGGGACGCGGAGCTGGTGGTAGCCAATGACCTCGGTGTCGGAGACGCGCTCCCAGCGGGAGGCGCCAAAGAAGTGCTGGGTGCGCAGGAGGGGGTTGCCCAGCACGTTGGGGTCGGAGATCATGGCAATGTATTCCTCGGCGGGCATGGCCTCCCAGAGTTTGTTGAGGAACGAGCGGTAATCGATCTGCACGTGGCAAGCGGCGAGCGAGCAAGCGAGGAAGCGCGTTAGCGAGTGAACGAGTGAACGAGTGAGGGAGACAATGAAGCGCGCAAAATGAAGCGAGCGCAGCGAGGACCTAAAAAAAGTCATACCCGGAGAGTCGGTGCAATGCAACGGCGGAGACGGTCCCAGTCTTTGGAGTCGTAGCTGTCGGCCCACTCGTAGGCAGCAGACAAGAGGCCGAGGTAGTCTGTTGATCAGTACGTTTCTTTACTCGAAGCTGCAAGAGAGATTCGGTGGCGACCTACCCTCGAAAGAAATGTCGGTGCTGGGCGCCGGCTTGGGCGCGGCCGTCGAGGGGGACGTGACGGAGCTAAAGGTGATACCCATGTTGAGTCGTTGGTTCCGTCGGCTGCCGTTGTGGGCTGGATTGATGTCACGATGTGTCAATGTGTCGATGTGTCGATGTATCGATGTATCGAGTTGTCGATGCGTCGATGCTGATCACGTCAAAGAATGATGTACGTCAGACATTCAATACATCCATCACCAGGAACGAGGACTTTCTCTTTCCTCGAAACGGGAGGCCATGACAAGGCTTTATATCCGCTGGCACTCGCCCGTCCCGTTCCACACAGACACAGCAACCGTGCCTCCGGCGGCCTTTCCCATGGAGGAGCCCGAGAGTCTGGTCACACCTCAATTAAAGGCCAAAGACGGCCAGACTGTGAGGAGAGGGGAGGCAAGACCAGGCGAGAGACGGGACGCTGAGTGATAGACGGCCTGCGCTGTAGTGCACCAGTCAACAGCCGCAAGACAAGGCGTCGTGCTGAGACATGGCAGAGCTTGCCTGTGACTGCTGTGACTGCTCAAGCACAAATGGCTCCATTGTTACAGCTAGAATGGCTTCATTCATGCTGATCCGGGCGCCATGAAAGTGTCCCGCATTGAGGACGAACGATGGGAGGCTCTCCCGTTCACCAAACCCAGTCCGGATGCTGTGCATTTGTACTTTCAGCCCACTGGCCGATGCTTCTGGGCCCCATTAGCCCGGCTAAACGTCTGCACGGGAGAGAAACGAAAACGTGTCGCTAAGCGAGAGCGTGTGAGTACCTCGTGGGAGCGCATGCCAACTGTCGTCGTAGATATGTCTCGCCACCGGAGTCCGGAGAGCGCAGTGGGGATGTGCGCGACAGAATATGGGAGTGTGAGACCAGGCGTTCTTTGTGAGGTGCGTCGGTTCTAGGCGGTTATTTGGCTGAATGCGATCGTACCGCATATACCAACCAGGCAATGCAGTGACTACTCTGGGGACAGCGTACAAGCTCAGGCTCCAGCATCAATCTAAAAGGTTAGCATTCTGGTGGACAACGACGGAGTAGCAAAAGCACATTGTAAGCTGACGTAGCTCAGAGCTTTCCAGGAAACAGAAATTAAATCGTCGAGATAAGACGGTGTGTTCTCACTCGTTCCACAACTTGTCTCTTTGCAAAGTCAGACCCACTCCTCTTGACGGTCGAGATAGTCGGCGTGTTGGATTTCAATCAGTTCCATTGTGGGCGAGGCTGAAAGGAACGGAAGCACAGGTCGATTTCTTGATGCAAAGCGGCCAAGCCAAAGAATGAAGCTCAAGCTGGCCTAGTAACTTCAGTCTCCACTTTCCAGGTCTGTTCTCTACGGAGTATTTAGGCGGTCAACAATAGCCCAAAGCAGGAGGGACGCTGGGCGATTGGGCGGTCAGCAGCGGCAGTAAACAGGGGCAAAGTCGACGCACCATTTTTTGCACGCTCGCACGGACCACATTCATTTCCCACTCGCTCCTTCCCCCCAAAAAATGGCCCAACAGGCTCCACTTGCCACTCGGTGCCTGGACTATTTAAGACACGGCAGCCCCCTTCTCCTTTCTAAATCTTTTCTTTCTCTTCTTTTTTTTTCTTCATACTTACCTTGTTCGATGTGTCGGGTGATCAAGAAGACCTGGCCATAGGGTGGGAAGCCTGCATTGCACACCGTGGCGCTACCCGTCTTGGTTTGTCCTTCGGGGCCGACCCGGGCGTAATTTTTGCTTTATCCCTCTTTTTTCATTGTATACGCTGCTTGACGCAGAGTTGCGAGGAAGAATGTGACAAGGGAAGGCGTGATCACAGCAGCCGACAGGACGTCTAAAACATTAAAGTGCCATCTATATAAGCTGTCGTAAATCGTGAATCATGTCTTTTCGCTACGGAATCCAATCGCTGTCGCTGTCAATTACAATGGCCGTCTCCTGATCGCCGCCAGTGGTTGTCTGCAGCTTCTGAAGCTTTTGAAGTTTGCTTCGCGCGACACGAGCTTCCACCATGCCAGCATTACTCGTTCGAGCTGGAGCCTTTTTCGACGTGTTTCTTTCTCTTCGAGGCGTGACACCACTTTGTCGACCACAACTTTTGGCCGTTGCGGGCTGCGCGTCTTCCTCGTCTTCCTTGTCCTCATTCTCCTCAACCCCCTCGCCCTCCTCGCTGTATTGACTCCCGCTAACCTCGTCGTCCACGCTCCCTTCACTGCTGTCGATGGAGACGTTTCGCGACTTGCCCGCCCATTCTCGCTCAATGGCATTGACTCGCCCGACTGTCTGCGCACGTGCTTCCGCGCGTCGGCGTCGCTGCAGTTTGCCGTCGCGCTTTCTTCCCGTCCCGTTTCGTTTCCGTCTCTCTTTTCTGTCGTTTGTCGCCTCCGCCTCCCGCAACATCGTCTCGTAGTCTGTCCACCGGTGCCGGATGTGCGCCCGCACCGCCAGTCGCACCCGCGCCGCCTCGCTCAGTGTGCTTGTCCGCGCGACGCGTCCGGCGTGCTTCGTCATGGCATGCTGCACAATCTCGTCGGCCGTGGTCCCCGGAGGCAGCGCCGGGTAGGCTGCCAGCAGGGCCGCCCGAAACATCGCGGCCAGGGCAGCATCGCGCTTGGCCGTGGCGGCCTCGCGCGCGGCCCGCGTGGCCTGCTCGGCAGCGCGGACGGCGTCGACGACGCCCGTGGGACAGCGAATGCCCAGCACGTTCTTGTCGCGCGCGACCACATACACCGTCTTGGCGGCAGCATGCGTCTGGCGGCGGCAGTTGGCCGTCACATACACGTTGCCCTTGGGGACAAAGGCGTAGCCGTGCGGCATGGGCGTCCGAGGGTGGACGGCCACTTCATTGTCTTGCATCGCAGCAGAAGGAGGGAGGAGAGAGCCGTCGTTTGGCGTCGGTAGGGTTTAACGTATGGATGCTGTCCGTTGAAGCTTGACCCCGGCGTCAACTTCAACACAGAGAGGAGGGAGATGGTTCGTGACAGTCGTCATTGTCGTAAATACAGTACACGGAGGTCTTGTAGCATTCTCTTTGGTTGGCTCCGTACTGTGTCCTTGCCGGAACCGGCGTTGTGTATTTCGTAGTTGACCGTCTTTGTTGGTGAATGGGAGCTTGGGTTGGTAGGCTGCACAAATCGACGAGTCGTGCTTTAGCGCTTGCGGGCGCCACATTGCTATCTCTACCAGTGACAACACGTACCAATGCGTTCCATTTCTGCATTTTGGTTGAGCTTTTCTTTTTCGCATATTATTTCTAATTATTCATTCATTAACATATTGCCCTCTTGTATTTAGGTGTTATTTTTCTTTTCTTTTTTATTATTATTATTATTATTATTATTATTATTATTATTATTGAACCTGTCAACCAATTTTGTCACATTTCCTCTCTCATGCTGTAATATTAAATCCAAATTTTCGTAGCCCACGAAAATAAAAGGATGCTTAACCGAAAGAATTACACCACGATGCGAGAAATATTGGCAGTGAAATATGTTTTGAATATATTGCAATATTTGGCATTACCACAGGTTCACTCACCGTTATGAAGGCGATATGCAGAGACACCAGCCAAGACTGCATTCATGTTGATTTCTGGTGAAATATCACGAGACCTGTGTTAACGTATATGCTCTTAGTCTAAAACACTTTGTGCATCTCCAGACGACCGTCCTCCCTCTGGCTTCGACCTCATCTTGTTTCACTGCTTAACCACGCAGTCACGGTGCCGAGTTGACTAACGCGTTCGTCAAAACGTTGTTCACTGCTCTCTGCTACAGACGACTGCTCTGGTACCAGTATAAATCGAGGCCCTCTCCCGTCTCCTTCCAAATGTCCATGACTGTCCACCCATACCTCTGGCCGAATCTCCTTACGCGAACTTTGACAAAAGGAACCAGCACATAGCCACTGCCATGTTCGTGATTTCCATGAGAATTGCCGCTGCTATCGGCGTCCTACTTCACGTCACTCTGTCCACGGCAGGGTTCACCTCTTCGTGCTCAGACGTGTATCTCGACAAGAACGACGCCAATATTCTGGTGACTCGGTGTACCATGAACGGAGAACCTAGTGATTCGCACTACGTCTGGAGCGAATTTGATCTCAACAAGATACTGGGTTACCAGGCACCATACATAATTTATCAAAAGAAGTATGTTGCAACGCCGCTGCACTGCGCAAGACAACGGAAGAAGAGACCACTAACGGACAGTGGCAACTTTTCCGTGAGCAACTACCCTTGCGGCAATTGCTCCCTCGCGGGCAGCACGTTGTCCTGTGACTGTCCCGCGGGAGTGGCAGGTCTTGGTTTGGGTATGTTGGCTAGACCTTGCTTTCGTTGCTTGTTCCTCCCGTCATCACAGACAACTGCCTCTAACTTGACTAGATGCTTTTCTCTACGATGTGGCGGGTGTACTCTGTTATGGTGATCGATTCGGGCCCATCTGCGGGAAGAACATCAAGTGTTCGTGTTAAGCGTTCGAATTTAACGCCATATTCCATCCTCTTACTTGCAGCAAGACAGGAATGCAGCTATGTGATTCCGTTAGTTGCAATCTTGCAAGGCGTGGAGACCCCAATAGCTCTCTGTATCAGAAGCTGCCCAGCTGAGCCAGAAGCTGCCCAGCTGAGCTGTTTGTTTTACACTGCATCTTCGCTTACGTTGCTGTCTTAAGTCCTCAGTTCATTCGTACTTTTTGTTTCGATTGTTGAAGACATAAGTTGATATCTGTTTTAGGGGATGATTCTACGTATTCAGAATGATTACATCAGAAAAGAAAAGGACAAAGGTCCGCAGTCGCTGCACAGCAGTCAAGAACAACTACCAGTTACGACGTAAATTAAGAGTAAGACTCAGGTGAACCACCAAACCCGGTTCAAGGCATGCGAGCCAGACCTGACATCCTTCCAATGCAACGCTACGCAGCATCATCATCGGCCACCGCAACACGGGACAAAATAAGTTATCCGCCAGTAGCAATCAGGCTGGTTCTCTGCCGTGCTTCCAATTGAAGACGTAAGACGTTCAATGGCATTTGACAGCCGGCTGTTGAATCGTGACATGCCAGAATTGGGGAACTTTACTTTTGTTTGGATATGGATGCAATGGGAATGCCCTGCAAGTAGATCGATGTCGTGCGTGTTGGGACCTTCCCAACACAGAAAGCAGCAGAGCTAAAATCAGGGACTGCCCCTGTCGCGTTAGCGAAGCTAGGTAAGATGGAGCCCGCGTATTACTGGCTACAGTGACAAGAGTGGGGAAACAACGGCTGTCGGCACTCGCTGGAGAATCGCCCGCTGTAGTCTCTACTGGTCGTTGGTCCTGGCTCATCCCCTCCTTCCACGAGCGGCGTTCCGCACGAGGAAACACTGCACCGAGGCGCATTCTTAGAGGCCCCGCCGCCAATTTCGGCGCAGAGCTCGTTACCCTCCTTTTGTTTTTCTTCTTTGCCACCAAGACTGAGCTCGACGTGCACGGTGCGCTCGGGACCACAAGTCGACTTCCACGCCCAAAGACCTCGAAATCGCCTCTGTTGTTTGTGTGCAAGAGTACGACGCACAATTACGTCAATTGACAGCCAATTGACAGCCAATTGCTGCTTGTTGACAGACTTTCGAATCTGTCCAAGCAATGCATCGCATCGCGAATGAGACGACCGCAATCGACATACAAATCAGCCAGCCAACACGTACCGGCCGGCCGCCATGGCTGCGAGGGGAAAGCCGCTCGGCCTGCGCGCCGACATGGTGATTGAAGAGGCCGCCAACGAGACGAGTCGAAACAACAGCCTGCGCAACAGCGTTGCTAGCAGCAGCAGTTCCGACAGTTCCGACAGTTCCGACAATAGCAATGCCGGCGGCCATGGCAATCGCGAGCCGGTCTACGAGCCGCTGGCTACAGCGTCTGGTGCCCGGACACGTACCGGCACAGGACCCAGTGGCCGTGCTGGCGGCGATGCTAGCTCCGCCAACACCGAAGATGCTGCCCCGAACACGGTGAAGCGCATGCCCACGACAGCCACGACAGCCACGGCAGGCTCGGCAGCTACGGCTGCTACGGCTGCTACGGCTGCTACGGCTGCTACGGCCGCGACCGTGCCGGACGAGCTGGCACCCAATACAGAAGAAGAGGAGGCGGCCATGGCGCCGCCGAAAAAGTCCATTTTGGAACGACTGGGCCTCGATACGACGACGCTGGTGCTGATGTTCAAGTGGGTTTCCCCTTGTTGATATGCTTCTTTGCTATGGACAGCTACTGACTCCCGACAGAGGCTCTCTGCCCCCGCTTATCGGCATCGCCATGTTCCAGTCCACCGCCTTCGCCGACACCTTCAGCACCCTTGGCTATCTTGTGCCCATTGTCAGCGTCATGACCGTCGCCGTCATGCCGCGTGGCAAGTTTCTCCAGACCCTGACGCTGAACCTCCTGGCCGTCAGCCTCGGCGCCGCCCTGGCCCTTCTCGCCCTTTACTCGGGCATCCAGGCCCGCGCCCGCACCTCGGGCCCCTTGACGCCCGAAGAACTCGCCGCCTACCAGGCCACCGGTCGGCCGCCCTACAACTCGAGCCAGTCGGCCGTCTGCGCCATCTGGCTCGTCTTTGCCATCTGGCTCATCAACATGATCCGCGCCAAGCTGCCCTCCATGAACCTGCCGTCCATTGTCTTTTCGATTCTGATCAACGTCTGCTGCACCACGGGCCCGCTGATCATCAACATGACGCGGGCCTTGGCCCTCGTGAAACAGATTTACACGGCCATGTTGACGGCCATGGCGCTGTCGGCCGGCGTGTCCCTCTTCGTCTTCCCCATCTCGAGCCGCAAGATCTTGATGGCCCAGACCGCCGGTGCGATTGGGCTGCTGCGCAAGGCCGTGGTCCTGCAGGGCGCCTACCTGCGCGGCCTCGAGCGCGAGGACATGTATGCGCTCGTCACCGTCGAGACCGCCGTGGGCGAACTGGGCCCGGCCAAGGAGAACGAGCAGAAGCAAGAGAAACTGCGCCGCAAGTGGCTGCACCACGCGACCAAGCCCGCCCACGTGCCGCCGCCCCTGACAAAGGAGGAACAGGCCGCCCAGGCGCTGCGCGCTACCATCACGGCCATGCGCGAGCTCGCGGGCAAGATGCAGCTGGAGGTGCGCTTCGCCAAGCGGGACGCCGCCTTTGGCAAGCTGACGGCGCACGACCTGGGCGAGATTGTCAAGCTGATGCGCAGCATCTTCATCCCCGTCACCGGCATGAGCACGATTATGGACATCTTTCGGCGCACCGCCGAGCACCGCGGGTGGAACGCCGCAGACGAGGACATGCAGTCGGACGACGCGCTGGCCAAGGCGAAGGAGCGGCGCGTCTGGAACGAGGTCATGAAGCAGCTGCACGAGCCCTTTGCCCTGCTGGCGGAGGCCATTGACGAGGGACTGGAGCATGCGGGACTCCAACTGGGCCTGCTGCCCAAGACCAAGGAGCAAAAGGCCGCGGACAGGGAAGCGTGCAAGCGGCGGAAGGCCGAGAAAGCACGCAAGGCAGCAGTCAAGGCCAATGGGGACAAGGGTGGCGATGCGGCTGTATCGCCCTCTGGTTCCAACGAATCAAGCGTCAAAGGCAGCGACAGTCCCAAGGACAATGCGGCCCCCGAGGCTCCCATTTCTGCACCTGCACCTGCGCCTGAACCTGCGCCTGCGCCTGTGCCAGCTCCGACCCCTCCTCCTGCTGCCGACGCTGAGGTCGACGTCGAAGCCGCCTCTGCGGGCGTGGTCAAGCCCGGCGACGAGGGGTTTGCCGACGTTATCAGCCACAAGATCAAAAACTTTTACAAGATGCGCAGCGAGATCCTGCGCATCTGGGCCAAGGAGCGCGGCCTCATGGACGGCACGGTGCCGCCGCTCGCCAAGGACGGGTCCGGCGGCATCGACCCCGTGTTTGTTGCGCAGGAGCAGCGCCAGTCGCAGCTGTACGTCCTGCTGTACATGGAGCAGCTGATGATTGCGACGGGCGAGGCGGTGCAGGACTTTGTGGACTACGCCGACAAGAAGGTGGCCGACGGCACCATGGACAAGACGCGGTTCCTGTTCCCGACGCTGCGGCGCATCCGCAAGTGGGCGATCAGCGTGTTCAACGACAAGGACACGGCGAGCGAGGAGACGTCGGAGGACGTGCTCAAGCCGAACTTCAACGTCGTCTTCATGGGCGACGGCTTCAACACAAAAAAGGACCCGGAGCACCTGCCGCCGGCCAACGCGTGGCAGCACTTTGGCAACGGCCTGCGGCTGGTGTCGCGGTTCCTGGGGTCGGCGGAGTCGGCGTTTGGGCTGCGCGTGGCGTGCGCGACGATGACCGTGGCGATTGTGTGCTACCTGCGGGTGTCGCAGCACTTCTTCCAGGAGCAGCGGCTGGTGTGGGCCATGATCATCATTGCGATTGGCATGTCGCAGACGTCGGGCCAGTCCATCTTTGGCTTCTTCTGCCGCGTGGGCGGCAGCGCGCTGGCGATGGTGTTTTCGTTTGTCATCTGGTACATTGTCGACCAGCGCACGCCGGGCATCATTGTGTTTCTGTGGCTGTTTATTTTCTGCGAGTACTACTTCTTTTTAAAGTACCCGCGCTTCATCGCGGCCAGCATGATCACCATCGTCACGCAGGTGCTGATCATCGGGTACGAGCTGCAGGTGCGCAAGATTGGGCTGGCCAAGGCGGAGTCGACGGGCCAGCGGTTCTACCCGGTGTACGAGCTGGCGCCGTACCGGCTGGGCACAGTGGCGGGCGGCAGCCTCGTGGCCTTTTTCTGGACCATCTTCCCGAAGCCGACGACGGACCGGGCGTGGCTGCGGCGAGACCTGAGCGCGACGCTCTACCTGCTGGCCAACTACTTTAGCGTCATCAACGAGACGCTCAAGTCGACGATGCACGAGACGGGCGGCAACCCGGACGTGCCCGGCACGCCGGCGCACCGGCTGCTCAAGGTCCGCCAGAAGCTGTTCAGCAAGCTCATGCTGCTGCTGCCGTCGCTGCAGCAGCACTCGTCGTGGCAGAAATGGGAGCCGTCGATTGGCGGCGCCTTCCCGCGCGCCGCCTACGAAGACATCATCCTGCGGTCCGGCCGCATCCTCAACTACCTGACGCTCATCTCGTACACGGTCACCTGGCGGCCGCGGCACGTGCCCGGGCTCGTCGACGATGCATGGCTCACGGCGCTGTCGGAGCTGATCCGGTGCATCGGCCCGACGCACTACACCATCCTGTCGACGCTGGCGCTGCTGTCCAACGCGCTGCTGTCGGGCCAGTCGCTGCCGCCGTACATTCCGCTGCCGCGGCCGTACGAGCTGACGCGGCGCCTGCTGATGCTGAAGAAATCGACGCCGGCGAGCGGCGGAGGTGGCGGAAGCGACGGGCCCCAGAGGAGGGCCAGCTCGGCGAGCCGCGCGACGGCGACGGGTACCTCGGCGAGTGGGGGCGCGCCCGGCAGCGGCAAGCAGCCGCCTGTGCGGCGACGGAACAGCGTCTGGGGCAAGCAGAGCTGGCGGCCCGAGGCAGGCAGCTCGGCGGCTGTCGACAGTGGCGGCGGCGGCATGTACGAGCGGCAGACGGAAGACGAGGCCGTCGAGACGGAACTGCCCCGCCGGCACCGGCGCAGCACGGCGGCCAGCAGCCGCGACCGGCCGGCGCTGTGGCGCGAGGTGACGGACAATGCCGTCAGCACGGTGACGGGGATGCCGGAGCTGACGCGGATGACGACGGGCGCGGCGGCGCACCTGGGCCGCGTGCTGGACGCGCGCAACTTGGACGAGCACGGCTACACGGAGTTTGCGGTGCTGCAGGTGTGCAGCACGCTGGTGTGCGACGACCTGGAGGGCATGATCCAGGCGGTGAGCGGGCTGGTGGGGGTGGTGGACTTTAGCTTCCGGATGGACGCGAGCCACGAGAGTCTGGACGAGGCGGCGGCGGACGAGGAGGCGGCCGGCGAGAAGGGCAAGGGGAAGACGGAGTAGGGTTAGGGTTCTTGGTCTAGGACATGGGACATACATTGGTTACGAGAATGAGTAGGATACTGGAGCTGGAGGACACTGGATAGCCTTGCAGGAGACGATAAATTGATACCAATTTGCTTTGTAAAAGTCATGGCCGGATCACGACCAGTGGGTGGATACATGTGCAGTTTATCATTTTGATTTGTGCTAGGATAGCAACTAGTCACGTGGCAAATTGAACCTGTAGCTTTTGCTTTTCCATTTTCCATATCAAATTCGGCTTACGGAGACAGGTGCTTGGATCGTGTGGCGCAGAAGGATCAACCCGCCTTACGCCTTCGCAGGAACATCCGCTACACGCCGGTTGCCATAGCCGCGAAACTCCTTCTTTTTGCCCACTGTTGTGATCTCGGCCACGTCTTCGTCGCTGAGCACAAGGCCCGGCACCGTCGCCGCGATGCTCTTCAGCCGGTCGGCGTTGGTGCTCGTCGTGATGGGCACGAGGCCCTGCTGGATGGTCCAGCGCAGCGCAATCTCCGTCGTGGTGACGCCGTACTTGGCGGCCAGCGCCGGGTAGACGGCGTCGAGCGGACCCGGCGCGCCCTTGGTCAGCGGCACCAGCGGGCCGTACGCCGTCACGGTGATGCCGTGCTGGCGGCTAAAGGCCACGAGGTCGGGCCGCTGGAAGTACGGGTGGTGCTCGATCTGGTTGACGGCGGGCACGACCTTGGCCGTGGCCAGCAGGGCCTCGAGGTGCTCCTGCAGGTAGTTGCTGACGCCAATGGACCGGACCTTGCCGGCGGCCTGCGCGGCCTCCAGCTCGGCCCAGCGTGTCTGATGGTCCGCGGGCGTCCGGGCGAACCGCGGGTTGTGGATTAGGTAGAGGTCGACGTAGTCCAGGCCGAGCTTGGCCAGCGAGCGGTCCAGCGTCACCGCGAGGGGCTCGTCGTCGTGAACGAGCGTCTTGGTCGTGACGAAGAGGGCGTCGCGCGGCACGCCGCTGGCGCGGATGGCTGCCCCGAGCTCTTCCTCGTTCTGGTATGCTGTGCGCGGGCCATCAGTCTCTTTTCTGTTTCTTTCTTTTCTTTTCTTTTTCGCGTCGTTTACCTTCAGCGCCATCTAGGTGGTAGAATCCAGCCTCAATGGCAGTCTTTGCGTAGCGAATAATCGCCTCGCTCTCGTTGTCGCGCCCCGAGAGCTTCGTACCGACGCCGAATCCAACCTGGGTGCGTTTGATTAGCTCGCGCGACCACAAACACGGACAACGAGGGAGCACGCACAAGAGGAATTTCATGACCATCGTTCAATTTGACGGACGGGAAAGGCGAAGGCGCCATGTCTGCTAGTACTACGAAGAATTGCCCTATATCTTTCGTTTGACTGGTGATACCAAAGCACGTAGTAAGAGATGGATCAAAATGGAATATGCCATGAGCAAAGAGGTACAAGCAGCTGGGGGAGGACCGGCAAGCTGCTTTTATCAATACGCGATTCGTCGCAGACGTGCGGTGGGTTTGGAATGGCGAGCGAATGACGACACCTTCCGCCGACCTTGCACCGACCTTGCAGCTTCGCTCGCACCCAGCTCGCAATCGCAGTGGCGTGTGCTTTGTTCGGCTCGGCCCTGTAGTAGTGGGCCGAACTCGGCGCCGTCCAATTGTACATCGTTCGCATTGATTGGGCCGCCATCACAACCAATGATGATGTTGCAGAGACGGCACGACAAGCCTCAAAATACATCACAAATGAATACATCACAAGTGGACAACCCCCTTTCCCCCCCGTCTCCTGTACTTTGCGCCTGCGGACGAGCTACCTCACGGGGATCGCTAGGGTCGCCTTTATCGTGTTGGTCCTGTTGGCCAAACGTATTTTTATATCTTCAAATCATTTCGTCTTCGTATTAGCAATGCATTATATATTTTGTGTTTCTATAACCCATCTTTAGTATCCAAATGTCCTAGCAATAGAGTCCTACGTGTCCACGCAGCTTGGTTCATCTAGAAATAGCGGTATATAGACATCCAGCCATTCACCGTAGACATCGGCCGTATATGCCGCCTTGCAGAATTCCCAGTAGTCCGGATACCAGCCCGACTGCCGCCAATCTATAATGGCAGTGATTTTGCAAGACGACTCGTTCGACTCGTCCGACACCATGATGTTGCTTGGGTGCAGATCAGCCTGTGTAAAGACGACGTCCCAGTCGTCCGACATAGCTTCCCGATAAGCATCCGGAATCTCAGAAACCTCCTTGCCCGGAAAGTGATGCCGCAGGGGCGTCTTGATTGTTGTCGACATCCAGTCGTGAAATTCTGCCACAGACGCAAAGGGTCCTGCCGGCGGACAGTTTTCGCTGGTGAATACGATATCACCGAGAGGCTTACGGTTGATGTGGCCCAGGAAGAACTCTCCCGGCGCATGCCGCAACGTGCGGAGCTCCAAGATCAGCAAGCGCAGTTGCTCGCAAATCTTGAGTCGTGCAGCTCGGTTGAGCGTGTCCCACCGCTGCTCGAGGTTCACGCTCTGCGGGACCAACGCCATGTAGATAAACACTTGCCCGTTGTCGTGTGTCCAGCCGTATACTTCCGGGACAGGCACCCCAGGTAAGATGCGCTGAAGCGCCCAGAGACACAGGCCCTCAGCGACGGTTACGTGGGGTGCGCTCCCAAGTTTCACAATAAGACCGAGCTCTTCGAAACGGACGGGTCGCGGGGCGAAGGTACGGTGATACCACTGTGGGTCTTGCACCGCGCCCCGCGCACGAACGTCAGCCGGGGCTGGCAACTCGGCCCCCGGACCATTGCGCGAGAAGTATGAAGACTCGTGAAACGTTGCTGACTCTGCTCGGGGGAGTACATGTATCGAGATTATAGGAGGACGCCCGGTCGATGTGAAGGGAGGTCGATCTGTCGACATAATAATTCGACGCTGCAAATAGGCACTTGAAGTTAAGATTTGAGAAAGCGACGATGCAGCATTTTATGACCGTATCTGTAGGAATTTAGGAAGATATGATTTCTGTGAGTCCTAATAGGCGTACTAGCAGACTTGCCACTATTGGTCACAGCATTCCAATTCATACCTACGAAAGAGTGTTAACGCCAGCGAAGGGATTACACGATCCAGCTATGTGTAACGGTGTCCTTCGTGATTGACGGCATTCACATCAGCCCCTGTCAAAAGAAGCAAATCGCCAATATCCACAGTCAATGCAGCGGGCACTGCCCTCCTTTTCCTTTTCCTTTTCATTTTCATTTTCCTGTGTAGGGGACCGCCTTTGTCAGGCTCTTCGTTAGTGTTCATAAATTAACGCATCATGGCTGCGCAACGGCACGAGGCCGGTCGGAGTCAGCAAGAGGGCACAAATTGCTACTTTGCTGCATCTCGTCACGGCCCCCAACGGTGATGTGCCATTGGTGAGCGGTTATTCCGTGGCTTTGATTTGCGGTCGCCCCCTCCATCAGCCACCAGAATGTATCAAAAATTACAGCCCGCATGCACCCGGATTTTCAACATGCGAGCACTGCCATGTTGCCTTTGAGGAGGGATGCCCGTCGTTGGAGAACATCAAACAACAACGTTGAGCGCGGTACACCTTCTCTCTCCCCCCCTCCTTTCCCTTATCCAGTTCCGCTGTATTGTTGAGGCGAAGCACACGCAATCTGCTCGGGAGGGCCGTATGCCCGGCAAGGTTTGGTATTGTGCACGGAGAAGGCAATAATAGGTCATCCCAGGTGACAGGGGACGGAGGCAACGACAAAGTCTCAAGTATGTGAGGACGGAATCTCCCGTATTTGATCCCCTACTCCTCCATTCCCGACATTCTTGCTCCATGTTTTACAGCGACCATACCAGTTTCGCTGTTGCTTGTTTCTTGCTTTATTTCAGTCACATTGCCCTTCTTATACCACTTGCGAGCTGTTCTCTTATTTACAGCAATATTTCTTGTTTCACTTACGACCTCTCATTTAACGTTCCTTCAAGAGTACTGGCCCTCACGACGGTACGTTGGGAATAGTAAGGAGGACGAAAGAACGAACACCATCACCCACTTTGAGATTCCAACACCATGGATCCCCTCTCAGCCATTGCATCCACCATTGCGATCATTCAGAGCATCAATGCAACCTACAACACAATCACAAAAATTCAAGGACTTCCCAAGGCGTTCAACGCCGTCCAAGAGAGCCTTCCCATTGTCCATGTCGCTTTGGTCAAGGCCCATGGCTTTTTCGAACATTCCATCGACGACGACCTGAGGGAGAGCGCTCAGCCGATTTTGGACCGCTGCCAAAAGAAGGCCGCCACACTCAACGATGTCTTTTTGAAGCTGGCCGCCTATGAGACCAAGTCGGACGACAAGACGTGGGACACGCTGCTTAAAAAGTGGCACACCCTGGCGCTGCCGCTGCGCACGGGACAGAAGGTGGAGACGCTGATGAAGGGCATGCTGGAGGACTTGGACTTGTTGATGCGACCCATTGCCTTTGACGACGGAGTATTCCGATCCCAGTTGCACCGCGCCATCACGCAGCTGGCCGACGTGGAGCCGTCCGTTCCCGACGGGGAGTCGCTCGGCGGGACGCAACACATTGCCAGCGGCGGAACTGGCTACCAATACAACAACCAGGGTGGACAGCAGAACAACAATACGGGGGCGGGACGCATGTACAATGCAGAGAGGATGTATTTCGGTAAGGACGATTAGGATTCGCAGGGGCTATCTATATAATATAAATACATGAATCCAGTCGAGTTCTCAGCTCACACTTTTTTGGTGTAGGCGCACCCCATGCAGACGACCACGCAAACATGAAAAGACTCGAGATTCTCAAAACGCTCCACACCACGCCGTACAAGGAACGAAAGGATCGAAATCCCTGTCGCGTTCCAGGGACACTGGAGTGGTTTGTCGAGCACGAGAGCTTTCGGCAATGGAACGACGCATCGGCATCCACGATGCTGTGGGTGTCGGCCGATCCGGGTGCTGGAAAGTCGGTGCTGGCGAGGCATCTCGTGGACCACGAGCTGACGCAACAGCGCAATGCCAACGGCGACGTCGTGCGGAAGCGGGACGTCCGCGGCGCGCTGATTCCCAATGCATCTGCTACCGTCTGCTACTTCTTTTTCAAGGACGACTTTGAGGACCAGAGGTCGGCAAAAGAGGCCGTCAGCTGCATCATTCATCAGCTGCTGACGGAGCGGAACGACCTGTTCACCGATAAGATTCTAGACCGCTTCGAGACGGGCGGTGGGTACGACCGGCAGTCCTTTCACGACTTGTGGGACATCTTGATCACGACGCTGTTGCAAGCGCCCAGCGGCCAACGGGAACAGGAACGGAACCCGGCCGACAACGCCCCCACCACACACCCACCGCTGCATGTGTTGTGTGTCTTGGATGCATTCGACGAATGCAACCTCACTGACCAGAGGACGCTTGCCAAGGCCCTGGGCGACTTCTATGCCGGACCGGTGGCGCGCAACAGCAACGTTGTCCTCAAGTTCTTGGTCACCAGCCGACCGTACCGAAACATCGAGCAGGAGTTTCGCTACGACAGCAAGCTGAACGTATCGTTTATGCGTTTGAGTGGCGAGGGCCCCGACGAAGTGGCCAAGATCCAGAACGAGATTGGCATATACATTCGCGCCAAGTTGGATTCCATCGCCCGCGAGCACAATCTCAGCGCGGCCGAAACAAGGACGCTCCACGACAAGGTGCTGCAGATTCCCCACCGCACCTATCTCTGGGTCTACCTCACGCTGGACTTGATTCAGCGGGAATTCGACGAAGACATGGACCTGGACATGGCCATGAGCGATCTCCCCAAGGACGTCGACGACGCCTACGAGAAGATTCTCGCCAGGATCAAGCCCAAAGACGTGGACAAGGCGCGACGCTTGCTGCACATTATCGTCGCGGCCGTGCGCCCACTGACCCTCGACGAGCTCAACTTTGCGCTCGCCCTGAAAAAGGGAGACACGTCCTACGGCGACGTCAAGATGGTGCGCCCCGACAGGTTTCCTAGGTACATTCGGAACCTCTGCGGGCTGTTTGTGACCGTCGTCGACGCTCGGGTGTATCTCCTCCACCAGACCGCCAAGACGTTCCTTGTCGGCCAAGGCGGAGCCACCACGCGCCCCAGGCCCGTCCCACCGTCCAGCGGCTTGCCGCGGTGGAAAGCGTCGCTCGAGCCGGGCGAGTCGCACTACGTCCTGGCCAAAATAGCCATCTGGCACCTGCATTTTACGACGTTCAAGGGCGCGACGAGCGACACCGAGATGCTCTCGCTGTCCGACTATTACAAGTACAAGGACAAGCACGTCTTTTTAGAGTATTCTGCCTGCAACTGGCCGAGCCACTTTCGCCAGTCCAATGGTCCGGGCAACGACGAAGACGTGCTGTCCTTGCTGAGTTTGTGCGGCCCGAGCGCCGACGGCACGGTGACGTGGCTGGACATCTACTCCGCCTACGGACACAACTATGTCGTTTTTGATGCGCGCCGCATCCTTGTGGTCGCGGCCTTTTGCGGCCTAGACAACGTCGTGGGCGCTCTCTTGGCACGTCCCGGCATCGATGCCAATGCCACCGACAAGATGTATCAGCGCTCGGCCCTGCACTGGGCGTCGAACCATGGATTCGACAAGACGGTGGAGCAGTTGCTCGCTCATGCGGGCGGCCGCATGCACATCAATGCAAAGGACTTGTTCGGCAGAACGCCGATGGCCATCGCCAGCCAGAACGGCTTCGAGGCCATTGTGCGACTGCTCCTAAACGCAGGCGCGGACGTCCATGCGACCGACTGGCAGGGCGAGTCGGCGTTGATGTATGCCGCCGCGGCCGGGCACCCGGGCATTGCAGACGTGCTTCTGCAGGCGGGCGCCGATGCCAACTCGGTCGGGACGTACGGCCACACGGCTCTGCTGTTTGCCGTCGAGAGGGGCGACGCGGCCATTGTGCAACGTCTTGTCAAGGCGGGCGCCAAGATGCATCTGAGCGACGGAATCCGAAATATGGCCGACTTCCATGTTCTGATGAATGACCAAAGCGCCATCGACTATCCGCTGGACGAGCCGAAGGCGCCGTTCATCATATCGAAAGCCGGTCCACTCTTGACGATTTGAGTATTGGAGAGAGCGTGAGCAGCCCGGACGCAGCCAGAAAAGTTGGGCCCCTCGATCTCTCTACCTCATCGTACTCGCTCACCCAGGGCGAATTCAATGTGTCATGATCATTTTGTCTTGTTTGCAGTCCAGCAGTTCATTGATTCATTTTTGTGTTTGCATCGCATGACGGTGACGTAGACCACTCTCCCATCGGATCGCTGTATCCTGTAGAGGGCGTCTTCGCCCCCCGAATCGACGGACAACATCTCATCCATTGTAGAGCTAAATCTGTCAATGAGGTGAATAGGAACATGGTGATGCACGGAAACAACATACAGGCCAAACAAACAAGTGTCGACAAAGAGAACGGTCTGAATGTAGAGAGGCGATGGAGTTCCTTGGTGGCTGGGCCCGCAAATATTTGGATCACAACGGCTTGTGTTGGGCGCACCACCTCCCCATCACCACAAGCTGTCACGTACCGGGCTCCAGAGATGTGGTCCTGAGAGGTTTGCCATCCATTCCTGCAGAATGCCTCGTACATTGTCCTGTTTGCCTGTACGCGATAGATTTTCACGAGTGTGGACCAATCAGAAGTTGTAGTGAAATTATGTAAGCTATTCTGGTACAAGATGTTGTCGACCACAACAAAGTGAAGATGTCCTGTGCTTCCTTTTTGTTTTCTTTTGTTTTCTGTTTCCAGCTTTCTGTATTCTACCTAGAACAATGACTCGACAGAGACAGGGAGCTCGGAGTCTCTTTGCACGCGATTTTGCAGATACTCCGAACTCTCTCACGTCTGACCTTTTTATTCTCACTCGTCCGGGTAAGGGTTCCCGAAGCGCCAGGCGTTCCTTTTGTGTTGTTTAAAAAATCCAAGTTGGCCAATCGCAAGCTCCAGTCGGCGCTTCTCCACCTTGTCCATGTCTCCGCCTCACATTAACAAACGTCCATCTCCGATTTCTCCACGCTTGGTCGCTCTCGGCAGCCCCCGTCCCTACAAGCTCCACGTCGACGAGGTTTGACGTCTAATGTGCTTACGTTTGCACGGAAGTACCGTTCCCTCTTATGTTTCGTCCCTTTTGTTCTTGTTTTTTCTTATTCACATTTCGTGTGTATCTATACCCGCTAGTGACCTTCTTCATTTTCAAGCATAATGTTAAATGGACATTCGGGCAACTTTTGTATGAAATGTACCTGCGCAAATACGCTGTACTGAACGACACACGCCATAGATAGAATCGACAAAAGAAGTTACTGCGAAGAAAGAATAAAGAGCACTTGATATCCATGTCACATTAAGTAGTGGTTAAGGTCACCCGGGTCCAGGCGTTTGGTCATCCAGAGGGCCTCATTCCGCATTCCCTCCAATTCCCTCTCTCTTCATTCCCCCTCTCCCACTCATTCACCCCTTTTCGCACCATTTTCCTCCTGGCATCCGATACAACGACACTCCGATACTCCAATACTTGTTGGCAAACGGTGACAAAAATGGAAGCTTTTCTGAGGGGAAGCTTGCTTGAAACAAAAGTGTAATAACTCCAGCCGGGAACATGACAGCCAGGAGAGCTCCAGGAAATGCGACTCAATAAAATTAATTGCACCCGCTCGCCTGAATTTGCCCCCGTCTTTAGTTGGCGGTCGCACATGTTTAGTCTGTTCCTCTTTCACCAACGTCGTGGGTCTTGAAATAAAAGGCTGAATCAGCAGCTACAAATTCGGCACAATCAAACAACCAACCCACGTTCACATTTACAATGGTCACATTGTCCTGATTTTGTAAGTGGAGCAACATCATGGAGATGGAGGGCGTGGCAAAGACTGTGGAGAAGCTTCCCCGAGATAGACGAGGCAAACAGTGGATTTTTACCCCGTATTTGTATCTGGGGAATAGGAATAGTATATGGAAACACTAAAGCGAGTATCCACACGTCCCATCACTACCCTCGATGCATGACCTAGTTGTCACGGCATCCATTGTCATCCAAAACCCCGATCATCCGGTACCGTGCCGTAATGAGCGACTGAGCTGGAGGGATAAAGAAGTAATTCTTTTGACGACACGCGACGTAGTAAACAGCACAGTACTATAACGGTAAGGTCCACGACGGTAGAACGGTTCCAGGTTTCCATTGGCACCGGCCTTACACACCTCAGTCTATTTTTCTCCACTCTCGTTCCTCTCACAAGGATCTTGTCAGTGCCAGTGCTAGGCCATACCCCAGACCCCAGATGTTTTCCTGGAACGGACCTCTTCCCGTATTGTCTCTTATACATTTTATTTTACATTTAAATCCCCACTGATCGCTTCGTTTAACCCAGGTATTTGCATCTAATTTCTAAAGATGGGTCTCTTTTTCCTGGCTGACTCCCTTTCCTTGGTTTTTACTTCAATCAATAAAAGCATACTCGTTCCCATTCCTTTATTTTCGTTTTTAACTTTCCCCTGTTGCATCACCATATACCTCAGCACTTTGATCGACCTACCTCCCCCCATCTGCCTCCATGATGGAGGAAAAAACGGAAGTCGAAATGGCCGAGCGGGCCGACCACAGCAGTGGCCCTGATGTCGAGAATGGCTCTGCTCCCGTCGACGTCCCGCCCGCTGCCGGCGTACCCAACGAAGCCCGTGACGAAGATGTCGTCACTCTCAAGACGTGGATTGTCGTTACAGTAGGTGATCTTGCATTGTGGAACAAACTTCGTGTCGGTTGGTGGCATCCATTAACAAATAGGTCCTCTCCTGCTCCTACGGTCTTTCCTTTTGGATGGTCACGTCGCTCAGCGCGGCGCAGACGTTCATCGCGACGCAGCTCGGCAACCCAGCCAACGCCGCCTGGTGGACCACCGTCTACACCATGTGCACGGCCATCTCGTTTATGCTCTTTGGCGGCAACTCGGATCTGTTTGGTCGGCGCTGGTTCATCATCAGCGGCAACGTGTCCGTGTTCATCGGGTACATTGTGATTGGCGCCGCCAAGAGCACCGAGGCCATCATTGCCGGCTCGGCGCTCATCGGTGTCGGCGCCGGTCTGTGCCAACTCGCGGCCTTTGCGCTGCCCGAGCTGCTGCCCAACCGGATCCGCCACATTGGCATCCTGATTGCCGACTCCAGCACCTGGGTCGCTGTGCTGTTCGGCCCCATTGTCGGCCGCTATTCCATCACCGAGGGCCCCGAACGCTGGCGCTGGATGTTCTACACGCCCGCCATTTTGGTCGGCATCTCGTTTGCGCTGCTCATCTGGCTCTACCACCCGCCAAAGCACCCTCGCGGCATTCCCTGGAACGAGGCCGTCCGGCAGCTCGACTACCTCGGCGCGGCACTGTTCACCGTCGGCGCCACGCTTGTGCTCACGGGCGTCATCTACACGACCATCATCCCGGCCTCCGATCCCATCGTCGTGGGCCTGCTGGTGAGTGGCTTCGGCGTCACCGTCGTCTTTGGCCTCTGGGAGCACTTTGGCAACCTCAAGCAGCCGCTGGCGCCCCCCTGGGTGTTTGCGCAGGACAAGGGCCGCGAGTTTTTCTTTCCGTTCATCAGCGGCATGATTGTCAACATGTTCTTCTACTCGGTCAATATTGTGTACCCGACCATGATCAACGTCTTTTGGACCGACGCCAGCTCGTCCGTCTCGTACCAGTGCCAGCTGACGCTGCCCCAGGCCCTCGGCCTCATCACGGGCTCTATGGTGCTTTGGTTCTTTGGCATCCGGATTGGCCACTGGAAGATTCAGTACACCGCCGTCTTCGCCGTCATGACGCTGTTTGGCGCCCTGCTCGCACTCGCCAAGCCCGACAACATGGCCATGATCATGGTCTTCACCTTTCTTGCCCAGGGCGCCTACGGCTGGGCCCAGACGCTGTCCATCACCTGGATCCAGTTCGGCGTCCCCCAGACTGAGCTCGGCATCTCAGGCGCGCTGGCCGGCGTGGCCCGCTGGACCGGCGGTGCATTGTCCTCGTCCATTTACCTGGCGATTCTATCCAACGTCCAGGGCAAGCAGGCCAAGACGCTGATCCCCGCCGCCGCCATGGCTGCGGGCGCCGACTCGAGCATGGCCACCCAGCTGATCACGGCCATTGGCGCCGGCACCGCCGCCGAGATCCCCGGCATCACGGCCGAGATTTTGGCGGCCGCCGGCGCCGCCTTCCAGCAGACGTATGTGGTGGGCCTGCGCACGGTGTGCCTTGTGTCGATTGCGTTCGGTGCCATTGGCACCATTTGCTGCGCGCTGTCCAACGACATTGGCCCCAAGATGAACAACAAGAGTGAGTCCTCCTCGTCTGTGCCGAATTCGACGTTGCTGGGCGTGTTTGTGCTAACTCCTTGCAGTCGAGGTCTTTTTGGAGAACGACGTCCAGAAGGACAAGAACCGCTTCCATTAATTTATTGGCGCTGTATCGTTCATTGTCGCTTGGGGATATACTCGAGGGCCGGCGTGCGAAGCGGATTGCGTTTCGCATCTCTTGTTGATAAGAGTCAAAGAAAAGGCAAAACAGTTTACAGAATTGAAATTTTGAGTTCTTTATGTGCATTTCTCGTTTTTGTCTGTATCACGTGAAGGTATTCGGCTTGCCATGCAAATGGAAGTCGCTCAGTCGCTCTTTCCTTCTTACGTGCACTGTCATACGATCGTACCTGCCATTTCGGTGGCGATGTTTCCAAACGGCGCGATGTCAATTTTTGCGATTCGATCCAAGTGGAAAGGAAAGCGTGACGCAACGGTACCTTCCGTTTTCAGCAAATGTGTCACTGCTGCAGTGTCAAGGGCTTTGCTCAGCCTCCTTCTCCCCAGGGCGGGGATTTGGCCGCGACCTGCATCCACCTCCATTTGACATCTCCTTGCAACATTGAAAGTCAGAAAAGCCAGCATGGCTCTGCTACGCGCGAAACACTCAGCAAGCGGCCTGGAGAGGACTGTAAGACCGACGACGATGGTCTTTTTTACCACAACACGGCGATCAGTCACGACCCGTGTCCAGCTCAAGGCTTCCACCAGTTGGATCACCTACGCGACCGTAGCCGGTGCCGCCAGTGTGCCCGCGGCGTGGTGGATTCTGAGCAAAAACGAGCCGAGCAAGACGCTCAGCGCACCAGACCTCGATTCCGACCCTGCTCACGTCGGCACGCTGCGAGGACCGTCGCCCGAGGAAGTGACGGGCATCTTGCACCAAGGCGCTTTCACCGTCCGCGTTGGTGCGACCGTGCCGGGCGTGACACGCTACGACGGCATGCAGCTGGCATCCAACAGCCAAAGCGAGGACTATTACACACATGGCACATTCTCGCTGCCGCGTTCACAGACAAAGGGACGCTGGGCGGCATGGGCTGTGTTTGATGGCCACGCGGGCTGGCAGACGGCAGAGCTGCTCAGCCGGACACTAGTACAGGCCGTACGCAACAGCCTCAACGACGCTGCAGCCGCTCAATCACGCACGTCCATCTTTACGAACCAGGCCGTAGTGCAGCAGGCCATCACCAAGGCCTTTGTCGACCTCGACAACCGCATCATCAAGACCGCCGCTGAGATTGCCCAGCTGCCCGACGACAGTATCCATGCCAGCCGGTCGCTGCGCTTTGCCGACAAGATCAAGACCTTGACGCCGGCGTGGGCGGGCTCATGTGCCCTGCTGTCCCTGTACGATCCCGCAACGTGCAACCTGCACGTAGCCTGCACCGGCGACTCGCGAGCTGTCCTCGGCCGCCTGCAGGCGAGCAAAGACAAAGGAGAGGACAGATGGGAGGCCGTTCCGCTGTCCGTGGACCAGGCCGGCACCAACCCGGACGAGGTCGCGCGTTTGAATGCGGAGCACCCCGGCGAGGAAGACACCCTGGTCAAGGATGGCCGCGTGCTCGGCATCATGGTCTCGCGCGCGTTTGGCGACTGCCGCTGGAAGTGGCCGGTGGCCCTGCAGGAATCGCTGTACCAGCGGTACATGGGCGCTGCGCCGCTGCGGCCGCCCAAGTACCGGGTCAAGACGCCGCCGTATCTGACGGCCGAGCCGGTGGTGACCTCGACAAAGCTCGAGGCGGGCGCGCCCTATTTCATGATTCTGGCCTCGGACGGCCTGTGGGACCGATTGTCCAGCCAGCAGGCAGTTGACCTCGTTGCTGCGTGGCTTGCGGGGCCCGGTCCGGCCACAACACCCTCTAAGCGACCGGTGCGGCTCAGCCGGGCGTTTCACGCCAGCTACACGACGACCCGCGATGGCAATGCGGCCGTGCATCTTGTGCGGAATGCGCTCGGCGGCCGCGACGAGGCATCCCTGGCGGCCCGCCTGGTATACGGCCCGCCGTTCTCGCGCGAGATCCGCGACGACATTACGGTGCAGGTGGTGTTTTTCAACATGGATGGAAAATCGCTCCCGAAAGCATGAGGGCGCGGTGGCGCTTCAGACGACGAAGAAGAAGGCGGATGACATAGTTGTCGTTTAATTCGGCGCAGCGCGTTCATTTCAGCAATAACATCACAGAAGACAGCAACATATTATTTTTCTGGTATTGTTTAAGCTCACGTTCGATTTAGCAACCATGGATGACGGCCTCGGCTAACAATCTGGTGGGTCGGGATGGGAGAGTGTTCGGAGTGGAACACGAAATCACATGAGCGACCAAGATATTTAAACGCCCGTAACAGTTTCTTTTATATCTTTCCACAGTTGAGGTCGCAGACATCACACCCCTGTGTCCCTTCTGCGAAGAGCTACATAGACCATCCACACAACCCTGAAGCGGAACGTTCATCCAGATGGAGAGAGGAAATGGCGGAGATCTGCTCTCACCCACGGCACCCCAAAGGACTCGGGAATGGGGAAATGATTATTTGTGTGTTAGTCACCTTTTTCCCGTCGCATGCCCTCCTGTAGACCAGCGGCCGGCTCTCGCTGTGCCATACCGCGACCTTAAACAAAAAGCAGGGCGTTCAGAATGTCGCGAAGCATTCGCTTCCGTATAGGCACTAAAGATTACAAATCCGGTCAGAGCCTTTTCGAAGGCTGACCTCCATCAACCAGCGAAGTCCTTTTTCATTTCACCTACCACACGGACGTACAGTTAGCTACGATGCATGATCAAAATAAAAGTACGTATATTTAATACCTACTCTTTTTTTCCGTTCTTCTTGGAGTGCTTCTTGTGAGCGCCCGGGATCGTACACACGCTCACCGAAAAGTTCTCTCCCGTTTGCGAAACAGCGTGGACGAGGACGTCGTCGCCGAACGGCCACTGAACAATTCTTAATAAGGGTTTTCCCAAGGACATAGATAGAGCATTCCAACGATAAAAATAAAACAGTGTACGACGAACGTAGACCAAAATACGTACCTCGTCCGTTTCGCGCAGGTCGTCGCGCTGGTCGTACTGCGCAAAGTCGTAGCCCGTGCCTTTGAGACAATTCTTGGCGGCCGCAAAGGCGTCGGCGCGGTGCACGTAGCAGCCCTCAATGTCGGTCTTCTCAAAGGCGTCGCCGACCCAGGTGTTGTAGTCGATGGCGGTCTGCAGCACGTAGTGCAGATGGCGGGCCAGGTCATTCTCTCGTTTGCCGTCGTTGTCGGGATGCGCCGACAGCTGGATGGTGCCGTTGGGTCCCGCCAAAAAGCCCTGGTCGTTGGGCGTCGTGTCAAGGCCGACGACGAACTCCTGGCCGGCCGGCGCCTTGGCATAGACGACGACGCCGTCGCCGTGGGCCAAGGGCCGCGTGCCGTCACGGACGTCGTATTGGACAAAGTCTGAGGGTTCGTAGCCGAGGTCCTGCAAGGCCTTGGAAGCAAACGCCTTGGCGGCCTCGACCGTGGCGTGTGTGCCGAGCACGTAGACGCTACGAGTTGGCGCCGCCGTTTCACCGTCTTTGCCCAGGACTGTCAGGGTCGTATGGTAAAGAAGCTCTGGGATGCCAGACATGATTGCTACTGTTGTGTTAAAATAACTCAATGCTAGTTAGTTATAGGACTAATGTCGTAGAAAATTGGTCGTAATCCGTCGATGGATAGTATCATAGACATTGCGTTTAGAGGGTATTGGCTACAATGGTTTCCTTGCGCAAATATATACTTTAGACGACAGAAACGTATCAGCGCATTGATTTCAATGGATATGACAGCCGAGTTCCCGTACTATTTTGTTATAGTTGTGTGGTGCCACAAATAAAGAACACATGATGCTGGTGGACTGATCGAGAACTGTCGGCGATGCGTGTTGGTGGCGCAATGTCGAGTTAGGTTGGTGTAGGGGGAACTTGGTGTAGGGGGAACAAGTGTGAATGAGTAATCCGCCTACTAACACAGATAAAGGTCTAAACTGGAAACCTGTTGATCTAAGGTGTCACGGCCTAGGCGCATCACCCCACCCTCACCACGCTCGGCCGTTTCCGTCCGTCTCTCTATATAGATCAAAATGTGAACAGACCAACAAGTCTCACCACCGGACACACAACTTGGCAACGAAAATGTCGTCTGCAAACATCATGCCAATGTCTCCATCGCAATTGTCGGCGTCGGCCAGATCGGCGCCGCAGCTGCGTACGCACTGATCCTTGGCTCCGTCGCGGGTGAGCTGCTCCTCGTTGACGTCAAAGTGGACCTGCGGGAAGGCCAGGTCCGCGATCTCGCCGATGTGACCTACAACCGCAACAGCCGCACGCGCGTGCGAGCGGCCACGCACAGTGAAGCTGGCCAGTGCGACATTGTGGTCATCAAAGTGGGGTCGAAGCATCCCGTCGGTAAGGGAGACATCACATCTGTTTCTGCCGTCCCAAAGGCTCAAGCTGATGTGAACGCGCAGGCTATTGCGGTGGCCGCCCGTGATGCTGCCTGGAGCGCAGAGTTTCTGGCCGGTCCCCTGAAGGCCACGCTGCAAATGTTCCAGATCCGCCGCGCGATGAAGACACCTGTGTTGTTACCAGACGGTACAAGAGTGGTAGCTGGCGCCGACCTCCCGCCACATAAAATCACCACTGTCGTTGTTCGGCACCGCAACCGTTAGTCGGTGCTTGTTGCATATGCTAGCGACAAGACGTTGATATCACCGCTGCGGCGCTCGTCACTAGAGGACACTATGGACGGTACAGCGGACGAGGACGGGCAAGGCGAGCAAGACGACCAGGACGACACCCCAGCTCTACTCACAGCACCCCCTGTTCCTGTAACATCTGGTATACCCGACGGGTTCGATGCGCCCGAGGTGCACACTCCTAGAAAAGTGCGCCGTAATCGTATTGTCGTAGACGGCCTAGACTACAGAGGCCTCTCCTTTCTTGCATTTGATGCTACCAATGCCGTGTTGATCGACAAGTTCAAGGCAAGAAAAGATCCCACACTAGGCATGAACCAGACGGTCAAAATTCGTTACACGGGCAGCGGCGGCGCGCTCCGCTTCATGTACGAGCACACGCAACAGGAGGCGCTTACTATCCCTCGCGGTCCGTCATCTCTGCTAAGGACTGTGCAGATTTGAGATCCTCGAGATACGCGTAACGGTTCCTGTTTACGACATTGTCACTGAGCCTCAAAACACTGCCCGCTGTGTAACGACCAGTCGATGTATACATACAAGGTAAAAATAAAAAGCATCATGCTAGATGCCCCCAGTAAGACGAAGGCCGTGAGCCACACTGCGAATGGCGTTTGATTATCGTGGCAAGTGGGGTTAAGCAACGGAATAGTTGTTGTCGGAATCCTTGGTTGGATGGCACAAATTATAATACTGTGCCAAATAGAACCTACAACAGCACTGTTGGGCTAAATAATCTGCACACGTCTGTCGTTGCCCCTCATTATCTACGTAGCTGAAGACAGGTAACGAAAGAGCAAACATCTCTGCTGAAAACCGGGTACGCTCGCGTCTGTTCTAACATAATTGCCCGAGAAAGACTGCAATATTTACACAGAATTGACAGAAACTACCCATTGACAGATCCTCTTTTTCGCCAGAATGTATCCAATTTTACTACCCCCATACGTCCCGGTGGATAAACTCGCGAAGCTCGGTCGTCTGCTGCATTGTTTTGTGGAGCGCCCACACCAAACGTTTGGATATTTCAAATGACAACATGTTCGTATGACACAGCCTGCCCATAAACGCGGACTCATGGCGGGTTCTTACCAAATAGGGTATAACCTGCCCAGATGTCAGTGCAGATAAGGTTACGCTTCATTTTAGGTTGCACCCGAGAAGATCCGCATGCGAGTCGAAGGGAGGACCGGAAATGTGTGATAGTGAGCAAAGGCGACAAGCCCTGCGTCGTCACACAAACGAAGCGCCTGCCCCTGTCGCCAACCAGAGTGAAAATCGAAAAATATTGTAAGACATACAACACAAGCCTCCTTTATTTGCTTGCCCGTGCCGATCCATCCGGATTCCGCCTCCCCTCACATGTGCTGGGGCGCCAATGCCAAGACGGCCCTTTGCTCGTTTGAGCGATTCTCGAGTGCCATGCCAAGAGCCAAGCGGTCCTCCTGTTGTTGTTGGTGGCTGCTGTGGCTGTGCTGTCTTTGTACGTCGCATTTGCATTTGGTATTGTGACAGCACGAATGTACGGATAGACACGAAACGTGCGCACGCATTTCTCCAATCTCGCTTCTCGTCGATGATTTTCTGTTTGTCTTTTCGCTTTCATTTTATCTCTTCTCATTCTCATCCCTCTGCTCTGTTTACATTTTCTTTCCACTCTTGTGTTTTGATCTCTCATTCCAAAACGTGCATGTCGCATTTCGCCCCCACTTTTACCCGCACAAGAACCTCCGTTCCCACAGCCAACCATGCGCATGCGACTGTTCTCTGACCCAGCAGGCAAGATGGCGTCCGTGTTGGCTTGGTCGTCTGTGGCCTACGCCGCGCTGGCGAACGCTGCGGTCAGCACACGTGTCGCAAAAGCCGACATGGACATCTCGCCGGGCGTCGTCAATGTGGACTTGGTCTTTCCCCTCAACAACACGTATGCTGCGTTTGACGGTGCGATGCCCATTGTCTTTGCTCTGAGCCGCCCCGACATTGGGTCTGTTCTGCAACTTCGGCTCAGCTACAGGCTGTTTGACCTGGCCAACGAAGGCGTTGCCTTGGGCGAAGGTCAAGTGGTCAACCTCTCTTCGGACTCTGGCCCCGTCCCTCAAACAAAGAACAATGGCGATGGGGAGTATGCCTTTTTCGTCCACTTTAGCGAAGACTCCATCGCTGGCCGCATTGGCCAGTTCCTTGTGGAGCTGACGTTGGTATATGTCGTCGACTATCCAGGCGACAAAGACGTGCCCAGCTCCGTCGTTCAAGTCCCCCTCATGTACGACATGATTTTCACGACGCGTACGGGTGCGCCGCCAGCTGTTGTTCCCGGCATGAATGTCAGCAACAGCGGCAGCGGCAGCAACAGTTCGACGCCTTCGTCGTGTGCGCTCCTCGGCGCCGCATCCTTTTACTATCCAATCAACATCACCAGTTTCGTTGCGGAAAAGGGCATCAAGTACGGAGTGGTCTCCACAGACAAGACGCGCCACCTCCTGCCCCCGTGTGCCGTACGAGTCGACCCCGATACCGGAGCCTCCATTGCAGCCGGCTCAACGCAGACCACGGCTGCGGCGACCAGCACTGGCGCCACGGGAAGCCCGACTGCAACCCCCAATGCCGCCCTGTCTGGACGGGCTTCTACGTCTAATATTGTTGCCACTGTCTCTGTCACGGCAGCCTTTTTGAGTTTCTATGTTTGTCATTGTCTTTGAGGGTCGTTTTGTTTTCAACATAAACTTTTGAACATAAACTGGAAGACCGGAAAGAAGGTGTGTGTCGGGAGTTAGATACCTGTGATGCAAGATGATGTCTACATGTATTAATACGCAATACTACTTTTGCTATGGATTCAAAATGAAAGAAGAACAAATGACGACAAGGCGCCCTCAGCAGAGATGCAATCCCCGGACCTTGCCATGGCCGCCTGGACGCGCGCGCCGAACTCCTTTTGGTAACTCGACGGACTCGACACCCGCCCCGTTCCGTGGTCTCCGATATGCGCATGACGACGACCTCGTGCCGCAACTGGATGTTCTCCGCCGTCGCCTCAATGATCAGCTACTCAAGCATCCCTTGGGCCATAGGCCCATGCCGGCGACCCACGACTTTGCCCTTATCGGATACAATGTCGTACGACACTCAGTCACTCTTATCTGTCTAGTACGTCCGGCCTACATGTCACACATCTTGAACACGATTTAGACAACGTATCGGTCTGTGGAAAGTGCCACAGCACAACTTCACCTTCCGTCTTTTGCGGCTACTTGGCAAAACCGGGGTACATTATTCATACCATCCGGTTGGTTCCCTTACAATTTGGCCAACGGAGGACCTCCAAGTTGTCAATAGCGCTGTTGCAACCAGCAATGTCCCGCACATTGTATATCTTGTCGAGTGGGTGGGAAGTAAAAGTATAACCGTAGCTTTATGACACCATCATGGAAAGATGCAAGAATTCTCCGGTTCGTTTGAAGCCTTTCATGGCTACATAAAAACAAAGCAAACATGGGCCTGACAAGGGGACTAGTACAAATACTCCTAACAATGTATTAACTATATACAATACCATATTTAAAATACCATGGAGATCGATCCATCTCTACAAATATTGACTTGTTCTTTCATTCTTGTCACATTGGCACCTTCATTTCTGTGTCGTTCCACGCCCATCGGTACATTCCTCCCTACTCGTAGTGGTTGGCGACCTTGAGGCCCTTGAAGACAAAGTCGGTGCCCGCCCGCTTGTCCAAGACCGTCTTGTGGTGCACGTCCTTGACGCGGGCGCGCACGTACTCGGTGCCGGACACGACCTCGCCGGTGTCGGCCTTGTCCTCGTCGGTCAGCAGGCCGAGCCGCTCAAGCAGCGGCGACGGCACGGGCTTCATGGGGGTGTCGTCGCCGGGGCGGCTAAAGTAGAGCAGGCCGAGGCGGGGAATGTTGATCTGGTCCTGCGGCGGGGTGACGACGCGGTGGACGGTGGACTTGATGAAGCCCTTGGTGAGGAAGGTCAGCGTGTCGGCGGCGTTGCAGGTGATGCCGCCGTCGACGGGGCGGACGTACTTCCAGGCGCCCTCGGGGGTGCGGATCTGGAGGCCGGCGACGTGCTGGGAGAAGAGGAGCGTCAGCGAGCCAAAGTCGGTGTGGCCGCCCTTGGAATAGGCCTGGGCGCGGTCCCACTCGTCCTGGGAGCGGACATTATAGATCATATAGCGCAGGTGGTCGTCGGACAGTTTGTCGTAGTCGTGGGCGTCAGCGAGGTAGTCCTCGTCGGGCAGCTCGAGGACAATGGCGATGAGGACAAAGAGCTTGCGCACGACCTTTTCCCAGACATCGCGGTGGAACGCGGCAATCTCGGCGTAGTTGTCCTCGACGACGGCGTGGCGGCCGATGTGGTCCCACTGGGGGATGGCCTTGGGGATGTTGAGCTGGGCGTGTTAGCAGACGTTGCAAGGCGATATTATTTTCTTTCCACAGAAATACACAGGACGCACCATCTCAATGTTCTCCTTGACGCCCGTGTCGCCGATCCAGCGCGAGTTCTCGCGGTAGCCAAAGTACTCGCCGTCGGCAAAGTTGCACGGGAACCGGCGCTTCTCCTCGAGCGACTCCTTGAAAAACGTGTTGCCAATGCTGAACTGGCGCAGCACGCGCTCGTCGTCGATGCCCGTGTTCACCACCGACCAGAAGCCGACCTTGCTGATGGCGTCGTACAGGTCGTGGGCCAGCTCTTGCTTGCCGCCGGGCGCATCGAACTTGCTCAGGTCGATCTTGGGCAGGTCGGCCCACTCCAGGTCCTCCTTGGTCACCGAAGGACGGCTCCACGGCTTGATGAGGACCTTCTTGTCCGAGCCGGCCGCAGCCGCAGCCGCGTCTACCGTCGTGTCGATTGCGCCGGGGGCCATTTGAAATTCGGGGCGAAAGAATTTATTTTTTAAAAAAAGAGATGGTTCGTGGTGATGGCAAGTCAGGGTTCTGTCCAGCCTACGTCCACAACTGTTTCTGGTCAAGGGAGGAGAGTACGACTAAATAAGGAACGATGGCGTGCCTCGGAGGGTTCTCGATGTCTTCAGATCGAGGCTGGCAATTGAGAGTACGGGGCGTAAGATGCATTCATTATCTCACACAACACAGCCGGCCTCTACGGCACGGCCTTTGCCGTTTTGAATTGGTCCGGAGAGGGGACAGCAGCCTACGACGTATATGAACGTCTCAACGTCGAGGACTCACACGTCACGGACCCGAGCGGGGATCTCTGAAACTGTCCGGACCGGGTAGACAGGGCCGCCGTGATTGGGGGTGATTGGGGATGCTTGGCCGGGTGGGGCTCCGTTAGCGTCGACGTGCTTGCACCCCCATACCACGCCATTTGGAACGTAGTTGACGTGACAAGGTGCATCAGTGAAAGTTGTGTCAGACATAACGAAGAAGGGAAAGAAAGGGGAAAAAATATAAGGATGTGTGGGTGACATATCACTGACTTCTATTCCGTAGGGCGAGGGCGAGTAAATGTGCGGACCATGGCATTAGGTATGTGCACTGGAAGAGCTGACGCCGGATAGGACAACTGGTTGTTATCTGCCACAGAACCGACTCTTGTGCATTGTATTCGCAGTTTGCTGGCATGGGCAGCCTTTGCATGTCGTACGTGTACCCTTGCTGGCCGCGTCTTATCTATCCTGCCATCGATGAAGAAGATGGCGATAGACTGTCACAGATATCACGGATAGAATCATTTCAGTGTCACAATTTTGTGCCTCTCAAGACATCTTGACAGGGTTCTCTGGATGTCGTCTGTCTTCTCAGCTAGCTAACGATGTTGTTGTACCCTCGCCAACGTCTAGCGTTGCTTCGCACTGGACTTCGGCAAGCTCAATCTCGCTTTCGTGAGCACGAGTCAGGGCTCTTAAAACCCCACCCTCAATGGCTGCTCAATGCTGTCCACTGCAATCTAGTATGACTTGTTGAGTCCTTCACCTCGGATCCTCGTTCTTCCGTCCGTCTACTTTCATAACCTGCCTCCAAGACAGCGTGGAAGTGCACACCCGTGGAGAACTTGCTTTCAGACCTTTGGAGATCGGCAGCCTGTTGAGAGGGATCCCGATAATTTCCTCTCTGGGACTAGGTTCCGTTTGTTAGTCTGCAGTGGTGCCTTGGCCTTGCAAATCCGCACCGCAGTCGACGTGTGTGCCATCTAGAGGCTGGATCACGCAAGGCTGAAGTGGCTCTAGCTACTATGCCTTTAAAGGTCCGCGTAACCCTCCGTTTAATGGTCCGCAAAATGGTCCGAAGGGACGATACAGAAACGTCCGCACCAGAGGAGAATGTCATTGGTCAAAATGTCTTCCATCAACACGCACCAGACGTCGTACAGGACGAGATAGTCTTGGCAGCCGACGGCAGAGCAAAAACGTGGAGGATCTTGTGAACGACAGCCCTACGACAGTCTTATATTGCCAATCAAGTCTCCTTACTTCTGTCCGGCGTCCACGAGACTCTCCAACGTCGTCTTCCACTCCTCACACCAAAATGGCTGAAGACTTGTCCGAGAAAAAGTTTGCCGGCATCGTCGGTGAAAGCCCCGTTGTCTTTGCGGCCGCGTCGTCGTCGTCCGACAACGAGAACGGCGCTCCGCAACATGCTGCCGTCCCCGACGATGTCGACCCGGCGTTTCACAAAGCCGCCATGTGGAAGGCCGACATCTGGCTCGTCGGCTTCTACTCGCTTGTCTACGTCTTCCGCGTCATCGACTCGGCCAACTACTCCAATGCCGCCATCATCAACCTCGAGGCCGGCACCGGCATCAAGAAGGAGCTCAACCTCGACCCGTCGCAGTGGGCCTGGACGCTGTCCATCTTCTCGTACAGCTATCTCATCTTTGAGCCGTCCAACACGCTGCTGCTCAAAGTCTTCCGGCCCTCGCGCTGGATGTTTGTCCTCATCTTCTTCTGGGGCGCCGCGGCGTGTTCGTCGGCGGCTGCCCAGAGCTTTGGCGGCATGATGGGCGCGCGGTTCGCCATTGGCGCCGCCGAGGCCGGCTTCTACCCGGCCGTCCTCTACCACATGGCCTTTTGGTACAAGCCCACGGAGCTGCCCAACCGCATCGCCTTCTTCTACTCGGTCGGCCAGCTCTCGAGCGCCCTGTCCGGCCTGCTGGCCTACGCCGTCAGCTTCATGGACGGCCTGCAGGGCATCTCCGGGTGGCGCTGGCTCTTCATCATCGAGGGCCTGCCGGCCATTGTCTTGGCCGTCATTGCCCTTGTCTGGCTGCCCGACTACCCCGAGTCGGCCTGGCACTTGAATGAAAAGCAGCGCCAGTATCTCAGTGGCCGCCTGGGCGAGCGGGCACCCACCGGCTGGAGCAAGAACTGGGACTGGAAGGCGCTGAAGCGGCTCTTTTCCGACCCGACCTTTTACACCTTTAGCATCTACTGGATCGGCCACGGCATCGGTGGCTTTGGTATCAGCTATGCGCTACCGACCGTCATTTACGAACTGGGCTTTACCACCACCACCAACTCGCAGCTGATGAATATTGTGAGTGGCGTGGCATGACCTTTTTTTTTTTTAAAAAAAACCCTTTTTTTCAATATTGTTTTACTAACACTGATTAACAGCCTCCATATGTTGCGACGTTCCTGTTCCTCAATACTCTCGGCTACCTTTTGCAAAAGAAAATCATCCGGCCCTGGACGACAGCCGTTGGAAGTAAGTGACTCTGCTCCGCATTCCCGCATTGTCTTTTTGCCCGCTAACCACGTTTAGTCGCCTCCACCATCATCGTTTGCTACATCATCTTGTTCACTGTCCACAACAACGTCGTCAAATACCTCTTCCTGATTGTGGCCGTCTCTTGTGCCGGCTCAGCCTATCCCGTCATCTGGCCCGAACGCATGCGTGCGCTCGAAGGCACTGTTTCGTCCGGTATCGGCATCGGCTTCACCAACGCCATGGCCCAGTTCAGCGGCATCGCCGGTCCGCGCATCTACAGCACCGTCTTTGGCCCCACCTACCATGTCTCGTATGGTATTTGTCTCATCTTTTTGGTCGTCGACATCACGGCCCTCCTGCTGTCGTGGTTCTTTGTCCATCGCAGGGACAAGCGGGTTGCTGCTCTGGTAGCGAGTGAGGCCGCGGCGACCCAAACCGTGGCAGTAGTATGATGGTTGGCGCCGGGCATGGGAGATGGCCGCTGTGTAGTAAATTATTTAGATCAGAATCATTAGTAATGTACTCGGAATTTACAACTCTGTTTAAACAAGATACAGCCTCGTCGTGTGAAAAGTGGGTCCTGTGCAACAGTCACGGGTTGACGTCTTGGGCTGTCTTATGTCATCCCACGGTCGCGCCTTCCCTCTGACTGCGTATTGATGGCTCTTGCCTATTGCGCCTTGTGCGTAGTGAATGGTACTGCCCACCGAAAAATCCAGTTCTCAAAATTTCGTCAAGTTACGGAGCTGCAAACCCAACTGCAACCATCGCTCTACTCACCGCAACACGGTTGTGACTCTCACATCGGCACATTTCTCCTCCAAATTTATACAATCTCTACACTGGCATCGAACCTTCCTGCGAAACTGAGCCATGGCATCCAACCTCGCTGGGCCATCGGGTAGCTTTCGAAAGAACAATAGCTCCGACGAATCGGATAAAACAAGAGGATCAGGAGACTCAACTGTGACCACTGTTAAACATCACAGAACCGACAGGTACGACTTCAAGGAACCTTCTGAAGAAGAGGCCTCGTTGTACTATTCGTCTTTCCCATCGCAGCCCCGTCTGTTAGGACGCACATCGAGTGCAACGACACCCTGGTTCTACGAGACATGGCCACCAAGAGGCCATTACTACCCATTTGGGCGGGAGTGCGTTCTTTATTCTGCGACTGTCTCCGGTCCAGTCAGTCCTCACGCTATCCACGCATTGTGGGAGTCGACAACGCGGCAGAAAGTCATTGGTGCCCTTTCTCTGATCGACTGGACATCGATTGACGTCCTCCGCATTGGACGTGCGACACGAGCTCAACACGACAGACCTGTGATCGTGTCGGTCGGCGTCGCGTCCCGTGCCGTGGACAATCAAAATGTGTCCTGGTCACTGGTCTCGTGCATCCTGGGGCGGATTCGCCGCGTCCTGGATGACGATGGATTGTGCGACGTGGAGTGCGAGTTGCGCGTCTCGGATGTTTTGCGTGCTGCCGGCCCGCGTCTCACCGCACCGCTGCTGGGCAGAGGTCGCATTCTACACAAACAGTGGGAGGTCGACGTTACACAACACATAGGCACGATGATCGGGCAAAGCATCGAACGGCGTGTCAAACCAAAGACAACGACAAGCACGAAAAGAAAGACAGAAACAACGTTACCCGGGGCACTCTTGGCCTATATCTTGCTCCAGTGCAGTCTTCGCCCACCCCGGTACTGTCGGCCAGCGACGTACCTGACCCGAGTGCGATAGAAAACACGAGCGAGAATGAGCCCGTTTGGGGTCTAACTTGCCATCACGTGGTCTTTGAAGACGATTCCAAAACTGTCACCACACCGGCTGCATTCGTTTTTCTGAGTGACGGTCGCTAGGTGGTTAACAATGATGTTGACGTTGGTTGAAGGTTCCTGAGAAGGGAGGCTAACGAACCCTTAGATGATGCGCTAAGGCGTACCCTGTTTTATCTCGACCAAGTCAGGGTCCGTTCTGAAAGGATTATGTAACGGTGTGGCGCACTAAGTGTGGCTTGAAAGACTTCCCTTAAACGGGCATCGTACCGTGCGATTACAGTGTTTAAGACAGTATTCAGGCACTGTTCTCTCCCCACGCCGGTCGACGGCGGGATCCGCCAGAGTGCCTATCAAAAGGCTGGACCGCGGAAGGCGCAAACTGAGCTGCACGCCGCAAAAAAGCAGACCCTGCGCGTTGTACAATGTGAACGCACAGCAACCGCCATCGGAAGCGACACGCGACACCACGATTCAGAGACACATGAACACAACGCGACTGACTCGCAACACGGGCCGCAGATGGCGTCGGCGACGACGCAGCCGCGCATATCCCAGCGCCAGTCACTGGCATGCCGAGGTGAGTTTTGCAGCCAAACAAACTGGTGATGTATGCGGTCTTAGGAGATGATACAATCTGAGCCCCTGAGCACCGCTGACGTCACAGAATGCACCCGGTCGAAGCGCAAATGCAGCAAGGACATTCCGTGCACGCGCTGTCGACGGCTGGGCCTGGACTGCAGCCGCGAGGTGGTGCGGCTGCGGCGCGTGATTAGCCAAAATGGGCGCGAGATTGCCTTTCTGGACTCGTTGCGTGCCGAGCTGGCGAGCGCTGCTGGGCATGGTGGACGACACAGCGGCGGACACGGTGGTGGACAAGGCGTGGCGCGCGTGTTGCAGCGGCTCGCCGACCGCGTGCAGTTCTTGCAGTCCGGGCAGACGGGGACGGGCGACGACGGCGATCCGACCGGCGTGTCGGGGCTCTCGATGGCCAGGACCGGATCACCAGAGCAAGGAAGCCCGCCGCATGCATCGCATGCATTGCAAGCATCGCACGCGCTCGCCAGCGCCGACGCACGACCACACCCCCACGGGCAGCGCCCCAAATCGCGATCGGCGTCGGCATCGTCGCAGGACATGCAGGACTCTCTGATTGTCACGGCCCTCGAGCACGTCGCCTGGGGCCGCAACACGGGCAGCTGCTACCCGCACCGGCGCTGCACGTGCCAATACAACACCAACGGCCCAACACACTACTACTCGCAGCAGATCCTCTATTCCCTGGTGGCAGCCCGCGTCGTCCGCGACAACCTGCCCGGCCGCGACCGCGCCGAAGCCATGGTGCGCTTCCACCTGCGCCACATGGCGTGGCATCACAGCTGCCTGCACGCGCCGACTTTTCTGGCGCAGTGCACGCGCTTCTGGACGACGGGCGAGACGGAGCATCCGCAGTGGCTGGCGCTGTACCTGGCCGTGCTGGCGGCGACCCATTTTTGCCTGCTGCACAGTCCCAAGTACGGCCACGCGCCGGCGTTTGGCGCCACGGCGACGGCGCCACCGCTGGCGGTCGACCCGAGCGACCCGCAGTCGGCGCAGTCACTCTTCCAGGCGATGCTCGACGTGCTGCACGAGGGCCAGTTTCTACAGAATGTGTCGCTGTTTGCCGTGCAGGCGATTGTCATCTCGACGGAGGTGGCCCACAACTTGGGCCTGAGCCAGCTCAATGCGACGCTCATGGCGGCGGCGGTGCGGATTGCCGAGTGCCTGGGCGTGCACAAGATTGCGGACGACCCGGCGCGGCGGCCCGGTGTGCATGGACATGCAAATGCAAATGCAGATGCCAAAGAACGAACCGACGGCGTGTTTGCTGTCGAGCGGCGCGAGCGCGAGATTGGCCGGCGCGTGTGGCTGCAGATGGTCATCCAGGACCACTTTGCCATGCCCTTTACGGACGCCTACGGGATCCAGCCGCAGCAGTACGCGACCGGCCTGCCGCGAAACTGCGACGACACCGAGCCGCATGCGGGCGACCAGCGCGACGGCCTGGTCGAGCAGCCGCCGACGCGGCCGACGATTGTCAGCTACAACATTGTGCTGAGCACGCTCGCGCGGCTTGTGCCGGAGCTCGCCGACGGCCTGGGCCCGCTGCGGGCGCGCAAGCCGCTGCACGAGCAGTACGAGCACATTCTGGCGATGGACCACAAGATGCGGCGGGTGGTGCGGGCCATCCCGCCGTTTTTCCTGCGGCAGGACCCGGTGCTCGAGGCCCAGGTGCCGTGGCTCGCCATTGCCCGCCAGAGCATGGCCATTACGGCGGCCGAGAAGATTATCATGGTGCACCGGCCGTTTCTGTTCCGGTCGTTCCAGGCGCCGCCCAAGGGCGTGTCTTCGGCGACACCCCCACCCTACATCCACACGCGCCGCACCTGCGTGTCGGCCGCCATGACGATTCTGCGCGAGCACCGCAACATCACCGAGGCCGGCGACATGTCCTTGTGGACCCACACGGCCTTTTGCATTACGGCGGCGCTGCTGCTGTCTTTTGAGGTGCTGTGCAGCAAAGACGTCGACGTCGATGTCGACGTCGACATCAACGACACCAACGACACCACCGACGCCGACGCCGACGCCGACGCCACCGCCCGCGAGCAGCAGGCCACCTACCGCAGCGCCATCCAGTACGCCCGCACCTACTTGTCGGGCCGCCTGCACGACGTGCTGGCGCAGCGCGGCGTCCTGCTGATCGACTCGCTGTTCCCCGGCGGACCGACCAGCGACGCGCCCACGCCGTCGCTCAAGACCAACGAGCACGGCGGCAGCAACATTCGCTTTGACGACGTCGTGTCGGCGTTTATGGCGGGCTGGGCCATGTTTGGCGTCCAGTCGGATCTGCAGCGCGGAGGCGGTGGCAGTGTGGGCAGTGTAGGCAGTGGGCCCGGCAGTCTGGGCGTGCCGTCGCCGTCGCCGGGCATGGGGCCATCGGGGATGGTCGGACGGTATGCTGCCGGCCCCGGTCCTCCAGGATCCTCCCAGATCCTGCCATCTCTCCCGCCGCCGCCGCAGCCGTTTGTGCCCGATGTCGGCGTGCTTCCAGGCATGGGAGTCTACGGCCACCCCGGACAGCAGCAACAACAATACGCCGAGCCGATGCCACCCATGGAGGACTTTGATGCGTGGTTCCAGCACATTTTTGCCACGGGAAACGGGACGACGTTTGAGTAGAGGGACAGGATTCATACGGAGTACGGCGCACGGGGCATGGACGACGCGGATGATTAGCCCCTCGTCACGATTCATGAGACTTTTGAATATTTGATTATTGATTTTTCTATTTTTGAATACCATAATTCGTACATTGTGATTTTTGCTACGGCCGTGCGCACAACAAACGCGGAATGTCTCCGGTGTCGTTTTCAGCTTTTCAGCCTCAACAAGGTAGCTTTTATTGGCCCTTTATTTTTGTGTCGTTATGTTCTGTCATGTCGTCTCTTCCTTTCGTCTCCACGCAGAGGCACCGTCGCATCGCCTTGTAATTCCCGCTATGCCATTGGCCTAGCGGTCGCCCAACATGACTAGCCAAGCTTTTGCCTCGGTGCCTCGCCAGGTCGCTCACCACGGTCCCTAGTCTCTCCAACGACCCCTGCACGTTTTGGTCTCCACATGCCAGGCGAGAGCCAAGTACGACATCGGACGGCCGCACGTGGTCGTCGTCTTGATGTCCATCATTTCGATTTTGGACCAGACTTGGGACCACTCTTTGGGCCATACGATCGTACTTTGCTGGCGTCTCAATTTCTGCAGTCGTTTTGCGTAGCCAGAAACAGACACCGAGATGTTCCCTGTTAGTGCCGTCTTCCGTGTCTGGGTACATGCAGTTAGCGGAAGATGCCCGCCAATTCCTTGTACTTTATTTTCTTTGCACTCAGTCGCGTGTATTCAATTTCCTTGTATTGGTTGTCCACTATTTTGGTCCATAACCCACAACATGTTGGCTACACGCGTCCACCGACGCCCACAGCTCATGCACTGCTGCCAACAGCCGTCCAGAAAAGGCTACCGAAGGCAACGATCAAAGCAGGATAACGGGCAAGCAAGCACAAGCAACCTAACGAGGCCGATTGTCTACTCAGCAACGGTACATACTGGACTAGGCGGACCGGGCAGACTGGCAGTCTCCTGCACGGCAAGGCTGAGGGAAATGATGCACACCTTTTCCTCGTTTAGTCAGTCAGTAGTCCGACGCCACTGTTGATTGTCAGGAACGTGCCCAGCGCACGCAGAACAAACGTGCCCACAAGTCCATTGGCACGCTAGTGTGGGGGACCCGACAAGTTGCCAAAGTGGTGGAAACCGGGTCGAAAACGGGTCGAAGACTGGAAAGCTGGCGAAGCTTGGGACGCTAGATGAGGTTCGGGGAAATGCTTGGCAGCCGTCTTCGCGACCGGGGACTCGTCACGCAAGGACTATATAGGGCGAGCGAACCATGTGTCTGTCCGTGTTCCTTTTGTTTCTGCTCGTCAACGGATCTGCAGCATCCCTTCGTCACTCGTTTGTCATTCATTCTTTTCTTCTTCTCTTCTTCTCTTCTTCATCTTCTTCCTCTTCTTTCAGTCATTCGCCATTCCTCTTCCCCTTATTGTTGTAATCCACCACACCACCACCATGCGTCTGTCCGCGCTCCTCCTCCTGGCGGGCCACGCCGCGGCCAGCTCCATCATGCCCAACTCGTCCGTCACCAGCCAGGTGCGCGTGGCCTACCACGGCGACGACGGCATGGTCGTCAGCTGGAACACGTTCAAGCACCTCCTCCGGCCGACGGTGCTGTACGGCCTGAGCGCCGACACGATGATCCACCGGGCGACGAGCCACGTGTCGGTGACGTACCCGACGTCGCTGACGTACAACAACCACGTGTTGATCGACGGGCTGCTGCCGGACACGACGTACTACTACCAGCCGCAGGACCTGCTGGCCAACGAGACCGTGTACGGCCCGTACACGTTCAAGACGGCGCGCGCAGCCGGCGACTTCACGCCGTACTCGGTGGCGTTTGTGTGCGACCTGGGCACGATGGGCCCGGGCACGATCGGGCTAACGGACACGCCCAACAAGAAGACGGACGCCAACGAGGTGCTGACGCCGGGCGAGAAGACGACGGTGGACTCGCTCGTGGAGGAGATCGACACGTACGACTTTGTGGTGCACCCGGGCGACATTGCGTACGCGGACTACTGGCTCAAGGAGCAGCTGGCGGGCTACATTGACGGCACGATCGCCGAGGGCCCGCAGCTGTACGAGACGATCCTCAACCAGTTCTACGACGAGATGGAGGCCATCAGCGCGTACCGGCCGTACATGATTGGCGTCGGCAACCACGAGGCCAACTGCGACAACGGCGGCTCCGGCAGCTACGACAACAGCATCTGCGTCGCGGGCCAGACCAACTTCACGGGCGTGCGCAACCACTTCCGCATGCCCGCGGACACGTCGGGCGGCGTCGGCAGCTTCTGGTACTCGTTCGACTACGGCATGGTGCACTACGTCTACTTCAACACCGAGACCGACCTGGGCAACGGCCTGCTCAACGACGAGCAGGCGCCGCTGTCGGGCGGGCCCTTTGGCAGCTACCCCAACGAGCAGGTCGACTGGCTCGCCAAGGACCTGGCCGGCGTCGACCGCTGCGCCACGCCCTGGGTCGTCGCGCTCGGCCACCGCCCGTGGTTCTCGTCGGGCGACAACTGCGCCAACTGCTCGACGGCCTTTGCCGCGCTATTTGAGGAGCACAACGTGGACCTCGTGCTGCAGGGCCACTTCCACGTCTACCAGCGCAACGTGCCCGTCTTCACCAACGGCACCGTCGACCCCAACGGCTACGCGAACCCGTCGGCCCCCTGGTACCTGATCAACGGCATCGCCGGCCACTGGGGCGGCATGGACTCGTTCACGTACCCGCTCGCGGAGTACCAGGCCTTTGGCCTCGACGACGCCGGCGCCACCTACGGCTGGTCGCGCCTGCACTTCTTCAACAAGACGCACATGCAGCACGAGTTTGTCGCCAGCAACAACAACAGCGTGCTCGACTCGACCGTCCTGTACAAGGAGCACGTCTGCCTGTCGCCGCCCTCGTCGTCGTCGTCGGCCGTCGCGTCAGCGTCGGCGTCAGCGTCGGTGTCTGGCTCGGCTTCTGCCTCGGCTTCGGCTTCGGCTTCGGCGTCGGCTTCGGTGTCGGGCTCGGCCTCGGCTGCGCCGTCGTCCATTGCGGACTGCGAGACGACATCCGTGTCTGGCTCGGGTGCCGGCTCGGCCTCCGCCTCGGCCACCAAGAGCGGCACCGCCTCCGCCACCGCCTCCGCCACCGCCTCCGCCACCTCTTCCTTCACGACCTCCACCATCCTGTCCACCACCACGTACACCGTCACCTCGTGCGCGCCCACCGTCACCAACTGCCCCGTCGGCCACGTCACCACCGAGGTCGTGACCCTGCTCACCACCTGGTGCCCGGAGACGGCGACTGAGAAGACGAAGACGACACCCGCCGGCAAGCCTACGGGCTCGGTCGTGCCCTCGGGCGGCTACACCAACTCGACCAGCGGCCACGGTTCCGGTTCCGGTTCTGGTTCAGGCTCGAGCTCGGGCTCTGGCTCTGGCTCGGGCTCTGGCTCTGGCTCGGGCTCGGGCTCTGGCTCTGGCTCCGGCTCCGGTTCCGGCAGCACGTCCAGCGCCAGCACCAGCACCACGGCCGTCGTCACCGCCGGCTCGGCCAACATCGTCGTCAGTGCCGCCAGTGTCCTGCTGGCTGTCATGGTCGGCGCTGTTGCTCTTCTGTAAAGGGTGAGCAGTCACGACTATTTTTAATAATTTTTTTTCTTTCAGAAGTGATGTATAAGTTTAGTGTCTTTGTGTAGGAATAAAATGAGAGTTGCAACTGCTTGTCGTGCCGCCCACAGTCGTGTCTGTCGTATCATGTTGTGTGGCACACAACCTGTTTTATGTCTACATACTTCACCGTTTTACCTAACCTGTTCGTCTGCCTTACAAACACACGCCCCTAATGGGCAAACCGAAAGTCCAGCCGCTTGTTGCCCTCGTCCGTGGTCGTCGCCAGGTAGTGCAGCCGCTGTTCCTCCGTCATGCCGTTCCACACGCGGTCGCGGTACTGGTTGCGCTTGACGTAGTAGACCTTGGCAAAGCCGTAGACGACAAAGTTGAGCGCCAGGATGCCCAGCAGCACCTTGTTGCCCCGGCGGTACAGCGGCGCGTCGTCGGCGCGGTAGATTTGCGCGCTGATGATGCCCGACAGCTGCACAAACATGTTGTAGGCCGCGGCCGACACGGTGCGCGAGCGGACCGTGTTGGAGTTGCGGCTGTTCCAGGACACCTGAATGGGGTGCGCGTAGGGTTGCGACAGAAAAAGCGTCATGACGGCGTAGACGACCCACTTGTTGCTGGCGCTGGAGTAGGCGACCTCGAGCCAGACGAGGAACGGCAGGACCCAGACCTGGGCGAAGAGGGACGACAAGGTGAGCTGGCCGGACCACTCGGAGAAGGCGGCCAGCAGAAACATGGTCAAGACTGTGCTGTGAGCGGAGGACGAGCCAAATGGGAGACGGAGACGGAGACGGGGCACAGAGACATACTGGACAATACGTTGAGGGGAATCGCGAGGAGGTTGACCTGGAAGGTCGTGAACCCCAGGCCGCGAAGCGACAGCGTCAAGTAGCTGCTGGGGGGGCTGGACGGGATCTCAAAGAGCATACCGATCATATACAAGGGCCTGGACGTTAGTAAAGTGAACCAAGACGAAGTAGCGAGACACACCCAGGGGACCTACCACAAGTCGTAGTCGCACAGGCTCTTCCACAGCAGCTTGGGCGTTACGGGCTGGCGGTTGTGCATGCCGCTCTTGGACGGGTCGTCGCGCAGAACGCGGTTCACGATGATGGTCTCTTCGCGCGGCGTAAACCAGCCGTTCTTGCCGCGGAACCAGCTGGCCGTCTGGCACGGCCCGGCGGGCATCATCAGGAACGCCAGCAGGCCGACCAGGAGCGTGATGATGCCCTCGATCAAGAACAGCCACCGCCAGCCGGACAGGCCGTGCACGCCGCGCAGGTGGAGGATGCCGTAGGCCAGGATGTCGGCAATGATCTCGCCGCCCGTGTCCATGCCCCAGAACCAGCTGAGGCGGAGGGCCATCTCGGAGTGCTTGTAAAAGTAGGACAGGTACAGGATGACGTCGGGGATGAAGCCGCCCTGGAGAATGCCGAGGAGCGCGCGGGTGGCGAGGAACGAGGACCGGCCCTGGAGCCAGAACTGCGAGCCGGCGACAATGCTCCAGAGACACATTTGCAGGGGGATCCAGCGGTCGGGGCCCATCCACTTGGACACGAGCTGCGAGGGGATCTCGGCGCAGAGGAAGGAGATGAGGCGGACGGTGTTGCCGAGATTGTAGTCTGGGTGGTCAGCGGCAGCCAAAAAGAAGGCGAGCGAAGCGAGGACAAGAAGGCGAGCGAAGGGAGACCAAAACAAGGACATACCATTTGTTGTCAGCCCCAGGTCGGTCAAGAAGTTGTCCGACAGCGCCTGGCCCAGGTTCGACCGGTCGAGCTCGAGCGCGATGAACATAATGCACGCAAAGCTCATGATGCGCAGGTCAATCTTGCGCAGCAGCGCATACTCCTCGCGCCAGGTCCACCGCGCACGCGGGTCGAAGCGCTTGATGTTTTCCCTGGGCCGCGGTTAGTCACGAACGAACATGGACATGGAAAGGACAGCGTTGCCGCGTACACACCAATTCTCCGGCGGCTGGTACTTGTCGGCCGTGTCCGGGTCGTCAAACACGCTCGGCAGCGTGGCAATGTTCTCGGGGTCGTAGCCCCGGCTGGTGCGCCGCTGCCACCAGAAGCGGCGCTCGTTGGCCGGGTCGCCCAGCGGCGGGACGTCCACGGAGCCATCCGAGACGGAGGTCGTTGAGACCGAGACCGTCTTCTTGTCCCAGTCAATGGGACGCGCAAAAGCAGTCGACATGGTGGGCAGGCGGCGGGTGTGTGGCGTGGGCGGGCGTGGACTGCATACAGGCTGATGTCTACTGTTTTGCAGCATCCGGCCGTGTACTCTTCTTTTGGACCACCCACATTATGTACTTTATCCCAGCGGATGTCCACCATCCCGCCCACCGTCTCTCGTCCATTCGTCATGGCAGTGGAAGCATCGATGCGGGTCGTCGGCACAGCGACAGCAGCAATGGTATCATCGGCTGACCATATCGCAAATCGCACAATCGCAACATCACACATCGCATCGCGGCCAAAATGGCTGAGCATCACAACCGTCCCCATAAAAGACTTGACCGATGTCCGTGACAATCCCACGCTCCATGGTATATCGCCTGTTTGTTTGAGAGTATCACCGGTGCACATCTTTCCTGTTCGAGGACCGCCGCCGGTGAATGGTGTCGTGTCCTGCGGGTCCCCGGCCCTCCTCTCGTGTTGCGTCAGCGGATGGCGTCTTTGGCGCTCGCAGAATTGCCCATATCCAACGTCATTTGGCAATTGCTACTTGGCAACCAAAGACGGTAACACTCAATCAACAGCATACGCGGCAGATGCAGATTCCTCCAACAAAAACAAGCACACGCCATCGACGCACGGCCATTTCGGTGCCGACACCATCGTACTATTGTGGGTTACACGCGCCAGATGGGTGCACAAAACGCCACAACCGAAGCCAAGACGGGAAGGACGCTTGACAGCTCGGCATGCTTCTTCTCCTGGAGTACTGAGTACTGGGCTGTGAGGATCGCAAATGTTTAGCGTTCTGGGCGGACGCGGAGGTGGCGTCGGACTCCGGTGCATGTGGACTATAAAAATCGCTACTGCATGAAATTCGCAATACCATGGCGCCTTACCTCCACGCGACGCCCACGCGAGTTGCGTTTGTTGTGCGTCGGCCAATTGGGCACATCATTCGGCACCTATTCCGTCATTGCACACCCTGGTTTGACGTCGACCTTCGATACGTCGAATCGGTAACAACCATTTGATTATCTGATTGTTGTTCAGCGACCGATTCATTTTACAAATAATTTTTACATATACGTGTTTTTTTCTTTTCTTTTTGTTTTCTTTTTTTAAATGTTTTTATTACTATTTTTTTTTACGTACTCGAAAAATCAGTACCTTACGTTCGTCGTAAAGACAGGCTCACTGTTACAGTTTTAATTTTCTGAAAACATCATTCTCACTGTCCGCAAAGTTTTAAATGTCGTAAATTCTCATTTTCTTTCCTTTCTTTCTACGATTCGTCATAAATACATTGCAATTTTATGCACATAACCATGCTCTGTCGGTGCGGGCGGGCGGGTAGCTTGACCGCACTAATACTCCAATTCACCGTGCTGCACACCAACGTCTATTACTCCCGCCCCAGTGCCCTCTTGTACGCCGACAAGGCCGCCTCCCGCGCCTCCTTGTGGTTGACAATGGGCTCGGGATAGCCAGCCTCGCGTGCCGCATCCCCTGCGCCTCGTGCATACGGCTCGTGGATGGCCGCATTGTCCTCGATGCCCCGCAGCTCGGGCACCCACTGCCGAATGTATGCGCCCTCCGGATCGAACCGCTCGCTCTGCCGTGTCGGGTTGAAGACGCGGAAATACGGCTGCGGGTCGACGCCGACGCTCGCCGCGAAGCCCCAGCCGCCCACGTTGCTCGCCACGTCCCCGTCCACGAGGTGCCGCATGAACCACTGCTCGCCGCGGCGCCAGTCGACTAGCAGGTCCTTGGCCAAGAAGGAGGCCACCACCATGCGGCTGCGGTTGTGCATCCAGCCCTCGTGCCGCAGCTGCCGCATCGCCGCGTCGACAAACGGGTAGCCCGTGCGGCCGGCCGTCCATGCCGTGAACCTGGTGTTGCCGCCGCTGCCGTCGTCCTCCGCGGCCCAGGCCACGTTCGCATAGGCCGGCTTAAACGGCTTGTGCATGGCCACGTGCGGCCAGCCCACCAAGACGTGCTTGTAAAAGTCGCGCCAGGCGACCTCGCTGACCCACACGCGGAACCCGTCGCTGCCGCCGTCGAGCGACGGCGCGCCGGCGCGGTCGCTGGCGGTCTGGACGACGGTGCGGGCGCTGATTGTGCCGGTGGCCAGGTACGGCGAGAGGGCGGACGTGGCCTGGGCCGCCGGCACGTCGCGGTCGCGCGCGTACGAGCCCAGGCTGTCGTCGCAGAAGCGCGTGAGACGCGCCGCGGCCGCCTGCTCGCCCGCCGGCCACAGGTCACGGACACGCGCGCGCTCGTCGTCGCTCGCCAAGGTCATCCCTACGGGTGTGCCGGGTACGGGACAAGCAAAGAGTGCCTCGGGAAGCACGTCGCGCACGCTGTCGCGCACCTTGGCGGGTGCGTCCACCAGATCGACCACGTCCTCGTGGTCGTGGATGTACCGCTTCCATGCGCGGAACCACGGCGTGTACACGGCGTAGGTGCGTCCGCTGCTGCCGCTGACCAGCTGGCCCGGTGGCACGACGCACGTGTCGTGGACGACGGCCACCGACCGGCCCTCGGCCGCGGCCATGCGCAGCAGACGGGCCTCGCGCCGCAGCTCGTCGGGCTCGTACTCGAGGTTGGCAAACAGGTGCCGCGCGCCCCACGCGCCCATCCTGGCGAGGATGCGCCGCGGCACCTGCCGGCGGTCGTCCACCGTCTCGATCCACAGGGGCATGTTGCGCTGCGCCAGGTCGCGCTTGAGCACGGCCAGCGTCCGCAGCACCAGGTCGACGCGCACAGGCGCCGTGCTGTGGGCCTCCCAGTCCTGTGGGCTGACCACGTAGAGGCAGATGAGGGGGGCCTTGTTGTCGCGGGCCAAGGTGGCCGCTGCGTGGAGGGCGCGGTTGTCGTGCAGCCGCAGATCCGACTTGAACCAATGGACGACGGGACTCGTTCTGCTGGGGGCATCGACCCGGCGCATTTGTGCTGCGGTCTCTTCGATGGCCGTGTCCAGGGCCTGCATCGGTGTCGTTAGCTCGCCATCGGCATACGCCTGTGCGCGCGCCATTGACATTTCTGCCGGGTAGTATTGCCGGAGAATGACGCCATGTTGCTCGCCAGCAGACGATGGGTCTGGCTGGCTCAGGGGGGCTGTCGGGGATCCGTCGGCCGTTCTCGCTGCTCTCGACGTCGTTGCCGTCTTTGCCTTTTTGGAGTGGTTGCCGTTTTGGTTGATTGAAGAAGAACTGGCTCCACCACTGGGAGCCGCACGTTTGGGTCGAGGCATGCTGGACAACGGCAACGGCAATGGCTGACAGGCGATGGAAGCAGTGGACAGAAGCGGCGGACGTCGAAGAAATGCTCGAAACGAAAGTGTAATCGGCATGGACAGGACGGCGATACTTCGACTCGGCAGGGGAGTAATCAATTTGAACAAAGCAAAGGACGATGTTACCGGATGCGACTGCCTGTTGTTCGGTGTTAAAGAGCCCTCTGCACGATCGCACCTACCCGCACCGAGATCTCGACGTCATCTTGAGCCCGTGGCGATCGATCGACCAACTAGGCGCTAAATGTTAGTGGAAGCTGCACTTTGCAGCGAGCTCAACGTGGGGTTAGTGTGTGGTCGGCGCTAAACTCATTCTAGCTCAGGCAAGCGAATGATGGTCAACGCTTCCATCCAACTGGTACGAGAATGAAGAAGCTTTGCGTGTCGAGTTACCAGAAGTACGGAGGGCCACATGCGGTGTTTTACACACGGCTGTATCATGGCAGATGCAGGCATGTAGAGTTGTATACCAATAGGATCAACACCATCCTACCTAACCATGAGAAACATTGACATATGCAGGTCTGAAAGAATTCACACAACGATGACATCCATCCCAACGTCTCATTGTTGTTGGAGATCTCGTATGGAAACTGGGAGGATGCGGGGAAAGTATTGAAGCGGGCAAGATCGACTTAGTATAATACAGAAGCGGTCTGCGCAAGTCGTCAGTGCTCGTCGCCTTGTTGGTCAGCGAACGCGTCCTCGCGTTGTTTATCGGCGACTGCGCATCCCGTAGACCTACAAGAGCGGTGTGCGGTCAGGTCCGTCGGCGGCTGCAACTGGCACCCCGGTTCGTACGAGGCCAAACGGACGGCCGACAATACAGTCCTCATAATGATCTGCCCGAACTGAGAGGTGGAGGGGAGGTGGAGGTGGACCTTCCGGCCATGGGCGGGCCTACGAGCAAGTACCTGGCCAACTGGCTGATGCAAGTAGTTGACCCGGCCAAAATGAGCTCCTCGTCGACTTGACGACACGCGACTACTACTTTCATGTCACGGGCAGCTTGTGGGACTACCCCAACAAAGACATATGGGACCTTGTACATATGAAGTGACACTGGTCAGCCGCCGGCAGAGTGCGATTGTGTTTGTCGACGGACGTCTCGCGAGGTCCTGGGTTCATGGGCGGCAAGCGCACCTAGTTTTGTGGACTCTACCGAGGCAGAGACAGGAGGCAACGCATTCTCGGCCCGCCAGGCTGCTCAATGAGTGGTCTTACCCACAGACAGCGGACGGCCGCGGGCAACATCTTGATGGCCTGGGGCCAGAACCCGAGCCTTGTCGAGTACAGCCGTGGACATCCAGTGCAGCGGGGCGCAGACCATGGAAGAAGACGTCGAGAGGATTGTGGACTTCCGAGTGGCTGTCGTCGATATCGTCGTCGGTAAAACATCTGTTGCTTTCAGATGGTACGTCTGTCGGCAGGCTCGCCAGGTAAATGCTGTCGCATCACATCAGTTCGACGGACGAGGCGACAACAGCGCAGGCAAAGGTCTGTTGGCTGCCGCAGACGAGTACAGCGTACTACTCGTCGAGAACGTCGAGAACTTTGCGTTCCGCAGCTCGACCGACTCGGGCGGTTCCGAGCCTACAAAGCTAAATAGAGTCGATGCTGTGCTCTGTAGGACATATACGGAGGTACGAAAAACACATGCCTTGCTATATAAGCCGCTTTGCATTCTTGTCCGCTCAGACTCGTGCGTTTGCAATTGTCGGCAAACATGGCAGTCATTCCTGTCGTGTCGGCTTGTCGTCTGTTTATTTCGTTTATGTGCTTGTGGCTTGTTGTGGCTGAGATCATCGCTGAAAAGCAGAAGACGTCACTGTTATGCACTGTAAGACATACGGAGCAGTAAAAGCAGCTGCAGGCAGCATTCAGCGCGTCTTTCAAAACAAACAAAAAAAAATTGGCGAAATTGCTGGCACGATCAAGCGACGTGGACACGTCTGGGCAGACCTCTAAAAATTCGGCAGAATGACCTAAAAACAGGGATTTTGTGGAACCACGCAGGGATTTATGGGGAGCTCGTGGTGGCAGTGCAAACCAGGGAAATGGAGTAAAGCAGCAGAGCAGGTGGTAAAAAGGGGCGAACAGCGGCCTTTGCGCCCGGAATCAGGGACAATAGTGGATGTTTGTTTCGTGCCAGGAGCAGCCGCAGCCAATCAGTGGTCTGGAGACGCGCCGCCAAAAGGGGGTTAGCCAGGGCAGACGATCGAAAACAGTGGGCCCCGCCAATCCGGGACCACGAAAGGCTGGATCCAGGAACGGAAAACCAGGAAGTGGAAATGCAGCTACAGCGCACAGAGCACGAACGGAGCTTTGCAGCGGGCACAGCAGCTGTGGGAAGGCATGACAGGGACCACACAGGCAGTCAACCAGTGGATTTTGCAGCTTGGAACCTCTCCTCGTATCGCTATTTTCGTCTTCTTCTCGTGCCTTTCGATCCGTTGGTCATCTCCCTTGCATTCCTGTTTCTTTCATTCACCTTGTTTGTTCGATCGCTTTCATCTTTTGACTCTTCCGTTTCCTCGTGTTTTTGAGGCCGACACTCTTTATTTTTTTTTATCTAGTCTCTCTTTTATCCGTTTCTTCTCCCTTTTGCACACCTCCGTCCATCACGCTCCTTTTCGACAACGACGCGTCTGCCATTCCTTTGATCCATTTTCGATTCGATTCTATCACAACCGACCTTCGTCTGCCGACCGCTTCCTCACAATGCGTACCTCCGGCTACCTCGTTGCCGGCGCCCTGGCGTCGGCCGTCTCGGCCCAGAACTACCTGGGCTTCAGCACTGGCTCGACCAAGATCGACGGCTCCGTCAAGGTGCAGGCCGACTACGAGGCCGAGTTCAAGGCCGCCCAGAACCTCGTCGGCGCCCCCGGCGTCTTCAACGCCGCCCGCCTCTACACCAACATCCAGGGTGGCTCGGCCACGGACCCGATCGAGGCGTTCCCGGCCGCCATCGCCACCAACACCAGCCTGCTGCTCGGCATCTGGTGCTCCGGCACGACCACCATCAAGCCTGAGCTGACGGCCCTGCAGGCCGGCCTGACCAAGTACGGCAACAAGCTGGCCGACCTCATCATTGGCATCTCCATCGGCAGCGAGGATCTGTACCGCAACTCGGTAACGGGCGTCGAGAACAAGGCCGGCGTCGGTGCCGACCCCAGCGTGATTGTCGGCTTCATCAACGACTACCGCAAGGCGTTTGCCAACACGGCGCTCAAGAACGTGCCCGTGGGCCACGTCGACACGTGGAACGTGTTCCCCAACGCGACCAACAAGGCCGTCATCGACGCCGTCGACTGGATCGGCCTCGACGAGTACCCGTACTACCAGACGGGCCAGGACAACACGATTGACAACGCTGCCAACCTGTTCAAGGCGGCCTTTGACGCGTCCAAGGCCGCCGTCGGCGACAAGCCGCTCTGGGTCACCGAGACGGGCTGGCCCTACACCGGCATGACCTGGGACAAGGGCGTGCCCAGCGTCGCCAACGCCAAGGCCTACTGGGACGCCGTCGGCTGCGACCTGCTCTTCAACAAGGTGCCCACCTTCTGGTACGACCTGGTCGACGACAACGCCGGCAACAACGAGAGCTTCGCCATCACCGACAACCTGTCCACCAAGGCCCGCTTCAACCTGACCTGCCCGCCCCCCTCGACCAGCGCGTCCAGCAGCGGCGCCGCCGCCTCGTCGACCCCGACCAAAACCGGCAGCGGCAGCGGCAGCGGCAGCACCAAGACGACCGGCACGGCCCTCACCACCGCGTCGGGCAGCAAGACCACGAGTTCGGGCGCGGCCTCGGCCTCCCCCTCTGGCACGACTGTTTCCAAAAACGGTGCCTCGGTCCTGAACCTGTCGATTGGCACCATTGTCGGTGTTGTTGCCTTTGCCTGCATGCTGTAAGGGGAGTCCTACGGTCTTCCTATGAGTCAACCTGATTTCCTTGGCTGGTCACGAGAAAGTCGTTTTGGTTCTTCTTTTTTGGCATATCATTGGTCTTTATAGATACTATCTCATTTGGATCTTGTCGCATACGACTCCTTTTGGTCTTTTCCTTTCTTGTCTCTCCTTTGCTCTTGTTTTTTCTCGCCCCTGTTAGACTTCACGGACAGTGCGTCACACGTCATAATATCGCAGAAAGTGGCCCGTCTCTGGTCCGCTTTTTTTTCATAAATACTTTCATATAGACGGAATGAATTTTTGTTTTGTTTATTTGGTTTTCCATACACCCATCTGCTTGGCGCTTGTCGTACATGGCGCGGCTGCCAGCCGCCCGTGATGGCCGTGGGGGTTGCATCCACTTGTCAATTTGTCTGTCTTGGGTCGGTTCTCTGCCTAAATTGGCAAACCCGACCACCAGCGCCTGCGCACGGGCAACACTGTCTGATCGTGCCCTTTGCGCGCGGTTGCGAGCTGTCTCGCGATCGTTTGTCTGCAACTTGCGGCCCGCAACGTGCATTGCATTAGTGGCCGTTGATGGCTCCTCTCAGCAGACGCATACAATCTTGCCATCGACATGGCCCCCAAATTGACGACCCCCCAAGACCATGCCCTTGGGCCATCCATCGCAGGTTGCCTACGCGGCGCCCAATTGGTTGGCATTGCTTGGTTTCGGTGACCAAATGCCATTCAACGACATTTTGAGAAAACGACACCCTCACAAGCAGGCACATCTTTCGAGGTCTCCCTTTGGCGTACATCGCCAGAGCCGCCGACGAAGCCGCCCATGGTCCTGCGATGGGTAAGATACCGTTTTATATCTCTGGTCTGGTTGGTGATGTTGCATTTCTGTCTACCCATCTCAGCCACTGTCACTGTGTCACGTCCTTTGCTAACCTATGCAGGTTGGTAGAGGCGATGCAGAACGGTCGGTTGAGACGCAGAGGATCAAAACGATTGTGGACTAGTCCGCGGAGCACGGAGTACACGACACGAAATGATTACAAAGAGCGTGAGCACGATACACAACGAGCAGTACATGTACAGCCTACTACGTAGCGTCTTGCAAATCTGGCAGGGATGCGCCGATGCGAGAAACACGTGCATTGGATACGCTTGATACGTCTCTCACTGCTGCATTTTCTCACATCTTTACTTCTTTGTCTGCGTCTGCTTAATGCTCTTTTCTATTTTTGTTTTATTTTTTTCTTTTTTATTTGCGGTCCGCCCTTTGTTTCCTGTTGCTTTCTTTGAGGTTGGTCGTCGGGCACCCCTAACCTCCGCAAACAGCGTCCTATTCTCGTCACTCTTTGTTGTCGACCTCCCTCTCGTGGGTGAGCACGTATTTCATATTTTGCTGTATTTCACTTCTATTGATAAACTATTTTCCCTGCAGTCTTTCTGTATTTGCCCAAGTTTTGTTGTATTTTCTTTTACGTCACACTATGGCCTTTGCCTCCGGAGCACCGCCCTTCCTCCGCGTATTGGTCTTCTCCAGACGCCGCGTCCTGCATGTCGCCATCGCCTTCGTCCTGACGCTGGTCGTCTACTTTTCGGCCCTTTCGGATCGAGCAACGGGATTCTGCGCTTCGTGTCTGCCCGCCTGGGGACTGAGTCCGTCCGCGCCGTCCGCATCGCCACCGGGCTCCGGATCTGTGTCACCCGAGCCGTTGACCCTACCCGACCTCGACACGTTGCCATCACCTCCACCCGGCCGGGATGTCGGCTACTGCCGCCAGCACTTTTCCAGCGACTACCTGTCCGACTTGCGGGACCATTCGATCCAGTACTGCAAGGGCGATGAGCATGGGCCCGCGCAATCTCGGCTGACATGCTTCCATGGGCACATCCGGGACGACCCTCAAGCGGACTCGTTTTGCATTGCGTCGGGCGCTTCGTGGGATGCGACCACACAAAAGTTTCAGCTGGGCTGCCCAGCGTGGCGGACACCCAACGAAAACGAGACGGCAGGCGGTCTGATTCCGTTTACGGACCTGCGGCCGTACTGGTTCAACACGGGGCCCAAGACCATTTTTAACGAATTCGTTTCCATGACGGGGGCCGGCGCAGCCCACACGTCCAAAGCCAGGGCGGTGGTAGACGGCAGTAGCGCGCCGTCGTTTGTCCTCCTGGTCAAGCGCGAGGGGGCGGGCAACCTGTGGCACTGCCTGATGGAGATTTGGTCCATGACGATGACCATGGACGTGCTGCGAATGGCGCGGCAAGCGGACGACCGCGCCGCGCCGTTCTACGCGACGCCCATGGACGTGGACAACACGCATGTCGTGCTCCTCGACAACCACGGGCCGGGGCCGACGCTGGACCTCTGGCGCCTGTTCTCCCGCCACCCGCTGGTGACGCTCAAAGACATGACGGCCGATCCGGCCAAGGTGCCGGCGCCGCTGCGGCGCGACAGCGCGTCGCCGCACGCGTTGCCGTCGTCGACGACCCACCTCGTGGTCCCCCTCCCCGGCGGCAGCAACCCGCTGTGGCACAACGACTGGGCCGTGCGCGACTGCCAGCCCGGCGACGCGCCGCTGCTGCACCTGTTTGTGCAGCGCGTCTTTGCGCACCTGGACGTGCCCCGCCTCGCGGGCCCCAAGACGGACAAGGACGGCGCCGAGCCGATTGTCGTGACCTTGATCGACCGGCGTGGCACCCGGCGCCTGCTGAACGGCGCGGCCCTGCTGGCGGCCCTGCGGGCGCGCTTCCCCGACGATGCGGTGGTCGTCCAGTCCATCGACATGGCGACGCTGTCGCTGGCCGACCAGGTGCGGCTCGTGCAGGACACGGACGTGCTCGTGGGCGTGCACGGCGCGGGCCTGACGCACATCATGTTTATGCGGCGGGGCGCGGGCGCCGTCGTGGAGATCCAGCCGGCGGGGCTGGCGTACAAGGGCTTCCGCAACCTCGCGGCGATGACAGGGCAGCACTACTTTAGTGCCGAAGCAGAGATGGTGGCACAGGGAGAAGGGGAGGAGGGTGAGCCGAAGGAGAAGCCGAAGGAGAAGCCGAAGGAGAAGCCAAAGGGAGAGCCCACTGAGGAGGCCAAGCATGAGGATGGAGAGAAAGCAAACGTAACGGGCCGCCAGAGCACGAGCACGCGAAAGCCACGGAAGCGTAACGATCCGCCCAAAGTATGGCAGGCCTCAAACGTCCGCATGGAAGAAGACCGGTTTCTGGCGTTGATGGACGTGGCCATCAAGTCGGTCTACAACGAAGGCCTGCGCAACAAGCATGTGGTAAAGTAGGCAGCACATGTGTGTAACGGTATTGTTACTTTTTCCTAGTTTATCTCAAAGCCTACCTGAAAGTCTGCTTCAAAGTCGACGACGTGACATATCCACATTGTTCGTTTTCACGCGACCCGTGGCTTCGCAGTTGACGGGACGGCGAGGTCATCGTTCCGGATCACCACACCCAAGGGCTCGGCCGAGCCTCTTTGCTGGTTTGGTGCACAAAATCCGGCAGTAGAGCTCTGCTACGTCGGTCGTGTAGTAGAAACAGCACGTCGACGTTGGACTTGTCATTGTGGCCACACATCATAGTGCTCACTTTGAATCAGAGTGTCTGATACTCAATTTGATGCAACAGTGGAAGGCACCAAAACGCGGCCGGCCTTATTGTGGTGGTGATTGTGCCGTCTAGCGATGTAAATAGAATTCATCCACAGTCGGTGTAGATTGTGCACGACAATGTGTTTTGCGAAATACGAAACTTTTGCCGACGTGATGGTCATGTGAATCATAAATCTTTGCAAGGATGTTTGTTTGGTTCTGCCTGTCCCATCAATTAGCATAATCCACATCCCAGTCACCACACGTCTTGGCGTATAATGTAGAATCCAAGGATCTGCATTGTGGCGGAAAGCAAATTAACCTTATGTCGTTCTGAGTACTTTTGCGTTGTGTTCTCCACCGCTACTGTTCTTGGCAGGAGAAAAAAGGACAAACGGGCCGTCACGGTCGATGTGAGGACAATGCAGCCGAATGGTCGCTGTGTTGGGACTTGCTTTGTCGTGGAAGAAATGTTTCGTATTTTTATGCAAAAGGCTACAAATGTGACAAAAGAAACAAAGCCCAGAGAAATGGGTAGGAAGTGAAGAAATGAAGAAATGAAAAAGAAGAAGCCCTAAATAGAAAACCCAAGAAAGACAAATCAAGAAAAAAAAATAGAAAGAGAAAATGGTAGAAAATGAGAACAAAACAAAGCAAAGAAGCCCAGTCCTCAACGCCCGGTCCGTGGTCGTGATCTGCGTTGCATGATCCGATCCATATTACTCCGTCTGCCCGTGAATTATATGTTACACGCCAACCCTTGGTTCGTCTTTTGCGTTTTTTGCGTTTTTTGTGTTTATTGTGTGTTCTGTGTCGGGTGCATCGCCCTCACTTGGTAGCCGCCTTGGTCTTGCTCTGCAGCTCGACAAAGCTGTACCAGGCGGCACCGGCCAACGACACCAGCATGCCGACGCCGTTGGTGAAGCCAATGGTGACGTTGAAGAAGACGATGCCCAGCAGGACGGTCAGGCACTGCTTGACGTTGCCGCAGACGGTCATGGTGAGGGCGCCGGCGGCCTTGTTGGCGGTAAAGGACGAGACGTTGAGGGCGAAGGCGAGCACGCCGTTGCCGAGCAGGGCCAGGGCCATGCTGATGGGGGAGTCGCCGACGGCGCGGGCGACGACACGGGCGACGACGGCGGCACTGCCAGCAGGGGACGAGGCCGCCGCCGCAGCTCCCGCCGCCCCCGCCATGGCGCCGGACAGCTCGCCCGAGGCCCAGGCAATGAGCAGGGCCTGGAAAAAGGCAAGAGGCGACAGGCGCAGCAGGGTCTCCATGGGCGACAGCTTGAGGGAGCCGGTCATGATGCGGTTGGTGGCAATGGTCTTGGCGACGGCGAGGACGACGCCCAGCAGGGTCAGCACAAAACCGGCGAGGGTAAAGTAGTACTCGCCGTAGGTGGTCATGCCGACGCCGAGGACGATGGGGACGAGCGACAGGTACGTCTCGGTGGAGTAGGCGCGGCCAAACAACACGCGGTAGGCGGCGACGGTGATGACGGGCGTGGTCGAGCGCATGATTTGGTGGAAGGGCACGGACACCATGGCCAGCGACACGTTGGAGATGGCAATGTTGATGGTAAACAACACGGAAAAGGCCAGCAGGGTCATCTCCTCGCGCCAGTCGAGCGGCGTGCGCGTGATGGTGCCGCGCATGCGCAGAATGTAGCAGCCGATGGAGGCGGAGCCGGTGTGCAGCGCAGTCAGGAGCCACGGGTGCGGGAACTTGCCCAGGATCAGCTTGTTGTAGATGGTGAGGGCGACGTTGCAGAGGAAATAAAAGCCGAGCTGGGCCAGCTTGGCGCGCGTCGAAACGGTGTCTTCAACGGCCAGCGGCTGCTGTGCCGGTGCGCCGCCGGCGGCCAGGATGCCGTCCTTGACGGCATGTTTGCCGTCGAGGAGCTGTCCCTCGAGGTCGAGGTCGAGGTCGGGGTCGTGCTGCGGCACGAGCTGGTGTGTTGACGGCATGGCGGCGTGTTGGAGTGGTGTCGGGTGGCCCTGGACGAGAGGAGAACAAAAGGAGAAAAGAAAGGGCAGGCAAGGCGAGCGCGGCCGCGGAGGTCAGGAGGCCCTCGTGGTATCACCAGATCGTGTCGATGCCGTCGATTTCGTTTTCGAGGTCGTGTGGTCGGGAAAGAGACGTCCGCACAGAAGGGGCAAGAACGATGGGCACGGTAAAAGCTCAGAGTCGCGGCAGGCAGGAGCAATCTATTTCCCGTGGCACGTTTTGTCGTCGTCGTTGCGCGCGTCGTTTTGCCAGTTTTCCAATTTTCCAGTTCTCCAGTCGTAGGGTTGCCAGTAACCTTTTTTTCGCAGTATCTGCGCCCCTTTTCCCGATCGCTGGGCAGACGGCTGCTTATGTGTATGTGCCTGGATTGGGGTGTTATTTCGTGTCAACTTAGTGTGTATTTAGTTTGTATTTTAGGGGGTTTTGGGGCGGATTAGGCCGGTTTTTGGTGTCGTTTCCGCTGGTGTCAGATTTGGCGGCGTTGGAAACGGGGTCGATCATTCCTGTTCTGCCTCGTGCGGCTGTGACGGCCTTTACTTCGTACTGATGCTTTTTTACTTTGACACTACGGCAAGGTGGTCATGCTTTTTGGTGCAGAATACGAACATCTGTATGTCATACGCACTATGTAGTCAACAGCACGGCTGGACACCGCCGTCTTGGCTGTGATCCTGCGCTGGGATTGACATTGTCTGTATTGGCTAGAGGCCCGGATGGCAATATGGCCGGATAGCTGGATGGCTGGGGCTTTGGATTGCTGGTTCGCTGGGATGTTTCTTGGCAATGGATACCATCATGGGCTTTGTGCGTTGAACAGCAGGGGGGGGTAGCAAACGGGCCAGCGCTGGAGAGATTATGAGTGACGGGGGAATTTGCAATGTAATTCGCGACACCGGAAGGCAATGCGTTGCGTTATGCGCGTATTGTCCATTCGACTTTGTCGTCGATCTACTCCGTCTTTCCGTTTGCGCTGCAATCAGTCTCGTGCGAAGACTAGGAAGACAACCGAGACACCAAGACACCAGCCAGTTTACTGTGTCGTTGTCGTCACCTAATCTCAGGCTGCGTCGTCAGCCGTCAGCCGCCAGCCCCTGGGCCCCTATTTCGACAGAGCATGGTGTCCTCTTATGCCTTGGCCGTCCCCTTTCCTCTGCTGCCCTTGTCAGTCCCGTCACCGCCCCCCTCCGCCCCTCCAATCTGCAGGCGCACGACGTCAATGGCATGCTTGCCAAGACGAAGAGTCGCTGACCTGCGCGATGGCCTTTGTGGCGGGCACCGTACGGTGTCGACGGCAAAGGCAAGGTGAAAACGACGAATTACTCTGTACTCTGTAAAACCACAAGTTACTTCGTCGGAAATGGATCCATGGGTGACCGTCGCCTGTGGTAACTGCACGGAGGCTGCGAATGCCTCCGGTCGTGTTGTAACTGGAATGCGAAATGTACGAAACTGCGTATGCATTCGGCAACGGCAAAGCTGGTGGTGGTTGGCGGGCAGACGCTTCAGGCCCTCGCAGCGACGCCAGCCACTGATGATAACCGAGACAACCTGCAGACGGTCTGACTGTCTCGCCCCTATTCTGTATTCCCGGTTCCCCTTTCCTGCATTTTTCATTTCCCTTGCCCTTTTCTGTTTAGCGTGCTTTATCGTGCCTTGGCAGATCTCAGTGGCTCTTTTGCCCTCTCTCGTCTCTCCATCACGACGCATTAGGCAGGCGCCGTTAGTACAGGTATTGTGGGACACGATGGACCTGGCCTTGCCGGCCAAATTAGCGCAGACGGGCTCACGCGCTCACGCTCACAGGGTTTCCAGCGGTCCCTTGGGCATTTTTGGCCGGCGACTTGTACTGCTGTCGGCTGCCCCTTCCTCGCCTGTCATCTGTCGCGATTTTGTATTTGTGCCGTCGAGGGCGACTTCCTTCCCTGGCACGTTGCCTTGCAGTTTGCACCTCGTCCGTCACTCGTTTTTCCTCTTAACTCCTCACTTTCAACTTTGGCTTGTGCCTTTTCTTTTCCTTCGTTTCTGTGTGTGTCGCCAGTCTTGTTGCATGTCGCCGTTGCTGTCATCGTAACACGCACGTCGCACACCGCACGCCCTTCTCGTCGCTCTTTTGTCACTCGTTTAATGCTCTCATACCCGACTTAATAAAATACATATCGGTTGCCTCTTGGTTTTTTTTTGTTTTTTTTTTGTTCTTATTGTTTGCTTCTCTTCGTTCGGATATCACGACTTTACCACTACTGTACGACGACGACGACCACAACCTCCTGCTCCTCCACCACCACCACAACCATGCGTTCTCCGGCCCTCTTCCAGCGGCTGGTCATTTTCGCCTTTGTCTGCACGCTGCTCGTGGCCCTGACGGTCTACCAGCGCGACCGTCTCGCGGCCGGCGTCGGCAGTGTCGTCGACTCGGTCAAGACGGCCGCCGACTCGGCCAAGGAGGCCAGCAAGAACATTCCGATTCCGTTTGTAGGCAAGACGGATAGCGAAGACAACAACGGCGACACCACCGGCGACACCACCGGCGACACCACCGGCGACGCCACCGACAATACCACCGACAATACCACCGACAATACCACCGACAATGCCACCAACGAGGACGGCGATAATGACACCAATGACACGGATAGCACCAACACCACCAACGTGGCCGCTGACAAGACCAACAAGCCAGCGCCCCCCGACAAGTACATCTCCATCTGCTTGGCCGTCAAGGACCAGCGGCTCGACCTGCCCGAGTTCCTGCGGCACCACTACTACAACATGGGCGTGGGCCACTTCTTCATCATGGACGACGGCTCGGAGCCGCCGCTGTCGGAGCTGACCAACGAGGAGCTCACCATCCCGCGCGACGCCGTCGAGTTCCACTACTTCCGCCCCGACCAGCACGTCCAGTGGATGCAGTACACCATGTACAACACGTGCAAGAACGTGGCGAGCAACCACTCGTCCGTCAACACGACGTGGATGGCCTTTATCGACGCCGACGAATTCATCGACGCGCCCGGGCCGCAGACGCTGCGCGAGGTGCTCGAAGACTTTGGCCGCATCGAGGCCATTGGCGGCGTCGCGCTCAACTGGCGCGTGCACACGTCCGGCGGCCACCTGACGCGCCAGCCGTCCGTCATCTCGGCCTTTACCGAGTGCATCTACGACGACCCGGAGCACAACGGCAACGACACCAACAACCGCCACGTCAAGTCCATTGTCAAGCTCAAGCACATGGTCCAGCCGCGCAACCCGCACTCGTTTATCCTGACGCCGAACCACTTTTCCGTCGGCGAGAACGGCGACGTCGTCGAGAGCCACCTGCGGGCGCCCATTACGCGCGACCGCCTGGCCATCCACCACTACGCGCTCAAGAGCAAGGCCGAGTTCGAGGACAAGATGTCCCGCGGCAGCGGCATGTCCCACCACAACGGCTGGAGCGTGTGGGACAACTACGAGAAGATGCCGCACGAGCCGTGCGAGGAGATGCTGCGATGGGCCAATACATGACGGCAAGAGTAGGCAGGGAGCAGGACAGTGGGCATCGTCCCGCGTATGTTGTATATCGTACATTTACTATAATACCAGCGTTTGATAACAATACAGCGATATTTCGATATTTCGATTTTTCAATATTTTCAATATTTTCAACCCCTACTGCATCGATTTGATATATTTTCAACTTGTCCAATCTTTACCGTACCCAGGCATCAGAATACCTTTCCCTCTCTCAATTTGCCTTTCTTCGTCGTTTTGTGCCGCCTAAAAAGTAAAACCGGGTCGGTGGGATTTGAGCGGCCAACAAATTAACCCCCAAATGAATGTGCGCGAGATGCGCGAGAGCGGGGAGTGGGGGATGACAGATGTGGATTTGCATTACAGCGCTCAAATGTCCATCCCTTGTCTTTTTATTTCGGGCGGGGAACAAAAGCCGTCGATCACTTTTGATCCCCCTTTCTTCATGGGACGGAGCGACGTTTGCTTGGTTCCCATTTCCTGGTCGTTTCGATCCCTTTTAATGAACGACCCCCCCTGCCCTCCTTATTGTTCCCATCGACTGTCCTGACGGGATCCTCCGTTTCTGCAAAACGGCTCACAGGGCCAACAACGATGGTACCGATTAAGTTGGCCAAGAGCAAAAGGGAAATACCGTTCATTGGGCGTCCCGCATAGCATAACGAAAAATGTCGAAATAAAAAGAGCATATCGTCAGAAAAGAGTCAAGGAACAGGGGCTGTCGGGGGTCGATGACGGAAATAACAGGGGTGCGACGCACAGTCGGCGACAAAAAGGCCTGCGACGAAGAGCGGCAAAAGAGCGGCACACAAAATGGCAAGGAAAAAAGAGACAAGAGGCTCTGTTAAATTGCGGTGGGGCACGCTCGACAACGCCTGTTCGTATGTTCTTGGCGGTTCAAGCAGCCATACACAGTCGTGTCCGTGATGACAGAACGCGGAACCAGTCAGGGCGCGAGATTGCGTAACTGGCTACAATCGCTAAGTCGTAGCGCTGGCTGTTGACAATTGTGCGAGTACCACAAAATACCCAGTTAAAAAAATATTTGGCTTTTGTTGTGGAAATGGAAAAATGTTTAAACTGTGGAGAGGTATTCAGGAACGTAAAAAGTCCCAGTTGGCCAGTTCCCATCAAAGTGTTGTACTTTGTTCGTCGTACATTGTAGCTCTTTCATCAAAATAGGCGAAACGGAGAACTGGAGAACGACCGACTGAGTTACGGCTGAAGGACCTCGTATCCAACTTGGTCGTGATTCTTGTGGCTGCCGTGCCAAGACACACAACCAGATCCTGAATACGCCATGTGAGCATGCTTGGATTGGTGGGTGTGTTGCGCCATGATAAGCCTGCAGAGCGATGAAATGGGCCGAAAAAAAAAAGAAAAGGAAAGAAAAGAAAAGAGAACAGGGGGCAACACAGGATTACGAGGTTGTCCAGTGCCAAGAACCGCCAGGTTGTTCGCTGATGGACTGCACAGTAATTACCTGCTGTGTTTGCTCGCACCGCCGGATTTGTGTCAATCGAGGCCGAGTCCCGTCAAATGTCTCAGCTCTCAGAAATGACGACGACAACGTCCTGCTAACAGACATCCTCGAATCCTCCATCGTCCGTTATTGCCGTCGCCGCTTCTCCACTGGAATTGGGAGCCGAAACGCCGGTTCCGGCAGAGTCAGACCTGTCAACTTACATCGTACGCGGCCGAACAAGAGCACGAAGAACGCCACTCCACTACCGTGTACGGATGACGACATATTTCTCGTATCCAGATGAGAGACATCAACTGGAATGGCAGCATGTCAGACCTGTGTTGCTGTCGGGCTTGTCTCACGTGATACTCGTCATGGCAACACAGATAAAACTGGTTTTCGGATAGGCATTCCTGTAAATAAGGGAGGGGGCAATACGTAAAAATAAAGAAAAAGAAAAGACGTTCCGACTTCCGTCCATCGCCAACGAGCCACAAAAACGATCAACATCAGAGGGGAACAGGCTATGAGACTGCTGAAAGCTGGCCAAAGTCGAACATGGCTGAACCCCTGCCGTCATTCCAAGGTTTGGCCGGAACGATTTTTGACTTCCTTGGCTCTCCTGACTCTCCTCTGGCTATGGTTTGATAAACGTCGCCGGATCACTGCAGGCGGGCCGTTCCACGGAGGTACATTAATCCATTTGAGCAAGCCGCCACCAGCCTTACCACGGCTCCGCAAGAGATGCCACGCGACACTGTGGACATCGATGCCCATCTTTGTGTTATTCCACTTGTAGAATACGAAGACGGTGTTGAATAAAAGTCTTGAAATGGAAAAAGAAAAACAAAAAAATGTAGAAATAAACGAGGCCGGGCGATGTGCAAAGCAGGTCATCACCAGGCTTTCGTCCGTCCAGCGCATCGAGTTACACACGCAGCGGCTTGGCAACACGACGCAGCACGGGTGTCTCGTCTTGGGCGGCGCCATCCAAAGCGTCGAGGTCGTCGGTATTTTCCTCGTGGTCCCAGTCTGTGGCCCAGTTGTTGTTGTTGTCGTCGTCAGCCCCCACGTCGACCTCCACGTCGGCATCCGCGCCCGCCGCCCGCTTCGTCGGCAGCGCCACGGCCTTGCCCTTGCCGTCCTGGATCGACGTGACGTGCGACCACGGAATCGTCCCCAGCGCCGCAAACTCCTTCTCGTCGGCGTGGCCGTACCGTTTTTGGGCGGCCGCGTACGCCGCCGCCACGTCGGTGAAGAGGCCCGTGATGCCCGCCGTGTCAATCGTGTACACGTACCCGGTCTTGCCGGCCTTCTTGCGCGCCTGCGCGAGATCGCTCGACGTCGACACGTAGGGGTCGCGCGACGGGTACTTGAGCGTGCCCTCGACGTGCTGGAACACGGTGGCGACCGGGTCCGGGCCCAGCCGGTGCGACGCGCCCTTGCTCTTGAAGCCGCCGGCCGCCTTGATGGTGGACGGGTCGCGCGAGTCGCCGCGGTACAGCGTGGCGGGGATGGTGCCCGCCACGCCGGCCACAAGCCAGGCCAGCAGGCCGAAAACGAGGAGGGACAGGTGCTTCATCGTGGCGGTGGACGATGGGGAAGGACGATGGTGAGGGACAATGCGTGGGTAAAGGAAGAGTGAGTATACGGTAGGAGTAGGAAGTGTGCTGAGTTTGCTTGCTGGTCTATCAAAATAACAGCAGGACGGCTCTGGCGATGCGTCGTCTTTTTATATCTCTTCTCCTTCACTCGTACGCCGGCCATTGTCAACATCTCTGTGCTTGTACTCGGATGTAACAAGGCTGAGAACTGACGGCTGACGACTGAGGACTGGGGACTGCTTGGCCCACGACCACACACAAACGTCTCTAGCACGTGTCTGACGTATTGGTACGCCTCGTAAGGCCAAATGAAGCATATACGCAGTGCCCACCACCTCGGAGCAGGCCGGTGTGTCGTTTCGCCCAGCTGTAAGCATCTGGACCATCGGGTCGTTGCGTGCATCGGCACAATAAAGCACGGCAGAGTCCACGATGACGCCTCATGTACAGTTCCGAGCCAGGAGCCTTGCCTTTGCGGATATGAGCCAAGCCTCCGTGCCGTGGTGCGATGCATCACGATAGTACCCACGCTCGACTTTGATGCGAGAAGGAAAGAAGATGCACACATATCACGTCTTCGGTCCACATCATTCGCTGCAATACAATCAAAGTCAAAGGATATTCACGATGCTGCTCTACAAGAAACAACAACGCATGCAAACGCACGCAAACGCACAAAACGCCACAATATGTCGTATATGTAGGCGACGTATGTCCGATGCCGTCGTTGCCCATCACCGACATAGTTCCGGTACGCGAGAGGCGCATACCATCCTGGCTCGATGTTGGCTCACTGTTTAGTCAGTGTCAGGCAGTGTTGGTCGGCACAAAAATAGCAGACGGGCGGCTGCTAATGAGAAAAGCCAAGAATGTGGCTCCCAAGTGGATGCACACTCGGTGGACCGGTGTTCCGTCTTTGGCATCTTGGGTGACGACATTCGTGGCGCTATCGCGGTCCACCGATCAGAGAAACAGCCTGTCCATGGTCATTTCCACGATACTTGCAGACAATGAGTGTCGTTGCCGCCCGTGTCTCCCGGCCCCAACTGCACTGCGGTCTGACGGGTGCGTGTGGATGCAAACGAATGCTGTTGCCCCGTTGACGGCTGCATGTCCACAACGCCATTGGTTGCATCGCATGACGCTACGCAGCAGCGTGTTGTCGTACGTGAGCAAACTCAATGGACAACACAGAGTATAAAGTGCGGCACATCCCTCGCGTCGCTTCATCCTTTCTTTCTCACGCTCCACCCGTCCTCCCGCGGTGCTCGTCCTCCCGCCTTTATATTAAAACACACGAACCCGGTCCTTGCAGACCGGCCAGACCCCCTCCCAGCCGCGTCTCGACTTCAGCCCCTCAATTTATTCTTGCGAGCGGTTCGCATATACGGCGGCCCTCGTTGCCCATCGACCACCCGTTGCATCGCGTAATCCATCTCGCCTCCCGGACTCCGCCAGAATCGGACTTGGCAGACTTGCCCGACATGCCCGACATGCAGGAGCCCATGTCCGCCGCGTGGGGCCTCGTCCTCAGCGCCGCCGACTGGGCCAAGCTGCGCGCCGGCCTCGCGGCCCGCGACATGGACGATCGCTGGCGCTTTGTGGTGGACACTGCCGACCGGTCGGGGGTCGTCACCATCCATGTGCAGCGGAGCTGGACGGGCACCGAGCTGTACGCGCTGCACGTGCAGCCAGGCGTCGACGGCGCGCCCGCCCGCGTCGTGGCCATCACCTGGGAGCAGAACAAAAACGGCATCCTCATCACGGAGGAGCAGGCCAAGAAGGAGGTCGCCGTTCTGAGCCGGTCGCAGTTGGGGTGCGACTTGGAGCAGCTGCCCGACTACGACTCGGACCTACTTTGGAACCATCCGAACGCGCGTCTCGACAGAAATATCAATTGAGGCGAGTCGGTAGGGGTGGAGGCCGCATTCAATATAGGTGTATCTACGCATACACTCTGCACATCTTACGCAATTCCGCCATACGTCTTGCACGGTGCATCGTTGGTCCTCTCTTTCGAAGACGCTGTTGTACAAAGTTTATAAATATAGCTTAGGAACTGATTTAATTTGAAAATAAAAATCCACTGAAGCATGTATGTTGTGATTTTATGTCATTGTAGTGTTTATACGAAATACTTAAAAGTATATTAATATTAACGAAGCCGATCAACCACATCTGTATCTTAAAACGTTCATTATGTGTAAATATAAATGGCGGGAGCCAATGTCAAAACATTCTGTGCTGGGCAACTCGGTAAAGAATCAATTTCTGTTCACCGACCTTCGTAATGAGCAATTTGTGTCTCATGCAGATTCAAGTATCGCCAAGGCAAGGCCAAGGTGGAGAAGACAAAAAGACTGCGATCGAACCAGTCAGAGATAGTACGGTCGGGTACGCCAAGGTCGAACTTTGCATTTGCAGTTAGATCTCGTAGGGCCAACCGCCAAAGCAGGGGTGGGCATCGATGCTGTGTGGCTGTGCTTCGTGTTGGAGTACATAGTTTTGCGGCGTGTGGGACGTCTTTGCGGCCTGCAGGGACGACTCAAGAGGCCAGCCACCACCAATCACGGACAGCATACCCAGAATGGACGTCGGATCGCGCTGGTCGTTTAAATAACCATAATTGCCTGGTGTGGATAAAGTGGCCGTCCGTGCGGTGCGTGACAGTGGTTCTGGCCATCTGCAGGGGCAGTTTTGTTGTAGTGGCACCTCAAAAGGAACCCATTTCCGTCATTTTCGCAGACGATCGGACGCCACACGTTGTTGTCTGTTCGATTATCTCCGATCGCAAGATGGACGACAAAAGTGATTCGTTGTCGATATCGTCGACATTGTCGCCATCTACGCCGTCGACAATAACAGACACATGGACGACAGCCTCTGTAGCGCCGACGACGGCGTTGTCCACAGTCAACACGGCCAGCTCAGCAACAAACAGCACATTGCGGCCCATGCAGACAGCCTTTGAACAGCCCGCCAGCTGCACCGGTCACTTCTCCACGACATCGTACCTCTACTACAACACGACCAACTTCGACTACACACACGTCACGCTCGCAATCTCAGACACGCGCCATCCGCAGTTTGCGACGTGCCAGCCGCCAGGATGGGACACGGTCGTCCCGCGCCAGCGGTTCGTCTTCAGTCCCGGCGTCTGCCCGCAGGCTTGGACCGCATACGATCTGTCGGCCACGACCACGCGCTATGAGACAACCGTGTCCAGTGCCTACTGCTGCTCCAGCGGCTTCACGCTGTCGTATGACTACCCTTACCAGACGCACAGCACCAGCGCCATCTACACCAGCGACGATGACGGCGCGTTCTACACGCTCTACCCGGGGCCCGTGAGCGGGTACCACGGCCCGGGCTGCTACCGACGGATTCCAGTAACGCCAGAGACGACGACGACGGCGGCGGCGGCGGCGGCAACCCCCTCCGTGTCGCTCGAGATGCATCTCCCGTACAGCGTGCAGTGGAAGGCCGACGACACCCAGCACATGTCGCCGACGCCGCCGCCGGTGCCCTGTACCTACAGCCTGTACGCGTGGACGCCGGGGGCCCAGATGCTCGGGACCAACGACGCCACCTACGGCGCCGGCGGCAGCCTCTACGTCGCCGCGACGGACGGCGCCGGGTTCGGCACCTATGTCGCGACGACCAGCAACGCGCCCGTCAACACCGACTGCCCGCTCGTCGAGGGCATCGGCAAGGGCGTCAACCACGGCTACGCATCGACCATGTACTTTGTCATGATTGGCATTCCCCTCATTGCCGTCGCGTTCATTTCGTGCTGCACGTTTCTGTGTGTGCGCGGGCACCGCCGCAACAAACGAGACAAGCGCCAACTGGAGGAGCGAGCAGCGCAGGAGAAGCGGGAGGTGGAACAGGCGATTGCACAATCATTGACCGAGGCAAAACCGCCTGCACAGAACGAGACAGCGGCCGTTGCGGGGGCCGCCGAGGGCGTGGCAGGCCCGTCTGGTACGAAATGAGCGGCGTTGTGGCTCATCAGACAAAGTTAATAGTTAATAGTTAATATGACAGACGATGACACGAGAAGCAATATAATCAAATTCGTATCGAATGCGGTAGGCAGTATGTAGACACATTGGGAGAAAAGACGCAACGGCCCATGCGACAACGTGCGTAGTGGTATATGAAAATCAATAGGGCAGCCAGACGCCATTTGTTAATCCACCCGTTCCGCCGCCCGGATCGAGTGCGTCGCCGGTCTCTTGGACGGCTTGTGGATGCGGACCGCGCTCAAAAAGTAGTCTTCGAGCGGCAGCAGGTTGCGGAGCAGCCCACTGACCTGCCACACCGCGAGACACACAATGCCGCCCACAACAGCGTCCAGGATGAAGTGGTTGGCCGTGGCAATGATGGCGATCCAGATGAGGGCTGGGTAGACGAGGCCGCCGAGCACGGCGAGCAGGCGCCGGCGGGCGCGCGCGGCCCGGCGCGTGTCGCCGGCGTCGAGCGGCAGGGTGGCCACGGTGAGGCCGATGAGGAACGCGTAGCCAAAGTGCAGCGACGGCATGGCGGCGTACTGGTTGCAGAAGCGGTTGGTGGTCCAGACGCTCTGCGCGCCGTCGGCGGTCGCGTGCACCGTGTCGACAAAGGCGTAACCGGCCTCGTCGTTGCTGCTGTGGGCCAGGTGGTCGGCGCCCAGCAGGCGCGGCGGCATGACCGGCCACGCCGTGAACAGGACAAAGGCGACCAGGTTGCACATAGCCATGGTGCGGCGGCGGCGCTCGTAGAGGTCGGGGCGGTAGCGGTCCCGGTAGCGGTGGGCGGCGACGTCCGGGTGGAGCGTGGCCTGTTGTATCTGCATCTGGCGCTGGGGCCGGGTCGTCGTAATGTAGTACAAGAACACCAGGAACAAAATCGTGCCCGGGATGTGCACAAACGCGTACAGGCGGTTGATGCCGCGCATGACCGCCGGGCGCCGCTGCAGGAAAAACCGCTGCACGGCCGGCTCCACGAAGATGGCCAGTGCCTCCTCTACGCGCACCAGCTGCAGCGCGTGGCGGCGCGCCGCCTGCACCACCGACTCGTCAATCAGCAGCACCGCCGACACGGCACGGGCCAGCTGGTACACCCAGTAGAGGAGCGCCCAGTACCAGGCCTCGACCAGAAAGGGAAACTTGCGTAGGACGCGGCTCAGCAGGCGGTTCCTGAACCTCGCCGTGTTGGGCGTCCACACGGTGCGCCGCCAGGGGCCGAAATAGAGCGTGCGCGGGCGCTTGTCGCTGTGGACGATGTGGACGATGTCGTCCCCCATCATGATGCCTTTGTCATCGGCAGGGCCCGATTCAATGCCATCGTCGCTGTAGGGCGTGCGTGTGTGGGACGTCAGTAAGTTGTCTTCATCCATATCCGACAAACCGACGCTGGTGTCGCGGTTCAGCAACGTGCCGCCACTCAGCAGCCCGAGGACCACGGCGACCTCGACAAACGGACCGACAACCATGATGAGCACTGTGTCGAGATGTGCGCAGATGAGGCGTGCTGCGCGTATGAGAAACGACTGAAGATGAACTCGCAAAGTAGATGCATATGGTAAACGGAATGGTAAACGGAAAGACTGCTGAGACAGCCTGAAAAAATAGACAACGCGCAAAGAACGACGGCAGCAGGACAACGATTAAAAATCAACAACAGGACGACGACACGGCCGAAGAAACGGCGGGGCCCGAACAGTGGCAACAAAGATGACGTTGGGGCCACAGTGGACTATAAAGCGTATCATCTCCATTGCCTCCATGCTTCCATGCTTCCATGCCTCCATGCCTCCATGCCTCCATGCCTCCATGCCTCCATTGCCAACGGTCGACGAAGCATCGGCATCGACATCCTCTAGCCCATGCTCCTTGGCGACGTAATACACGTGCAGAACAGCACAAAATAGCTTCCGGGTGCTCCGGCTGCTGTGTGCACAACACAACAGGCCGCGGTCTCACGCGCGGCCGCTTTGGCCGTCGCTCCACGGAGTCACGTACAAAGTACGTCGTACACAAAGATGGCACCCATGCGACGCCCTCCGCTTTGCAGGACGAACATGGCAGCTCTCACGGTGCTGCTTATGCCGTGTCTCACAGAGGTTCGCCAAATTATGCTGCCCGTGCAAAACATGAGAAGTTGGGTGCGTCAGACGACATGTCGTCGCGGCTTGGCAGGAAAGAGCACCCGAAACAAGAAAGAACAGGCCGTTTTCGCTGTTGTCCTACGGGGGTTGTGCTGATGTGCTGATGTGCTGCTGGCGGATGCCAAGAGACGACTCCACTATATTCGTGGGTTGGGGCTGTTTCGGTGGTGTGGTGCGTGAGCAGCCCCGGATCCGACGGAAGTGCATGGCACGTATACAGAGCGCACGCGACATCAGAGACAAAGGTCGGACACACTCCGCATCTGTTGCACGCACAGCAGTCTGCCCTGGACGAGGTAATTGCCGCAACCCATTTTCTTGATGGACGCACGCAAGAAAGGGTGGTCTGGCACATGACAACGAAGAGACCTTTTCGGTTTGGGGAGAGGTTGTCATTGCCATGGTAGATTTAATTCTGGTATGTGATTGGTGCGTTTCCTTGGCGACGCTCCCCGAATCTCATGATGATCACGTTCATCGATCAACAACGGCGGCACTTTGACTAAAACAAGGACATGGCATGCCGGCCTGCCGACAAACGCATGGGAATCGACATTCTTCACCTTCGTGGAAGGGCGTGCATACAAAGGAACAAAGTCAGCAGATGCCGTTCAGCCGTTCATTGGTCAGGTCGCGTGTCGTATTGCCCGTCTTGGCATTGGCCTGTCGTCCCATTTCAATTTCCTGGTGTTCCGGTCATGCAGCGGATCTACGCTGACATTCTCACCCATCGCTGCCAAGCGCCAGCGGCGCAGACAAACGCCGACTGCCGTGGGATCCGTGCTCATGTACGCAGTGCAGGTGGCCTTGGTCCGCATACGGTTCTAAAAGAATAAAGGTGCTGCCTTTTCACACTGCCAGGAAAAATGTTCTCCTTATGTCAGCTCACACTTAGCTAATATTGGTACACCAAAGAGGCCCGAGTGTGGGGTGAAAGAAAGGCTCTTTTTTATTAAACTGTGTTATTTATATATACACAATATTTCCAATGTTGTCCTCAGTCCTCTACGTCCACAACACCCGCATCCTCTCATACCTGCATCGGACGACCCCCCGCACCCCTAATCGACTATCCATTTAATCACACGGTGGCGAGCGATGAAGCCGCGGGCCCGTTTGCCAAAGATGTACATGGGAATGGTGGTCAGGGTGACGGCGACGGTGATGCCGCCAATGACAAAGAAGCAGTCGCGCACGCCCTGGACGGCGATCCAGTCGTTGGCGTAAAAGGTCATGCCAAAGGCAAACATGTTCTTGATAAAGTTCATGACGGCAAAGGCCTCGGCGGCCTGCATGCGGTGGCTGTCGGCAACATACGCCACGACGCCCGTGGTGCCGAGCTGGACGCCAAAGTTGATGAGGCCCATGCAGACGACAATGGGCACGGCCCAGGCGTCCTGTTTAAAGAGGGACTGGCCCCAGGCGAAGAAGCCCGTGGCCGTGAACAGGAGGTAGGTCACCATAATGGGCAGGCGGAACTCGGGCTCGAACGTGCCGCCGTTCCGGCGGGACATGGCCTTGACGACGCCGTCGATGGCCGGGCCGGCGATGGCCGTGGCGAGCAGCGTCGCAACAAACGACGAGACGTTGGTGGCGCCGACAGAGCTGACGGAAAAGCTGTAGGGCGGCGCCGAGAAGATCTGGGACAGCGTGATGCTGATGAGTACCAGCCACGAGATGCACGTCGTGAAGAGCAGCGTGGCCCACAGCACAATGGGCGACGCGAGCATGCAAAAGGGCTGCAGCAGCGTGCGCCAAAAGGACACGCGGTCCCAGTAGCCGCTGTAGGGCATGAGCGACTGCACAAACGTCTGCGGGACGTCGTTGATTCCGTCGTTGTCGATGGCGGGCCCGTCGCGGTGCTCGATGCCGGCCTTCTCCGAGGCGCCCTCGACCTCGACGCGGTGCGTGCCGCCGTCAATGTTGAGGGCGCCGGTGCGGTGGAAGGCGGACTCGGGCATGAAGAACAAGGTCAGCAGGGTCTGCAGGACAAAGGCACCGCCCATGGCGTGGAGACAGACGCGCGACGAGCTGTACTGGATGATGGCGCCGGCTGGGGGAAAAGAGGATGTTAGCATGAGCTCTCTGGTCTGGAGACACCATATCAAATGTCACAATATCACAATGTCGCGCGTTGACTCACCAATCGGCGACGCGAGGTTGATGCCGCCAAGGACGCCGAGGTTGAAAATGGCCGTTCGGTAGCCGCGCTCGTGCACGAACCAGATGTCGGCAATCGACGCCGGCACCAGCGCCTCCATGGGCGCCATGCACAGGCCGGTGACGGCCCGCGCGGCCGACAGCGACGCAAAGCTCTTGGCCTCGGCGCCCCAGAAGCACCCGACAAACAGCCCCACGGACGACAGCAGGTACACCGGCCGCTTGCCGACCTTGACGGCCAGCGTGTTGAACAGGATGCTGCCGATCGCAATGGCGGCGATGCACGAGCCGTTGACGCCGAGCGTGAAGCGGGACAGCGGGACGTCGAACGCCTCGGCCAGCGGCACAAACGCCGACGTCAGCAGCGGGCCGACGGCGCCGACGCAGCCGCAGCCGTAGGCAATGGCGACGGTGAACAGCTCCTTCTTCCAGCGCGGCCAGTTGTACGGGTCGTTGGGCGACGCGGACGGCTGCGGGACCAGCACGGTCGTGCCCGATGCGTCGTGCTTGAGCAGCGTCCGGTCGATGCCCTGGGCGATGTCGGCGTCGGAGCGGCCCAGCTCGCTCAGCGGCGACGTGCCGGGCACATGCTCGAGCTTGCGGTACTCGAGGATACCAAGAGGCATGGTGGGGTGTTGTTGAGTGGGATGGAGGTCAAGATATCGTGGTGGCGGTGTAGAAGGACAAAGAGGAAGAAGATGGCGATAGGAAAAGATGAAAGAAGATCCAGTTGACTCCTTACAGTTGCCAAGTCTACGTCTTTCGTTCTCTGGAGTCGTTTTGTTGTACCCCAAATTATATGCAGATCAACACTCCCCTCTCATGGCGTCGCATTCATCGGAGTCATTGGACGGGCGGAGGCATGCACAGGTTTCCACTCGTCGTTGTAACTGAACAGGCTTGCCACGTCCTTCTGGCCCTGTGCCATATTGCCTTTCCACCATGGCCAGTATCTTAGCCATGGACCTCCCATGGAGCAATTTACAAGCCCTCGTTTAGTTCATGAGTCAAGTCTGACAGATCGCTGTGGCTTGCGGGGAACAGCAACGAAACGGAAAAAGGCGAGAAAAGGGACGATCAAGGAGGAGTTGCATGGACAGATGGGGTCGTTTTGTGGAGAGGTCTGGGGAGGGGAGACATCTGGGCACGCTGCATGCTAGAGAAACTGGAGGAGCTGGAGTCTTGGGTCAGTTTGTGGGGTTTCTCCGCACATAAAGTTTCCATGGATAATTTCTTCCACGGGCTGTTTTCCAGGTTTGTCTCTATTCCATCCCCGCCTGCACGTTGAAGAAAAAAGGTCATTCGTCTTGACAAATGCATGATTCGTGTCGTAGACTCAACGGCGGCACCTTTGTGTATGTTTATTTTTAAGAGACCATGGCACTCCTGTCCACGTTGCCTTGGTCGATTCCTCTGATGCTGGATCTACATCTAGTTTAGTTAGGTTCGGCATATGCAGCCGAGATCAGCTATTTCACACTAGCGCTCGCAGCTTGCCGGCCATCTTCCGGCAGTCGTGTTGGCGGTCACCAGAGGACAAGAGGGACGACCCGGTCTTTTATTGTAAGTCGTATGTGAAGTCAAAGTCATGTCGGGACGTTCCGCCATGGACAAAGTGAAGGAGACACACACGCAATCATAAGCCCAGGGCTGTATGCAGGTAACGTTGCTGTTCTGACGGATTCTGACTGGCTGTTGATCTTTGCACGCAAGTTGAAACCACGCTGGACGGCAACATTAAGTACTGACCCAAATACAACGAGCGATATTTGTCTTATTTACACTCACCCACACCCACACACACACATCACAATGACGGAGATTCCGTTCTCGCGAGAAACGCTCAACACCTTGTCCGGCAAAGTGGTCGTTCTGACAGGCGGTGCGCAGGGCGTCGGCGCGGCCACCGTCCAGCTGGCCTACGAAGCCGGCGCACACGTCTTTTTCGGCGACTGGGCAGACGACAAGGGCCGGTCGCTGGCGGCGTCTGTCCAGAAGAGTGTGAAGAGTGTGAAGAGTGCCGGGTCCGGGTCGGTCACGTTTCAAAAGGTCGACGTCCGCGAGTATGCCTCGCAGCTGGCCCTCTTTGATGCCGCCTACCAAGCACACGGCCGCGTCGATGTCGCCGTGTCCTGTGCGGCCGTGTCCGAGCCAGCGGGTTTCTTTGAGCCCGAACATCTCGATTTGGAGAGCATAAGACAGGTGAGCACGACAATCACCACACCACTGGACTAGCAAACATTGGTATGGTGTCCAATTTCTGACACAACCGCCCAAGGAACCCACGGAGCTGCGCTCCCGTCTCGACATCAACCTGACCAGCGTGCTTTTGTTTAGCCGCATGGCCCTGGCGTACATGAAGGCCTCGCCACAGGACGGCACCAGCCGGTCCATCGTCCTCGTCTCGTCCATTGCCGGCATCACCGAAGCCCCGGGCCTCTTTGCCTACTCGACCGCCAAGCACGGTGTCATCGGCCTGATGCGCGCCCTCCGCCCCTACACGCCGCGCCGCTATGGCGTCCGCGTCAATGCCATCTGCCCCTGGGCCACCGACACGCAGCTGCTCGCGGGCGTCGTCGACAAGTGGGTGCAAGAGAAGCTGCCGCTCAACCAGCCGTCCGACGTCGCCGGCCTGATTCTGCAGTGTGCCGCCGATGCGACGCTCAACGGAAAGGCTGTGCTTGTCGCCGGCGGCACGGGCTACGACACCGAAGAGGGCTACGACAAGACGCAGGCCCAGTGGATGGGCGAACAGCTGTCGGCCGAGTTCAACCGCGGCCAGCGCGTCCTCGGTCTGGTGCGTACTGTCTCGCTGCGAACGTGGATGTGGACCCTGTATCCTCCGTGACTAACGACGGGTGAATCTCAACAGGGCGACGGATGGACGAATTAATTACTGGATACGGCTGGTATTGACGGGCCGGACAAAGACAGACAACTTCATTATATCAATCTATCCGTGCGGAAGTCAGCACATGGACCTCCTGTCCGCAAAACTATAGAACTCATCCGGGTTTCCGCGTGCAACAAGGCGCAGCGGATCGACAAACGAGAAGAACAGGACAGTCAACAGGGAGGTGGAGTTTGAGATGGTGGAACGGAGACGTCAACCAGGGCGTCTCGGTTTCGTCTTGGTTGTTTGGTTTGTCGGCGGTTTGTTTTGCCAGGGCGGTGGCACGAGAAGGCAGCCCTGGCATCAGTTCTCCGTACAATATCTGAATATTTCTATTTGGCGAATGTCATTGTTTTATTTCGTTTGATAAATACCGCTCCATGCTCTGCCTGTGGAAATCACTGGACGCCAGCCTTGTGTGAATTATCGCCTCCCAAAATATTCCAAAAATACTTTGAAACATAACGCCAACAGACTCATCAGATGAATATACGCCCACCATGCGCACGACTCATGATATCAAATCAGAGGCTGTAGAATCGTGTAATGTAAACAGTGAGTTGAGTGGGTTGGTTTCAGCAGTCAATGGCAAATCGTCCTGAAAGGAGCCAGCCGCCAGTACCCACTTATTGCCGCTCTGACCCACTCCACGACTTACACCAGTGGACCCACATCCGTGTGGCGTGCATCTGTCCTCTGTACTTTTGTATTGACAGGACGCCGAATTGGTCACTTCCAAGTTGGTAAACGCCAGTTGCATATCAGAGGGAGGACACGGGATGTATGTTGCACATTAAGTATGAGATGTCAGACTTTGAATAGTAGCAATGGTTTATGCACATCTTTGGCTTCTCCCGTGATATCACCAAATCTCGCGCAAACCAAACATCACTACCATTTGATATGCCTTTCTCACGACGAAACAGTACGTGCCCACTACGCCCAACTGTCCATTGCATGGCGACAGTAAAGGAGATATATCCAGGTATACCACGAACTGGCACCACTCTTAAAGACAGGACCAATACCATGACACTTCCCTACAAAAAGGCTGAAATGTCGACCTGTCAGTTCTGCCTTCAGTCTCGCCCGATAGGTATCACACCGCTGGCCACCTTTGGCCAGACAAGTAATGTTTTTTCAACATTTCGAGATCCATTTGCGATGTACCGTAAACTTGGCGTGGCGGTTTCAAGTTCCAGAGTGACATCAAAAATACGACCTTGAAAAGTGACCAAATACAGGCGAACGGAGTGCGAACGGAAAGATACGTTCGCATCCCAAAACATGTTGTCCTCTTAAGAGTGTGCCGCTTTGCCAAGATGAACGTGTACAAATACAGACCTTTCCTGCACCGCATGGCGTTGGTGTGCTGGCTGCATTCCAATGGCATCCGGACACTCTCGTTCGTCTTGACCTCATGCAGCCCTCATCCGTTACACGCTCTCGCCGGCCGTCAGCAATGGACATGGACGTAGACGAAGTTCATCCAGATCCTCGTCTGGTTCTGCGCGTTGCAGAAGACGACTACTACGAAATTCTCCAAGTCAGCCCGAGTGCCTCCAAAAAGGTCATCAAGGCCGCCTCTGACGCTCTCCGTCTCATGAGCCAGCCAACGGAAGAGTGCGCCACGCCAGAGCCCACGGCCAACGCTAGCCTTGTATGTCTCGTTTGGTCCTCCCAGTTTTCGTTCACGTTGAGCCGGGCTAATTTGGTTCTCTTGTCTTGTCTTGTGTAGATGCTGAAAGCACAGCGGATCCTTCTCGACGACCATGCGCGCCAGGCGTACGATCGACACGTCCTTCCCGGCGTCCTGGCTCGGCGGGTCGCAGCACGCAGGGCCGTGCCAGCCAACACTGTGCCAAACCGTTTCGTGCCATCCAACGTAAAAATCCGGGCACCAACTGCGGGCAAAAAACGAAAGACCTCCGAGCCGGACGCTAGATTGGTGGATTTGGACCTCTACAGGATGCGGCTGACCATCCAGACCGCGGCCCAGACGGTAGACGACGACCTGCAACGGCTCACTCGTATCATCAAAGAGAGGAGACACATCCGAATGGACGACGACAGCAACCTCTGGTATGGTCATTTCAAGACGGCGTCTGACATTCGGAAGCAGCTCGACTGTCCAAGTTGGAGGCTGCGCCTGGACATCGCCGCAGAATTGGCCAAGTCGTTGAGGCACGAGCAGGCATCGCTCGAGAGATACCGGGATTATTTCTGAGAGCATCATACCAAGTTGAGGCCGTCGTACAAAAGACAGAAACAGGACCAGAGCTGATTCCACAGGAATTGGCGGTGGATCAGGCACGTTAGGAGCTGTTGGTGGATAGAAATAGATAGTTGGTGGTTGGCAGTCAATGGATCGAGTCGTGTTGATTTGTATGCGTTGGCCCAGGTGATGCAGACGAGACCGCCTCGGGTCGTCGCGGTATATTGACGTCCCCGTCGCCGCCCCGACGGTACGCATCGCCGCTGTGGATCGACACGGACAGGTCCTGGCCGACCCAGAGACCGTGTCGGCATCCGAGACAACAGCCCTTGCGCGGACATGGGCCTGGGGATTGCTGGAGGGCATGTGCTGGTGGACGTGCGAGCGGACGTGATTCTCGTCCGTTAGCCGCTACCGGACTGGCGTTCGCAGCCATGTGCGCGCCCCATCGGTGCCGTCATCGCCATGACGCGTCACCACGAGGCGTTGCCGACAGAGATGCCATCGGAAAGGTGCCAAGTCGAAACGTGCGAATGCCATGTCCTCTGAACGTGCAACGTGCCGTTGAACCGTCTTTCTCGGATGGCTCTGCAAATCCTCTCCGTGCTCTGAAATGCCTCGTTCTCGCATCTCCTTCCGGAGTCCCGCAGACAAAAAGACATCAGTGATCACAATTTCGGACGTAGTCTGTATCGCGCACTCCGTATCGCGCACTCCGTGTCCCGTCAACCGTCCTGCTGGATCGCTTTTTCGCTCGTCAGCAGTTCATTTGTCCATTTTCGACGTGTGCCGGCTTCCGTTTGTTGGTGCTGCCATGTGCACTTTTGAGTGTCCAGCTTGTAGAGGCTTTCGGGAAACATTGAGCGCGTCGCCCGAGGCGGAGCCAGTGGCTTAGATGGGTGCTAAGAATTTCGTATTAATTTTGGCGCATTACAGTGGATGTTGGCGTGCAATGCCGGTTGTTTACCGTTCTTTATTAGGTAATTTTCGTCAAGCTATAGGGTCCTTCTAGCGGTCTTGCGGTCCCGACAACAGCCGATCCACTACTGCACTGTATTGCACCTTCCTTATTCTGTCGTCCAAGCTTTCTCGATCCAGCATCGCGCCTTCCTTGGCGCCTCCCGGCACTGACGGATCCTTAGCCTCTTCCCTTGTCTCGTCCCAAATGGCTGGCAACGACGTAATGGGACACCGACAGTGAGAACCATGAATCCGTCGTGGATTGATGCGGCGGATCCCCTTGTATTGGTATCTTACGTGGCTGTGGCTTGACGAACGGCCTTGTGACAGCCTTGCCGTGCCTCGACACACCGGTTCTCGCCATATCCATCGTACCTTCCACATTCGCTCTCTGTTCTCTGTTCTCTGGTCGTTCTTTCTTCCTCTGCTCTACGAATTACATTGCCCCTCCTTCCTTGACAACCCTGCACGGCAACCGCGATCTGCAGCTTGCGACGCTCAAAAGGCAAGGCTGCAGCAGTCGTTCTTTCCCCTCCTCGCCTGGCCTTTCCTCTAGCTCTCCCGTGCCTGCCAAGTTATTTAGATAGCTGCAGTCGCCCACACTTTCTCGTCTTGGCGCTTTGACGGCGCGTCTCACGCCGCAATCACAACCAACCACAACGACCTCACCTCAGACGCCACACTACCACACAACCACACCACCGCCACCATGGCAGCACAGTGGTTGCCGCAGCTGCGCAAGCTGCTGCCGCTCGACGATGCCGAGCTCACTCAGATCATCGACTACACGGCCAAGCTGCCCGCCGACAAGGACGAGGAAGCCGCCAATCATCTGCAAGGCCTGCTGGGCGACTCGCCCGAGGCAACCGCGTTTGTCGCCGACTTTGTCGAGCACCGCGGCGAGGTGGCGGCCAGACTGTCGCCGGCGCCGCCGCAGACACACAGCAGCGCGGGTCCGCCGACATACTCGCCTCCGGCAGGGCCACCGCCGGGACACGCAGCGAAAGGTGCCGACGGGCATGGCCCCAGCGGTCCCGGTCCCAACGGTGCAACCAGCGGCGGCGCACCTCTGGCTGGCGCCGACTCCGACAACGCGCCGCCGCCGCCGCCGTCCTACCATGCACGAGCCCCTGTCTCGATACCTGTGTCTGGCAATCTCTTTGGCTTCGCCAACCGCCACACCAACGCCCTCATCGAAGCCAGCAATGTTCGCGCGCGCGACGAGCAGGAGATGCAGAACACCCTCCAAAACGTGCAGTTTGAGCACCGCATCTACAACCCGGAAATCGAGCCCGAGCACGAGTCCGACTACTACTGCAACTGCTCGATCCACCAGTACTACCGCCGCAAAATACAGCGGCTGCCCGTGCAGCGCCTGTGGTGCAACGCTGTCATGTACCCGGGCGAGAAATTCTACTCGACCGTGTCCAACACGACGGTGCTCTTTGGCCAGAACCCGTACATGCTGGGGTGCGGCTCGCCCTTTGGCTACGGCTCGTTGCGCAACTACAACAGCCTCTCCGCGTGGGGCCCGCCGCGGCCGTCGGCGTATGCACACATGGCGTGGACGCAGAGCGTCATCCGCCTGTCCAACGATATCAACCGAAGCGCGCAGGCCTGGGTCGACAGCCAAGAACCCAAGCAGAGCATCTGGGACGTCGTGCCCAGCATGGCACAGCTGACCATCGACGCCCAAGACGACAAGGCGGATGCCAAAGGCGACAGCAGCACCGAACGCGAGAAGCCGCGTGTGAACCCAGGCGCCGCGCCTGCCAAGAAGAGCAAGTTTGCCGGCTTTAAAAAGAGCTTGGGCATCAAGTCGTCCGAGGAAAAGGCGGTCGAGTACGCGTCCTCGCTGCGCGCCTCGATCCTCGCCGAAGAGGCCGGCCGCTGGCCCAACAGCGAGGACCGGAAACTGGTGGCCAACTACCAAGACAAGGTGGGCATGACCCGCCACATCGCCGACCTGCGCGCGCGCAAGCCTATCCAGTATCTCCACCTGCTGCGCGCCGGCTACTTTGAGCCCATCCCCGTCGCGTGGGCCACCCAGACGTCCAACCCGCTCAAGTTTTCCGTCGAGGCCAGCGAGGGCTGGCGCGGCATCACGCCCGCGTGGCGTGGCTACGAGGACCTGGCCGAGGAGCGGCTGTACTGGGTGCTCAACCACCGCGAGGGCAGCGTCGGCATGCGCATGAAGCCCGACTTTATCTCGGAGATGAACATGGCCCAGCAGCGCATGGCCAACGCCGTCGAGCCGCCGCCCATGTACTTCTCGCCCGACGACACCTGCATGCGCCTGCACACGACGACGACGGGCGCCGGCCAGGGCTACTCGAAACAGGTCATGCCCGCGCCGTTCCGCGCGTTCGACAAGCCCGAGACGCCCAGCGACGACTCCATGATCCTGCTCGACGTGTCGGGCTCCATGGACTTTGACCCCGTGCGCCCCGTCTACGACCGCTACCTGATCACCGGCTACGCGCGCTCGACGCAGCCCAAGAACAAGGACGTCGCCAAGTCCATTGTCCGGCGCTTCACCGACGCCCTCGCGCACCACGACCACCAGACGCTGGGCTACGATCTCGTGACCTTTGCCAACCAGGCCACCTACATCGGCGCCATCCACCACCGCAACTTTGACGCCATGTGGCGCAGCGTGCGCGTCGGCGGCGGCACGCGCGTCATGACGGGCTGGCAAAAGGTCAAGGACATGCACTTCCAAAAGCACCGCGCGTCGGCCGTCGCGCACCCCGTGTACGGCTGGCAGGCCGGGCCCGACACGCCCATGCTGCGCCTGCTGCTCTTCCTGGACGGCGAGGCCACCGACATGGACGAATTTGAGCTCGACCTGCTGGGCCTCTCGTGGGCGCACGTCACCATTTTCCTCATTGGCGTCGACAACTGCCCGCACCACCACCGCCACGCCAACGAGCTGCAGCGCATCAGCGACGTCAACCACCACGTCTCCTTTGTCGACGCGCAGGGCAACTGCCCCGAGCGCTTTGTGACGCACGAGCTGCTGAAGCGGCACCTCGGCTACGACATGTCGCTGCAGGAGTTTGAGGCGATGGAGCAGCCGCCGGCGTATGCAGCGTAGTGGACGGGCAATGGATTGATGCGGGAAGGTGGTATCTGGATCCAATACCATGGTCCTGATTTGTTCTGTTCTGTTTTAAACATTTTGCTCGATATCTTGTGTTGCTTTGATACTCCGCCTCGTCAAGCATAATTTTGATACCTTACAGCGTACGTTGCGCGATTGAATTATTTTGGACGCTTCATTTTAAGATCCGGCCGTTTTGCATAACCCCGATATCGTGACTTTGCCACCGCGTTCATGAGTTTGTTTACTCGGCCCCTTTTAGCGCCGTCAGCACCACATTGGAATAAGATTCAGCCAACACACAGTCCTACACTCATCCGTGCAGTCATTCCCGCACGAATGGCTTCATGCCTTATGATGCTCAATAATCGCCCTGGTTCGACACATATAAAATGCCGGCGGTCCGTCCCTCCTGGTGAATTTCTTGTGTCTTTTCTGTTCCCACCCAAACGACATTTCTTTGAACATCGCATCCCATTCATCCCATCTCATCCCTTCTTTTCGCATCCAACACAATCTTTCGCCCGGTTTCCTAATTAAATAGCCAGTCCAGAAGATTCTCAAAAAGTCAGCCTCTCAATTGTCGTCTTCTTCCTCTTCTTATTCGTCTCGTCTCCCGGTCGGCTCCACTCTCAAGATGGCCGATCCCGCCATGGTCACGCCCGACATGGACGATCCAGTTACCCCCTCGGTTGCCGACGAGATGTGGTTCCCAAAATACCTGCCGTCGGCAATCGCGTTTGTGGCGGTCGGTCACGTCGGTGGCTGCTACAAGCAGCTCGCGGTCGTGCGGGACACGGCCAAGAGAAATGTGCCCGGCTTGGCGAGGAAACAGATCACGGGGTGTCGTGCCCTAAAGGCGGTGGCTCTTGCCATCGATACGCTGAGTGATCCAGAGCACGCTGAGATCATCCGCACCGAGCTTTGCCTCGCCTCCCAAGCTTACCAAGGCGCTGCCGCAGGCGCGTCCTCAGCCTCGTCCGCCGCCTGCCGCGACTACCCGTCGCGGCTGCGTGTCCTGGGCACCACCAACGAGCCCGTCTGGAACGGTGAAGGCGTCAACGAAGTGGCGCGCGCCACGGTCACGAGGCGCAAGCGGCCACTGTATCCGTTCCTGGCCCACGCCCTGCACAAGGCGGTGGCGGTCGACCACGACGGCGGCGAAGATCCGTTCCTTGTCAGCGAGAACCCCGGGTTGATTGTCCGCGTCGACGACCACAACTACACCACCGTCTTTCTGGACGTGACAGACCCCTCGCACATTCGCTATGGCTTCTTGGCGTGGCCGCCCCGCCTCGTCTGGAGCGACGCGCGTCAGACGTTCGTTGTGCCCCCGAGGAAGCACGAACCGTTTTCGGCGCAAGGCTACGCGAAGGCGCTGCGCATTGCGATTCCGCCGTGGGATACCGAAATGCGTATTGTGCTGAAACGTCTCGCAAAAACACCCGTCATCGATCCGGACCATATGCCTCGTACGTTTCTGCATGTCCACGCCTTGCGCTGTTCCTACGTTTGTTCTTCTTCGCTTCGGTTTGTTCTTTTTCTAACATGCACAGTGGTTCAATGGAAGCCTACCAACAGGATGGCCGTCGTCGGCGACGCCCTTCACCTAGGCCAGATTTATGTCCAGGGCAGGTATCTCGACACAGACAACCAAGGGGAGCGGCGTCTGATGCCTCCACTGCCTGTGTCCGCAACAGCGGCCGGCCCTCACGCGCCGGGCAAAGCCAAGTCGCTGCTCGATTTGACCTTCCGCCGCATGCTCGACGGCCAAGCCACCGCGACAACGCCGACGCTGAGGATGGAGATGAAAAAGATTGCGTCTATTGCTCGCTCGCCCGTCAACGCAACAACAAAGGCCCGTCTGCGCGAGCTTATTCTGCGTTGGGGTGCTGATGTGGCGGCGTCGTCGCGGTGCGCCGAGATCGTGGCCCTGGCATTTGCAGAGCAGACCACGCTGCCTTGGGCGGTCCTCAAGGGCTTGCACATCGTGACGCTCCAGGCGCTCTTGGCGAGCCCGGTGTTTGCGAATGTCGAGTCCATCAGCCTGTGCCCCGGCCACATTCTTGGTCTGACCTCGCCACAGCAGCTGGCTTCGGCTCTTGCAGGCGCCGCGTCGCCGTACTTGGTCGACTTCGTCTTGTACCAGAAACCGCAGCTGGACTGGGACGACCACTGCGTGCAACAGGACGATACCGCCTCTGTGGCTGCCGGCCAGGAGGAGGACGCCTTGTTGGCCAGTGCCACCATTTCTAGCCTGATGGCGTCGCCCAGCATGGCGGCGCGCGAGGGGCTGCGCTTCTTCTTCACCGGTGCCTTTGCAGCAGCGGCCACCAAGCGGCGCTGGTTCACGCCGCCAACCTCGATCTGCACCAGCCCAGCCTACTATGAACGCTTCCCAGTCAGCAACGTTTTTGTACGCATGGCAGCTGCACCCCCCACCCAAGAAGAGGCAACCGACGCCCTCAACCGTCCCTGGGCGCACATTGTCCACCCCGTCATCACATGGCCGTCGAGACCATCCTCGGAGTCGACGAGTGGGGCGTTCTACCGCCCCGTTTACATCCACACGGGAGACATGCTGCAGCAAGCGTCCGCCTTTGCTGCTGGGTGGGTGCGCATGATCGGCGCCCTCCTCGTCCCGAGGTGGTCTGGCTCCGCACCCCACGTCACCGAAGAGAAACTGCGTGCACTGCCCAAGCTGTTGTCGAGCCCGGTTGTGCAGGAGCACGAAGGCGAAGCGTGTCGACTCCGCCTGGACGAGAGCCTGCCTGCGGTGGAGAACGAGGCGGTCCGAATGCGTTCGCGTGACGCGGACCCTGAGACCGGGACCGATCCTGAGCCTGAGCCGGCACTTACGTCTGTCCCCGACGAGTACAATCGCGTCGACTTTCGGAAAGCCACCGGCCTCCAGATTGAGCGCGGCTTTGACGCCGCGCGCAGCAAGGCCTGGCCGCATGTGCGCGATCTGGCGCCGGGCAGTTGGCACGCCGTTGTCTCCGTCGACCACGACCACGACGCCCACTGGTCGGCGGTGCCCATTGTCCACTACGCCTTTCTGCGCGTCAACCCCAAGCGGCGCGCGCCGCTCGTGACAGACACGCCGCGGGCGCAGCTAGTGGCCAACCACGTCCCGGCGGACGACGAGGACATGCCCCTCTTTGACATCGTCGGCGACCTGGCGCTGTTCCTGCGCACAACCAACGCCAACATCAACACCGCGGACGGCAGCGACGTGGCGCGAGCGACCATCGACGCCCTCGACGAGCTCGCTCGCCGGCAACAGCAGGCAATGCTGCTCGCCAACAACTTCGGGGGGTCGCTGCCGGCCGAAAATGCAAGCCATCTCCGCTGCCTCGCCCCGTCGGCGGCTCTGCACGCTATGGCCGACTTCTTGCGCGAGGCCGCGGTCGGCGGCGATTACGCGCTGGACACCATCGGCACCAGGCAACCCAACCTGTGTCTCTACCCAGAGGTGTTTCGGCAGATCGCCGACGAAGACTGGCTTCCGACGAAAGAAAAGGCCAAGCCGACGGCGTCGCTGCCACGGAATTTCAGGGTGTCGCAGAACGCCGACAAAAAGGCAAAACGGGCGGCAAAACGGGCCAAGCAGAGTCAGGCGGCGAATGAAGGGACATACCAGGGGCCGGCCGACGACAAGAACCAACGTAGACGATGGGTGGTTTTTTGACTATTATTTTATTTTATTTTATTCTTTTACTTTTGTATTTAGAAAATTGGTGCCTGATTTGATTTAGTTGCACAAAAAAACAGCACAAAACAATGTGTTTGAAAATTGAATCCCTGGACGACAGCAAAGCATCCATATAATACTCTCAAGAAGCGGCCAAGTATGTGATAGACAAACGTTTTTACCCATTTCACCATTTCTCCATTTCAAGCTATGATGAATCCGATATCATGAAGATGAAAAACAAGGATTCAAAGAACAAAGGCGGTGCTCAAGCCATCGTCTAGCGCCCGACCAGTTTGAGAGGCGGTTATTGCGGCAAGGCCCGTTGGTGTTTGACGTTCTAGCTGCCACACAATACAACATCGCAAGCTCACCGTGAGTGGCCAGGCCAAACCACTTCGTTTTGCTCCCCCTGCAAGAGTTATCTATCGCCAGATGCAACTGCACGACCTGCTGGCAATTTAATGCACGTGACAGGTCGAAACGAGGAGCGCTTCGAAAGGCAAGAGCAGCGCATTGTGCCGTCTGGCAGCAGCGACCGGGCTGAGTGTATGTCTGTCTAACCAGCAAATGTGTAAAAACCATGTAGACAACATGCAGGATATTTTTGGACAGCACAACTTGCTGCCCGCAAACGCGCGGCTGGTTCCCTCCTGTTTCTGTCTTCCGGCCGGCGGCCCATCAGCCTCACACCCACAACCACTTTACACCACCCCTGTCTCTCAAAAGTGCAGGGGTCATCAACCTGCGACAGTGTGGACCCCTTCCGCACACCTCGTTCGCTCTTTCCCTGCCTCTCGTTCCTTCCCGGTCGCTGGCGGTCAGACCAGGCGGCCAGCATTGCGGATGGCAGGCGCCCTCAGTGGAAAGTGGATTCTGGCAGTTTGCCTCTGGAGGCCGCGCTTCATTGACAGGCGACACTTGCGATCGTTTCGGGTTGGACCTTTCAATTTCATGTTCACGATACGCTCTGCTTCTTTTATTGCCTCTCGTCGCATTCCTGTGCCTTATTTCTGTCCGCCGTCTGTCGCATATTGAACACTTCACACGATCACTCTCCTTTGCGTGTTCACAGCGTCACGTGTGCGACAGCGACTGTTCTTCACCGATCGCACCTTCCTTGCACACTGCGCTGCGCGATCAGCTACGGTGCCTTTCCCCTGTTCGCATCGCCGCTTGCACTTTCCCCGCCTCCCAAATTGAAACACAATACAGCCTCAACTTCATGGACGCATGGCGCACTGCGTAAACAGACGCCGCCATGAACCGCAAACCACCCGGCCCTTCGGGGCCACCACCGCCTGGCCATCACACCGATCACACAGACCACACTGACCACAGCGACACCGACACCGACAGTCACGATAGCCACGATAGCCACGAAACCCGCGAAACTCACGACGGATCACATCCTCCTCCTCCTCCTCCTCCTCCTCAGGCACCGAAACCTGCCGCAAACCAAGGACGTTCGCGTGCAACAGCAGCCGCACCACAGCCGCCGCCAATACCACCGGCTGCGGCTCCTCCCCCGGCAGATGCACCGACTCCCTCAAGTCCACCACTGCCCGAAGGTGCAGGTGCAGATTCTGGGCGGATGCCGCCGCCTCCCATTGGCCGCCGGGCCAAGAAGTTGAACATCAACCGGAACAGACCCACCGAGCCCAGCGCGCCGCCAAGCAACGCCCCTACCAACAACAGCACTGCTGCACCGCCCCCTTCACCCTCTCCCGTATCGTCACCTCCCTCTCGCTCGCCGTCTCGGTCGCCGTCTCGCTCACCGTCTCGTTCTCCACATGGTTCACCTCCACGCAATCCACGGCGCCGGCGCCGGCGCGGCAACACACCTCCTCGGTCGTCCGAGTCGCCCTTGCTCGGCGAGAACGGTGCGGTCGTTCACTACAACGGCAGTCGCCGCCGGCAAAACGCAGACCACGAGGACGACGATGAAGAGGATGTGTACGAGGGCCGCGACCGCCGTGACCATCGCAGTCGGCGTGACGACCGGGACCGGCGCGACAACAACCGGCGACATCACGGCGACCACGACGACCACGGCGACCACCCCGATGTCATGGACGCTGCTGGGAGCGCCATTATGTCGTCGCCCTGGAAAACGTCGCTCCTGTTTCTGGCCGCAGTGGCCGCCGCGACCTTTTGTGTGGACCGCATGTGGCCCAAGGGCGTCACCTACGGCGAGAAGGAGGCCTGGGAGATCCGCGAAGAGGAGTACGCTCGGCACCACGGCCACGCGCCACACCCGCACCCGCGTGATGCGGACGGTGCACGAGGCTCGCCGCGCAACTCGCGTCCGCGTGTCGAACGGGTCAGCGACCGGTCCGTGGACGACCGGCGGATGGGCGACCGACGCTACAGTGACCGCCAAGCGCCCCGCCAGCGCATGCGTGAGCGGCCATACGAACGGGAATACGAACGGGACCGCGAAGGCGGGCGGACGCGGGATGTGATGGATGGACCTCCGCAACCACGTGGTAGCCGCCGCAGGGTCGGCGACATGGAGACCGAGAAACCCCTGATGGACGAGAAATACGACCCCGAGTACACCGACCGGCGTCGAAGCATGCGCAGTGTGCGCGGTTCACCAGGCGAGGCAGGGCCCGAAGGCGTACCTGGATCTACTGTTCCTCGTATGACCCGTGGTGTTACGTTCCAAGAAGTCACCGTCGACCCGCGAGATTCACGAGAATCGCGGGACCCTCGCAACATGCGCGACCTGCGCGACTCGCGCGACATCCGCTACGACCCCAGCGACGCCGACGACAACTTCCGCTACCTGCGCGAGCGCCGTGCACGCAACAATGGCAACCCTTATCCAAACCGGCGGGCCACATGGGACGCTTCGACTGCGGGTGCGACCGCGGCAGCGACGCTGGCCACAGGTGCCGCAGTGGCCATGGCCGCCGACGAAGACGGTCCGTTGCGCCGGAGGCGGCCCAACGGAGCTGGCGGCAGCATGCGTGAGCGGGACATGCCTCGCGACCCACGGGACCCACGAGACCCGCGGGACTCGCGTGATTTTCGCGACGGCCGAGGGGATGCGCGTGAGGTGCGCGACTCTCGTGACTTCCGTGACCCCAATCCTCGGCGATCGTCTCTCTATGCCCACGGCAACGGAAATGTCATGCTCAACCACTCCGACGTCGCTGGTGACCGGGGCAGTTTTCCACGGGACGGGCCGCGCCAAGAACAAATGCCCTCACGACGGCCGTCATATCGCGAACCGGAGCAAGACCGTGAACCAGATCGCCGGTACGCTCGCCAGACGCGTCAAAGCGGGGCAGATCAAGAGTTTGATGCTGGGGACGCCCGTGGCCATTATCGCCGGTCGGATGGCGCCTCGGCCGCCGCTGTCGCTGCCACCGCCGCATTGGCTGCCGGCGCAGGTGTTGCAGCCATGTCCACAGGCCGTCGTGACCGCCGTGGCGACGACTATAATGGCAGGGTTTCGCCCCCTGCGCGTCTGAACCGCTACTCGACTGTCCACACGGTCGATGGACCCCTCCGCCAACCGGAGCCCATTGCATATGGGGACGACGATGGTGTCCGCGAGAGAGGAGGACGAGGTGGTGCGCGTGGAGGTGGCTATGGCGTCCCGCCAGAGTATCGTGAATCGGATTCGGAGGCGCCTGTATATGACCGCGTCCACAGCCGTGTGCCAAGCCGCAGTGGCGGCCGGACACCAGAGAGTGACAGCCGTGGTGGCGCCGACGATCTGGCTGATTCTTCCGAGGATGAACCCCCACGTCCTGCTGCAAGACGGATGCAGACGGGCCGGTTGTCACCGCAACCTCCGCAACCTCCACCACCTTTGTTGACTCGCACGTCACCGCCCATGGAGGGCCGGGCTCCAACACCTGTTATCCTGAGTTCGTCCGACGAGGAGGGCGGTCGACGACGACAGCGCATACGCCCGCAACAGCCACCGCCGCCACGCGAGACATCTCCACGACGCCAGCCGCGCACATTCCCTGTGGTGTCCGACTCGGGCGTCGCCGACAGCCTGGTCGATAGTCTTGCGGACAGCCTGGCCGACTCGGACTCGGACGCGGCCCCGACAAAGCCGCTGCCCCGCCGTGAACGCGCGCAGCAGCGGTCCGATGAGAGCCTGCATGTCTACCCCAAGACGCCGGCGCGGCCCTCGGCTATGGCACCCGGTGTGGCGTACGAGACCGAGTACATGACCGGCGCAGCAGGACTGCCACGCCAACGCCGTAGCGACGTGAGCATGAGCGGCAGCAGCGGCATCGTGTCGTCGCCGCCCACGACGCGGCAGGGCCATCGGCCGGTGGACGAGAACGGTGTCAGCGAAGCCGACGGCGACAGCGACGCCACTGTGGAGGACGGCCGTGATCGGCGTGGCAAAGACGGCAATCGTGGTGGCAGTAAGCGAGGCGCAGTTGGTGCTGCTGGCGCCGCCGCGGGTGCTACGGCCCTGTCCCTTGTCTTGCATCCCACCGAGCGGCCGAAGCGGGAATACTACACGGGCATCGACTATTCTGACGAAGATGCTCGCAGTTTCGGGAGCCGTGGGAGCCGTGAGAGCCTTGGCAGCCGTAGTGGTCGCTCGTCGCCTTACACGATGCCCTCCCCACCCCCGGCAGGAGGAGGAGGAGGTGGAGGAGGAGGCGGCGGTAGACGCCGCCCAGCTGGTGGCTATCCCGACGACAGCGACCATTCCCCGAGCCCCCCTTCACGCCAGGCACGGGCTGCTGCTGCTGGCGCGTCCTTTCTGTCCGAGGACTTTTCCGCTCGCCCGTCCGACAACTCGTCCCTGCGTGACCGCTACCGAAATGAGGAGGGCGGTGTCGGCGGCATTGGTGGTAGCGGCCTGCGCAGTCGCCATTACCGCAGCCGGGGTAGTCTTCAGAGTAGTCAGAGTAGTGGTGGTAGCAATGACAGGAGCGGCAGCGGTAGCAGTCGAAGCCTCGGTCCAAGGGACGGTCGGCGCAGTGCATACGTCCCGAGTCCGCCGCTTGCTGGTCGCGCCACCCGCGGCGTACCGCCATCGTCCAGCAACACGACACCCATGAGCGAGGGAGACCTCTCCGACAGTGAGCTCGGCACCCGCGCCCGTCGCTATGGCCGCCGTGAGGGCGGTGCGAGCAACGGACGCGACTACCTGTCGTACAAGGGCTACCGCAGCCACAAGAGCTACGACGAGGACGAGGACGAGGACAGCGCCAGCGCCAGCGATGGCGACCGCGAGCGGGACGAATACAGCGACGATGGGAGCCGCTCGCGAGGGACGCACAGCCTGCGCAGCTACGGGTACGAACATGATGGCCGTGGTGGCAGCGACAGTGGCAGCGACAGTGGCAGCGACCGAGACAGTGACCGAGATAGCGACGGTGATACCGTACGCTACAGCACAGCCTCCGGGCCTGTTCGGCCGACCCGTCTGGGCGCCGAGGCCACGGAAGAGGCGCGCATTCGGGCCCGACAGGACGAGATTGACCGCGACCGTCTCCAGGCCCTGCGCGAGAAGGAGGAGCGGCAGCGCGAATGGGACGACCTGCGCATGCACGACAAGGCCGCCATCCGGGCGCGCATGGACACTCGGGCGGCCAGTGGCTCCGGTGGGAATGGCACCTACGGAACCTATAGCACCTATGGCACACATGGCACCTATGGCACCTACAGCGGCAGCGGCAGTTCGCTGCCCCGAGCCAGTGGCGGCACGACCGGCACGGCCTCGGACCCGGCTGACCCCCGCACGAAGCTAATGCGCGAGCTGGACGAACAGGAGCGGCTGGCCCGGGAAAAGCAGCAGGACGCCCTGGAGCGCGCAGCGGCCGCCAAGGTGCGCGAGCAGCACCTGCGGGAGGTGGACTTGCTCGAGCGGAAGCGCGAGGCGCGCGAGCGGCAGAGGCGGGACCGTGCGTTCGATGCCGTGAAGCGGTCGTCGGGTGTTTAGGTGACGAAAAAAATAAAACTAGAAAAATAGAAAGAAAAAAAAATAGAAAAAGAGAGAAGGGAACGGGAGCGGGCAACATGTACGAGTAGACGTACCTTGACACATATTATTGGGAAACAGGACAGGACTTGGAACGGGAAACATCGAACGGCTCAAACGAAGGCCACGAGGACGATGGTGGGATGCGGTTGTTAGATACCCCTACTTTTTGCCATTTTACAGCACATCTATCTCATAGGCGTTGTTCTCTGAAATTATTCTTTTTTCATCATATTTTTCATCCCTCTTGTGAATATTCGCTGGTCCAAGCCAATACATGCAAATGCTAAAAATGCCGTTATGGATGTTATGCTTTTGTGCAGGTGGCCTGTACTAGGAGTCTGCATCGGTATTTTCTGGCCCTCCTGGTGACGAAACAATCAAATCGTGGCGCCGGTTGGTACGGGCCGGTCCAGTCTCGCTTCCCGGGACGCTCTGCTGTCCTTCTGGCCTTGCCTGGTCGACCAATGGAAACGGCGCGATGCTGACCAAACCCTCCACAACCGTATCCAGTGCTGGGACCAGAGGCGGCGGCGGCGGCGCTGCGGCTAACGCTGCCGCGTCTCTTGCATCAGCTTCGGCTGCCTCTTTGCCGAGTTCCGCCAAGACTGCTTCGACCACACCAGCCCATTCGTTGCCGGCTGTCTGCATGACAAGAACAGGATTGATCTCGGCACCGTCGAACCAGCGCTCTTTGCGGACGGCACTCCGCGAGCCGCCTTCCAGCGCGGACATGGCCGTGCGGGTTGTACGCATTCGCTTGGCCGGCCGACGGCGAGCAGCCGCGGCTGCGGCTGCAGCTGCAGCTGCCTCGCTGCCCGTCGCATCACTATCCGACGTGCTGGCTCCTGCAGTGCCCGAAGACGCCGCAGGCGTGTTGGGACCGGCCGCTTCGGAGAGGAACGAACTCAGCTTCTGGCGTTGCTTTTGCAGGCGGCTTTCGTAAGCAACGATGCCACGCACAAAGGGAGCAACGTCCACCGCTATGGGCTCCAAGTTGCGATCAAAGACAGACGGCTCAAGATGGGACGACGATGTCGAAGTTGTCGGCGTCGGCGCGTAAAAACCGGAGTAAAAGCCGCCGCTGGATGCGCTACTGGCTACAGCAATCGGATCGAACGCCAGTGAAAAGTCGATCCGTCTGACTGACGGCATGTCGCTGGCAACTCGTCCTTGTGGTTCAGCATGCTCCTTGCGGATGGCGGACATGACGGCCGGTTCGTCGAGGTTGTGCAGACAGCCGCGTGCGTCAGTATTGTTCTTGTTGTCAACGTCCGTTGTCGCTGTACCATCACGCAGGATACCCTTCGCAATACAGCGCACGGCCGTAGCCATGGGCAGGCGCAGTTCATCAAGCTCGTGGGCAGGGGTTGTCCGTTCAAGCAGCTGCTGGCCTAAGATGTAGTCTTCGTGCGCCTTGTGCGGCAGTTCGGGCTGCGTCGCGTCTAATGGCAGTCTGTCCCCTGTTGCAAACACCATGGACGACACGAGGTCGGCATCGCTCATGGCATCGGAAAATTTTTCGTACGCTTCGAGCAGCTCCTGCCTGTGACTGCGGTGATCAGAAGACAACTGACTTGCCGCCCAAGACGAAAGCGCGAGAGAGTCCTGCCAGTCGCCCACATCGAGCCGCCAGTCGTTCCAGGCTTGCTTTACCAAGGTCTCCTCGACTTGACCGCGGTACGAAGCTGGTGCGTTCGTGCTGGCATTGGCCGAGCCGGCCACCGAGTCGTTATTCAGCCATCCCATACCCTCCTGGTACGTATTTTCGCTAACAACCCGCTTGATGTGCTGGTCATCGTCGCGGTCGATGCCTTCCGGCCACCGCTGGTAGAACCAGTCGAAGCCACCGCGCCTATCTCCGACACTGATCTGGCACCAAAACTGGAGGTCGGTGAGCGAGGCCCGGAAGTCGCGATTGCGCACTTCGTAAAGAGACTGCACGGCCTTGCGCTGAATGGAGTGACCCTCACAGGCAGCAATCATGATGAGACGGTCGATGGCTGCGTCAGCGGGCGGAGGTGTGAACCGGAGAATGGCGTGCAGTCGCAGATTGTGCAGCGGGATCAGCGTCTCGTCATTGCAGGTAATGACAAATGGCCGCTTTGATTGCACGATGAGGTTCATAACCGTGGCCCAAAACTGCTTGTCTTCCTCGTACAGCAGGTCTGCCTCCTCGAGAAGAATCAGTGACTGTTTTTGGCTCGGTTTGCCTTCGGCGGTCGTCTGGTCTGTCCTCTTCGTTGTGCTCGTGGTCGTAGATGGTGGCTGTTGCGGCTTGAAGAACGAACTCATAGTCGGCTGCTTCTTGTTAGGGGCGGCCGGGGCCATCTCGACTTCGGCCATGGGAAAGTCCGGGTCCGGATCGCCATCGGCATCCTCCAGATCCGGCTCATAATCATCCACGAGATCGATGGGCTCAGCCGACGCGGTCGCTTTGAACAGCTTCTTGTTTTTGTGCTGGACGAGATGGTTTCTGGTCATGTCGCCGATGCGGTCAGTTACATCTTTGCCGTTCCGACGGCTGCTTGCATTGATCTCGAAGACCTCAAATCCCAGCTCTTTGGCGACAGCATAGACTGCTGCTGACTTTCCGCTCCCGTGGGGCCCGCTGATGACAATGGCGTTGGTGAGCCTAGCACCCGCACGGCCAGCTTTGTCAAGCAGGTTACCCGCACGGACGACTGTCTTCTTCAGGAGGCCGTAACGGCCGCTGGGCGACCAGTCGGCCTCGTTGTCAGACGTCTCGCCGTTGTCGTCTTCATCGTCACTTGAGACAATGAAGCCGTCAAGCTTGTTCTTCTGTTTCCTCCGCTTCGTCCGTCCTTTTGCTGCGGCTGCGGCTGCTGCCTTCGATTCTACGGGCTCTGCCGACCCCGTATCGACAGAAACGACTTTGAGAGCCTCCAGCCAGTTCTTGAGAATGATTGGTTCCGGGCCAGACTGCAAGACTTCAACGGCGCAGGACGGAGCGTATTTCTGGGCCCAGCTCAAAGATTCGCAGTGGTGTTGGTCGAATGCAGACAACGTCGTGGCGATCGAAGCGAAAAGAGATTCGAGGCCTGGATGGTTTGTGCGCAGTTGCGGCGTGATGCGAGCCTGCAGCTTCGGGCCGCTCTCAATGTGCTTCTGGGGGAGGCGAAGCTCCGGCGGGGCAGGAGTAAACTCGTCTGAGTTGGCGTTACGGATATCTTGGATGACCAGATCGACACCTAAGCTTTGCAACTGTTGTTCTAGGATGGACTCTCCCTTGCCGATCGTAACGGCGTAGCCTTTTCGCTTCTTGTGAGGGAGAAACGTTGAGGGAGAGCCAGGCATGGCAGTGCGAGCCGTTAGAGGGTCAGTATCTCCTTCGGGGTGGACGTGAACGGCTCCTTTCCACGGCCAAGCTGGGTGGCAAGCCCCCGGCACCCGCAGCATGCCATTCTTGGCGCCAAACTGGGGCATCCTAAACCCAGACGACGACTGGGGGCCACGCCGCTTAGGCGAGCAAGGCGTCGAGGTATAGTAGTTCATGGAGCTTCCGCCAGCAGAAGACTTGGATGTGGTAGGAGTGTATGAGGTGCCATCTTTTGCAGCGGAAACCTTTGCGACACCGCCTGTAAAGAATGGGTGGGTGTTCTTCGAAGAGGTGTTGGTTACCGGCTTTGGCGTCGCGGGAGTGGCGGCGGGTTGTTGTTTGGCAGCTGCACCAGCGGTAGATTTAGCAGGTTTTGTTCCCTCTTTGGTTTTTGCAGATCCTGCAGCAGATGGTCGCAAGGGAAACAATCTGTGTTCGTCATTTAAGATGGAGGCGATCATGTTGCTGATACGCGCCCGGGACTCCGGATCCTGCGATGGGTAAGGGACGATAAGTGGTGTTGGGATGGCGCTCGAGCCGCCTGACTTCTTCTTTGGCCTGCCAGGCTTGGTGACAAACGTTTCCTTGGGCTTTGGCGGAGAGCCGATAGTTCCTGTTTTCGGGTTGAACTGTAACAGACGTTTTGGCTGTTCTGCCGGGGCCGTGCTGTTGCTCGCCTCTATCGCGGGTGTGCTGGCGGCCGTACTTGACTGGGCAGTGCTCGGCAGGCCAGAGCTGTCAGTAAGTCCCCCGACCACTGTGTCGCCGTTATCGAGTCCGAGTATGAGAGGAGACGGCGAGCTGGTGTCCGGCACGACCGGTGCTAGGCTCGCTATATTTTGAGCCGGGGGCGATGACCTTCGATTCTTGGGTGGCCTGCCACGGCGCTTCGGCTCGGCGGCTGGTGGGATGGACTCGGAGCGTTCGTCAGCCAAGCTGGCTTCTGGCTTCCGTTTTGGCTGCTGCAGTTTTTGGAATGCGTTCATTGGGACTGGCGCGGATGGTTCTGCAAGTGCAGGTGCCGGTACAGGTGCCGCCTCAACATTCGGTGCAAGTGCGGGCGTTACATGCGGGACTGTGGCAGGCATCGGAGGCAGTGAGACGGGGATATAAGCTGCTGAGAGAAAAGACGGCTCCGGAGGATGCATCTGCGAGGTCGGAAGAGGGACAGCTTGTCCCGGGTTTGGCTGCAATGCGAGAGTCTGCTGTTGAAAAGCCTGCTGAGGTTCTGCTTGCAAGGACATGCCTTGGCTTCCCGCCGTACTGCCTCCCTTATTGTCGTTTCGGCTCGGCTTTGACGGCGCGAAGAGCGGATGCAGCTTCTTTTGCTGGCCGCCGCCCGGCGGCTCGCTGGCCATGATGGCAACAGCGGCAGACGACATAGATCTAGACACCGGGTAAGTGGTTAGCCGAGCTCCTACAGCTGCTCAAGGAGTGTCTCGCCCGCCCGGCATGACACTGAGGCAGGAAACCAAGCAATGCATACCTCGCCGTCGGTCACGACTCCCTACCAGCTGCTTCCTTCCAATGGATCGGTTATGATACTGGTTTCTGCATCGGCGTATCGACTGTGCTGTCAGTTGTACTTCATGCACACTGTGGGAAAGTCGTAGAGTATTTGTATTGATGTTGATTCTATGCTGACGAATAACCGGTGGACTCTGAATGCGTGTTGGTTGATGTGTTGTCTTGCTTCCGTCCGAAAGTCTTTGCTCTGGAAGTTTTGTCCTGGTCTTGCTCTCAGGTGGCAGTTGTAGTGGGACGTAGTTTCCCGTTCTCAACCTATTTAGCAGCAAGACGCGTTGAGAGAAGGCGCGAATGGCGGAGCGTGGAAAGCGCGTATATCCCTAAGATACAGTGGGTCCAAGTAGGCGCAGGCACGTGCTCTGGAAAACACAGTGCTATTTTTACAGTGACTTTAGTTGTGAACACTGTCCAATTGAACGCTAGCGACGCCGACTTTTGCGGGCCGCTAACGACTTGCAACTTTTTTTATAGACCTAACTTTTTTTTCTGCCGCCAATTTGAAGCTTTTCACCGCGCCAGTTTCTTCACCTTCGCAGCATCCGGACGGACGACCAGACAAACACACAATACACTCCTAGACCGCATAACTGGCAGTCTCAGTGTTTTGACCGTCCTCTGATCGTCCTTCCAATTTCAGCGTTGTGTTTTTCGGCCTCACGCAGCAAAGATGACGTCCAATTTCCACATCCAAAAACCCTATGTGCTCGCCAGCCTCCCACGATCACTGGCCCAGGTCGACGGGAAGAGCGTCGTCGGCGAGGTCTACGGCCAGCGGCCAGGCGTCAAGAAGCGCAGACGGGCCGAGGTGGTGGTCGGCATCGACGGCGAGTCTGCAAATATCTACGATGTTTGTGCCCTTTTGCCGTTTTGGCCTTCCGACTGCTGTTGTTGACTTTTGCATTTGGCTGACTTTGTTCTTTGGCTACAGATCGCATCGTCTCGTCTCATCACGTCCTACCCCATTCCTCCGCAAGCCAAGTTCTCCTGCGCCCCCTGCTCCATCCGCCTGCGTTCATCGTCCAGCAGAGACGCCACCGTGGCTCGCTACACATACATTGCGACCCGCGAGCCGGCACGGAAACTATCATTGTTCAAGGATACCGTCGAGGCAGCCGGTGCCACGGCGTCCGAGTCTGTGACGGCGAGCCTGGGCCGCACAGGTGACATCGTCGCTCTACACACTCTGTCTCTGCCCGAGAAAAAGGCAGACGCGCCCGCGTCGTCTGTGGTGGTGGATCTGCTGGCCGTTTACAGCGACGGCCAGGTGACCTGTTTCGACGGTGAGACGCTCAAGGAGAAGTACAAGGCCTCGGTTGCTTCGCTGTCGCAGGACCCTGTGCCACGTGGCTCGAACGTACTTGTCGAGTTTGTGCAGATGGGCCTCGCTTCTGATGTCGTCAAGGGCCTGGGATTGGGCGATTATTTGTCCGGCATTTTCTCTCAGACGATCGACGCCGAGGGCGGCTTCAACCCGGACATTGTGTTTGTGATTACGACTGTGACTGGCGGCCAGGTCGGGAATGGTGCCGCTCGTTACCTGCACATTCTGTCTGCCGACTCGGAACGTGACGTCCTCCTGCAGGCCCATTACATCCGCCTCCCCACCCCTACGGCCGGTGAGACTACAGACGGCGTGGTCCTCAGCCAGCCGACCTACCGCCTGGATGTCCTGTCGGGGTCTCTGCTTGCTCTGGAGGGTGAGAGCATCTTGTCGTACGACCTGACTCGGAGCGTCCCCCGCGTTGTCAGCAACATTGCCATCCCCGGCGTCACCTCCTTCCTGCGCCTGTCCAAGTCGAGCATCCTCGCCGCTACCCCGACCTCGTTCTCCGTCTACAACCCCCTGTTCAAATCCCTTCAAGCCTCGACCGCCCTCGACGTCCAGGCATCGGTCAAGTCCTCCCGGGGCGAGGCACCCAAGTCCGACAGCAATGGCAGCCGTGCCTGCTCTTTCGTTTCGTTCTTCCCCCAGCTCGAGCTGGCCGTCGCTCTGCTGGACTCGAACCTCGTTGCCGTTCAGCTGGAACCGCCGCGCACGCGGAGCAAGAAACGCCGCGCGGACGGACTGCTGATCGACTCAATCGGCCGTGGTTCGTCGCTTGCGGACGCCAGGACGAGCGCGGAGTCTGCTCCACTGCCAAAGAAGTACCTTCCCGGCACCATGTCGGCCAGCTACCTCGCCCAGTTCAACGCGGATGCCAAGAGCGCCGATGCTCTGCTCGCGGAACAGGACATCCCGGGCTTCGACGATTTGCTCGCTGAGAGGCTCGGCATCCAGTCTCTTAGCGACTGGCGCTGGCAACGGCCCCTCGAAGCCACGGCTGCTGTCGACGCTATGGACGAGACGCAAGATGGTGACGAGGGCAACGCCGCTACGAACGGTCTCCCGAATGGCACAACAAACGGTCTTACGAATGGGCTTACGACCGGAAACACTACCAACGTACGCACGACCACCCCTCCACCGCCATCTTCTTCAACACACCGTGCCAAGTACCCGCTCGCCGACCGTCGCTGGGTCGTCTACGCCATCAGCCGCATTTTCACAGTCAAAGAGCAGGCCGGTGGCCGCCTACGGCTGCGGTGCAAGGTGCCCTCCAGCGACATCCTCAACTACCTCGTCGATGCGGGCCACCTCTCCGTGGCCAACACGCGGTCCGCGCTACGCGAGTCTCTGCGGGAGGTCGACGATGACGACCAGCTGTTGGGCGAGTCGCTGCCGGCTGTGCTGGCGCACGTCGACCCCAGCCTGGACCTGCTGCTGCGCTGGCTGTACGAGACGAAGCTGGGCGCCACGGAGCTGCTGAGCGCCACGTTATTGCTGATGCGCAGCCTTGAGCTCGTGGACAAGCCGGCTGAGCAGCCTAAGCTTCTCGAGGGGACGCTGCTGCGCAACGGCGATGCAGCAGCGGAGGGCGAAGGCGAGGCGGACGCCGCGCACAGCGGCGACAAGACAGCGCCGCCTGAGCAGCTGGAGCTGGACGAGCTCGACCAGCAGCTGCACCTGGCCGAGTACTTTTTGCAGCACGTCGAGAACGACCCGCGCGACCTGGCCCTCGACATTGCCATTGGCAAGCTCGGCAGCTGCCCCGCCATGGCCACCGTGCAGGGCCTGCGCCGCATCTTCCGCACCGACGAGATCCGCGCCCTGATTGAGGTGCTGCGCAAGCAGATGGTGGACCAGGGCTGGGCGACGCGGTACATGGACATGGACGAGCCGTCGACGACGACGGACACAAACGGCGCCGCCGCTGGTGCTGCTGCTGCTGCTGCTGCTGCTGCTGCTGCCGACACGACGCCGCTCAACTACAGCATCCGCCTGATTGCCGACCTGCTGTGCCGCTGCATTGACGCGGTGCGGCCTGGCGAGTGGCTCATCAACGACGAGGAAGTCGCTGCCTCCGCTGCTGCTGTTGCTGCTGTATCCAACGACGACGCTCCATCGTGGTCCGAGGCCGCAGCGGGCGGCGACTTCTTTGCCCTCCTCAAGTGGCAGGTCAGCGCGGCGCTCGAGGGCGTCCAAGAAGCCCTGTACCTGCGTGGCCTCGTCGGCGAGGCCGTGCGCTACGGCATGGGCGTCGAGAAGATCGCATCGAAGGCGGCGCACCTGGCCAAGAACAGCCAGGGCGACGAGGCCAAGGCGCGCCCCCAGACGGTGGCGGCGCCGGCCGCGGCGTCTGTCGTGAGCGGTCTGCCGCTGGGCCTGCGGGCGCCCACGGGCCTCCCACGGCATACGGACGTGACGGCCACCAAGGTCGTGTACGGCGGTGAGATTGTGAAGCGGACGAAGCGTGAGATCGGCCACCTGACGAGCAAGAAGGTGGGCGCGTACACGCTGGAGCGGATTGTTTTTTAGAACCAAAGGACGCAGAGGAATGGGCTTTGCATTGCATCTAAAACGCTTGGGAACGATACTGTAGAGCATTTGCTTCACGACACATAAGTTGGACCTCTTTTGCGTGTAATTTTGACAGGTTTATCTCTATCTTCTGCAATGAGTTTTATGGAGCCATGTGCATCAGTCATGAGCAGAGTCATCTTGAATTATTGTAAATCGTGAATCATATCTTCTCATCGCCGGTTTCACTTTGGTGTGACATCTTTCCATTTTGAAAACTATTCAAAGCACCTGCGTCGGAGACGCATAATCACACAAACATGTCAGTTCGAAAGCGACCCAAAAAGCGGCCGCATGTCTCGCCTCACAAACGAAAATGGCCCTCTGTATCACGGTTGCATTCATGCACGACGCCTGTTTCCGCTTCCCGCTCGCGGCCAGGAACTGCAATGTGCCACAAAACGAAGCCTGTTGGCTTGCTCGCATGGCGTTGGTCCTCGCTTTGGTCCTCGCTTTGGCTGCTGCCTACGATGCCATGCATCACATCCGCCAGCCTCGTTTTTTCTCGTTTTTTCACTCGGCATACATCCATTCTCATTGTGTAACAGTTTTATTGTCTTGCATGATGTTCTGCCAAACGACCCATCAGCGACTCTTTCTCACACTGCGGCTTCCGTGTGTCGTTGTAATGGCATCTGGTTCGTCTGGTTCGTCTGGGTCGTGCTTGCCAGACGAGTCACATCCTTGTGTGGTGGTTGATCGCGCCTGCCTTCGGCTGTGCCTTCCTTTACCGAGCGGTTTTTAGCATATTTTGCTTGCCCCGAATCACACTTGCTATCGCGGTGTCTGCCTTTGATCGCTCCTGCCCGCCGTAGACGACAAGGCAGCTTCGCCTTCCTGTTCGGGCAGCAATCAGGGATAGACAATGTTTTGATTGCAGAGTGCGGAATGTAAGATATACTCGTCCAACTGTTGTTTCCAGCATCCAACTAGAACCATCCCCTTTCTGATTGACCGGCTCTCTGGCCCAAAGCGCATTTCTTTTGTGTCTCCCGGCGGTACGAGGCGCAGCACGTCCCTGGGAAATCCTCGCGTTGCCCACATGCAAGTCATTCAAGCGAGCCGTTAGTACACTGGGCGGATGAGCTCCACCAAAGTGTCTCCGCCAAAACGAGGACCAGCTAACGTTTGAGTCAGATAGAAACGACTGACCGAGCGAGAGGAGCCCGAGCTGGACTAGAAGCCGAGAGAAGTCAAATGGAACAAAGGAGCGACACAGGAGACCCCAGCACAAGCTCTGCTGCAAAGCACAGCCCGAAATGCGCGTCACATATGGCCTAGTTTGGCGGGCGGCAGCGGGCTGACCCAACGAATCAGCACAATACAAGCCCCCATAATGACAAGGAAGGACAAAGAATGAAGCTGACAGGTGGGAACCGTTCGCAGAAAATCGGCTGCTAAGCTCGCGCATCAAATCAAGGTCGTCCGAAGAAGTGGATTATGCACTGGGCGAGGCCACCACTGGTTGACGCAGTGAGGCTGGAGCGCACGTTCGAGGTCGTTCTGGTCCTTTGGAACGTGCAGTTTCGAGTGCGTCCGCGACCTCTCCCGCTATCGCACTGAACTCCGCCAGGCCAACTGAAATGACCCGTGGTGGCGCAGCCTGTTTCTGGCTTCGAGAAGTATTGTATGCTTCGAGGCATTGGGGGGGTCATGGGTGGACAGGGGACAAAACAAGGCCAGAGAGGCGGAGGAGTTGGAGTGGCAAATCGTTCTCCAACCTCAACCAAGCGGAAGTTGGGCTTCAAGGTTGGTGGCTTGGCTGCTGCCCTCCATGAGACTTGCAGCCCCATGGCCAATATCGCCCAAGGCCTCCCTCGATATGCAGCTAACAGCGCAGCGCGAAGAGGGAGGGGGGAGGGGGGGCACACACCAACTCCTATGCAGCCGGCAGCAAGAAGGAATATTCGAGTGTCTTTTGCACCACTTTGATCATCCGGTGTCTTGTCTATGACCAATCAGCCTCTGTCAAGGCTGCCGAAGCGCTGCACCAAACAGGCGTTCATTGGGCAGCCCTGTCTATTGAAACAGCGAAACGAAGTTGCTCACTTGGGGGACGCCCCACGCACAAATGCCTGCACTCTCGCAAGACGTCACTGTCCACTACAGCAGCACATGAGGAAACTTATACCCAACCCCTGTTCATGTCCCCCGCTTCGCGCTCAAAGTTGCTGATAGGCCAGGACCAAGCCATTTTGTCACTGAGAGGCTTGAATGTTACGAAACAACGCCAGAATCTCTCCCAATCTCCGGAGAGGCCAAGTCCTCTTCGAAGCCACCTTGTGGAGTATCACATACAAGCGTCTATACAGTGCAGAGCCTCACACCTGGTCTGATCACCAGACTCACCTCGCACAAAACACTCTTTGGTCCTTCGGTTCGTTGTGTCTGTCTATGATTTTGGGTGCCTGAGAAGAGGGTTCCTCGTCTGCGTCGCTGCAATGAGGAGCGCGGCAGTTGGCGACCGGGCCGGACCAGGTGGGGGTAAAAGAGTTGGGCACGCGTTGGACTTTGGGATCCTGCTTCTGGCCGGTGGGCTTAAGTGTCACATTTTACGTCTTCGTCTTCCCTCGTTCGCAGTTACCCGCCGAGGCTTTCTGTATGTCCTCAGCGACACACGTTTGCACACCCCTGCCGGGTAAACGCATGCATCCTACAGTCGTTCTCTGGTCCCCTCTCTAGACCAAAGGCACGCTTCGAAGCGAGTTTCTGTGGTCTTGATTAGCTGGAATGCTCTGCACTTGCAATCAGGCCCCAGCCAGTCGGAGTTGCAGCCCTCTATTTCCAGTGGACTCATTTGAATTTTGGAGATCATACGGCAGGCTCTGGAGGATGTGACGACAAAACCACCTCCACCGTGCAGCTGTCTGTTCTGCTAGTGACGCGCTTCGTTTCGCTCCTTGCGACGCTGTTATTATCACATCATCCGGCGGACCATACAGTGACGCCTGGCGTTTATTTTCTGCTTTACGGATCAAGTGCTGTTCGGCGCGCAATACATTCCCATCCGCCTTGTATTGAATTCGACTCTTTCGGTATGCCTGTCTCCCATTCGACTTTTCTCGTTATCCGCAACAGTTTTCCGCTTCTGACTCTCTTACCACTACCTTCCGCATCTTGACGTTGGCCAACCAGTCCGTTTTTACCATCTATCACGTCTCACGCTCCTTTTCGCCCCGTCCTGTCTCGCCTCGTCTCGCTTGTCTATTTCTTTTTCATGTTTGTGCAAAGTCGTCGACATACCTATGAACCCCCCTGGCCGATGCCCAAACCGAGACACGATCGCCGCCCTCCGTTGCCAAGTCTTGATGTTGTTTGTCGCCGCCCACTATTAATCGCCCTTTTCGACTTTTATTTCCTTGCTGCTTTGTACTCGCTACTTTCATTTGCTCGCTCATTCTTATTTCTCATCCTTTCGTCTCATTGGAACAAACAGCCCGAGGCCGCGAGCCTGGTTATAAAGACCCTTTGAGCGGCCCTCTTTTCACAGCCACACTCCCTGACTCCTCCTCGTGTTGTGGGATATCGATCGCACACACGCTTTTCACAGCCCCGGAGCCTATCCAGCCCATCGAGCCCATCTAGCCCATCTGGACAAGGCCCCGGACCAAAAACTCAACACGTGTAACGTCACGACTCTCGATTGTCACGGAGATACTGGCGGGTGTCATTCGCAGAGACCTGTGTTGCCTGTTTCGTCCGTCCTGACCTCTTGTGAAGGCCATCCCCCCCCTTGTTGTTTAGCTTTGTTCGGTCTGATATCCCATCCTTCGGTTCTTTTCCCCCTCCTCCCCTTGCCTCGCGTCGCACTGTCTTTGTTGTTCGACACCTCTCCGATTCCCCGAGAGAAAACGCCCACCAATACGCCCTGCACAAGCTCAAGACGTGCCCATTTATCAGCAAGGCCACCAACCTTAAGCCGACACAGAGCCGCATTTCCAGGACATGACGGCTGGCAGAGCAAGCAACGCTGCCGCTATCGAAGCCATAGATGCCCAGGCTAGGTTCCTTTATCGCCGCCTACGCGACACTGGGCCAAGCCATGCTGGCCTTGCTGTGGCCAGCCGCTCGTTGCACACTGTCCTCAAAGATCTCCGCACGGAAGCCCGCGATCTGGGTAGTCTTCTCAATAAGTCATCGCCCATTTATTCCGTCGACGCCACGCGCGAGCTTCTCCCTCTCCTGGACCAAAGTGACATAACTCTGAAAGAAGTCATCGCTGCCCTTGGCAAGGACGTTCCTGGCTCTGGATCCAACAACAACAGTGCAAGCAGTTTAGGCGCTGAAACGGAGGGCAGCGCCGTCGCCGCAAATACGAGTGCCAAAGCATCCACTCCTCTCGCCACTGCCTCTTCTGTACTATTGCCTGGTGCTGAAATCGTAAGCCGCGAAAGCAACACAATTGCGCTCGCTTGCAGACAAATAGAAGACCAAACAAGGAAATTTATTACATTTCTCGACACCGTCAGTTTACGCAACCCACCAGAGACAATCACAGAAGCAACAACACGCTCCGCACCTCCGACTCGGCCGCCATCGATCTCGCCTATGCCCCCAGACGACGAAGACCTCGATACAATCAAAGACCGGGTCAACTCTATTGCTCTTCGGCTGTCACAGCAAGACTTGATCTCGTCTTCCCAGTTTGGCACAGCGTCTGTTGACGAGCTGTGGCAAGTGTTTTACACCGAGCTCATATACGAAGGATTCTCCACCGAAGCTCTTTCTGCAAACCAGGTACGTGCATCTCTTTTATCGGCAGTTCTTTTCTTTTCTTTTCTATTATCAGCTCTTTTAAAGAATGAGTGACTAACAGTCAATAAAGGAGGTCCTACGAGCGTACATTCAGGAACTCAAGTACAAGGGTCTCATCCAAGGGCACGAAGTCCCCCCATCACAACCCCCAGCCCAGGAAACAGTGCAAGCATTCCCGTCGCTTATGGTCCCTGGCCCGTCGCCTTCTACGCCTTTGCAGCGACCGAGGATCGAGGAAAGCAGCCCCAAAGAGGTTGTACAACCATTTGAAGGCAACGAGAAGTACCATCACTCGGTCAAGGAAAACCGCCTAATAGCCCTGCCCCAATACGACTACATTCCCTACCGACCTGCCACGGCCGCGACTCCGCCCACCCACCAAGAGGAGGAGCAGGGACAGCAAGCAACACAAGCAACGCAAGCAACGCAAGCAACGCAAGCAACGCAAGCAACGCAAGAAACACAAGAAACACAAGGAACGCAAGGAACAATGCCGTCCTCAAGAGACACATTGCCGGGAGACCGACTGCTCGTACTCTCTCCCGCCATCCTGGCAGCTAGAGCAAGCATGCCTCACACCATCCGTAGCCCGCCTCAACTACACTCACCCTCCTCGGGCGAGGGCTACACGCCGCCTTCCTCGTCCGACTCCGACTCTGACAATGGCTACCACAAAGACTTTTGCCTCATGTCAACAAGGGACCTGCTCGCCATTGACTGGCGTGCCCAGGAGAGGTTTGCAGCCCGAGTGGGTGTGACCTACCTCTACCCGCAGCTGCTTCAAGATGGCAGCCATGCCTCGCAACGTCCACCTTTTAAACCACTCGATCCGGCGTCAGCCAAGTATGAGGTCTCTCCAACTGCCGCAGCCCTTATTCGCCAGAATTCTTTACAAGATCATCTCAGACGCCCCGCGTCGACGTCACAAAGACCCATCCAGATCCCTTCTCAAAGGTCATCACATCAGCCTATCCTTCCTGCCGGCCTTTCCGTACCCACGGCAGATCACCCATACAGCACTTCGGCACCAGAAGCAGCTGCCGACCAGTCAGCCGCCTTTGGTATTGTTATGCCAGTGGGCACGTCCAAAGCCAAGCAGCCGCAGTACATGCTCAGCCTAGGACTCGCCCCTGATTCAAAGGGGAATTGCATCCCCCCGGATGCCATTTGGACAAGAATCAGCCGACGGCTCGTCTCGCCCGAGGTTCTTGAAAAGGCCGGCGTTCGCTATGAGGCACGGCCAACTTTTGTTGCGGTTCTTGGCATGCTGGACAAGAAAACCATTGCCGAATACGCGCGGCAGAGTGCAGAAGCGCGGAGATCTCGACACTCCTCGGCCTATGCACGGGCTCAGCTGCCGCGCAACAGCCCTCCAGACGACCGTCGCACATCATTCGGAGCTGGCCCAGCAGTGGATCCGAAGCCAAGGATGCGACGGATGCAGTCCATGCCTGACGTTAGCAACAGCGACGATCGGCGTAATGGCCCTGCACCCAACGCGAATGCCAACAAGGCCAGCACGTTTCCCCTGGACCGTGATGCAACAGCGTCAGCGAACGATGGTCGGAATAGGGACGGCGACAAAGGTTCGGCGTACCCGTTCATTGTGTCTCCGCCAACGACGGAGGCCAATGCAGGAGGTGTGACGCCCGAGGGATCGAATGCGCAGCCCGAGCCGCAACCCAAATCAATTCTCAAGAACAAAAACACGAACCAAGTGCGCTTCAAGGATGGCAAGTTAGTTGAGGTGGGCCCCGACGACACCGAGTCAGGCCCGTCGTCTCGCGACAAGAGCCACAGCGGCACCCACCACGGCCATGGCCACGGTCACAGCAGCAAGCACCGCGACCGGAGCCGGCACCGCGATCGAAGCCGGCACCGCGACTCGTCAACTCACCGTCACCGCGACTCGTCAAGACACCGCCACCGCGACCACAGTCGGACCCGCTCTGATGATGACGATCGCAGCCGCTGGCGTGATGATTTGGACCGTGACCGTGACCGCGACCGCGATCGAGATCGGGATCGTGATAGAAACCGAGAGCGCGACCGGGAACGTGATCGTGACAGAGAAAGAAGTCGCGACAAGGACGATGGCGACAAAGAGTATGACTCGCAACGACGACGACGACCCGATGAACGAAGCCGTGACCGAGGTGACAGCTCATCGCACGATCGCGACCGCAATCGGGATCGTGATCGCAATAGGTCGCGCGACCGAGACGAACGTGAACGGGAACGTGACCGAGACAGAGACCGAGACCGTGACCGTGACCGTGACCGTGACCGTGACCGCGATCGTGACCCTCGTCGCCTCCAGAGCCAACGCTCCTACCGCGACTTGTCTTCCCGCAACCGGGATGGCCGCGACTCTCGAGACTCTCGGGATCGCGACGGCCGCAACAGTCGTGATCGAAGCGACAAGGATGGCCGTGACCGTGACGGCGGCCGCAAGCGATTCCGCGACACGCTCAATGCTGCCGGTATTGGTGGTGCTGCTGGCAGTCTGTTCTCGGTGCTCACCGAGGCCGCATCCGGCTTTTTGTAAGGGTCACCTCTTACACTTCTTTTCATTTTTTTTTTTCTTATTTTTTTTTTTTGTATATTTACATTATAAATATTTATTTGTCACGATCAGATGGTTTTATTTTTAGTCTTCTTCGATTTTGTTGTTACTCCTTTATTTTGGATTTTTTTTTTTCTTGTCACGTCTTAATTTGGATAATACCTTTTTGTTTATGAATTCCCCTGTGGTTTATGAAATATGATGCTCATGATTTCGCTTTGCCTTGTTTATTTTTAACTTTGTTATGACTGATGATGGTTTATGAAATGGAGACGACTCTGCCACGATGCCCAATAATACATAGCACGAAACAATATAAGTGCAGCGTGTACTTTTTTTGGTTAATTTTTTTTTTTGAATTTCTTTGTACATTTGATTAAATGGATAACTTATGATAGCTTCTTTTTAATGTCAAGTGTCTTAGCAGAAACGCCACTTTGATGAACTTATGCCACAAAATCACAACGCTGGACTCTCGTACGCTTTATATTCTCCCATTGTTTTGTACCATCGATGCCTCCTTCACCGCAGCCGGCTGCTTCGTCGCACGCTTTGCCGCGCCTCGGCCAGTGCCTCTTCGGCCGTACCTGCGCGCAGTGCAGCATTGTCCTCCCTGCGACCAACGGCCGATGCCGTTGGCCTTGCCTCCCCCGTGTTCGCGTTGGCCGGTTGGGGGTCCGCACCGCCCATGATTTTGCGCATCAGCTGCTCCCGCATCCGCTCGGCTTCGGGGTCGAGGTACTGCACTTGGTTCTGTGTCGGCGGCAGGTCGGAGACGCCGGCGACAGCACTGCCGTCGTACCCGCGCGGCTCCGCCAGCACGTCGTTTTCCGGCACGGACATGCCCAACACGCTGCTGTGGGACCGACCAAACCCGGATCCCCGTTTGGTTTGGTGCGACGGCAGCAGCTGCTGGTTGGACGGCTGCTGCTGGAGAGCGGCGATGGACTTGGCGGGCGCGCCGCCGGTGTCTTTGATGAGGTCGTCAATGGAGATCCCCATGGGAATGGCTGGTTGGTGGTATTGGTGGCCGAGGCCGTCGCTGGCCACACGGCCAAGAACAGGCCGATGGACGGCCTTTGTGGATGCTGCTGCTGTCCTTGCTGTTGCGCTTCGCTTCATCGTCGTAGATGTGTTTGCTGATTTTGGCTGCTGTTGTTGCTGTTGCTGTTGCCGTTGTAGGCTTTGTTGTCGCATCTGCTTAAGCGGCGACACTTTGCTACTGCCCACGCCTCCTCCATCGTCGCTATCGATGAAGCCGTCCGAGTCACCGGCGGCCGAGTCGGCAATCTCGCTGTGCACGCGGTTCAGTGGCTGTCGTGGTTTCGGCTGTTGCTGTTGTCGCAGCTGCGGTGCTGGTACTGATGCAGGTTGCGCCAATTCGACGGGTCGCCGAGAAGGCGGCGAATCGGAATCGGACCGAAAGGGATTATTGACGAGCGGCTGCTGTGCTGCTGATGGAGCCACAGACAATGTTTGCAGGTCGACGTCTTTGTTGTATGTTGTCTGCGCAGCGGCAGCCGTCGTCGTGCTGATTGGCGGGAGAAGAGGCTCCTCCTGGTGGGACTGCGCTGTTTCATAAGGAGCCGTCGGGTCCAAGTCCGTCTCATTTCCGTTGTTCTTCGGACCGCCTTCTTCGTCTTGTTGATCTTGGGCACCGGCAGAATGCAACGTTCGAGGACTAGCCACGACGAGGGTCGGGACGGTGAATGCCAACGTCGGCTCCGGGTTGGATGGTTGTGCCTTCGCCGTGGATGGCCGGACAGCCGGGCCGTTGAGGCTGCTTGGATTTTGCCGCAGCTGTGGGAAGAGGTAGTCACCAACGGGGACCAGTGTCCCCGACTTGATACAGGCTTGTAGCCACTTGGCCTCGACGACGGGCACCTTCCAGGAGAGTGCGAGCTCGAGTTTTTGTTTTCGCACTGCCGGCAGTGACGTCACCACGAGCACGGAGCACTGCGCCGTGAACCGCTCCTCGTACTTTGCGCCGAGCTGCCGGACAGTCTTGTCAATCTGGTTGAGATCAACGCCTGTGAAGCCCGATGAGCAAATAGACAGCGTGGCGAAGCCCGGGATGGGAAATACGGCGAATGGACGGCCGATCGTGCCTGGATTCGGCGCTTGCGCCAGTGTTGTGGACGGCCCTCCACTGAGTGCGTACTGCTTCTTGTGCAGGCACCGTTCGATAAAAAATTCTGTGACAAGGAGGACATCGTTGGCCACGGCTGGATGTGTCTCCGGCCGCTCCTCCTGTGGCACAATGACGTGCTGGAAGAGTGGTGTATCTGGCCGTCTTGAAGCGATTGCTGCCATTTCGGCGAGGGACGACGCAATGGCGCCGCCCATGGTCGCCACAGCACCAGCGAGGACGTTGGTCCGCTCTGGGCTGAAGCCGTGTATACAAAATATGGACGTGGAGAGCACACCCCCGTTCGATACGTCCTCGGCAGGTGGCGCCGGTGCTTTTTGTGGTGGCTTCCGAATGTCGGCGCCATTTGTAGGCTTGGAAGAGTCAGCAGCTGGCGTTGCGCTCTTCCTTGCTTCTGTGGCAGCGGCTTGGGGCGGAGCTGGCCCGGCCGCAGGGGATGGCTGTGCTGGCTTTCCTAGAATGTCACCCCATAGGTCGTCCCGCTGCACGGAGAGCTTCTGGCTTGTCGTTTTGCGCAGTTTTCGTTGACCATTCTGCTTTTCGGCGGCAGCTGCCTGGGCGGCGGCATCGCGTAGACGCTTGCCGAGGATCGAGGCTGTCCGCTCGGCGTTGTTGCGCCCCCACGCATCTTTGCCCCGTTCGTTCGCCGGGAGGCGTGGATCGTACTTGGACTCGTCCAAGATCATGCCGCGCGCCACGCTGTCGTGCAGCCACTCAATGGCCACGGTCTTGATGTTCCAGTGCAGCGCCGCGTTGTACTTTTTGCCCTCGGGCTTGTTGACAATCAAGTGTGTCACGGCGCGCGTCAAGTCGCCGCTGTAGACGCCGCCGTTGTCGACGATCAAAGCAATGACGGCCTGCCTGTCTTCTTCTTCAAAGCCCGTCACGGAGCACAGCAGCCGGCCGCGCTTGGCCGCCGCGGCGTCCCCGGGCTCACCACCACCCTCATTGTTGTTGCCGCCCGCACCAGCCTCGTCGGCTTCGTCTGGTCCCGCGGGAAGACCGCCGTGGACTTCAAACGTGCGCAGCTGCCAGGCTGCCTCGAGCGCGGGGAAGTCGATGGGGGCGTCGCGTGTCCAGAGATCTCTCACGGCGTCGACCCAGCCGACACACATGGGCTTGATGTCTGGGCGGTCGAGGGCGACATGGCGGTATTTGGGAGTGTTGTAGTCGCCGACGATAAGGTGGGTGACCTCATGGGTCAGATCGTTTTTGTGGACGCCGCCGAGTTCTTCGACCTTTTTGGCGAGGGAGGTCTGGAGTTGTTAGAAGGCACGTTGCGGGCCCAACACACGGGACACAGCTCCGTAGAGCCAGATAAATTTAGAGACGCACCCTGAGGTCGACGGGAATGCTGGTGCAGCAGAGGACGACGCCTGCAAACGGCGCAGATTCCATGGACGGGACCGCCGGCAGGCAGAGCGAGACATGAGACGGCGGCAGATCGCAGAAGACGGCGTTGTTGGCGAGGAACAGGAGTCAAGTGTCATGCGTCGTGTGTCATGTATCGTTTACCGTTGTCGTCGTGGGTGGGCTACTCGTTTCAATCGTCGGTCGTCAAGTCGTGTCCAGTGCGTGTTTGGCGTTTTTGGTGGTTTGATGTTTTTGGTTGTCTTCATTTTCAGCCATTTTAGGTGGAATCGTCGCGTCGCGTCAAGATGCAGACAGAAAGTGCGACTGGCTACCAAAATGACGCGGCGATTAGTCATTAGCGGAGTGGTCGCCCGCGACAGCCGCTGGAGGTAGGCACGACCCCGCTAGACGCAAACAACATCTCTTACTATGGTCGGCTTCCATATGATATTGTCAACAACGACGCAACACGTACTGGAGACGGTTGTCTAACCTATTCTTTGCCACAGACCACATGGCAAGCTGCTATGATAGAAATGCCGTGAACATTTCTTTGAGGCCAGGCCCAATTCGTTGCATCTTATCAGATATAATGGAGACGCCTTTGTACCAAGTCGCTTCCTTCCCGAGCGGGAAAGATCGACCATGATGATGATGCCTTGTACGGGTAGCTCTTGCCTCTGTTTTGGACGAAGCAAGCGCCCGGTCGAGCCTTCCTGTTGGCCGTCCGTTGGCTGGCTGCATCATTACTATGGTGACGTTGCCTCATTGTCAATCCCCCTTTTCCTTCTCACAATACTTTAAGTAACACCATCTACCACGTATCTTTGCTATCTCATGTTTTGTCCGCCGCAACAGAATTAACTACTCCCGTTCGCCTTCACAATACCCGGCTTACATGACCTCGACCCTTGACAAATGTACTCTCGACTCCAAGATGCCGGCAATACTGCGTTGGGTGCCCGACCTAGCCTTGACGCCGACGGTACGGTGGAGGATACGAAGTCACACCAAGTTCATTATGGGCCTTACGGTCTTTTACGGCTTTATGATTTTATTACAGCCTCGATTTTTACCGCCGCAGTTGTGGGTCGGCGACACAGCGTGGCGTTTCGTTCCCGTTCATCCGCACCCCATCACGAAGCTGATTGAGGATGCCCAGTCCGAATGGCAGCGGATCCTGGACAGCGGCGTCAGAAGCACTCCCGAGGCCGCACGCGAATACCGCAAGCGCCGCGGCCGCGACCCGCCGCCCGGTTTTGACGCCTGGGCGTCGTCGGCCTTGAGGTTGAATTCGGTGATTGTGGAGCGATTTTTCGACCGCATCTACAAGGATCTTGCGCCATTTGGGGCGCTGCAGCCCAGTGAAATGCGCTTCATGACGTATTCGCAACCAAATGTGATCCGGATCCGCGACGGCCGGGTGGACTTTTATGCCGACTACACGGGCAATACCGGTTGGCTCAGGACATGGGTCAGTTTTATGGATGAGTTTGCTATGCAGCTGCCGGACATGGACATCCCCGTCAATGTCATGACCGCCCCGCGGCTGGCCGTCGACCGCCAGACAATCAACGAAACATCTTTTTTTAAAGATTCGATGCCCGGCGGCCGCCGTGCGCTCAGCGATGTCATCGTCACCTACTCCGACTTAAAGGACAGCCCCTCCGTCCACCCTGGCAAAATCAAGCTCAATTATACCCATGACTGGGAGACATCTGGCCTCAGCGGCGATCCAAAGGCGTACTGGCTACATTACCGCAGAACCTGTCATCTAGGCAGCGCTGCCCGTGATTTGGGATTGAGCTTAGAGCCAAGCATCCGTGAGGTCTTTCCCGGCACACTCAACCCCAATTATACGACCAGTGGATACATAACCAACGTGACAGCAGCGCGTGATCCGTGCCATCAGCCGTACATACGGGCCATGTACGGACTCTTTGTTGAGTGCGAGCATGTCTCGACGAGCAGCTCCCTGATGCCCATCTTTTCGGGCAGCAAGCTTCCAGGGAACAACGACATCCTGCTGCCAAGTCCTGTATACTTGGACAAGAAGAAAGCGCCTCTCGTCTTTGATGACGCGAATACACCGGCTTGGAACGCCAAGATGGACCACCTGTACTGGCGGGACAAGGCAACCGGTGGCGTGGCTCGAGCGCACAGCTGGTGGCGGTTTCAGCGGCACCGGTTTGTGCAGATGACCGACGGCGTCCGGGCCCGCGAATTCTACAACGACGGCAAGATGAATGCGCCGAGTTTTAACTTGCCGGACGTTGACGATTACAAGTGCATGTACCCGGAAGCCTTTCAGCATCATGACATCTAGAACATGCGGACGTGGCTGCAAGGGGCGACGGACATTGGATTCTCGGACATGATGTGCAATCCGCGGCTGTACATGGATTCGATCAACATGGTCCCCAACAAAACGTGCAACTACACGGACACGTTGATCAGCATCAAGCCCTGGCCGGAAGACGACGACTTCAACAAGCACAAACTCGCGGCGGACATTGACGGCACCATACCCAGCGTACAGTGGCTGAACCTGCTGAACGGGGGCACGGTGCCGATCAAAGCGACGCTCCTTGCCGAATGGCACGACGACCGCCTGCAGCCGTGGGTGCACTACGTGCCGATGGACATGTCCTTTATAGACGTGTACGGTCTCCTGGACTACTTTATCAAGCCCAAGAACCACAATTACGACGACTACGACCAGACATCGCAGCGGATTGCCGAGGCGGGCGCTGCCTGGGCCGCGAAATGGCTGCGGCGCGAAGACATGCGGTTGTACACTTGGCGGCTGCTCCTCGAGTATGCACGGCTGATGGACGACCAGCGCGAGCGCATGGGCTATGTGGGCGACCTCATGGACCAGGCCAAGGAGGGCCATGGCTAGTGGTGGGAATTATGATCCCGTTGCTTTTGCGACTTCCTTTGGCCGTCATTCTTTCGCTCCCCTGTCAGCTCGAGTAATGTTCTTTTTGTGGTTCCGCACTTTATTTTCGCCGGCATTCTTCATTTTCCCGCAGTCTTTAACTTTTTTTCATTGCCGTCGAATATGGGGAAGCGGGGCCAGGATGACCGAGAAGGGGCACAAGGAGAAAAGGAAATAATTAAAGGCCCTCGTCTTTTTGTGTTTAACCGTTTGGGTGGCGTGCACTGTATTTTTTTTTTTTTTCGCTACTGCTGTTTCACGTCATCAACGACATTAGCCCGTGCATCCTTGTCGAGCTTATTTGATTTCGTCCCTACTTTTTGTTGGTTCTATTTCTGGACGTTTTGGTAGTCGAGCGATTCTACATGCAACTGCCGGAGACGCAAGGCAGACCGAATGGAGTAATCATCTATTGCACGGTCCGCCGTCTGCGAATACCAGCTCGCTTCTAGAAGATTGTGTCACTTGACAGTTTATACGAGTGCAACTCTTAGTTCTCCTCTCTGATTCTCGTTTACGGAACACTGCCACTATTTGCTCGGTACCCCCATTTTTGGCGCAGTTCTTTCTACGTCTCGTTTCTCTTTCAATCCTCTTTTTTTAACCCTTTCCGCTTCCATTTGTTTCTGGCATTTCTCTTCTTTTGTTCGTCACTTGCCGTCTCACCTCGACATTCCTCCACAGCTCCCATTCCAAGATCATCTCACAATGATCGCCGCCACGTCTCTCCTCGCCCTGGCGTTTGCCGCAGCCTCGGGCCTTGCCGCCCCCCTCGACGTACCGGCCGGCTACAAGATTGTCTACATCACGTCCAACGTCAACGCCAAGTTCGTCGTCCAGCCCAAGGCGGCCAAGGCCGGTTCGGCGGTCGTCGTGCAGACCCTGACGAGCAAACCCGAGCAGCAGTGGTACGTCAAGGACGGCGCCAGCAAGATCCAGCTGGCGGGGACGACGCTGTGTCTGGATGCCGGAGCCAAGTGTAAGTAGTCCCCCAAGGCAAGGCCACTGAGTCGCCGCCAGAGCGAAGGCGGCGAACAGTCCGCCTCTCCATGCCTCCCAATATGCATCTGCTGACGTTGTTGCGCTGTGCTCCCCAGCCAAGTGGAAAGACATGGCCGCCCTGGTGATTAACGACTGCGCCGACACGGCCGAGGGCCAGAACTTTGACATCAAGGCGGACGGGCGCATCGCGGTGGCGGCGTCGAGCCCGCAGGAGTGTGTGGACCTGCAGTACATGCGGGCGACGGCCAACAACCCGGTGGGCCTGTACTCGTGCGCGGGCCTCGGCAACGCGGGTGCGGGCGACAAGGGCATCAACTGGCCGCTGGTGGCAGCGACATAAGAGGACGGGGAACGGGACTGGAGAGACGTGCTGAGGCCGAGGAAGTAGAGAGGCGACAGAGATGGATTTTCCAGGCGTTTGTAGTTGGTCGGTGGATGACGTTACAACATAAGGCAACAGCCGAATCTACTACTGATCGCTTCCACGACCCCAAAACCGTTTTGTGTTTTGTGCTGTTGGTGAATGTATTGTCGCGATTCTTTTCCTGTTTGGGCACTTACACGAAGTTAGCGTACATTGAGGCATCGCCATTCACTGAATTACAGCAGTATTCTCTCGTACATAGGACGAGCTGTTTCGGAGTTCTCCGCTTGTTTTCATGTAAAAAAAATGTCAAAAAACTCCTGAACTGAAAATTGTTGCCTTTGAGTCCTTCTCGTGCTCCTAAAAAGAAATATCGACGCAAAAAATGACAAAAATAAAAAACGACACAGGCATGGTTCGAACATGCGCGGCCGAAGCCATGAGATAGGATTGAATCAGGAAATTCAAGTCTCACCCATTAACCACTCTGGCACTGTGCCTTTTTCAGTTAGAATTGTAAATATTTAGCGCCAATTTCAGTTTATTATACCAAGATGTAATGTCACATGACAGTCGTATTCGAGGTAGGTAGTAAAATGATGCAAAATTGTTCGCAAAACGAAAAGGAATGAAATCAGACAACGATTGAAATAGATATCTGTGCGTCAAGTAGGCTTGTGTCAAGGGAGCGTTTAGATAAAGTATGGGCTTTGTGTTCTTTTCAATTCCAGGAATGACGGTGGGGACGTAGTGTAAAAAGAAATGGGAAGAGAGGAAAAGGTAACAGGAAAGAGGAAACAGGAAAGGAGCGACAGATGAATCGAGAGCGAGAAAATAGTTTTCGTTTCATTTATATGCGATGGTTGAAGAGGCTGGGCCACGTCGCCGTTTGTCTCTGGTCGATTGCTGTCGTTAACCGTTTGTTGGGCGGATGCCGTGTGCCGGTTTGTGCAACAATTCGGTCCCAACGACAAAAAGGAGTGGCACCGGCAGTGGTACCGATAGATAAAACGAAAATTGGGACTTGTAGAAATTGTTGGTAAAGAGACGCATTTGGTGCCTCGTACCTCGGCTGAAGCGACATCACGACCATAGAAAATGCAAGGAGACAGCAACAAGAGCGGATGTTTGTGAAAGGAAGCGAGGATGAGGGCCCCCATCAGGGCATGCTTTACTGGTTGGGACATAAACAATAAGACTTAAATCTAAATACAAGGGGCGCAGCGTCCGGCTGCACAGGACGGAAGACCAGACCCATGGGGCTGTGTAGATGCCGAAGACGATTGAACCGCTGCAATTAGCCATGCGGGAGAAGGACGTAAGAAATTCATGATAGAATATGAACGTGGTTTTATTTGTCCGTGACGTGATGCAGTTCAATCTTCTACAGTCAGGTCGTCACGTTCGCACCTTTTGTTACTTCTTTCGTCGTTTCGCCATAGACGCCTCACACCACCACCCCCACGATGAAGCTCGCCTCCGTTTTCGTCGCCTTGTCGTCCGCATCCATGGCCTGGACGGCCACTGTGCCTGGCGGCACAGACATTATCGTCGACATCACGCACAAAGTGGAATGCGACCGCAAGACGCGCACCAACGACGTCATCTCCATGACCTACTCCCTCAGCCTGCTGGACGGGACCAAGATCGAGTCAAGTGGGTACCGCAGACAGTCCTAGGCAGGACGGTGATGCTACCAGCCATACTGACAAATGGACGGACAGCCGCCCCTGGCGAGACGTTTACCTTTACACTGGGTGTCGGGGAAGTGATTGTCGGCTGGGACGTGGGCTTGCTCGACATGTGTGTGGGCGAGAAGAGGTGAGCTCAGGGCGATAGACACTGTCCTTTGTCCACAGAGTCCCTTGCTATACTGACAAGCCGGCCAGAAAACTCACAATTCCGCCTGCGTTTGGTTACGGCCCGGATGCCATCGGGCCCATTCCTGGAAACTCCACGCTTGGTACGTCCCCATGCTCATTGTATTGTCTGTCCTTGTGGCTAACGTGGCAGTCTTTGACACCGAACTCATCAACATCAAGGGCGTGCCCAAGCCGACCTGGTCAGTGCCAACTCCATAGACGTCTGATGGGACGCGGTCGACTTCTTAGATAGTACTATGGCACGCCGCCAACGTACCACTTGCATCACGTCTAAGCTGACAAGGCGTTGTTTTCACTTTGATATTTAATGAAAATGGATGTATCATGAGTACTCTCTTTCACAGAGTTGGGCATCACTTGATCGACCAGGGAAGATAGGCTGGTCAATGCTCCCCGTCTTTCCACTATCATAACAATTTAATCACCATACGTTGCAATGACGTCTTCATTGGCTGATAACGTTGATTCGTATATACAGGTCTGACTAGAAAGGAAATCAGTGTCTTCTCGCCGTCGAGGACTTCAATCACAGCCCACCCAGGTGTGGTCGTCCTCGTACATGTTGACGCCCTTGCCGTTCTGCTTCCACACCACGCCGTCCTTCATCACAAAGTCGACGCGCCGAAACGCCCGCAGGTCCTCGCGCGGGTCCGTCGTCAGCGCAATCAGGTCCGCGCGCACGCCCGCGGCCAGCCACCCAAAGGGCACGCCGCACAGCTCGCCGCCGCACGCCTCCCAGCCCCCCACCGTGCACGCCTCCAGCACGTCCTCGAGCGGGAGCCCGCAGCCCTCGACCATGAGCTCAATCTCGCGCGCGTTCTGGCCGTGCGGGTACGTGCCCGTGTCGCCGCCGACGGCCAGGCGGACGCCCATCTGGTGTGCGAGGGTGGTCTGCGCCAGGATTGCGGGGAACCGCTTGGCGTGCAGGCGCTCGCAGACGGCCAGGGTCGGCACAAGCAGGCAGCCGCGGTCCACCATTTGCTGGAACAGGGCCGCGTCGGCGTAGTAGGCGTGCTCAATGGTGTGCACGCCGGCGGCGACGGCCATGCGCGCGCCGTCGATGGTGCCGGCATGGCAGGCCACGGGCGCGCGGCCGAGGCGGGCCTCGCGCACGATGGCGTCCATCTCCTCCTGCGCAAAGACGACAATGTCCGGGTTGGGGTCGGCCGGCGGGTGCGTGGCGCTCACCACGTACGGGTGCTGCTGCGCCGGCGGGTAGCGCATGATGCGCCGGCGGTAGTCGGCAAAGAACTTGATCACGTCGGCGCCGGCCGCCAGCCGCCGCCGCACCGCCTTGCGCGCCTCGTCCACGCCGTCCACGGCCTCGCCGCCGCGCGGGTAGCACACGCCGTTGGCGTGGTTCTCCGTGCGCAGCTCGTACGAGCCGGTGCTGGCGAGGGCGCGCGTGGCCACAAACAGCCGCGGGCCCGGGATGAGCCCCCGGTTGATACAGTCGCGAATCTGCGCGTCCGCCTCGCCCATGGACTCGGAGCTGAGGTCGCGGTACGTCGTGTAGCCCGCGAGAAGGGCCGTGCGGCAGTGCTGCGCGGCGCGCAAAATGCGCTCGGCATTGCTCTCGTCGCGCTTCTGGTTCAGCGACGGGCGTTCGCTGGTAACAAGTCGTGTTCATTAGTACGGTAAACAAGACGAGGCGGCACGCCCAAAAACAACGAGAAAACGGTCTCTGGCCGGGACGCACTCGTAGCTGTGCAGAAAGATGTGGGCGTGGGCGTCCACAAGACCCGGCATCACCACCTTGCCGCGCAGGTCAATGTCGCCGGCGGGCACAACATCACCCAGAGCGCCCGGTGAGCGCGGCTCGACCTTGACGATATTTCCCGAGACCGGGTCGACCGTGATGGACACGTCGGAGACAAACTTCTTTTGCTTGGGGTCGAAGAGTGTCGACGTGTGCACTGTGTATGGAGCAGACATGGTGTTGGGAGATGTGGGCTGGTCAAAATGTTGTCTCGTGAATGCCGTCTCGCGTTGTTGGCAAACAAAATAACTGCTTGTCCTGGGGCTCTCTTTTATTGTCAACTTTTCTTTGATCTGAAGCTGGATTGTTGATCTTCTTGTTATTCATTTCTCACTTACCTCGGACACTCGTCTACGTCTCTTGCAACAAGACGAGCTGTTCTCCGAAAACGTCGTAGCTTGCCGCTGTTTTGCCGTTCCTGGTCGTGTTAATCGGGCCATGAGTAGATCGGCCTTACTCCTAGTCACGGCAACCTCACGCGCGCATAACTCCGGCCCCCTCACTTACACACATTTGGGAGCCGAGACCTACTCCAGAATGTCGTTCCGAAGAAAGTGTTGCCGACCATTGGAAGCATTCGTATTGACTTCTCGCTCATCACCACATGTCTGTACCGAGGACAAATTTCGTGGTGGCTGTCCTTGACTGTATTCCAAGCTCTACGTTTTGACACAAAAAACAAATCCAAGACTCAAAAGCAAGTTATGAAAACTGGCCGAGGCCCCAAGATAAATACATGACTAAAAAAGAAACTCTGTAAACAAACACAGCACAAGCACACCACTACCCACCATCCAAAATGCCCATCTCCGTTGTTGTCGGCGGCGACGTCGTCATCAATGGCCCGCTGCACCGGCCCATCGCCGCCAACCCGGTCTACCGCGAGCTGCACACCGCCGACGCCAACTTTGTGAACCTCGAAATGCCGTTTGCCTCACCGACGGCCGCCGCCAACACTGACACCTACGGCGCCGAGAAGCTGATTGCGCTGCACGCGGATCCGTCGCATGCGCCCGTGCTGCGCGATCTGGGCTTGGACGTCGTGACGGTGGCCAACAACCACGGCATGGACTTTGGCGTGGGCGGCCTGCGCACGACCCTCCAAGCACTGGACGGCGTGGGGATTGCCCACGTCGGCGGCGGCGAGACCCAGGCGGAGGCTTTTGGCGTTGTCGTCCAAAAGGGCATCGCCTTTCTCGGCGTCACGACGACGCTGCCCAACGGCAGCGGTGCCGGGCGCGCGCGACCTGGCCTCGCCGGCGTGCGCGTCTTCACCAAGTACGTGGTGGACACGGTGTCGCTGGACGAGTCGCCCGGGATGGCGCCGTTTGTGGAGACGCAGACGTACGCGGCGGACGAGGCGGTGCTGCTCGACGCGATCCGGCAGGCGGCCGCCCGCACAGACGTGTCGGTCGTCGTCGTTGGCATTCACTGGGGCGTGCCGTATGGGTGGGTGGCCGCCACGCAGGACGAGATTGCACAGTACCAGCGGCCACTGGCACGGGCCATGGTGGACGCCGGTGCGTCCGTCGTTGTGGGCCACCACCCGCACGTGGTGCAGGGCGTCGAATTGTATCGCGGTGCACCCATCTTTTACAGCCTGGGCAACTTTATCTTTAGTAACGACATTGTGACACCGGATGAGACGTTCCGGACATACCCGCCGTACGAATGGGGCAGTCTGCAAAAGACACTGTCGAACATTGGGTCTTTGGCGCGGCTCGAGTGGGACGAGGGCAAACTGACGGGCTGTGTCATGATCCCAGTGACAGTGGAGGCCGACGGTGAGCCAACCTACGCCACGGCGGCCGACGCCGAGGTGCTCGTGGCACGCGTGCGCAGCATGTCGCAGGCGTATGGCGCGGCTGTCGAGCTGGTCCAGACCAGCGACGGACACTATGCCATTCGTGTGACGGAGGCAAAGTAAATAGAGCAAAACAATAGAGGCTATTCGCTGTTGAAACGTTCATGCACTCAGCCCAGGATTCCCCACATCAACTCGACCAGGGTTTCCCAGGGCTCGACATAGGCCGTGCCCGCTTTCCAGCGCGCGGCAAAGGATGCCAGGAGTGAAGACACGTGCAGGATGGGCCGCATGGCCGTTCCAACGTCGAGTAGTCCGTATTGTTGGTGGGCCAGAACATACAGGACCCAGACAATACCGGCTTCGACGATGCGCTCGGCAGACATCCACAAACTGGAAATTCGGTGACGCGGGTTTTGGCGGGCGTATTCATCGAGCAAGACACACGCCGCACCCGCCACAATTTGAAACAAACGAGAGGGGGCGGACAATTGCCCGCCTTTCAAGATCATGTCGGGGAAAACGACGACGGGATGCAGGGCCATGTAGACGGTGGCGGACTGGACGGACATTGGGGGTGCCGCCGTGGTATCGGCCAGGCGAGTGCGGGTCAGAGGAGGCGCCGCCAGGACTTGAAGGGGAACGGGAATCAGACTCTCGAGAAGATAGTCGGGGATTTGCGGCCGTGCCTCGAGATGTTGGCGGATCTGCATACAAGTCCGTAAAACGACCAGATCGTCGATGACAACCGATGACGCCGGGGTAAACGAGGCCGAGAGCAGCTGCTGCCACTCCAATTCACGGCTGCCTCCTCCACTGAAGCTGCTGCCCCGTCCAAGAAGATATTGGTCACAAAACGGCGAAGGCCGCCGAAAATGCAGGGACATTCGGGCCTCCATGCGCAGCATTGTCCGCTCCAGGCGCACAAAGTCGGCGTCGTCCTCGGGCGCGCGGTGGCGGAGATGGTAGCCTTCGCGGAGGTCAGCCAGCACGCTGATGGCAGCACCGAGAAGGTCCCAGAGCTGGCCGGACGTCGGCTGGATCATGTCACACAAGGCCAGCGTGGCCAAGGCCGTGGCTGTCCAGCGCGTTCGTTCCAGACTGTGAAGCGTGCTGGTGCCGTTCTCGTGCGTGCCCTTTGATTTCACAGTCGTCATACGTTTTACGCTTTTCAGGCCAGTCATATTTTCCGCTTCGACTCCCACCAGGGCCTGCACATCGTCGCGGAAGCGCATGGCCAGCATCGCCATGCGGCCGCCCTCGCCGCCGCACGCACTTGGGCAGAGGTCTCGCGAGGCAAGCGCTGTCGCAACAGCAAACACGGCCGTCGTTGCGTACGCGCCAGCAGTGCCGCGATGGGCGCTCGCCCACTTGAGCGGATTCTCGCTGCCGCTGCCGGCGCGCTGCAGCAGGGCGGCCTCCTGCTCGGCGGGCAACAGGCTGTCGTAGCAGGGAGACGACGCGCCGACGACGGCCGAGTAGTGCTCGAGCAGGGCGCGCTGGGTGGCGAGGGGCACGAGGGTGTGCAGTTCCGCTTCTTTGCGGGGATCGTGGAGGATGGACAGAGTTGGCGGCGGGCCGGCGGCCGTCGTGCCTCCTAATCCCAACACATTGTTCCTCGAGCGAGAAGACAACGACAGGGGTACGTTCTGGAACGCGCCGTCGGCGTCCTTTGGTTGCTGCAGAGAGCGTGGCAACGAAAGGCTGTTGCCGCCGTTGACAGAATGCCGGTCGATGGCGGCATGGAGCACCGTCTCCGCCAGGCGTGCGGTGCTTCCTGGCCCGAGGTACGATGTGTGCGAGGGAACAACCGGCGCCGACGACGACAGTGACGACGCCAAGCTAAGGCCGTCACTATTTATGTCACTGACTGCATCAGCCCCCAGTGGCGGTGTCACTAGCAGGTGGTAGCCGCGATTGCTTTCCGTTCCTTGTCCACGTGCAGGATGCAACCATGCACTTCCGCGCTGCAGCCCCTGCGACAGGTCCGCCAAGGCCGTGAGAGCAACAGCACCTTCGAGGTCGACGGTGGGTGACGGCACGACCGCAGTCGCAGTCGCAGCCGCAGCCGCAGCGGAGGACGCCTTCCGCGCTTCAACAGCTTCCAGGTCGCGCTTGAGCCCGGCGACACGTTGCCGCAGTAAATGCAAATAGCTGCAGGGCACCTCCTGGCCGAGGGCATTGTCCCAGAAGAAGCACTCGACGTCAGCGAGACGGCAGTTTTTGCACGCGGGAAGCTGGAGATCGCACTGCAGGAGTGGGGGTGGTCAGGCAAGGGTGATCAGAGAGAGACTGAGAGGGGGTACAGAACATACGCGGATGCGCCTCTTGCGGCAACGGGTGCAGACCTGCGGGGCCGTCATGGCAATGGACTGGGTGGAGTTGATGGTGATGGCTGTACGGTGCCGGAAGCAAGCGAGGGCTGCGCCAGAGTCCGCTCGGTCAAGGCCGTGGTCGCAACACGGGGCAGCATGACAGCATGATATGAGAAGAGGGTCAGACGACGAGACGACGAGACGACCAACGACGCATTGGCTTTGTCGCTTTTGTTGACTCTTTCCTGCTGACGAATGGTTGATCTTTGGGAAGGAGCAGGCAAAGGAGTTAAGCGACCACGGCAAGAGCGGCCGCCAACGCCCGCTCGCCACTTCCCCACAGGACCACCTGAGTCGCACTTTCCGTTCTCCATCGCATTTACCCTAGCGTTGTGCCTGCCGCGCTAGGGTTTCTGCACCGACGCAGATTAGCGAGCGAAGCACATCGCCGTCTTCTGTCTCCTTTTCTTTGTCCTGTTTGGACCTCGTTGCGTCTCCTTCTACGCCCATGACAAACGAATGAGCGACGTACATTACGTGTACATACGGTCGGACAAGTCTTCGCTGGTAGTGGAGGCATTTTTAATTGTTCATTTGTCAGGCTCCTTTCTTTTTTCGTGTACACATTTTGTCATCTACGTCGTTGTGGAAGTGAACGCAGCAAAGGCATCAAGCAATAGGTTGACGAGCACGCTCGGCCTTGTCTGTATTTAAGCATGCCGTGCTTCGTCAATCCAGGGTGAGGCTGCGGGAAACACAAATCACCTCTGTAACCCAGACCGTCGAGCCGGCAAGTCACAAAAAACAAGTCAACAAGTCAACAAACAAGATAGAGTACAACATGTCTTCGACATCCCCCGCCTCCACCACCTCCAAGGTCCCCATGGACGACGGCGCCCGCCTTTTCGTCAAGGTCCTGGGCGGGCCCATCACGAACACGGCCAAGCCGCTGCTGATTGCGCTGCACGGCGCGCCGGGTCTGCTGTCCCACCGCGAGTCGGAGGCCACCTTTGCCTTTTTGGCGCCGCACTTCCGTGTGATTGCGTACGACGCGCGCGGCAGCGGCGCGTCCGACCTGACGCCGCCGTACACGCATGCGCGGTGGGTCCAGGACATTGAGAATCTCCGGACGTGGGCGGGCGCCGAGACGTTTGTGCTCGCCGGCCACTCGTACGGCGGGTTCGTGGCGCTCGACTATGCGCTGGCACACGGCGACCGGCTGTCGGCCCTGGTGATCCGGGACACGTGGACGGACGGGCGGGCAGCGCCCATGGCAGCGCTGGCGCGGGCCGTGACGGACCCGCGTGTGGCGGGCCGGGTGGACGTGGAGCGGCAGATCCGGCTCTGGTCCGGGCGGCTGCAAGACGACGCCGAATTTGAGCGGGCCATTGTCGAGATTCTGTCGGTGTACGGGCCGCCGGACAGCACGGCCGCGGAGACCACCAAGGCGGCCGCCGCCAACCCGCCGCCTCTCGAAGGCGACGGCAGCGAGCGGCCGCTGTACAACTCGGCCGCGCAGAACTGGGCGTTTAGCCAGAACATGCCGCAATTTTACGTGCGCGACCGTCTCTCCGAGATCAAGGCGCGCGCCCTCATCATGGTCGGGCGGCACGACATTGTGACGCCGGTGGCGTTCAGCGAAGAGATTGCACGGGGGCTGCAGAACGCGCAGCTGGTCATCTTTGAGGAGAGCGGGCACAATCCGGCGACGGACGAGCCTGCCAAGTTCCAGCAGGTCGTGCAGGGGTTTTTGCAGTCGCTGTAGATAGGCAATCTTGCACTTTCTATATATGTCAACAGATTAGCGACCCAACTGGCTATATCATTTCTCATATGCATTGTTCTTTTGTCTTGACAGTATATGCACGCCCGAAGGAAGGTGTATTCCCCAATAAATCAAAAGAATACACTTGTTCATCAGTAGTCCGTTCGCTGCAGATTGCCAACAAAAAGAACCTCCCGTATACCAGTCATAAATGAATGATAATCCGGTACTGGGTGACAGCCATCAGACAGCCGCTTCCTCGGCCCTGGCTCTACAACAACGTTCCATGATTCTCCAAAATCCACGGATTTCTAACTGCAAGAACGGCGTTACGCGAGCCTGTGCACTGCCCAGCGGTGCAGTCCGTCCGAGTTAAGCAGAGGTTGGGACCTTTGCCAGATAGCCGACCACACGCCTCTATGCTCCGTATACCAGTCTATATACACCACGAATACACCAGGTAGATGCCCATGTACCTTTCATCCAACGTCATTCAAACCTCTGCCAATACGTCACACACACAGCGTTTTTCGTCCACTACATCCACCGTTCCGCCATGTCTCAGCCTCGCCTTGTCAAGACCGTCCGATGCACCGGCACGCCGTACCAGATCGGCCTCGCGCACGGCCGGGCCGTCGCCGCCCAGGTACACAAGAACGTGGCCACGTACACGGCCTTTTTCGACGAGACGGTCGGGCTCACGTGGGCGGAGGCACGCGCGCGGGCCGTCGACCAGTTTGCCGGCCGTCTGGGGCGCTGCTACCCGGCGATTCTGGAGGAGATGCAGGGGATTGCCGACGGAGCCGGCGGCGGGCTGACGCGGGACGACGTGCTGACGCTGAATGTGCGGAGCGAGATTGCGCTGACCAACTACACGGACGGGTGCACGTCGCTGGCGCAGGAGGTGGTGGGCGCGGACGGCCGTCAGGTGTTTCTGGCCCAGAACTGGGACTGGCTGGAGGAGCTGCACGAGGGCATGGTGTCGTTTGACATAGCGCCAGAGACGGCACCGGGAAACGGCGTCGAGCGCTTCGTGTTCCTGGGCGAGGCGGGCATCGTCGGCAAGATCGGCATGAACAGTGCCGGGTTTGGGTTCTGCATGAACGCGATCCGCTCCGGCGCGCAGGGCACGACCGACCGCCACCTGCCCGTGCACGTGCTGGCCCGGCGCCTGCTGCAGTACGCCACGTCGCTGGACGCCGCGCTGGCCATCCTCGAGACCGAGTTTGGCGCGGCCAGCTGCATCAACCTGATGCTGGCGGACCGCTCGGGTCAGCTCGCCGATGTCGAGTGCTCGCCATACGGGCACGCCCGCATTGATCCAGATCCGACCAAGCTCGCTGACCATGGAAACGCCAGGAGCCGGTTCGTCGCACACACCAACCATTTGTACGGCACGGCGGCCCAGGGGCGTCCCGCCCGGCTGGTAGACCACCCGGCCGACAACTCGTTTGCGCGTCTGGCGCGGATGCAGGCCCTCACGCGCGCCGACGCAGCCGCCGGCGTGCCCGTCTCGTTTGCGTCCCTGCACGCGCGCCTCAGCGACCTCGAGGGCGCGCCGTATGCCATTTGCCGCAGCCGGCCGCCGGGCGCCGTGGGCATGGAGCGGATGGTGACGCTGTGCACGATCCTGATGGAGCTGACGACGGGGCAAGGACGGGTGTCGATTGGGCGGCCGTGCGAGCCCGACATTCCCGTGATTGAGTGGCAGTTATAGGCAAATACATGTGACGATGTTTGGATAAAGATGGCTATATATCAAAATGCAGGCACCCTCAACCGATTATTATATACTTTTCTCTGTAGCACACACAGTGTACACGTCGCCAAACACGTCCACCTCGTCTCCCTCCGTCCATGTCTCTTCGTTTGGAAATGCAGACAGCTTGTTCGCCGCCAAGGACGGCAGAGGCGCGTCGCCCGACCGGTACTTGACCACCCAGCGCTCTTTTCCGTCGTGGCCCTGCTGTCCCTCCTGTCCCTCCGGTCTCCCATCCCCATCTCCGTCATTGGCTGCCTCCAGCGTCTCTCGTTGCACAGTCAATGGCCCGCCGCCACGTGCCTGCACCATGGCAAAGTACTCGCGGCCCACCCGCCCGAGAAACGTAATGTTGCTCGTCGTCATCGTCACAGCATCCTCCTCACGCTTCACGATCCACGCCCGCGCGCCGTCCGTCGGCAGCGTCCGCCACACCTCCTCGTAGGCCGTGACGGCGCCGCCCCGTTCGGCACACGCCATGCGCCCCGTCTCCAGGCTGTCGGTGTAGTTTTCGTCGCCGTCGCGGTTCCCGCTGGGCAGGTCCTGAAACCACCCCTCGTCCGGAGCAAAGGTGTTGCGCGAGTCAATTGTGTGGTGCCAGCGGCAGTGCAGCTGGGGCGCGCGAGCGACAACGTCGCGCGTGCCGGCAAACGCCCAGTCGACGGCGTTGTCGCTTTTGACGACGCGCAGGTCCATAAAGTAGCCGCCGACGCTCATGACGAGGGTGGTCGTCGGTTCGGACGCCGGGTCGTCGCCCCAGCGGATGGAGAGGCGGGTGGAGAGGCGGGCCATTGTGGCATGGAAGACGAGCGAGGGTGAGAACGAGGAGAATGTGGATGAGAAGGAGGATACTTGGAGACGATGAGATGGCGAGGCGGCGACGAAGGATGGTGCTGGTGGGACATTGGATCGTCCTGTGCATTATTACTTGGTTTTTTTGTTAATCAAATAAATCCAGGCCGGTTCTTTGATAGCTGTCACATGACTGTGAACTGCACGACCGTTGTAAGTCAACGGAATGCGGAGAGAACGGGTGGAGTTTCGCTTGCACTCTTACACGTCCCAAAAGGGAATGCCTACGCGCCCACTCGTCATTGTGTTAGTCGTCGAAACGTCCATATCTGCACTGCTATCTTTGGTGGATGTTCCCCACAGCTTCCCTGCGTCATTAGCGTGCCTGACCGATAACGCGCCGTCATGTTGAGAAGGACGAAAGACGTGTGATCTATTGAGAAATCATACCGAGGGCGTAACGACGCGTGTATTGATCGCTAAAGCAAACAAAGCGCACTGGAAATAATACGATAGTTCGAGTAGAGTGTACTCAAAAAAACCTTTGACAAAATAAAATTAAGGACCGTTTACTTGGATTTCTTGAAGGCACGGATAAGAAAAAAAGTTAGGGAATAAATAAATTAAACTAACCAGTCGCAGGCATTCCGCATGCTCATTGTACAGACATGCCCTTCTTTACACCTGCCATATCCATATCCATATTCATTACACGGCTACAGAGATGGTCGGGTCGTACTCGTCTTCGCTGTAGACACCAAAGTTGGCCGGCTTGCGCCACTGGGCACCGTACTTCTGTAGGACGGCGTAGGCGGGAATGACGAGCACACACAGGATGCCCTGGATGGCAAAGGACCACGTGTAGCCGCTGAACTCGACCCACGCGTAGATGAACCAGGGAACCAGGAACGCGGACAACTGCACGGTCAGCAAAGGACAGTACGAAAGTGTGGTCGACAGGGGGTGTTGGACTTACATTGATGATGCACGAGTAGAAAATGGACAGCTCGTTGGCGTAGGTCGGGTAGTTGTCGACCATGTACGTGGTCAAGACGGTGTTGCCAATCTGCAGGCCCACGGCGTAGAGGAAGAAGAGGACCTGGCCCACCATCCAGTGCCACCCGCGGTCCACCGACAGGCCCCAGAGGCCGCAGCCGAGGGCCGACAGCACGGCCGCCGGGTAGCCGAGCCAGAGGCGCATTTCGGGCGTGCGCTCGCCGGCGGGGCCTTTGCGGACGAGGAAGAGCACGAGGCGGTCGCTGGCGTGGCCGGAGCAAAAGGCCTCGGCAAAGAGGACGCCGACGACAAACCCCAGGAACAGCAGGCCCTGGACCTGCGGCGAGCGGTCCTCGTACGCCAGCGGCTCTATGGTCATGAGCGCAATGATCCACCAGTACTGCGCGTAGACGTACGCCAAGATGCTGAGCACAATGGTCGGGTACGCCCAGAGGCGGACGACGACGACCCAGGGCGAGTAGAGCGCGGGGTACGTCAGGCCGGCAATCCGGCGGACGTTGAAAAACGGCAGCTTCCGCGTGCGCGGCGCCGGCGCCTCCACGCTGTTGCTGACACCATCGTCGACACCACCGACGCCGCCCGCCGCGCCAAACTCGATGCGCAGCATCTGCCGCCGCGGGTACAGCGTCTCCGGCAGCACAAACACCGTCAGCAGCCACAGCACGGCGTACGCCATCGTGACCTGGTACGCCACCCAGTACTGGTTGACGGACACGAGGAACCCGCCAAAGACGCCGCCCAGGAACGTGCCCATGTTGGCGGCAATGGCCCAGAGGCCGACGCGCTGGCCGCGCTCGTGCTGGAACGACACGTCGTTGATGATGCTGAGGCCCAGGTTGCAGGCCGAGCCGGCGCCCAGCCCCTGCAAAAACCGCTCAAACATGTAGGCGCCGAGGCTCTGGCCGTGGAGGGACGTGCAGCCCGACGCCAGCAGCGCCACCGACGTGGTGACGACCATGCAGATGCGGCGGCCGTAGATGTCGGCCAGGCCGCCCGACAGCAGCGGGCCGAAAATCAGGCCAAAGGCCGAGATGGCAAATGTCCAGTTGGTCTGGCTGTAGGTGGCGCCGAACTGCGCCTCGAGCAGGAAAAACGACGGGATGGGCGCCGTCGTGAGGTACGTCATCAAAAAGTACGAGAGGCACGCAATGGCGATGCACACGTACTTGCGCCACAGCGGCCAGTTGAGCGGGTCGAGCGTGTCGCTGGTCGGTGTCGGCGACAGCGGGTTGCCGGCAGGGTCGAGGCGGGTCGTGAGACTGTGGACGGCGTTGTTTGTGTTGGTGATGTGGCCGGCATCGACTGTTGAGCCGGCCTTTTCCGAGTCCGAGGGAGCCATCTTCTCCTCGACTGAATCGACAACAGTTGCGTTTGCCATAATGATCGTTCGTACTGAAGCCTGATGGACGACGAGAATGGAGAGCAAACGTCAATTCTGCGCGATGGAGATGCTCACTTTATGTTCTACACCATACTGTTGTCCATATCGCCTCCTCTTTCCATATCTCGGCAGGCAACGTGCACGGACGTTGGTTCAAGTGCCGATTTGCAAATAGAAAGCGTGAAAAGAACGATGATACAAACGAAAACGGACAAAGTAAAGTCTGCGTGTGCCGTGATAAGCATTGTCCATACTCCCGGACTCGTTGTAAGTCCAAACGGGCATTGCAACCCCTGCCCTGTCGCGACTGCATTCCCTTTTCAGTTTAGCGCGCTTGTTCTCCGATCGGCGTCGACCGTCGTGTGGTCCCGGCCACGTTTTGTTCCCCTCTTCGTTTGGTGTCTTTTGGCTGTCTCGTCTCGCCGCAGAAAACCGGCTCTAGCCAAAACTGGGCATGTATGCGACTTGTGTCGGCTTATCTGTCGTTTGTTTGTGTCGGCCTGTTGCCTGTCACTCTCGTTATCTGGCTGACCCGGAGCCGGGCTTATCTGTCTGGTGTAAATTGTGTTCGTGGCCGCCGTGACCACCCTCCATTCAACAAAAGCGGAGGCATCTAGGATGACCAGATAAGGACGGCATCCCCTGATCCCCTCTGGGATGCTCTCGTGTTTCCCCGCAGAGCCAGGCGGTTCCAGATTCCCGTTTCGTACTGCTGCGTTTGTTAGTCGCATCGCTCGGCATGGCTAGAGTCAGACATGCCATCATCATATCGTCGTCCCCTCCTTCGACTCGACACGTCCTCATCTACCTGTCGTATCTCAAATGAAGAAAGTGTCTAGAATCAAGAGATGCCGACAGCATCCCGAACACCGAGGACGTATCTCCATGATTTAAACGACGTCAAAATCTGCGAATTAATGTGTGAAAGCAAGACAAAAACGCAACCTGCAAACTCAAAATCAAAGAAAAGAATTCCAAAAAAAAAAAAAAAAAAAAAGAAACCGTTACAATACATTACAGTATTCTTTCCAAAGAAGAAGAATAGCAATTAAAAGACCGCAGAACCAGACCACACCCTGCTGCCATGGCCCTCATCTCCGTCCCCCTGCTGCTCGGAGCGGCGATCCTCGCCACCGTCCTCACGGCCATCCGCCGCCTCGTGTCGGCCGGTGCCGCCGTGCCCGGCCCGCGCCTCAACGTGCTGTCGTCCCTGCCGCTCAAGTACCACGAGTTCCGCGGCCAGCGCACGCGGTATGTCCACGGCCTGCACCGCCGCTACGGCAGCGTCGTGCGGCTCGCGCCCAACGAGGTCGCGTTCGCGTCGCTGCCGGCGCTCAAGGAAATCTACCTGTCCAACGGCAGCGGCTACGACAAGACCGAGTTCTACCACCTGTTCCGGCAGTACGGCACGCCCACCATGTTCTCGACGCTCGACAAGCAGACGCACAGCCGCCGCCGCCGCATCCTGGCGGACCGCTACGCCAACTCCAGCGTCGTCAAGGAGGACGCGCTGCAGGGCCTCCGGGCGCGGGCGGCGCATTTCACCGAGCGCGCGGCAGCGGCCCCGCACGGCGTGCTCGACACGTACATTGCGCTGCACAGCTACGCCTTTGATGGCGTGACGCACCACCTGTTCCACCCGCACGGCAGCGACGCCCTGCGCGACGCCGCCGACGAGGCCATTATGCGCGAGGTGTCGTTTGACAACAGCCTGGCCCGCCGCCTGCTCGAGTACTACAACCGGCCGCTCGAGCGCGTCGCCGACGCCCTGGGCCTGCTTCCGCCGCAGCGGTCCATCCCGCGCGCCAAGCAGATTGTGCTGGACGCCGTCGACTCGTCGTTGGCGGCCGTGGGCGACAGCCGTGCCGCCGGCGACGAGCACGGCGACTCCAAGGCGGAGGGCGCGGCGGCCGCCACCTTCACGCTGCTGGCCCGCCTGCAGGACCCGTCGCTCGGCCTCACGCGCATGCAAATGGCCGCCGAGTGCATGGACCACATGGCTGCCGGCATCGAGACCACCGGCGACGTGCTCTGCTGGCTGATGTGGCAGCTGTCGCTGCCCGCGAGCCAGGCCATGCAGACCCGCCTGTACCAGGAACTCCAGGGTGCGAGCCCGGCCCCGTCATCGTACGACAGCCTGCCCTATCTCCATGCCGTCCTCAAAGAGGGGCTGCGCGTCTTCCCCTCCATCCCCATGAGCTTGCCGCGGTACGTCCCCGCCGGCGGCCGCGAAGTCGACGGCACCTGGCTGCCCGCCGGCACCATTGTGAGCTGCCAGCCATACACGATGCACCGCTTCGACGAGGCTGTCTTTTCGCGGCCGGACGCCTTTGACCCGGAGCGGTGGCTGGGTGCGGACGCAGAGCTTGATGCCGAGATGAACCGCCGCTTTTTTGCCTTCTCCAACGGCGGCCGCGGCTGTCTCGGCCGCCACCTGGCCATGGCCGAGATGAAGCTGCTGCTGCGCGATGTCTACAGCCAGTTCCAGACCGTGCTGGCCGGCACCGACGGGAAGCCGCCCGCCGACATGTCCATGTCCGATCAGATCATCTCGTCGCGGCCCAAGGGCCAGTCGTGTCTGCTCAAGTTCATTCCGAGGGAGCCAGCCAAAGAGAGCTTGTAGTCACCAATGGCTTGAGGGGGGAAGAAATTTTAGATAGTAATAAATTTTGCAAATTTAATTCAATCTTGTTCATCATGTATGTTGTCATATACGTCGTCACTTGTCGTTACTCGTCGCTTTTGCAGCAATTTCGTGCTTGTCAAATATCCGCTCAGTATGGCAAAAACTCGGAATTTTCCATTTCCTCTGTTGGCTGTTAGTCAACGTCATAAACACCGTCTCTGAACATCTGAGCGGAGAACCGGACTCCACGTACCCAAGTATGTCAGCACATCGTGGTATGCCTCCGGGCTCGCTGCTGTCTTGCTCCACACGTATGCCAGGAGTGCCGCAGACCGCCGATTGTGCGGCGTCCGCATCCACATGCCCATGGCGGCAAACGACCGTTGGATCGCGATTTGGGCGTCAGGCAGGGCCCACAGCCCGGCCGAGAAGAGAGGCGTGGCCATGAGCACACGCGGGGACAGCGGTGCCGACGGCGACCGCATGTTGTCCGAGGCCCAGAGGATCTGCTGCACCGAGTGCTGGATGCACGGCGCCGTCGGCGGCAGGCCCTGCACGGCACCGTGAATGTACAGCAAGGCCGTGTGCAAGAACCCCGCGTTGCTCAGGGCGTAGTCGTGCATGGCATCGCGAGGCAGCGAGCGGGCCACGCGGTCGTCGCTTTGCAGGCGCCGCAGGGTGTTGCCAACGGCGTCCCGTTGGAGACGGGCGTGGATGGCGCGGACGAGCGCGTCGGCCTCGCGGGCAATGTCGTCCGCAGACAGAATACAGTCGTTTTGGTTGTCGTCAGCAGACAGAATACAGTCATTTTGGTCGTCGTCCTGCTGCTGCTCATCGTCAACCACCCGTCTCTCGCTGCCCCCCCGCATGGAGCGCCGCTTCTCCATGACCAGCGCGCCCACCTCGCGTATCAGGTCCGGCACGTCCGAGGCCACGCCGCCAAACACGTCAAAGTAGACGTCCTCGCTGTTCGTCGTCCGCGGTCGGACGCTGTTCCGTCGCGTATGCGCCATCTCCAGCTGGCCTCGACGCAGGCCGAGCGGTGTCAGTGCCGCCTGTGCCTCCACGTTGTCGTACCAGCTGGCCAAAAACACTTCCAGCTCGGATTCTGACGACGACGACGACGACGGCGACGACGACGACAATTTTGTGTGTCGTGCTGTCTTTTGCGCGTCGCCCACCGCTTGCAGAATCGCTCGTGCCCCCTCCAAGTGCGTCCGCCAGGCGTGGCCCGTGGCAAAGATTTGGGACTGGCAGAGCGTCCGGGTGGTGGCCAGCGCCACCGAAGCATGCTGGTGCAGGTGCGGGCCGTCGGACAGCTGCTGCCGCAGGTGCCGCATGCTCTCGTCCTCGAGCTCCATAATCAAGCGGTCGCCCGGCACGCCTACCGGGAAGCCGCCCAGCGCGTGGACGTGCCGTGCACCAAACGCGAGGACGGCGTACAGCAGGCACGGGTGGCGGAACGACATGGGCACGACGAGGCGGCAGATTTCCGTGCGCGCATAGTCGCTTGGCGCCGTGAGCCGAATGGTCTCGTGCATGTAGTGGTGGAACAGGAACCGGTGCATGGGGGAGAGGCTGGCGGGCGAGAGCTCGGGCATGTCGATCTGGGGGGCCAACAAGACTGACGTCGGCCGTCGCGATACGGTCGTGACGTCGTTTGGGGCGCACGCAGGAGTGTCTTCCATTGCATCGGGTGGTGCTGACGGTGTTCTGGCCCTGGGACGCGGCTGCTCGTCTCGTCTCGGCCGCCGGGGCCGGTCGGGCCGTGGGCGTGCTGCCGGCGCGGGCGGTGACGGCTGCGCAATGTAGACGAAGCCACCACGCCCGTCCCCAGGCCCGTCCATGTCCAGCGCACCGCTGCTGCCGCCATTGCTCAGCCGCTGGACCCGGCCGGCATAGCTGCCCATCATCTTGGGAAACGCCCGGCCGCCCCATTGAATGTTGAGCGCATAGCTGCACGCACTGCCCGCCTGTTGGCACCGCACGCACGCCGGCTTGTGCTGGTCGCAGCGCTTGTGCTGTTGCCGGCAGCGGTGGCAGCCCGCACGGGAGCGTCGATGTTGTATCGCGGGCATGACAACGGTCGTGGTCCTGTCGCTGCGTTGGTGAATTGAGTGTCTGGAGAAGGCGACGTAATTACTGGGAACGTAAACAGGACAAAATGCGGAGGCGGACTTGGCAGGTGCTCGCTTTGCGGAGATCCTTCTTATCGGCAGTCGCTACCCACTTCATCGTTGGTCACATGCGAAATGTCCTCTGGAGTAGCGCGAAGCCTCCGGTGACTGCAACAAGAAAACTTAAACTCTCATGTACCGACTGCTCATCACATCAGATCACTTCGCACCATCAAATAACCATTTCCGAAACTATTTCTAACTCTAGAATTCATAACGATATATGATACACATAGAACACGTCCATCATAACAGAGGGTATTCCCAAGCAGGCAGAGGGTCCTGGTCTCCTCCCTCGAGCCAGAACACTGTTTTCTCGCCTCACCTCGTCCCACAACTGGCTAGACCTCCTTTTTGGCCTGCCACTGTCGTTCGTTTTATTTGTACAACATAAAAACTTAAATCCAAATGGGGCAAAAACGCATGGAAATGAAACAAAACCAATCCAACCAGCCCGGAGATAATTGGACACAAATACATGCAAGAAGAAGATAAATAGCCACCGCTGGTATACTTTGCGAATTGGATCGTTTCTGAATATTCAAAACAAAACGGTCATAGATCCTCCCAGCACGAGAAAATAGTCGTATATGCAAAAATGTTGTGCAACAGCACTGCCGTTGTTTGCTGAATACACCGTTGTCTCTATCGAAAGCCGTCATCTTAGTCGCAAGCCAGAACTGATTTTTCGGCGCGCGCGCGCATGTGGCTGGCGTGATTCTCGAGGCACTCGGCCATGAGGTGGGTGACTGTTGACATACTGTTAGTGACCAGAGGTAGAGGTGCACGACCAGGGATCTGATTTGCTCCAAGTTCAACTTACCAGGCCAGACAGATGCCTTTCCCAGGGTGTACGCAGTAATGCTCAGGATCTTGGCACCGTATCCAATCTGCTCGCCCATCTGCATGCGCGACGCCATGCGCGTCGAAATGCCCGCGACCGCGTTGCCTGTGCCGTTGGCAATGTCCATGTTCATGGTCATCTCGGCCGCACTCAGCACCTCCCTGACCTTCCCGAGCAGCTTGCCATCTTCCTCTTCGAGGAGCATGATCGCCGGCACCTGGTTGAGGTCCACGTCCTGGTCCAGCACACCGAGATACCGCCCGACGCGGTCCTGGAGAGTCGCCACCCACTCCGCCAGAACCTGCGCACAGTCAAAGACACACAGTGCCGACTGCAGCGGCAGTTCACGGTTTGCAAAGTCCGCCAGTGTATAGCAGACCTTGTTCGTCGTCGAAAGCGCTTCTACGGCGTACAAGGCAGCTTTCCTGAGATGCTTTTCGCGCCGCGACGTTGTGCGGGTGGACTGATGCTGTTGCTGTTGCTGCTGGCTGCCAGCCTGGGCAACCGAGACCGGGAACTTGCCCGCCCCAAAGTCAGGCGACGCCGACAGTTGTGTGGCCGGCGAATCGATGAAAATGGACGATCCATGTCCAGAGAGGTCAGAGGACGGGTCGGTCAAGGCAGACTCGGCATTGGATGCGGGCGACTGCTCGGCATGTTGGACAATTTCCCGGCCGTGGCACAGCTCCTCGGCAAGGCCGTCCCAGTTGCGTTGCCAGAACTTCTCCTTGGACCGAGCCAGGTTGACAAAGAGACGCACGTACGCCAAATCCAACAGAGGGACCGCGTCCACCGCGATGGGGTCCATACCAGAAACCGACGTCGGGTTCGCCAGGTGCACGTTGTTGCTGGTGTGGCGGCGGTTGTTGTTGTTCATCCAAGCACGGTGCCAGGCCTCCAAGGCAGGCTCGATGTGGCGGTGCATCTTCTCGGTCTCTTCGTTTGTCCATACCTTGTTGTGGTGGCGCTGGCGCGTTTCCCAGATGTAGTTGTGCAGGGCATTGATCAGAATGAAGCAGCCAAAGGTACTGGGCTTGAGCTCGCCCGGAGCGCTGTCCACATTGCTGCCGTCTGCGTTGGCGCTGTCGCGGCGGCGCATTTGCTTCTCGCTGGAACGGAGGAGGTCGCCCAGCGCTTCGTGGAAGGTCATACGGTTGTGATTCGCTGCGGCAATGCCGCCCTTGGACATGAACTCGGCACAGGTCGTGGCAGAAAAATATTCTTCGTCACACGGCAGGTCCAGCATAATTTCCGAGTTTGTCAAGGCGGGCGTATGGTTGTAGGAGGACACCAGGAGGCTCGAAAACACGAAAATGGCGTACAGAGTCCGTTTGCGCTCCTCCATCGCCTTCCAGCGAAGCCACTGTGCCTCGTCCTTGGCTGCTTTGGCTGAGCCATCGTCTGTGTTCCAGAGGCTGCTGGGCTCAATGCCGTCACCTACCGTCATGTCGAACTCGTCGACAGGAGGCTCGACGCGTGTTGGCTGCAGAAGCTCTGCGCCCTGTGCGAGGCTGACCAGCGCTGCGCAGTGCGTCGCGGCAATCTCGCCGGCGCGCTTGTCCGAGCCGTTGTGACCGTAAATCACGTTCAGTAGCATGGCCTGCACGAGCCACACCGGCGTGTCGGACGAGCCGTCATTGTGCTGCATTTGGGTGTCGCCGCCCGGTGTCCGCCGGAAATCGGCCTTGCGGACGTTGGCCTTGCGACGCTCATCGAGGTACAGCTGAATCATGCGCTTGGCCATCGTGAAGAGCAGGCGAGACTGGTCGTGTTCGAGTTCGTACAGGGCACCGATAGCCGCCATGGAGAGGATCAGACAGCCGCTGCCGCCGACGGTATTGGCGTCGTAGCCGCCGCCAAGGTGGTTCTGGGGGGAGGAGGGGGAGGGTGTGTTGGAAGTGACGTCGAAGGATATGGTCGGTACGTGGAGGAAGGGAAAGTGCGGTTGGAAGTAGCGAAGGTAGGCGCCGACGTATTTCTGGAGGTCCAGTGTCGAGGGGACACATTGTTCGGGGCTTGTTGCGAGTCCTGTGGCCGTGGCGGATCCGTGAAACGAATATTGGCGCATTCCAAAGGGGGAGGTCTGGGATCCTGCTGAGTTGAGAGCGTTTACGATAGCCAGCCTTGTTGCATCTGTAATAGTAGACACTGGTGAGCTGGTGTTCAACGAAGCCTGGTAGTGGCGGTGGTGGTTTTGGCCGGTGCTGCTGACACTAGTACTGCCATTCATAGAATTGGGCGTTTCCGGGGCCGTGCCTCCGTTGAGGCTCATGGCCTGGGTAAAGGTAGTATGGTTGAGGCCCGACATCATCGTGGGGCTGGCAGCGGTCAGAGACGAGGGAGGAGTGGCAGAGAAGTAGGTATCTGTGTTCCCAGGCGGCGCGGTGGTAGTGGCCGCCAAGGGCGTATGGACGTTGTTCAGTCCGTTGGGAGACAGGGGCAATCCACCCAGGAGATCCGAGAACGACGTATTCCCAAAGTCCAGAGAGTAGCTGTTTTGGTTCAGTTGCTGGTGGACCATGGTACCATTCGTGGGCCACATGGAGAGCGTGGTCGCGGGCATTGTGTGAGAGGCGGACGAGGCTGGTGGTGCCATGGTGACAGCATGGGCGCCATTGATGTTGACGTGGTTCGAACCGTCCAGCATGACATCACTTATTCCACTCTGGCTGCCAGTGCTGATGGCAGACGGCGAGGAACCATCGACGGCGTTTTCGTCAATGGTAGAGGAAAAGCCGTTCGGGTGGGTCAAGCCGGTCAGCCAGCTGAAGCTGTCCCGGGTCTGGTGCATGTCGTTGTAGCCGCTCATGCGGTCATAGATGGCCGTCGGGTCGAGGTGGGCCGAATGCGGCGAGTCGCTGTACTGCAGGGCACTAGGGTTAATGGTCGTGCCAGATGCCGTATGGCCATACGAGGAGGTCCCAAAGTCAAACTCCGAGTTGAACATGGTTGTGTTGTTCAACGGGGCTGTTCGCATGCCGCCCGAGAGTTCCAGGTTGTCAAGGCCGTGCGTGTCGAGCCTCGGCAAGCCATTGGCCATCCCGCGGTGTCCCATGGCAGAGGACATGCCGCTGGCAAAGGCAGAGGGCTGCATCGGAACCTGCTCCATGCCGTGCATCGGCAAGCCCGCCAGACTCGGGTGACGAGAATGGACACCAGGCGGCATGCCCCGTGCCAGGGCAGCATTGGCGGGCGCAGCGCCCATAAAATGCATCGCGGTAGCATCCAAGTGGCTGATGGTGTTGGCGCGGGGCCGCATCTGGTTGTTTGCGGCGCCACCGTTCCCATCATTTCCGCCGCCGAGGAGAGAAGCCGCCACGGAGCCGGCGCCACTTGTGCTCGCCATGCTGCTCTTCCGTGCACGGCTGGGAGCCACACCTGTCGTGCTCTCGCGCCGGTTCCGCGGCCGTGCGGGCGCAGTTGTCGCCTGATGCAGCTTCTGTTGGTGCCGCAGCAGGAGATCGCGCCGTGCAAAGCATCTTGTGCACTGATCGCACTCAAACGGCTTCTCCTTGGTGTGGGACCGTTCGTGGCGCTTTAAGTGCTCCAATCGGGCAAAGGACCGCTGGCATGTTGTGCAAACATGAGGTCGCGGCTTGTCCGTCTTTGGTGCGGGAAACTGTGCTGCTGCGGCCGTTGTCGGCGTAGCCGCAGGTGCTGTTGCCGGGGCCGATGCAGCAGCCGGTACTCTTGTGTTTACTGTGATTGATGAGCCTGATGAGCAGTCGGGGGTCAGCTACGAACGGCTCCATTGCGGGTGATTGACCTAAAATGACATGGGCGGGCGGGTAAGCACAAAATGCAGCAATGATCGCATCGCTTACCTGCATCGTCGTTTCCTGCGCCAGCGTCTATTGGCGTGGATGGGGAGAGGGCCAAGTTGTTGCCAAGGGGGCTGAAGGACAAGTCGAGCCCCAAGTCATCGTGGCCGAGCACAGTCGCCATGATGGATGTGAAGATGTGAGGATGTGAGGGTGGGAATGGGCGGCCGAATCGAGTGTGGTCGGGGTAGAAAGTAAGACGAAAAGCTGGCAGTTGAACGGTGACCAGACCAGACAGGCGAGGAGAACACCGGGCGCCAGTCGACTAGGAGAGAGTATAAGACAGACGAGAGGATGGAGGTGTGCCTACTCCAAGAAGAATGTTGTGCAAGGAGAGAATGGCGGCAGCGGGCGGCGTCGAGGGCGTTGGCAGAATGCAGGCCATGAACTGACGCACGGTGATTGCAAGAAGGTCGTCTTTAAAGCGACGGAGTAGGAAGCAAGCGGCACCGCGCCCAAAAAAAGCGCGCGCCCACAATTGTCGTTGCGAACGAAGAGGCAGGTCTTTGAGAAAACGAACAAAGACAAAAAATAATAAAAACTGCCGGCGAAAATAGGACTTTTGCTGAGCCGAGACGAATGAAGGTTGACGTTTGCTGGTATCGACAAGATTTGGGGTAAGAAGGGGGGAAAGCCGTTGAAGATGGACGGTGCGCCAGAGTGACACAATAGTAATACTGGCCGTCAGGAAGTTCTTTCTTATGAAGTTGGCGACAACAGAGGAAGAAGAGAAGAAAGCAAAGGAAACAATTGTTCCAAGCGATTCTGTTGTCAACAAGAGCGACGCGAGGAAGGATGTGGTGTGAGGAAACAAACCAGGCAAGAACGAAACGGAGAAGTTGGAAAAAGAAAACGACGAGCGAAGGTGCGACTGGTAGTAATAAAAAAAAAGATAAAAAAAAAAGAAAAGAAAAGAAAAACAGCAGGTACGGAGGTCTCCAGAGAATCTGAAAGTCATTACGGTACACCATTACATTGGCACTAAACCTGGGTATCCGCCCCCGGCGCGCTCTCGTACCTTTTGTGCGCTGCTCTAGTATTCCTTTGGGTTGACGAAGTGCCTACCCGCCCCCGTTGCGTGGCAGCAGCGCGAGGATTTTCTCGGCTTAGGGGCGCTGGGGGGCCTAGTTGGGGAAGCTAGTCGAGGCGGATGAAGGAGTACGGGGGTGGAAAAGATACTAACGGGCATGTGGGACTCTGGAGGAATAATACAGAATACGGAGCACGGCGTACTGGAGTTCTGCAAGAGAGAATCATGGAGGTAGTCAAGTATCTTGCATGTTGCAGGGCTTGGCAGCCCATTGTCGCTGTGGTCGCCCCTTCCCCAAACGCACAGTGTGGGGAAGAGCTGCCTCGACGGAGAGGTCACCAGTACCAGTGGCGGGCTAGACGAGAAAGAGGAAAGGGCAAGCATGGCGGGAGCGACGTGAGAAGAAGGAGCGAACAAAGACGGAAGAAAGAAAAAGACCCCTGGCACAAGCCAGACTCTGCCAGGTTAGACAGACATGACGACGACCGGAGCTCCTTCACACCCGCCCACCTGGGTGTGAACCATGCGCAGCAGGTGGCTGCAGTGTGCCTGTGTCAAGAACATCGAATGTGGTGCATCCATATGTCCTTTCATTTGGCTTGAGTGTGCACCCCTTGGGACTCGACATGCATGGAGCGAAGCGACGTGCGATCGCACCAGAGTTTTGTGATCTGTATGGGCCAGCCTGGGAACGAGCGACAGGAGAGAAATAGCGTCGGGGCAAGACCACTGACAAAGGAAGGCAGGCAGGCACAGCCAAGAGCTCAGTGGCTACGGTGTATGACGGGAGACGAGCCCCAAATTGGCCGTCTTATCATCAACGAACACCTACCACGACTATCATGAACGAAGAGGGCTGTGAGAGACAAGAATGTCGACATGGGGCACCAGCGCTACTGCAGAGTTGTACATGACCCAAGCTCCATCCAGCAGCCACAGAAAAGCGTTAATTAAGTACCAACAGCAGAGCAGATGGCAGAAACGGCGGCAGAAAATAGAAGTGTACGAAGTACCTCTTCGATTCTGTACCCTCGCTTTCGTCTCGCTTCCTCCTTCCCTCGACCTTTCCCACTTTCCCCATACGGACTTCACACAGAAACGCTCCCATTGGCCAGGCCCGATATGCAGGTAAGCCAATTGGCCAGTGAGCAAACAGGGCTGCAAGCTGGGGCCCCAGTTATTTATCGTTGGTGTGGAGCGCCAAAATGACACAAAAGCAAGTGCAGCCAGGGTAGTTGCGTGGAGCGAGCAGGCGAGGTAGGATTGTACGGTGCCGCAGCGTGCTGGCGGCGTGCTGCGCGCATGCCCACGGCTGCATGGGTCATGCAAGGGTTTGTGCTGGGGAAAATCGTATTGCGCCAGAGCGACTAATACTCCGAATGGGCACGAAGAATCACATTTGGCCAGACATTCAGGCTTTGCCAGCTGCAGTGCACCAAGTCGGTCGTATCGACTACGCCGTTCCAGCAGAAATCGAACGGCAGAAAAGCTCCATACCAAAAGGCATCCGGAGTCTGGCTCTTGAAACCAGTCGAAGTGCAGACGTCCAGAGGACCTGCCATGCGGCGCTAGATTACCGTGGGCGTGCAGGCGTGCAGGTGTATGGGCCTTGCGGCAGGCCATACGGCAGATGCGGAAGAGTCGGCCAACATACGACGCAAGCCAGCAGACAGCAACGGCAAACAAATAACCTGGACGTTGCAGCTGCATACCGAGCAGACGGTGGACGGCGTTGTCTGTGCCTTGCTATTTTCGCCGGGCTCTATGGCGCTTTCGACAACTGCCATGGCGAGTGCGTACAGTGCGAACGGGCACGGAGGCCATAATTATGGGGTACAGAACGCGAGACTAGCGAATGAGGCCACAAGTGAATGAGCGACAAGAAGCTCCTAGTGTGGCGACCACGGATTTTATGGGGTGGGAACGGCACTAAATCACGGAAGGGGGTGTACACCCAACAACGGGCGAACAACAGCGAGGAAGAGGCAAAAGAACAAAGATGAAGACATCATACAGACTGTGGACACTGTCATTGACATTCATACTGACCAAAGAAAAGAGAGAGCTGATATTGGGAAAGTACAGAGGCATGGAGTCTCCCGCAAGCGCCGGTGTGGGCAGAAACCCAACACTCGAAAGGATTCAACACCGGGCGGGCCCTGTGCGGCGTGTTTCTGCACATAATCAAGAAGGAACAGTGGAAATAAAAGATGGGGCCCGAAACTGCCCCAGCACTTGCCCCAGTACAAGGGCCCCAGCACCGCGCGCCGCGAACACTTTTGTCTTTCCCCTCGGGGTAATAGTGTCACTTTGTAGTGGCAGGGGGAGAAGGAGCGCCGAACCCCAGCCCAAGAGTTTTTCTGGACTCTTTTCCTTGCAGGCTGTTCTAGTACTCCGGCGTCTTGCCCAAAGCCGAATTTTGGGAACACATGACAGACCAGAAACGGTTTAGCGGGGTCTGGGGACCACATTTGGGGGCATTGGCTTTTGACTCAGTAGGTCTTGGAGAAAGAAGACCAGGCGCGGAATCACCCCAGGTCTTTCGATCTCCGTATTTCCTTTCCTTCTGGGGAAATAAATTTGGTCTTCTTTCTTCTCTAGCCTTGCCCCGTTCGCGCCTGTTTGTTTCTTGCTTCGGTCGACCGATTTCCTCGCCACGTTGGTTGGCGCCCGGCATTCCTTTCCAAAGAGTCTAGCGTGGGCGTGATCCTCGAGAGGAGCCAAAGGAGAAAACGGACGACCGACATACGACGACGTAATGGAGCCGATTGAGCTAGGTGGGATTGTCAGATTTTTTTAATACGGCACAGTAGGTCCCGTTTTCCAGAAGTCGAGTTCTGCGGGCCCTTTTCCAGAAGTCGACGAGAAGCGTCCGAGAATGGCAGGAGGTCGGAGGCGGCGGTAAACTGTGGGCTGCTCTGTGGACTGCTCTGTGGACTGCTCTGCCCAGATTGCTGAGGCCGCCCAGAGCCTCTTTTCTTTTGACGTCGCGCCTACAGCAGACAGCGGTATCAAAATGTCAAAATGGGCAAAGTATCTCCTTGTTGCTCTTAATTGGTACTTTGACAGGGCATAATGGCAATGACGTTCGGGCCCTCGACCTGGCCACGGCCTTACCAGATGTACATTGATGCTATGGAATAAAAATGAAAACATGATGTAAGAACTGCACTCTGGTTGGATGCAGCTACTTTGGATAGAAGACGGCAGACAGCACCCGATCAACCAGGCACCGCAATCTATTTTCTGCACTCCTCGTCAACGATTGGCTCGATGTCCCGCGCCCTCCGATCGTTTGGCTGAAGACGGTTTTGACTATTTAAGTATGCACTCTGCACGGGACAACGTGGACGGGCGGCCAGTTTGAGCCCTTGACTTGTTTGTAACGATGCGCTTTCTTGTATGAAGTCTCTTTTATGCTCCGCAGTATGCCATGTTTCGTCGATCCAGCATTATGCCGAGTAAAAGATCCTCGGCTTGACCAAAATAGACGTGCCAGCCCTGCCCGACTGCAAGGAAAATAACAGACCGTTTCGACGTGTCCAGGACTTTGTTTTCTGTGACACTTCGATATTGGCATCCAATGTAGGCAGGCCTTTTATCCCATGCAGCCTGCTTCTGCGGCCTTGCACTTGTGCATTCTGTTCCCTCGTACCTCCTATCAGATGTCTTACAACTGCCCTCCCGCTTACTTTGCTGCCTTCGACACCCAGATTGGTTTTCATTGAGGTGATAAACTAGTTCACAGCAAACGATGTCCAGATAAGAACTCGTTGGTTTTCCTTGCATCAATTCCTTTCAATTTCCGTACAGTCGTTTTCTTCGTTGGGCCGTTCTTTATTCAGTATTCTGCCTTTGTTCCATGTCTCTCTTTTCCCGTGTCTTCTGAAAGGACTTTGTCGGTCTTCCTTGGCTCTTTCGCTCCATCACGGCTTGCAGGTTTGGTCCCGTGGTTCGATTTGCCATTGGAGCCAGCGGGTGCAACACTAAGAAACTGGCGAATTGCATAATGCACTCGCTGCGTCGCTGCATCTTAACCCGTGTGTTAAGTTGCACTCGAATGCAGGATGGTGACCAGTGTTTTTGCAGGCCAA